AGAGAGTCTAAAGTAAATAAGTTAAAACCCTAGCTAAAACTCCAGTTAAGTGTAAAGCTTTGTTTTTTGTTGATAAAAATAAAATTAAGTGTAAAGCTTAGAGTTGGCTGTATGCTAAACATCTCACACAACACAAGCTCGAGTGGAACCCTTCAATTGGTAGAAGATGTAATTTACTTATGGTTAAAACCAAACTTATATCATATTATTCAAGTTGTTAAGAGAAACCATCAGTTTCGATGAACAATTCAATCGAAAATCATACTTTGAAAATTTATGGTGTTTGATTTTTTGTGGCATTTGAAGTAAACCTAACTTTGGATCAGTTGATTGAACACGATTATGTTGCAAAGCCAATCATGATCCTTACACAAATTAATAGCAAATATTTTAATTGAGGATAGTCTGTTGTAAAAATAAATTGATTAAATCCAAGTAATAGCCATTTCAACGAGCGGATCAAATATATGAAGATGGACAATCACTTCATTTGCGATCGAGCATGTGTAGACACAACAAAAAGTCGTGTACAACAAAATTAGCACCGAAGAATAGTGTATACATAAAAAAATCAGCTTGTACCACATCGATTAATTACAAGGGGACTAATGGATTTATAAGGCCAGCTCAACATTAATGATTAAAAGAGCGAGCTGGGCCTAGTTGGGTTCGATTTTTGGGCCTAAGTGGCCAACCCCCTTCTCCTCTATACGATGGTCGACCCGTCTCCGAGGCCCCCATAGCCGGACGATGCCTCCACCCCTTAGTATGAAATTTGGCCTACAAAAACTAAGTCTTGGAAACAAGGCGACACAACGGGGTGCCAAACGACCGGGTACCAAGCCTCAAATAAAGGGGGGGGGGCAAACAAGAGGGTATCAAGCCGACAAGGCAGACCTGATACCCAAGTAAGAAATTTGGCTAAGTATGGTAAACAAGGCGACACAACGGGGTGCCAAATGGCCGGGTACCAAGCCGGGTACCAAATATGAGGCCATCCAAAAGCTAAGTCTTGGAAACAAGGCGACACAACGGGGTGCCAAACAGCCGGGTACCAAATAAGAGGTCATCCAAAAACTAAGTCTTGGAAACAAGGCGACACAACAGGGTGCCAAATGACCGGATGTCAACGACGGGGGGCGATGGATACCAAGGCGGTCAACAAGACGGGTCTAGGAGTAGAGTAACTTAGATTGTTCCCAAAAACCATCAAACACCCTCGTTCGAACATTGTTCGGAGAGGAGTGAACCGTGTTATTAATCGTTGTTCGAGAAGTCAAGGTGCAAATCATTTAATTCAAACACAAGTTTTTTCTCGCCGGAAAACAAATAGCTACTCTAACCTGTGAATTAACAAATGTCAATCAGTTACTATAGTTATGGCTAAAACACTCTGAAATCATCATTAATAAATTATTAGATATATTAAAACGCAGACTACACACCCCACTAGAGCATTAATCAAAGTGGGCACAGTACAGGCAAAGCGACACATATATTTATGTAATGAAACATTTTGTGATCTATCTGCATGTGGCCTAAATTAAATGACTTGTCCATCCACATCAACATAATAATGAAATACCAAAATAAAGCTAACTTTTTAGTAATAAAAACCATCATAAATATAAAAAAAGAAAACATATTAGTTAATTATACTACTATAAAAAAAATAATTAGCAAATGTACAAATTAACCAAGCAAAAGGAGGACAGTAATATATAGTGCTTTCATGGGAGGTTCATTTGAAGCACACCTAAAAAGCCATTAATATTGTGACTGATTATTTAGCTTTATCGGGTCATTCCTTATTATTTGAAGAGCACATATTTCATTCGCCTTGCGATTCTCTTGTTTATTTGTTGATTTTGATCAAATTGGAGCTGAAACCTCTAAACTCGCTATAAAGTAGACGTTAAAACCACCATTATTAAAAAAAAAAAGTTCATTTGAGCATTTTTTTTAATTATGAAAAACAGGACTGGCCTACTTTGTGAACTGAGGACATGGTTTGTTAGCATAGAACAAGGAGCAAGCCATATGATGCAATTAATTGAGTAACTTAACCTCTATCTGTGAGAAGGGTAGTACTTCATTTATTAGGGTTTTCCTCTTCTCCCTCGCTACACTACTAACATATCATGTTAGTTTATTCAGTTACATAGCATTTTATATCGATAAAATTTCAGTTTGATTTGACCTCCCATTAGAAAGAAATTTGCTGGCTGTTTAATTCCTTGAATCACGGAGCATATTCTTTGCTATTCTTCATAGTTATATTCCTCAGTTAGTCACATAGAAAGGGACCCAGTGCAAGTGTTGGATATTGTTTTCAGACTCAATGAGTAGCTGGTAAATTCATTGAATAAGGTGAATCGAGCTGAATTAGCTAGTCTCTAGCGCTTTGGTTGATACAGAATAGGGGTATCAAACTAGGAAAAGTGCTAAGGCCAGAAGGCTCTGATACCATGTCAAGAACCAGTTGATCCCAATAACTCGAGTTGTTGGGAGAAATTTAATCGTGGATCATATACCACATACTAACAGTACCAACCTAGCATCGATTTGTTATTATATAATTGGTAGTGCGATTTAAAAGAAGAATATAGTGGTAGAGTTTGGCCGATAATCAAGAATAAACTGAGACAATCTGGACTTGTATTATCACGTAATATGAGATTGGAGGATTGTTATGAAAGTCGCAAATGTATAATCCATTCTCCTACTTTTTTCACAATCCCCCCCCCCCCCCCCCCCCCCCCCCCCCCCCGGGTTTCCTTCTCTTTCTCGTCTTTCTACCTCCAAATCTCGCTTAATCTCTCATCTTCATTCTTTAAACGTCGACCTAGTAGATCAATTTGGGATGTCGGGATCCGTTGTTCATCAAAATGTTACACAATTGAACATGAAATCACATTGTATTGACTACCCAAACATCCCATCAATTGTGGGGCGCTAGTTCTGATCATATATATGCCGCCCAGTTCCTAAGAAGTATATTGTTATATTGCAGCACTAGAATCCAGTTGCCAATTTTGAATGTGTCGTCGAGTACTTATGGTTTTCCTTTTTGCCCCTTTTCCCCGTGCTTTTCATGATGATTTGGGGGCTTTTAAGCAGGGGGCCAAACTCGATCACCACTTTGTGATCATACAAGAACGAGTTGAAGGGAAAAGCCAGGGGAAAGAAAGAACCCACTACGCATTCGTTACAGCAATCCATATTCCACAAATTGCACCGACACTATCAAATTGCACAAGGAAACAAGAATGGCTGAATCGAGTGGCCCTCATATATAATGTGCAACGAAACAATCATGGAAAACTATGATATAGTGACAATCAAAATGATACGATTATATACCCCGAAAAAAAGCTGAGAGATCTTATCAGATCTCAAAATAATTGTTCCCCCCTTAATAAGAGGAGTCTGAATGCATACCTATAATCGGAAGGTTATTTCCGTCACATGAAAGTATATAATTTTGATGATAACAACCCAATCGGTATTCTCAAAGATGACAAATTGTGGGTGTCTATAGTGATTTAGGTCAAACTCCAAGTAGAAAATGTTGGTAGACCATTTCATCATATCGATCTGCCAGAGTACTGTAATATGTAGTGTAGACCATTTATGTAGAACAAAAAATTAAGGTGGCCAATGGTCAAGATTCATTCGTCAAGTTAACTCAAAATGAGGATTTTTTTTTTAATGAAGGTGAACTCAAAATGAGGATTACTTATAGTTAATCCCAAATCATAGTAACAAAGTTCTAAATTTGTGTAAATCAAACTAAAAAACACATTGTACGTAATTATCCGAAACATACCCTAGTGTTGGTGGTTTTTTCGAAAGAAACTAAGCACACAGGAAAAGCATGTTGAGATCAGTAAACAAAGTGGGAAGCTAATCCCAACCTTTGCATGATTTGTTAAACACTCAACGCTCCATGTTAAATTCAGTTATTCTGAATTCTTTCGAGACAAACCCATTAATATACTACCAGTGGAGCTAAATGGGTTCCACATCAATTTCCGTGAGAGCTAGCCTTTAATGGCTACAACGTAACTTCAAACTATTTCGACAAATGATTAGATATGCATGGCGAGCTATCGTGTTATAACACTATACCATAGCTATGTTTGCCTAGGGAATGCTGTTGCTGCAGCCTGTAGATTATGTCCAGAATGAAAAATAATTGACCAATGAAAGGTACAAGCCAAGGAATGAATACCCCATAAATTAACAAATGGGTAAGAAAGAAAGCCACAAAGAACCCATCGGCTGCATAAACATGGGGAGTGTTTGTCATTTTTAGCTAGAGAGAGGATCAGAATTCAGAAGACATGCAGACAGAAGGGCTGGTCTTCATAAACCTAAATTTTTAGGGTGTGGAGGGTCCCTTAGCAAGGGCGGGCTAGCTAGCCTTGGCGGATATGGCAATCCAAATTCCAACCTGCAGGGGGGACAGCGGTGTCCCAGCAACCAAACAGGTCTTACTGTTTTCAAGATCAAAACCTCATCTATGATTCAGGAAATTTTGTAGGGTAACCCACGAGAAGGGGCACATGGGGAAAATGTTGTCCTAACTTGAAAACCTTCCCATGTGGTCAGCTACCCTGGCCATGGCAATGGTTGCTTCCTCTTCCCCCTTCTAAAATGTCAGTTTTCACTGTACTGATATGAAGAGATTGTATTGCAACCTAATAGAATGAGAATGGACGTTCCTGGAAGAAAGAAGCTAACTGTCTGATCAGTATGGTAAGTTACAAGTTAATTCTCAAATATTTAACCACAGGTAACCATCTTATGAATACCGATGTTGCCTTCTCAAACGTAGAATGTCTCCTATTTGTAGACGCTACGAATTGAATTTTGTAAGTTTGAAACCTTGGTAGGCGGCCTACAACCCAAATTCTATTGATTGAACATCAAAACTAGATGTGAATGTCTATAGGCGTCTACCTTCTTGATCTTTGAGTATACTTGTCTAATAGAAGTGTCGTAAAGTAATTTGATTAATCGACTCGTTAGTCATACATTACCCATTTAGTCCCTGCATGAGTATCGTGGAACTGCGAGTGGATGGCTACCTGATCTTGCTCTAAGTCAAATCAAACTATGACAAAGTACTAGAATCAAGGTTCAAGAAGGTGTTACGTATAAGCTCAAATGATTAACAATTTAACAATATGAGAGCTATGGTTTTTGAGCTATTGAAAATATTGAGTTAGTAGATAATGTTAATTTTCTACTTTTTAATGATTCCCTAACTCCGTCTAAATATACGTCTAGGCCTAGCTGTCGAATTACTCCGCCGTTGCATTTTAAATGCCTAACTCGCTACTGAATCACTAACAAGGTGTTTTGACATTGTCTAACTTCAAGACTCATCAAAACGTAAGTTTATGCGAACCGTTATCAAATTTTGTTCAAAACAATAATACAAAAATGTGTTTGTCAAAATGACATGATATATACATGGATAATTAACTTTTTTTCTTTTTACCTTACCTTAGTTCCACTAGGAGAAGGAATTAGCTAGGGGGTGAAGTAATTTCTTAGACATTGAGAGAATATGATGACATATTTCACCCCTTTAAACTAGTCTGCAAAAAAAAAAAAATAGTATTTCTTTCAACAAAATATTCCAGCCGAATCTTATAACACTAATTATATTTGCTTTCTTCAGTTGCCATGTCAGGTGGATCTTCTACATACAGTACCTAAATTATATATCATGTTTCTTCCCGATCTAATCAGTCCAATTAAGTCCATAATTATAATTATTGGAGACCATGTGTTTTTGCCCAGGCAGCTCATCAGACGGGTTTTGGAATTTAATCACACTGTGCCAATTAAATGCTCATCACTGAGAAGGAATCACTTCAACATCAAAACTCCATTATTTACAAGCAAAATGTTGTAGGGTAGGCTATACCAATTTTGCTAAAATGTTCACAACCTATTTATGAGAATGTACTCAACAAAATGCGAGGTTGTTGGATAGACCACACGATTCCACATTTGTTAGATGAATACACCTATGACCTTATATATCTATGAACACGTTTTTTATATAACAAAATCTGTATGTTTTATTTAGCTAGGTAAAACGTCATTGCAGTATTCACTAAGGATGAAATAAATAAATAAATAAAAGCAGGAGGCCTCTCAAACCACATTGCCATCTCCTCCCATCTGCAAGCTATCCTCGTCATCTCATGGGCAACTATGTTGTCGTTTCCCCTCAAAACCTCCATCGAACGTCACCCATCTCCAGACATAATTCTCTGATTTCCTCCACCACCCTCCCCAATTCCGTTTCAATCAGACCATCCTGATTGAGCTTTTAGATCAACGATTGAAAGTCCCGTTCCATCAAAATCGGCCTTTGCACATGCACGCGATCCAGTTTCATCGCCCACAAGAATGCCTGGGCTTCAGCCATTTCCGGGTCCCATCGATCCTCATCCCCCACACTGCCGTTAGAACAAACTTCCCTTCCTCATCACGAATTACCATCCCCATCCTTGTACCTCCATCCTTCAGCTTTGCCGCATCCACATTCACGTTCAAAGTTCCCCTCTCCGGTCTCTCCCATCGCACCATCGGTTTAGGCATTCGCTCCTGGATAGCTCCAAATATTATAAAATCTTATCACATAATATGTTATATAAATTAATTGTAGGATCTTTTGTTTGAAAACTTTGATGATTTAATCATGATTTATCCATTTGTACCAATAATATATATACTATACCAAATTGAGCGTCAGTAAGCAGATTTCAAATTGGGTCACCGATGTTTAAGCCATAGCCGAGTGAGAGTGTACGTCACACACAATTTGTGTTGGCTCTTAAGGAATTGGCCCAATAATAAACGGATCTTCATTCTACTCTTCACATTATAGTTTCAATCTTGGAAACTCCCTCGTCCTGGCGGTTCCTGCCAGCCCAGCTTTCTTTTCCTTAACAGAACATACGCTGGCAACGCTGCTAATAGCTCTCGGCCCATCTAAACTCCTTGTGTTTCATCGTTGAGATCTTAACTCCTTGTGTTTATTTGCTTCGAAAATATTTTGAGGTATTTAAACAACATTAAAAAATACACCAAAAAAAAAAAACAAGAACAAACCCACCATTGATCTACGTGGCATTGAAATTTGACTTTCATAGCGTGAAAGCTTGTATAATTGCACAACTTCCCACATCGGTGAAATTGGGTTTGTAATTTGAGAAACTCCTATTCGCGTCACAATGCAATTGGGAAAAGTCAGGCTATGTGGATACTCTCAATTTAGAGCGGCAAGCATGATCAACCACATAAGTGCTATCCTTACCAAACCATAGATTTTGATTAAGCCCAACATGAGTGGAACGAGGGGCTTAGCTGGTAGTCAACTGTTATGAGCCATCTCCCATACACCCCACGGCCCACAACCAAATCGGCAAAATCCCAAATATTGACAAACAAAAAGAAACTGAAAGGCACCCGTTAATCAAGGGGCTGATTATTATCCGATAAAATTAAAATAAAACATGTAATTACAATTCATAAGGGTTCATTAGAGGCGAACCAAACACACCCATAAAGTACACACAAGACAAATATACAATAGGAGGACCCCGGCCCGCTTAATAATTTGTTGTTTTACATGGAACCAATCAGCTAACTCCATCTGGAGATCGTGGCGGGCTTTACATTACATGCATGCACTGCTCTTCCTTTTTTCCCCTTTTCTTTTTCAGGGGAATGAGTTGAATTATGGGCAGAGGTTGAAAGATTTAGGACGCGTAACAGCTTTGTATTAGTGGAAAATGATGAACTCTGTTTGCTTGAATTTGTTGTATCGTTTGCTTTGCTATTGTGCTCTTCAGCTGTAATATCATACTCGTTTAATGAACGCTCATTTCAGATTGCATATTTTGAATTTCGGGTTCATACAAAACATTATCGATATCTATAAGACTATAACTAAGTAATCGTAAACTCATCATACAATCGTAAAATTAACAATTTGGGTAGTTTATTATATTTAAAAAATTAAATTTATTTTATGGGAATAAATAGGTTTGGAACACAATTGTTTTAGTCCAAAAATAAAATAATCCATATATTTTTTCATATTAAGATTGAAAAAGTTTCAAAACTTTATGTTGAAAACCAACTTTTTTTTTTGCCAATGTATTTTTTAGGGAAAGGAGGAGCGCGCCTCCTGTAATTTATTAATTATGCCAAATGGCTAATGTCAAAGTACAATTCATTAGGGATGACAATCAAATCCATGGCTGCGGGTATCCGACCGCCCCCGACCCAGTTAACGCGGGGAATCCTCGCATTGACCGGGTATGGGGCGGGTATGGGTAAAACCCGCAAACAGTTTGATGGGTATGGGGCGGGTATGGTTTTAGCCTCCCCCGCCCCATACCCATACACATACCCCGCCCACCAAGCACATTTCTTCACATATAAAAAGTATATTGATTAAATTGTAATCTATCATTAATACCGAGATAACTCATGAAAATAAATAGTAGAAATACAATTGAGTGACCACCCAAATCAAAACATAATTCATTTCCTCCAAATCTTCCTTCATTCTTTGACTTTTTCCCTCATGTTAACAACTTTATATTGGTAAGTTATTACTTAATAGATGTACAAAGTCAGAGAATAATGATTTGGCTTATATTGTTACTCTATCTTATGGATTATTGGATGTTTTAGAATAAGATGCTTAGAATCGTATTAAGAATGATTGTCTTTTTGTCGACTTTATGAAATAGTAGGTGTGCGTTAAGTATTACAATTGAAATTTTTGTATGTAAAATTTTAGCTATTATAATGTTGATGTACGGGGCGGGTATTACCCATGGGTACCCGAAACCCACGGGTATGAGGATGGGTTTGCAAATCCTCCCCGTATGAATATGGGGTGGGTATGAGTTTGGATATTTGAAAGCGGAGATGGGGATGGTTTAGGCAACCAGCCCCAAACCCACCCCATTATCATCCCTACAATTCATCCGTAATGAATGAAGTGGAAATCCCTTTCCAACTATTACAATCATTCTCCCTAAAATATGAAGGGAGTTACATATTCGATACGCATCGGTGAAGAAAGTTTCCCCAAAATTATGCTCTTGCCGTCTCATAGCTTCCCCCAATGGCCAATTCCCCTCCTTCTCCTCCTTGTCTCTTGTAAATGACACAACACACAGTATTCAAAAGATTTCTCTCCTTCCTTTTAATGGCGGGGTACTATCTTAGTTTCCAATTGTTCCTCGACAACCTTTTTGGGTGTTCTCACAATCTCACTCTCTCTACAATCTACATGCAAAATCCAACCTCCACAACACCCTAACCCAAACAAAGAAACAAAAATCCCATCCCCCATCTCTCTCTCTCTATCCCTTTCCCAATCTCATAGACCCGAAAATCTCTGCTCCTTAATTCTTCCTCCATTTCACCTACCCTTTTCAATGTTTTGGTTGTAAGGGAAGAATGAAATCAACCCCATTTCCTTTTTCATCATCATCGTCGAATAACAACAATGGTTCAACCGGCACTGTCGGGGCGCCTCCTGGTTCTCATTTACACGGGAAAAGGGACAAACAAACTTTAAACATAATCATGGGGAAGGCTATGCCTTGCTTGTTGTCCACATTTGCCATAACCACCATTTTCACCTTCTTCCTCTACTCCCCTGACCCTTTCAATCTCACCCCACTTCCCAAACAAACCCAAAAACAACAACAACAACAACAACAACAACAGCAGGGTGGAGATGATCCTCATCTTCTTGATCAAACCATCTCGTTGAAACCGCCACCATCGCATCCCAATCTAAAGGGTACCCTTCATACAATCCCTCCTTCCCTTCAAAACCCATTTCTCCATTTCTCTACTTTCCCATGCATCGATGATACTTTGGTGCAATTGTCTTGATACTCTGTTTTTTTTCTTCTTCTTGGTTTTGCAGTGGAGGAGAATTGTGAGCTGTTCAAGGGACGGTGGGTGCCCGATCATGAAGGTGCGAGGTACAATAATTGGAGCTGCCCGACGATTCCAGACTCGAAGAACTGTTTCAGGCATGGGAGGAGGGACAAAGATTTCCTCAACTGGAGATGGAAACCTGATGGTTGTGTTCTTCAGAAGTTTGATCCCAAGGAATTCTTTGGGATTGTGAGAGGGAAGACGATGGCCTTTGTTGGGGACTCTGTTGCCAGGAACCATTTTGAATCACTACTCTGCCTCTTGTCCCAGGTTCTTGCTCTTGTTACTACATTGTTCCTTGTCAGAAAGTGGGGGATTGTTTGGTTGATCTGGAATTGGTCCATTTTTGGTTACTAAATGATCACCCTTTCAGCCTTCAAGATCTCTGTTACACCGCATCAGTTTGCTTAATTATTTAGTTTTTTTTTTGTATAAAAAAGGCTTCCGTTGCCTACAATGGTGGCTGTGATTGCTCTCTTCCTTGATTATGGAAATTGGATCAAAGTCAAAGATAAATTCTTTACTGTTATTTTTTTCACCCACCACACCAGAGCCCTTTTTCTTCATGCTTCTTTTTGGGTATGTAGTTTATGCTTTGCTTGCATAAGGGTGTCCTTCAAATATTCTTTAGTAGGTGTCAAAATGAGCTACAGTTTATACGTCTAAGTCGAACATTCCTTGCACAAACAATAAGTCAAAATGTTTGTTCATAGGGTGGTTCATTGATCAACATAATCACTGTTTCTTTTGTTTTTGGTTGTTGCAGGAGGAAGCTCCAGTAGAAGCCTACAAGGATGCCGACGACAGGAACAGGATATGGCATTTCCCCAAGCACGATTTTATCCTGAAGGTCATCTGGACCAAGTTTCTGGTCGCCGGAGAAGAAAGGATGATCAACAGCACGACATCAGCCGGCATCCACGACTTGTACCTCGACAGGCTGGACGAGAACTGGGCTCGAGACCTGCACGCCTTGGATTACGTGATCATCTCTGGAGTGCATTGGTTCTTTAGGGCCATATACCTCCACCAGGATTCCAAGGTGGTGGGGTGTATCTACTGCAACGAACCGAATGTGACCAACTGGGACGTCAAAATGGCAGTGAAGATGGCCCTCAGGGCAGCTCTCAACCGGATAAACAACTGCAAGGAATGCAAGAAAACCATCGTCGTGGTGAGGACATTCTCCCCGTCTCACTTCGAGAACGGGTTGTGGAACACTGGCGGGACCTGCAACAGGACAGGGCCTGCCAGGGAGTTGGAGATCGACTCAGGGAGGGATGTTTATGAAGTGAGAGACAAGCAGGTTGAGGAGTTTCAAAGAGTAAGAAAAAAAGTTAAGAAGGGGAAGAAGTTTGGAGTTTTGGATATCACTAGGGTTATGAGGGTGCGGCCCGATGGACACCCAGGCTTATTCTGGGGGAACCAGTGGATGAAAGGGTACAGCGACTGCGTTCATTGGTGCTTGCCGGGTCCTATTGATGTATGGAATGATTTCCTGCAAGCAATTTTGACGAGGCTGAGATGATCGACATTCTTTGGTTAACTAGATTAGATTATAGCTGCATAGTATAGGAATTGAGTGATTTATTTTCATAAGTTCTTAGAGGCATAGTAAAAATTGATTGTTTCAGCTGAGGGACAAATAAAAGTGAGAGACAGAGAGATGTAAAGATATATGCAGAAAGCAAATTCTAAATAGTACATTCATGCAGTGAAAGAAGACTAGAAGAGTGAGTTCTGTTATGCTATCAGTTCTGGACTTCTGGTTTTTACAGTGTAATAATGAAATATTACCCAAGTTAGGGATCCAAGATGACAGGAACCAGAAAGACGGCAGCAGGATTGACAGGTTGCACGATGGTCCTCACTTACGGTGGTACAAATAGAGTAATTCTGGCTAGATATTTACTCAGTGTTGGTATTTTTTCTAACTAGCTCTAACAAGACAATTTTAGCAGAGGAGACACAACCCATGTTCAAGAGTTAGGAGAGGATTCGGCTGCAGCTGTCCAAGAAAGGACATCCCTCCCTTTCACAACTGGGTTAGGAAACACGACAAGTTCGTGCCAATGAACAATCCAATGCAAGTACCAATCAATTATAACACCTTTCATCAGGGTTTTCTGCCTTCAAATTCTCATCATTGAGATTGACATCCAACCGCCAAATTCCATCCCTTGAAAATGGCATGAATATCTTTTTGGCAAATTCAGGTCATCATGCAGCAAAAACTAGGCTGCAATTGAACTAAGCATACATTCAAGAACTCAGATAAGCTAACAAGAGTTTCTGTATCTTCTACTAGATTAGATTATCCAATATATTAGCAGCGAGAAGTTCGACAACTGTCAGTGATTGTTCCAAAGCAAATGATGAAACAAGAAGCCGGCAGAGAAACTTGATTCCAAATAAACAATCACCAACAAGGATGCATCTAGACTAGATTTGTCTATCCTAGTACGTCAGATTATCGACACGTCGTTGCTGCAAGTCAAATGAGACTGATAAGAGAGCTATCCACGTAGGGAACTGACAGTGTTAAGCATTGTACAGTCAGTCTGATTCATTCTATCAATGATAATATATTACACAGCACCAGCCTGGAATTCGGACTTGGACAATTCTCATACGACTCATCCTACAAGAGATATCAACAAAGCTAATAGAAATTCTTCACACTAAAACAACAGAAAACGAAAGCCGCAAGCAAAAGTTAGACAACAACCAGCTAGAAGAAACTCAGTACTATCAGTAAAACATAACGGCTGCTTACTTGATAGGAAATGCAAAGAACAAGCGGTGGACGGTTTTTTAAAGCAGAATTCTTCTCATTAGCAACTCTTACGTCCATAAACAGAAACTGCAATTTCTCCCACTAGCTATAAGTTTACAACACCCATTATAGGAAGGAAAAAAACTAACTTTGTAACCCAAAAGAGAAAGGAGCATATTAATGAAACAAATTTGCTTAAGTTAATATAAATGAGAGACAACAAACAACAGCAATTCATTCTACAGAGTTACCAAGCACAAAGGAGCTTAATTCACGAACTGGCGTGAACTCCACAACTCCAATATCCATAGCATACCCATTAACAGGCAACTTCAAGTCTCTGAGAACACAGAATGCATCTGCCATTCTCGCCTTGGGAACGTCTTGAGCCACAGCACAGTAAGGAACCCAAGCATCAGGCCTGTACTCTTCCCCGATCTCGATTCCTTCCTTCCTCATTGCATCACAGAGCTGAGAATGAAACTGAAGCAAAGAGAGCGAAGGCGTGGGGGCTAGAAACAGGACATTGTTGTCTCTGGGGAGGGTGCCGATGGTGGAGAGAGACATAGGCAAAGGCTCTTGCCTTGCAGCAAAGCTCCTTATTACTGATTCCAGCTTCGTGGGGTCGATGTAAGGGTTGGAATACAGGGTTATATGAGGGCGAGACTCGATTTCGATGAGCTGCGTGCTGATTTGGCGGCGAGCTAGCACGTTCCAGGCTTTCAAGACCTGGTTTTCCAGCGCCGGGTCGAAGTAGAGCTCAATTGCATACCCCTGCTGTGACATTTGACTGCTGCTGCAGAGGCTGCCCGGAGAACTGAAATTCCGAAACAACCCAAGATCCTAACACTTGCCCGGATGATGAAAAGCGATGCTTCACTGATTTCCCCCTAAAATTGAAGGGAACCCTAATGGGAAAGGCGCGAGATTGGAAGAACCCAGCTGGGGGAAATTGGGTAAATCGAAGGGAAGTTAAGTTACCCGAAAGAGGAAGAGGAGGAAATAGGGAGGAGGAAATTGGGAAGGACCAGATTGTGAAAGATGAAGATGGAGAGCATGTGCAAAGGGATGGAGAGGCGGATTTTGGGGTTGCTATGCAAATAGAAAGTGACAAAAGAAGAGACAGATATGGCGAGCGAGAAAGGAAGGTGGGGGAGTAAAAAGAAGAGAGAGAGAGAGCAGCTGTTTGTGAAAGTGGACGAGGAACAGTGAGATAGAGAGAGAGAGTTTTGTGTTTGATTGCGTTGCTCTACCAGGGAAATGGCGAGAGCATCGATGGTGGGAAAGCGAAGAGCCAAGCCAGGGAAGGGGAAAGAAGAGTTCTTTCCATTACAGCTCTTCCCGGTCAATCTTACTCCACAAGCCCGTGGATCCACTCACAATGTTTTGAGTTCTGAATTCTCGATTTCTAGTTGACTCTGCTTTTATTTATGCTTTATATAAAGTCTGTAAACAACAATAGGAATTACCTAAACTTCGGAATAAGGATTTGGATGATGTAGTAGAATTTAGCTGGGTTCTATTTGGGGTAGTTTGGCGTAATTAGGGGTTGTTTGGAAGTGAGATTTTAAATTATGTATTTAGTCAATATATGTAATTAAGATCATTTGACGTTTTTTCTTCAAATGAAATAAAATATTTGTATTTGACAGAAGATGAGACCACCAAATTATTCATTATAGATGACCGTCAATCTCGGCTAAAAACAGAGATTGTCAATCTCTCAAATTCTTTTTATTTTTATTTTTGAGTGACCACCAAACTTTTTAAGGTTCAAACACTGTATTTTTCAAATTAATACATTTAAATAATACATCTAATTAGAATACATAAATTGATTAAATGCATAAGAGAATTCTAATTACTAAACGTGGGCTAAATTTTTGGGTTAAAGAAAGCTGTAACTTCTCCTTAATGTCATGCTTATGATTTATTAAATCTTACACGAAAATTCATTGTCATAATTTTATTTATCAAAATTACTTATTTAAATCGATATATCAATATATTTGCTCTAATGTCATGCTTACCCACGCATAATATACGCGATTGATTTTTGTTGTAAAGCACTTACATGATCTGGGATTGAATACCAATTTATGAATTGTGTTAGAATATGACTTGAATTTGATTTGGGTTTGTTTTGTGTTTTAGGCCTATTCTATTTGGGTTTGTGTTTGGGTTTTGTTTTGACCTTTTCCTTGTATGTTTGGGAAAAAGGTGTTTGGTTTTCTGTTTTGGATTAGGAGAAGAGTTCTATAAATACTCTTTATTACCCTAGTCTGTAGTAAGGTCAGTCAGGTTAGTTTGTTTGGTTTGTCCATTTAGAATTTGGTTTGTAACCTGTACTCTCCTCAAATTAGTGAAATTTGTCCCCCTTGCCCGTGGATTAGCTAGCACACATTGTGTTAGTGAACCACGTTAAATTTGTGTTCGTTCGTGTTGGTTTGGATTATCGATTGCACGCTTCTGTTCTGACAAGTGGTATCAGAGCCTGGTTGATCGGCTGGGCAATTGGCTAGGGATTTTGGTGACTGCTGCGGTATCAGGAGATAGTGTTCGATTTGGGTTGTCGGAAGAATCGCTTCTGGTGTTCTCCAATTTTGGTTTGCGGTGGGGAGAATTCTGTTTGTTGCCCTTGGTGGTGATTAGGGTTTTCGATCACCAAGGATGTTTGTTCTGGATTTGAAGATTGAGAAGTCAGTTTGGAGTTGCATGTTTGGAGTTAGCAGTAAATTTGATGTTGGTGTTATGGACAGAAATAACACCAAGCTGGTTCTGAATGGCAAGTCTCAATATGGATTGGACTTGCCGAATGGTTTGAGTTGTTGACGGCCCTTAGGGGCATCTGGAGGCAGGGGAGATTCTGGTACAGCTGATTTGGAGGAGTTTGGTATGTCTGGCAATCTTGATTGCATTTGAGTTTGGCGATTTGCATCGCGTTTGGTCTGGCGATATGAATCGCATTTGGATATGTCTGGCAATCTTGATTGCGTTTGAGTTTGGCGGTTTCGATCGCATTTGGATACGTCTGGCGATATGTATCGCGTCTGGGTACATCTGGCAACTTTGGTTGCGTTTGGTACATCTGGAAACTTTGGTTGCGTCTGGTACATTTGGTATTTGAGAGAGAATTCAAGTCAAGGTGGAGATTGTTAGAATATGACTTGAATTTGATTTGGGTTTGTTTTGTGTTTTAGGCCTATTCTGTTTGGGTTTGTGTTTGGGTTTTGTTTTGACCTTTTCCTTGTATGTTTGGGAAAAAGGTGTTTGTTTTTCTGTTTTGGATTAGGAGAAGAGTTCTATAAATACTCTTTATTACCCTAGTCTGTAGTAAGGTCAGTCAGGTTAGTTTGTTTGGTTTGTCCGTTTGGAATTTGGTTTGTAACCTGTACTCTCCTCAAATTAGTGAAATTTGTCCCCCCTGCATGTGGATTAGCTAGCACACATTGTGTTAGTGAACCACGTTAAATTTGTGTTCGTTCGTGTTGGTTTGGATTATCGATTGCACGCTTCTGTTCTGACAAATTGCATAAACGTTCTCAAACTAATTTTATGTGGTATCAATATATTTACTTGTTTTACACTACTCGGAATCAAGAAAGTTAATTCAGCTTCACATTTACTACACATTTCAATTCATCAAAAAATTTATTACACATGTGATTAATCAAAGTATAAAGATAAAGACTAGGGACGGGATACGGTGACAACCCCTAAGGGGGGTTGTCAGATTCACAACCAAGGGTATTTTGGGTATGAAAAAAAGGAATATATTAATTACCTTTTTTGTATTAATTATCTTGGGAATTAAAAACCCATATTAAATATAATTTTTTTTAATTAAATCCCTATACATTAATATCTCTATCTCTCTCTCTCTTCCTTTCTCCAGCGGCCACTCTGCATTGACGGACAAACTTTTTCTCCGGCGAATTCTCTCCGGCAGACTCCCTCCGACAATCTGAAAAATGTACCAGTGCGTTAAAAAGTGTACCAATCCATTAGTCTACTAGTAATTAATATACCTGTGCGTTAAAAAATGTACCAGTACTAGTGGTACGCTACCAGTGCGTTAAAAAATGTACCAGTACTAGTGGTACGCTACCAGTATAGCGCTACCACTACCATATTGTATCGTACCACTAGCACTGGTAGCGGTACCAGAAGAAATTGGTACCAGATGATAGTGGTAGGGGAGCCACTGGTACGTACCAGTGAGTAGTGGTAGCGTACCAATAGGAATTGGTACCACTAGCATTGGCGGTCTTCTCCTCGAGATTTTTTGCACCCCCGGCGGTGGTCTTGGCGTCGAGGAGGTTGTTGAAGCCGCCGGAGGCAGAGAGCTCGGTGTAGAGCGGCATGGAGCGCATGGTGTTGTCGAGGAGCTGCACACCCATGTTGAGGATCCCTTGCGGCCGACCAGAGGGGCGGCGGATCTGGAGCGGGACGATCTGGACGTCGATCAGGACGTTGCTGATGAGAACGCGGATGGAGCCGATCTGGACGTCGCGGAGCCATGCGGCGGCGTAGATCTCGATCATGATGGCGGGGACAGCAGGCGCGGCAGGGCGGTGAGGACAGCCGGCGCGGTGGAGGTCAGGGGTGGCGGTGGGCATGGGAGAGGAAGAGGGAGATGCGGCGGCGGCAACGTCCGCGGAAGAAAGGGAGGAAGGGAAGAAGGAGGTGGTGAACGGCTGTGAAGTTGGCCTGAGTTAGATTAGGGTTTTATTATTTTATATGGGAGAAAAAATGATTGGGTGTGATAAGTTTTTTTCATCCCAAAAACACCCTTCTTTTCATCTCAACCTTCAATTTAAAAATAACAGGAGAGAGACAAGAGAGATAATACATCTAATGGCTATAAAGTGGGTTGTCAAATCCACAACCCCTTAAGGGGTTGTCACCATAACTCGTCCTAAAGAATATGATTAATCACAATTCACAATCAATCTGAAAGAGACTCCACGCTTGCATTACAAATTTAATGACTTAATCATATATTTGTTTGAAAGCTATATTGGCTACATTATATGCATCTCATTTTGCCCACATTAGAGAACTGATAACTACTAGAGATAGAAAACAGAATCCATAGAGTCTCATAATTATTCACTTGTTTTGGGTGGATATTCAAATTTGTGTTTACAGTACAATGGAACCCGTACTTTTTTTTTTGGGACAAACAATGGAACCCGTACTTACATTTGGTATTTTCTTAAAAACTAAAAAGAAACTCACTGTAAAGTTTTCTTGGACTGAAAAAAGGTCTTATAGGAATATTATAATCCGTGCAGAATAATGGTCGAGATTCTTGTTAATTATCAGACACAATCCTCTATTTTCCACCAATCCAATCGCCAACAACAAGAACTAGAACAAGTCAACACTGCCAACATTGTTAATGTATGCTGGTCCAAATTACCCCAATCCGAAGAAGAAGAAAAAACAATTCCAAACATAACTCTTGACATTACAGCATTGATATAGTTTTATTCATCAAAGGACTACTTGAAATTAACATAAAACATTGACGGCATAATAATGAACTTTATTAGTCACACGATTCATGGAATCCGAAGATAGAGAGGAACGTGCTTTTCAGATTGCGGAGGCGCATCCCAGACACTGAATGCACTGGCGGAGTTCATCCATTTCTTGGTCATTTCAGGATAATGACGATCGATCACTTGTCGAAGAGACTCAGTCGTGTCCACCCATTCGAGACCCTTCTTTGTGTATGTTTCCTCGCCGTAGTGGCTCGTGAAGAACCTGTCAGCCTCCAACCTCCTCGTAGCCATGATCAGGAATATGAAGAATGCAGTCTCGCTTATGGCGAACCCTTTGATCTTTCTCTCTGCCATGAGCCCGACTAGAAGATCCAGTTCTTCGATTCGATCGCCATAAACATCAGTGAGCACTTGAATTGCTTCTTGGTCGTCCGTCAGATCTCCCCACTTCGATATAGGTATCATCAACATCTGTCTACGGAAGTCATTGTACCTCGCAACTTTTCGCTCCCTATCCCTAAAAACTAAAAAAAATTAAAGAATATGTGTTGGTAAAACTACACAAGTTTGTTAAATGTCCAAATTTAGTGATGGATTTGTTAATGCCTGAGTCATGTGATTAGCCCATATACTTACCTTCGAGAGCTGGCAGGTCCACAAGATCGGGCCTATCCCTGCCATCTGGATCTTGGGGCACTACCTCCCTAAGCCAATTTGGGTAGTTCCATAGCTCAAGAGCCCCACAGGCCTGGTGGCCCATGGACACCATTTGCTTAGTGAACCCAATTTCTGACAAAGCCTTGTCTCCCTTCGAGCCTATCAACTCCGACATGGGCAGCCTGCATATCCAAACAACAAACCACAAAAACATCATTACAAGAACCCCCTTATTATACAGATTTAGCTCAAGAAGATCACACGATGGAAGTTGAAACAGTACTTTTCAGCCACAGGAAGGGACTCTTTGGAAGCTGCTGATTCTTCTTCATCAGTACTTGATGAAATGTCGCTAATGAGGAATTCGTCAGGCAAGAGCGGGTGCAATCTGTAAACGCTGACGAACTCCTCGGTTAGCGAGTATGGAACTCCATGATTCTCCGACTTCTTCATGCCAACAATACCTCCAAGTATATCGTTTCCGATGTGGCCAAACGTGTCCTTGAACCATTTCCCCAGAAGTCCATACCAGTTTGTTCGCATCGCGGCTAACAGTGTATCCGTCTTCAAGAGTTCGACGGTCCAATCGATGGTGTGTATCTTGGCTATCACGGCAGAAGTCACCACTCGTGCTCGTCTGTATAGTTCTTCATCTCCCAAGTCAGGATATTCTTTCTACATGCCAACCAACATTTTTCAGAGAATATATGTCAAATTTACATGTACACAAAAGTTTAAAGTATTAGGATATAGAAAATAACGAGCATCTACAGACCTTGAGCATGTCACAGACAGCATTGTGCTCTTTGATGAAAAGGGCCTGCAGGGTTGTGGTACCAATCCAAGTACCACGAATGTCTCCTGATATGCCCAACCCTTGTTCATCATGCTGAAGAAGACCATCTTCACCTATCTTCAGCTTCCCATCTGTCAACTCCCTCACTTTCAGCGCCCTTTTCGCATCATTCCCATAGATCACACTTGCATCCCTGATGCTCATGATGATGATGATCAAATTTAATTAATAATTTCCCCGTTTCCATAACTTTATATATCGAAGAATCGTAATCAATGATGCATATGCATGTGGCTTAAACAATTGATACTAATGACCCTAATGATAGCAGTATTTAATCAATTACCACCAAGATGTGCGCCTATTGAGTGTGCCAGTGTTGATGTCTTTGGAGCCAGTTGGAAGTTCCTTAGTGGCATAGAACTTGAATGAACTGAGAGGGCACTGGCCTGCGATTTCTTTTGGTGCACTCAGTTCTATCTATATAAAAAAAAACCCACCAGAAAACAACTCATTTGTAACAAGTTAGCAATCAAAGAAAAAGTTGCAGTGGGTAATTAACTATAGCTAGCTAGCTGATATAAATAAAAGACCTGTTTGGTATCCTCGAGATGATCAACCCAGTCGTGGATCATGAACTGAATCCAAGAAGCTGCCACCATGTTGAACTGTTTCCCTGTGTCCTTGTATTTCTCACCAGATCTCCTTGCTAGCAGCTTCGTAGCCACTACGGCAGGATGTGGCGTTATCACCTTGAACATATATAATAAGTGAATCTCTCAAGTGTTTGGTCCAGTGGTATTATTATTGATTTAAACTCGGCATTTTACATGCAACCATACCTTGTCTTCAGCAGAGGGCATCATGTTTCTTCCAAAGAAAGTGTTCTGCCCGCCTGCAACTCCATTGAAGGGATCATTATACCTTCCGTCTTCCGTCCTGTGAGGATAATCGGCCGGGTCGAAACCGTCGCCGGGGAGCTGCCCACCGACGTTGAGCAAGTTGTGGACTTGGTGAAGGTGCCGACGAATCGCCAGGTAAGCCAGACCCAAAATCACCGGCAGCTTGTGCCACAGGTTCTTCTTGTCGACGGAGTGCACAATCTGCATGCAGAAAAAGAAGAGTGAGAATTACAATGATGGTTGATCGTCGGAAGGTTTGAACCTACAACAAATGACGATGATGATGTCGGTTTTGTGTGTGTTAAATTACCAAGAAGCAGAAAGCATCGAGGACTGACATCTTAGCAACGACTCCATGGAAATCCTGGTGGATGAATTTAGCGATCACGTCTTTGCACAACTTAGAAAGGACACACATGGTGTGTCTTGAACAATATACTACTACTGAGTACTGCTTGTGGATGTTATTATGAAATGGAAAGAGTCGATATTTATAGCTAAGATGTCAATTAATGTACTTTTTCTGGTCTAGCTAGCTAGAAGCTTTTGGTAATTTTACTCTACGGTTTAATTTACGCCATGACTCATGAGTGAAATGATTAACAACAACATCAAGTAGGTTGACTACATCATCGTGGCGGAATGAGCTCGGCCGGTGCATAACTTGAAGTTCATGCTCATAACACTTTCTCTTTCTTAACTCATTTTATATTTTAAACTAGATATTTTGCAAATAATAGAAAAAAAACATGAATTGTTACATATCCATTTTGACAAGTAATTTTTTTTACGATGGTTGTGAGACAGAACACAATTAATTGGTAACACTGTATTTTAGGATTGTCTTGCTGTGGTCGTAATCTGATAAATTCTTTTTTTTTTTTTCAAAGTATATGCACACGGATTTAATCTTGTAGAATTTTAAAATAAGTTCATCCCAATAATTCAAGTTATTGAGAGAGGTCTAATTATAGATCTAATATAATTTACTAATACACCTCTCAAACGAAAGTCAATTTATATGTGTTTGAAATTCACACATGTTCAAATTCCACGCGTGTTTAACAAATGGGAGATCGTCAGAATTCGAACACAAGACCTCACGATCGCCGAAGTCTCTGATACTATTTCAAGAACCATTTATTCCTAATTACTCAAATTATTTAAATCAATTGGTTTATAGTATGATATCCGAGTCTGGTTAGAATACATAGACCTATAGATTATGAGCCGAATTACCGTACTTCTTGATTTATGACAGAACACAAGTAATTTAACTTTTTTTTGGAACAAAATATAGCGAAGTGTGCATACTTTAGTTTACTTTGAGAGCATCAAACAACAATCATTTTTAATAATACTATATTTTTTACTTATTCAGTTAAAGGATTAGCTAGGGTGGGAATCAATCAACTATATATAAGCCACTCTTTTTTTCTTTTACTTTTACGTGAAGAATAAGTAAACAATCGTTTATTTTATTCTTGATTATTTTCTTTATAATTCATCAAAGTAACATAATTGTAGCTTTGCGTGTGAATCGATCACTCAAAAGATCGTTGTCGTTTGGTCAATGCATGATCGATCATGTAGGGGATAGAGTATGTGATAGTATTAATTAGGTCCATTGTCATGATAGAGCAAACACGAGTTTAGGTTTTGTTATAAAGACTTGCATGCATCCTAATTTTGTACGAATTTTTAGCATCGGACGCAACCCATGTTCCTGAGTTAATGAGGATGGTTCAGCTGCAGCTGTCTAAAAAATGACGTCAACAATGGCATCACAACTGATTTACGGCAGCCGACAGGTCTTGCCAACGAACAAAGCCAACAAAGTTAGGTACCAATCAGTTTGCTGAGTGTTCTATACAACAAGCTTATTATTCTTATCGTTAGTTAATTATTAGTTACCTTGTTAGGCTCTTTGTTATTAGCGTTACTTAGCTATATAAACTACGTTGTAAACAATTTGCCCTTTGTTGCGAGTTAAACATGCAACCTATAATTGTAATCTTTCATCCGATTTTTTCGTATGCAAGTTCTCAACAGTTAAGTTGATATTCAAATCCTCTCGTACATACGCTTTGATAGGGTATGAAGGTAAAGTATAATACTTGGAGAAGGTCTACAAGAAGAGTCCAAGAGAAGCCAAGACCTAGTAACTAAGGAAATAATACCCTAGCTAATGGCATAAAGAAGGAAAGAAGACGAGCAAAAAGACAAGGCTGGGAGACAAGAGACAAGGCCAGACACCTAACATCAGCAAGGACAAGGGGCAGGGGGACACGGCCTCTGTCAAAAAGGACCATGTACAGTGTCAGAAGGTCTGAGGCGCCCGACCACAGCATTTATGGTTTGGCAGGCGCCCAGACCACTACCTAACCCTCAAATGTGTATAAATAGGAGTTCTCTCCTCATAAATGGCAATCTATCTACTCTTACTCTAACTTCTCTCTACTTTCTCTCTCTATACACTTCTTCTCTTTTCTTGCTTCTGACGAGGCGGGGCGCCTACCCCCTCGAAGTCATGGCTGACATCCCAAACCCCTTGGACCCGAGTGACGCCCAGTCGCCCGGGCTCAAACACGCTTCATCCCTTGAAATGACATGTTGAATATCTTTTCTAGCCATACTACATAGAAACGTCTCATGCATGAATCATGTGGTTAAATGATTATAAATTAATTCACAATTTTAGTGTTTTTAGTAAATTTAATGGATCACGTTATGCTCTCCATTGCCTAGAATGATTTGTTGTGAAGAATCTTTCATAAGTATATAGAATCAATTCTCCCCATGCTTATAATGATTTCTAATGAGAGTGACAAGGGTTAAAGACATATTTGGTCACTGAGATTACAAAATCGGGACATGTTTAGTCACTAGAAAAAGTTAATATCAAATTTGGTCACTACAATTACTAAAACTAGACACATTTAGTCACTCGCCGTTAGTTGCCGTCCAACTCCGTTAAAAGAGTCCGTTATGTGCTGACGTGGCTAACGTGAGCGCCTAATCAGCGCCGTTTTGGGAAGGAAATGGTCAAACCCGACCCGCCACGTCATTAAACCCGCCACGTATTAAACCCAACCCAATCCATTAACCCAACCCGACCTAGAAATAAACCCTAACCCACCTAACCATACCAGATCCCACTTAAAAAAAAAGAAAACTGATTGGTTTCCATTTCAGACCCAAAAACCCTTCTCCTTCCTCGAGAGCTCTTCCCCTTCGTGTGCCTCACTGCCCTCCCGGAGGACATCCTCCGCCACATCCTGATCGCCGCCAATCTGGACCTAAAAACCACCGCCCAGACCTTCGTTCTGTCCCGCCGCTGGCGCCACCTCTGGCGATCCGCCCTCCGCGAAATCCGCCTCGTTCCTGCGCCGCCGCGACGCCACCGTGAGAAACCGCTGCTATTTCCGGGATGAGCAGAAGCTGCTATTTCGAGCCAAGGTCCCGCTGAGCATTCTGGGCTTACTTTTTCAGTCTGGGATCATCGCCCGCAAGGCCAAGGAGCTCTCTCTCAACCAGTCGACATTCTTCGATTCCGGCCCGTCCTTCAAGGTCCCCTACCGCCCAATGATTCCTGGAATCCGTTCTCACTCGTGCTCAAGGCAGGGTCGGGGTCGTTCGGCTCACCGACGTCAAGCCCGATGGTGATGAGTAGAAGTCACGGCCAACACGAATCTCCCCATGAGGAGTCACGCCGTGATGAGTTTTCGGTGGGGGCTTAGGGTTCCATCAGATAACAAATTGGGGGGGCGGAGTAGCTAGAGACCTCGATTCGATGGTTGTCGCAATTAATTTCAAGAGGATCTCGTTCCTGGTGATGAACAAGATCGGGATTGAACACGTCAACCAATCTTATTCGATTGGGGCTTAGGGTTTTGTTGTATGCTGCGATGGGGGAAAATGACGTCGGCGCGTGACGAAGAAGAAGAAGAACAGAGCGACTTCGAAGGAGGATATTAGGGTTTCGTTGTCTACTGTGATGGGGAAAAGCAACTTCAAAGCAGGAAGGTATAGAGATCGCGAGGAAGAAGAAAGAGTTCCGGGTCTGAAAATGGCCCCTAACCCGATCTATTTTGCAAATTTGTTAAGTCAAGTGGGCTCGGGTTTGGTTTTGGTCAATTGGGTTCATAGTTAGGTTGGGTGTATGACGTGGCGGGTTTAGTGACGTGGCGGGTCGGGTTTGACCATTTCCTGCCCAAAACGGCGCTGACTAGGCGCTCACGTTAGCCACGTCAGCACATAACAGACTCTTTTAATGGAGTTGGACGGCAACTAACGGCGAGTGACTAAATGTGTCCAGTTTTAGTAATTGTAGTTAGGGGTGGGCAACGGGACGGGACAGGATTCCCGTCCCGTTTTAAACGGGTACCCATACCCATTTGGAGGCTAAAGTCCATCCCATATCCCAAACCCATATGGGAAACGGGTACCCATTATTCGTACGGGACGGATAACGGGTACCCATACTATCCATAAATACCCAAAGTTTAAACCACTCAAATTTTAACAAAAGTTTAAACTTAACTTGTACTTGCTTAACAATCACAAGACACAAATCATGAACAATCACAACGCATAGAAAAAATCATTCTAAGCACCAAATTATCAAATAAGAAGTTTCATTCAACACAAATCATGAACAATCACAATGCATAGAAATAAATTATTCTAAGCACCAAATTATCAAATAAGAAGTTTCATTTAACAAAAGGGAGTCTAAAAGTATTATGTTCACATAGCGTTCTTTGTTTCTTTACTAAGAAAAGTTTCATCTTTGTGGCGAAGTGGACATTCCCTTTCTATGGATTAGAGTTCGCAAATGGGTAAAACGGGTACCCACATTACCCAAACGGGTATTTGCGGGTAACCCGCGGGTACCCATATTAGGAATGTACAATCCCAAGTCCCATCCGTTCATAATATTACGGGTAATATGGGTACCCGTAATCCTTAAAAAACAGGACGGGTACGGGTATACCCAAATACCCGTTTCCCGTTGCCCACCCCTAATTGTAGTGACCAAATTTGATATTAACTTTTTCTAGTGACTAAACATGTCCTGATTTTGTAATCTCAGTGACCAAATATGTCTTTAACCCAGAGTGACAACCATCAAATTAAAGAAAGAATGAGGGAATAAAAAGATAGTTGTAACAATGATTTCTATCTTATCACTGTTATAACACTCTATCTTAACATAGTTGTAAGTTGTAACAATGTCTTACGACCATGAACCATCATAACACTATATCTTAGACAACCATCTTTATCCTATACTTTATGACAATTGTACCATTATCTTACGACCATAGTAAAACAGTCTTGCAATGTTCGTAAATTGGATATCAAAATGGACATGGCGGTCATGCAACATGGAGTTGGGGTGCATAACTTGGGTAAAAAAAGGTTTAATACACTTGTATATCCAAAACTTTCACGGTTGTGCCAATAATATCCAAATTTCCCGGAATACCACTTATATCCATATTTTAAAGTTGTTTTGTGCCAAATCTATCCATTTCCCAATATATTTTTGGTTAAATACACTTGTATATCCAAAAACACCGTTAAAGAATGTGAAGGAATTGGATATAAGTGGTATTCCGGGAAATTTGGATATTATTGGCACAACCGTGAAAGTTTTGGATATACAAGTGTATTTAACCAAAGAATTATGAAGAACTTTTCAACAAACAAACAAATAAAAATTGAAGAATCAAAAACATCATTTCAAAGGTGCCCTGATATAAGGTGTTATGAGGAAAGTTTACTTGTCTCAAGAAAGTAGGTGCAATATTGTATGAATCACATAAATAGAGCACATGTTGATTGTATTTTTATCCCTTAAAAAAATGGTTGAGTCATGAGTTGTATTTCTATCTTTAGGATAAACGTGAGGCACGATTCAGATTCTATCAGAACATTTTATCCCTTTATTTGTCAACGATAAAGCCATGGAAGCTATTAATACGGCATATTACAAATTATAGACACTCTCCACATATCTTAAAGTCCGGGAAGATAGCAATTTTTTTTTTGAACATTAGATCTCTCACAATATAGAAACCTTAAAAGAATTTTCAAGTGTTGATCCACGTTAAATATGTTCGATTATAATAGCTCAAAGATTCTTATTATTTATCTCACATTCTCTGTTTTCTCCCAATCATCTCATCTACAAAATTACAACAAAGTACAGGGACAAGTGAAACACCAGCAGTCTACCAGTATAACATTGTTCCTACTGGTCCAAATTACCCCAATCAAAGAATTCCAAACATCGTATCGCACACAACATTTTTGCTAGCTTTTATTTATGAAACAACAGGAAACCAGTAATAACAGCTAGAGATGTCACATAAATCCTGGAATCCGGAGATAGAGAGGAATCCAACTTTGGGGCTGTGGAGGCGCATCCCAGACAGTAAATGCACTAGTAGAGTTCATCCATTTCTTGGTCATTCCAGGACAGTGACGATTGATCACATCTCGAAGAGACTCCGTTGTGTTCACCCATGCAAGCCCTTTCTTTGTGTAAGTTTCCTCGTTGAAGTAGCTCGTGAAGAACCTGTCGGCCTCCAGCCTCCTCGAAGCCATGAGAATGAATATGAAGAATGCAGTCTCACTTATGGCAAATCCTTTGATTTTTTTCTCTGCCATGAGGCCGACTAGAAGATCTAGTTCCTCAATTCGATCGCCATATACCTCAATGAGCACTCGAATGGCTTCCTTGTCGTCCGTTAGGTCTTCCCATTCCGATATAGGTATCATCAACATGCGTCTGCGGAACTCATTGTACCTCGGAACTTTCCTCTCCCTGTCTCTATATACTGTACAAAGAACATAATATGAAGATATGTTAGCAAGCAGACACATGCTAGATGATATGATGGAGAACTGTGATTTTTTAGTAAGGATAATTAATTATCTTACCTTCAAGGGCTGGCAGGTCCACATGATCAGGCCTATCTCTGCCACTGGGATCCTCGGGTGTCCAGTTCCTAAGCCAATTTGGGTAGTTCCATAGCTCAAGAGCCCCACAGGCTTGATGGCCCATGGAGACCATTTGCCTAGTGAACCCTATTTCTGATAAAACCTTCTCTCCATTTGCCCCTATCAACTCTTGAAGCGGAAACCTGCCCAAGAAAAAGGCACAAAACATCAAATACATCACAAGAAGCCATTGTATAATTTGATGTGATCAGGGAGAGATAAAGGAGAACGATACTTTTTGGCTACAGGTGGAGATTCGTTTGGAGCTGGTTCAGTTGAAATGTCCCTAACAAGGAATTCGTCAGGTAAAAGTGAGTGCAGTCGGTATACACTGACGAAATCCTCTGTTAAGGAATATGGAACTCCATGATTTTCTGGCTTCTTCAAACCAACAAGACCTCCCAGTTGAGCATCTCCAATGTGGCCAAATGTGTCCTTGAACCATTTCCCCAGGAATCCATACCAATTTGTTCGCATTGCAGCGAGTAATGTATCAGTTTTCAGGAGCTCGACAGTCCAATCAATGGTGTGAACCTTGGCAATCACAGCAGCTGTCACCAATCTTGCCCGCCTGTATAGTTCTTCATCTCCCATCTCTGGATATTCTTTCTGAAAACCAACATTTTTCAGAGATGGTGTTTCAGTATCAGAGACACAAGTTTTATTAGAGAGTTCTGCTGTTTCAACATATCACCTTGATCATGTCACAGACAGCATTGTGCTCTCTGACGAAGAGAGCATGCAGGGTAGACGTGCCAATCCAGGCACTACGAACGTCTCCTGATAAAGCCACCCCATCTTCATCATGGGGTAGAAGACCATTTTCAGCTATCTTCAGCTTCCCATCTTTCAACTCTCTCACTTTCTGCAACCTTGTTGCATTTTGTCCATAAATAGCACTTCCATCCCTTCACCCAGAATGTAACAGCACCTCTATGATGAGCTTTACTTGGCCGAATTGAAACACAAACGAAAAACAGGAGTTGAATCAGAGAACTATTAGTATTTACCACCAGGATGTACGTGTGTTCAGGGTACCAGTGTTGATGTCTGAAGAACCAGTTGGAACTTCCTTGGTCATGTAGAACTTGAAAGAACTCAGGGGGCACTGGCTGGCAATCTCTTTTGGTGCTATAAGCTCTATCTAAATAAAAGAAGAAGGTAGAATTCATGAGAACCAGAATAAGTTAATAGATTGGAAGTACTCCATTATCAGAAAGAAGTAACATAAGTTCATTTGACATAGAAATTACAAAGCTTTCCATCCCTATTCTTTTTAATATGATTTTAAAGTAGTCTGGACTCTGGACTATACAATATATTTAAAATTTATTTCAGTAATTATAAAATTCTATTTAGCCTCTAAAGTTCTAAATCTCGAATATTTCAGTCATTGTCACCAGAGTAATTGAACCAAAAAAATCATTAGAAATCTGAAAACCAAATTATTCAATCATCCAAAATCGAAACCGAGAAACAAAAAAAGAACATTTGATTGCATTAAGAATTGCAATTTTATTGATTTACTAATGTTTTTCGGTTTCAACAGAAACAGAAACCATTAGGCGCTTATTGCTTTTTACCATTAAAGGGAACCGATAAGCCTGTAAAACTGTTTGGGTTAAAACTGAACCGACCCTTACACTGGAACCATCTAAAAAATGGTGGACCATTTGTTCAATCAACATCATTTACATATGCCAATAATATCCTCCAACCTAACAAACAATAAAAAGTCGTTCATAACTTTTATTGTAAAACACATTTCGACTTTTATTACTAGTTTCAGTTGTAGCCAATTTGTTCAATTGACCTTTTACTAATTGAATTGAATGGTAGCCAATTAATTTGACACTTACAATGATCATTTCACGCCGCAAGATAAGTAGCTGATCGGATTAGGTGCCTAAGCACCAAGTAGATCCAAAACTTAAGCTTAGTTTGATGAAGATCCAAGGGCAACAGTTAGAAAACAATATTCATTCAACCGTTTCTAGTCTCAAGTAATCCACGCCAATAAACACGGTCACACAACACAAGGAATTAGCAAAATGGTGAAAATATTCTTTTGGCTAATTTTCTGTATTTAGGGGCTTCGAACTAATTTTCTATAGTTTGATTGGGATTATAGGTGAGCAGCTTTCAGAGAATCTATGCCAAAATTCACCAACTCGCAACTCCACTGATCATTGGACAGGAAATAGCCTTCTTCTATCCCACCAGTTAAGAAGGAAAAACGTAATAGATAAGATCAAATGGATCACTGGTTGACTCTGTCGCCATATATCAGACAACACATAAATCTTACCAACATTCACATTCTCTATATTCTAACACTGGAAACGCGATAAAAATGGTATCTAAAACAACAAGATTTAGTAAGATATATCTACATATATACCTGCTTGGTATCCTCCAAATGATCAATCCAGTCGTGAATCATGAACTGAATCCAAGAAGCTGCAACCATGTTGAACTGCTTTCCTGTATCCTTGTACTCTCTCCTTGCCAGTAGTTTTGCAGCCACAACAGCAGGATGTGGTGTTATCAACTACAGCAACAAAATAGAAAACTTTGATCAGAAAATGGTAAAAACAAAGCCAGCCTGCTAAATCTACACTACACTTTTTTCTGTCATGCATGCAAAGATGATATATGGACGTTACCTGAGTTTCTTTGTCTAAGGTTACTGTACCTTATCTTTCTGATCAACAGGCATGACGTTCCTGCCAAAGAAAGTGTTTTCACTGCCTGCAACCTCATTGGAGGGATCATTATACCTTCCATCTGCTGTCCTGTAAGGATAGTCAGCCGGGTTAAAGCCTTCACCGATCTGGTGACCAACACTGAGCAAACTATAGACGTTGTGAAGGTGTCTACGAATTCCCAGATAACCGAGACCCAAAATCACAGGCAGCCTGTGCCATAGACGCTTCTTGTCGATGGAATGTACAATCTGCAGAGACACAGTCAAAACAAAAAATGGGTTTATCTCCATTAATGAGCAAAAGACGACTATTATTAGCATGGACATATAGGAATAGGATATCAACCATGGAAGGACATTTTTTCTTCTTTTACCCAGAAAAGGAAAGCATCAAGCACTGTCATCTTAGCCACAGCCCCATGAAAATCCTCTTCGATAAACTTAGTGATCAAGGTTTTGCAAAACCTAGTAAATACAGAGGACATGGTTTATCTGTTCAGTGGCAATTCGGTGTAGAACAGTAGGTCAAGTAGATGCCCATCAAATGGATGATGCAAGAATCAATTTATAGCAGATAAACAATGAGATAAGCACTCCAAATAGATTAAGTTTTCTTGTCAACTGAACCAAATGGATGTCATAGTTTAAACAGTGCAAGCATCAATTTGTACAAACAAAGAGAGAAGCACCCACCTTACCTTAGTGTCAATTTTCTTGTCAAGTGAACCAGATTGTATAAAAGGAAAGAAAAGGTGCAAAAGTCAACATGTAGAGAAACACGAGGGAAGCACCCCAATTAAATATGGTCACAGCAACGCTTAGGTGGTGAGCTCAGTTAACAGCTGCAGTTTACCTTTGGGTCAATGGGATGACGGGGAGGGATGTAAAATTGAGAACATAAAAACGAGTAAAAACCAGAGTGGTGTCTCAAGCATGCGAGTAATACCTGCTGATACTAAACCGAAGATTCACCTGGGTAATTAAAGGAACAGTTAACCATACTATGTCAGAGAGCATTGCATGGTGAGAAGAAATGCAGTGAATAGTGAGACTGAGCTGTTAGGACGACATGGAAACATTCACCAAATCATGGATACGAATCTGTGATTAATTGGGATAATTTTCAGTTTTTCACCAGGTTCATCTGTCTTATTCTACACGTTGGACACCAAACAATCATCAAACGATAAAATATTTATAAGACGTGGCTGATGTAGCTAATTACATCCAACTAGAAGGATCCCCAATTCCCCATTGACAAAGGAGGCAAAGATACAATAGTTGATAATCAGTTCGCAATTAGGTCCGGAGGATCACGACCCATGACCCATGAATCACACGGGGTATTATTATTATATTAAACAAAAATCCTTACCGTTCACGTACAAAGAAACCTTTCCCCGAAAGCAACTGAAGTCCGAATTTTCGAAACTCCAATTTCATTTAGACATTTTCGCGAACACCTACCATGCAGTTTGGGAAAACATGACAGACCCCAATGTGGCAATGTCAGGTTCCTACGCTCACATTATCAGATAACTAAGAACTAAAATGAAAGAAACGGTTTGCAGCTTTCTTCCAGCAACGAAACAGGGCACTCATTCATGTAGAGACAGAGTAGAGATCGTACCTGTGTAAATGCTAAGCCATAAGGTAGCTTGGTGGCGACAGATTTTATAGAAAATCCCCATTTATATCTTCCATAATCGGGCCTTCAATACCTCACCATGAAGCTTGGTAAGAATGAACGCTACCGGTTGACGGCGGGGTCCTGAGAGACGGACGGTGTCCCGTCCGGCAAAATGTGTTCCATCCTAGACGCGCCGTCGAGTCTGGCATCCGCGCTCGATATTCCAATTTACAACGATAAAAAAATGGACGACGGGCTTAATGTCCTTAAGGGCAGGCTCAAGGCCAAGGGGAAGAAAGCTGAAAAGAGACAGTAGGCTTAATGCCCTTTTAGGCGAAGGCCCATTAACAGGCCCAGACTTATAAAGCCCAAATGTTCCTACATCTTCGGCGCCTTCGCATCCTCCATTCTCTGTCGCGCTTCCCTTCCGACCCAGGATCGGCCATTAGTAAAGCCCTAGCTAGCTACCGACTCGGAGGTCGCCGGCGACATGACGAGAACCAGGAAGCGAGCACGAAGGGACGATTCCGAACCAACCAACGCCGGCGACGCGTCTCCAGAAGATTCCGCTCCTCAACCCTCCACTGCTATTCACGCTGATGAATCTCCTCCCGCCGCCGCCAACGGCGATGCATCTCCTCGCCGTGGCAGGGGGAGGCCTAAAAAGTCCGCGAAACGCAAGGATAGGGCGGCGGAACCTATGTCTCCTGAGTCGGAAAGGCGGCTGACGCGGCAGCAGCAGGCCGCCGAGCAGAATGGACACGTGAACAGCTCCATTGGCCCTGGCCCGGAGTGGGAGACAGTGGTTCGAGTGGTTCCGGCCATGGATGCTGTCGTGAAGGTGTTCTGCGTTCATACAGATCCGAATTTCTCACTGCCGTGGCAGCGGAAACGGCAGTATAGTTCAAGCAGCAGTGGGTTTATCATTGGTGGAAGGAGGGTGCTGACAAATGCGCACTCCGTGGAGCATCACACCCAGGTGAAGCTCAAGAAGAGGGGTTCTGATACTAAGTACTTGGCTACTGTTTTGGCCATTGGAACCGAATGTGATATTGGTATGTGTTAGAAGTTCTTTGCTTTTTAATTTCTATTTCTAGCTGTGATGTCTCAGCTTTGTGTTGCAACTTACACACATCAAGCTATCATCGATGAGCTTGATTGTCTGAGCTGTACAATTAAGTTTGACTCCGAGCAAGCCATTACAGAAGTTCTGTTTGGGTTGATATCTGTGTCATTTGTTATTTGCTTGTTAATGGTGATGCATAGAATTTGATTTTCTTCTTTTATGGAGGAAGTGGTTGGAATTATATAATAATAATTATGTTTCTATCGTTTATCGATCTTGCAGCATTGTTGACTGTCAATGATGATGAGTTTTGGGAGGGTGTTACACCTGTCGAGTTTGGAGATTTGCCTGCACTTCAAGATGCTGTGACTGTTGTAGGCTACCCCATCGGGGGTGATACAATCTCTGTGACAAGTGGTGTTGTTTCCCGTATAGAGGTGCTGTCTTACGTCCATGCGACTACCGAGCTTCTAGGACTGCAGGTTCTTATCTCTGCCTTTGTGATGTCATTATTCTGTTTTTGTTATTGTCTTTCAAAAAATAGTCACTAACTGTTTGAATGTAATCAATCATAGATAGATGCAGCTATAAACTCTGGAAACTCTGGCGGGCCTGCATTCAACGACAAGGGAAAGTGCGTTGGCATTGCATTTCAGTCTTTGAAACATGATGATGCTGAAAATATTGGCTATGTCATACCGACACCAGTTATCAAGCATTTTATTGGTGATTATGAGAAGAATGGGGTTTATACAGGTACCTGTCCCTCTTTCTGGAGCATTATTCTGAACCAACTTGATGAAATTATAGAATGAAACGTGCTAGCATAGTGAAAATATAGCTTGGATTAGTTTCCGATGGTTTCTGCTGATGTTTGTTTCTCTTTCACCTCTACTTATCTTGACAGGATTCCCTGTTCTTGGGATTGAGTGGCAGAAGATGGAAAATCCTGATTTGAGGGTAGCAATGGGAATGGCATCTGATCAGAAGGGTGTCCGTGTTAGAAGAATTGAGCCAACTGCTCCAGAATCTGAAGTCTTAAAGTCATCTGATATTCTCCTTAGCTTCGATGGGGTAAAGATAGCAAATGACGGAACAAGTAATAATCTTAGATTTCTAAACTCATGTCAGGATCATTTCTGAAAACAATCTTTTTCTTTCTCTTGCTATATAGTGTATTGTGATCTGAAATAAGTATGTGCTCAAAGGCTGCTTCTCAGGGTTGTAACATTACTTCAGTTAAGCGAGCTGTCATGTCTTACATGGAATGTATAGGATTATTTTCCATCTTTTGTTGCTTGCTTACCATTGCTTTGGTAATTGGCAGTTCCTTTCAGAGATGGAGAACGCATAGGATTCAGTTACCTAGTTTCTCAAAAATACACTGGCGACAAGGCTTTGGTGAAAGTTTTGCGTGATTCTAAAGTACTTGAGTTCAAGATCAAACTTCAACCACACAAGAGGCTCATTCCAGCACACATTAATGGAAAACCTCCTTCCTATTACATTGTTGCTGGATTTGTTTTTTCTGCTGTATCAGTTCCATATTTGCGCTCAGAGGTAAATTGCAATTTTAAGCATATTGACTTGGCTATCTTAATGGAAACACTGTTGTAATCAACATAATGATTAGTTTCTTGATTAGTGTGGTAAATGGTTTGTGTCTCTTAAAATTTGGAAGCTTCAACCCTTGTTGATACCTGACTTCAATTTCTGCACTGTACTCTAGTATGGAAAGGACTATGAATATGAAGCTCCAGTGAAGCTATTGGACCGGCATATGCATGCGATGGCTGAATCTCCAGATGAACAGCTAGTTGTTATCTCACAGGTATAGTCTCTGCCATCTTCCTGAAAGTGCAATTAGTCATTTTCTCAGGTCTCACTAGAGATATGTATGCTTGTGAAATTGGTACTAGGTACTTGTTGCTGACATCAACATTGGATACGAGGATATTGTCAACACCCAGGTACCATTGTTTAAAAATTATTCTCGGTATTTCTCTAGCAAGCTTTGAAATGAACTTTAGTAAGCTTATTGTTTTGTTGGTTGTAATAGGTTATTACGTTTAATGGGAAACCTGTGAAGAACCTGAAGAGCTTGGCGAACATGGTGGAAAGCTGCAAGGATGAGTATTTGAAGTTTGAGTTAGAATACCAACAGGTGGTCGTTTGCTCTCTCTCTCTCTCTCCATCCATCCATCCATCCATCCATCCATCCATCCATCCATCCATCCATCCATCCATCCATCCAACCATCCATCCATCTATAACAAAACCCCGATAACTTGTTATTGATTCGTTGACCTGTTTTGCCAGGTAGTGGTTGTAAAAACAGAGACCGCGAAGGCTGCAACATTAGATATCCTTGCAATGCATTGCATACCTTCGGCAATGTCTGATGATCTGAAGCCGTGAAAGAGAAAAGCTGTGAAATTTGGCTTGTCATGGTAAACAATGATGTTGGTATGTACCATTCATCCCCTCCCTTTTCTTTTGCCTAGGAAGCTGGGATAGCTAGTTTGGGGCCTAGGTGGTGTTACTTGTTTCTGAAGCCACACTATCTTCTTAGAATGCAGATGAGATACATGACTGATTGAGATAGTATCTTATGTTGTTCACATCTCTACAGAGGAAAATAGAATTGGATTTTAACAGTGAGTTATCATGTTAAATGATTTTTTTTTACTTTTAAACTCTTTGTTGTGGGAAGCTGCTTCCAACTTTCTGTCAGCTACTTTTTGAGCTTTAGGATCAAGTTTGCGCCAGCTTGTTGAGCTTATGGGCTAGCAAATGGATCGTTGGATTGTTGATTGTGGGGTTGTAATATTTTAGAACTTATCAATTGTAATTTACATGGAAGATTCTACATCGTAGCATCGTGCTCGTAGGATCAATGCAGATGGGGGAAAATGTTGAAACTCAGGCAAACTTTAGTCCGCCATAAACTGCCCCTGTTCCTAGGTAGCTTACAGTAATGGAACCTTATCTGCATTGCTGCTGCTACTATGGTCATCGGCATTCTGCTCTGTTTTTGCGGTGCCGTCATGGTTTTGGTCTTTCACCTTTCCCCACATGAACATGTAGAAGCCGATGGATATGGCTGTCCCTCCGAGGAGACTGGCAAAGTAGGAGAGTACAATCATCCAAATTGAAAAGTTGTATTCATCAATAAGATTGACCAAAGGAAGATCTTAGTTTGAATAGGTATATACTAGGTTGGTAAGTTACCTTCCAAGATGCAGAGTATCACCTAGCAGCATTACGCCCATGGCGACAGCGATCACCATTCCAAACGGAAGGAACATGTTAGCAAAAACGGGTCCCTTTATCGGCAGCACCCATGCTTCAGCGGCATTGTTCAAGCACGATCCAAACACCCCCTGTTATTTTTAGTACAATTACTCAAACCATAATCGACCGAAGAATAGAATCTATGATCCTCCATTGATATCATTCCTTCATTTGAGTACATAGGTTTCCCATTCAAATGGTTTGATGTATTTTCCCGCGGCACTTACTGTGCAAATGATTGAGGCTAGTGCGGTGTTTGAGCTCATTATCCAAGCACTCGAGGATGTTCCTTCAGCAAACAGAGCAACAACTACACTTATAATGCTTACAAATGTGTTGTAGATGAAGATTACTGTGAGCTCTGAAGGGTAGTCGCTCATTATCTGTGTCTGCCAACAATGAACAGATCCCCCAACCCCACAAAAAAAAATTGTAAATTGATTTGTAACTGGGGTATCATAGCATTGTCGGAGTTCATGAATATGAAGTTATGAACACTCTATATTCATACCATGAGAATCGTCCACAAAGTACCCAATGCATAATGCAGAGTGATCAAACTGCCACCAAGAACCCAGTTTTGTGCTGCTGTGGAATGAACAAGAGAATGGCCGAGTCGAGATGATGATGCCGACGGGGTGATACAGATCGGCGGACCTTGGTAAAATGTTATGACGAATGCGCCTGCTATTGACACAGTTGTGCCCAATATTTTGGCCTGGCTGGATCTTCTTCCCATTACAACTGTCTCCATCCTTTTTTCCCCAAAGGAAACAAGTTACAAAGGAGCCAGAGATGCCTTTTTGATGAATGGAGGGCTTGGAGAGTTTAGTTTTACCCAAACATGACGGCAACTATGAATGTAAAAGCTGGACAGAGGTTGCCAATGGCGGACGACAGGGTTGGAGAACTGTAATAAAGGCCCGTGAAGCCTGTCAGCCGGGACGAGCTTCTGCATACGATAAACATGTCTGCACGTTATAACGTGGGTTACTGGGATGAATGATCGAAATGTGTGATGAAGTATCTCAATTTTCCCAGAAGAAAGTTACCCTGCGAGTGCCAGAAGGCCGATTCTGCACAAGATTGGTATGGTCAGGCGAGGAACGTCAACAGCTCTTGGTGATGAACTGCGAATCGAAATGATGCATCCAAACAAACCCAAAAGATTATGTTACTCAAACTTGTGGGGGGAACTTGCAGAATTTCCAGAAGTGAAGAAATTAGATGAAGAAAACCTGTGGGAAAAGAGAGTAGGAAGGAGAAGGAGAAGAGAGGCGATTCCATAGCTATAGGCGACAGAGACGTAAGGGCTCATGCCCTCCATTGTTGCGGCTTTGAAGAGTGTGTTTATCCCAACTGTGGAGAATTGCATACCCACCATCACTGAATATGTTAGCACTTCCCTTTGGAAGTGATGGCTTCCTCTCATTTTAAGTTGTTACTTACCACAACAAGAACTGGAAGTTTATGGGATTCTGTTGTTGCTGAAGTCTTTTATTATCATTGCTTTTTTTTATTTGCTAATGGTGATATAAATAATATTGGATAAATGTCACATTTGGTCATTGACATTATTAAATTATGCTATGTTTAGTCACTAGAAATAATTAAAATCAATTTTGGTCACTCCAATTACTGAAACATGTCATATTTAGCCACTTTTCCGTTAGTTTCTTTCCAACTCCATCAACGGAGTTGGACGGAGGCTAACGGAGAGTGACTAAATATGACATGTTTCAGTAATTCGAGTGACTTTCATAAAAAAAAGTAATTCAAGTGACCAGAGTTGGGACGGCGACTAACGGGAGAGTGACTAAATATGATCTATTTTAGTAATTTGAGTGACCCAAATTGATATTAGTTTTTTCTAGTGACTAAATATAACTACGATTTAGTAAACACACTATCACAGTGACCAAATGCGACATTTACCCAAATAATATTATTAGAAGGGAAACAAAAGTAAAGAACCAGACAAACAAAAACAGGACCAGCACCAAGAAAGAAGGAAACCGGTCCCCAAACATCAACATCCAAAGAAAGAAGGAAACTAGTCTTGTCGGTAAGGAAAGGCCACAAAATTCTTACCAAAAAAAAAAAAAAAAGCCACAAAATGTCACACAAGAGAAAATTGCAGGTCATGAGCCAAAAATTAGAGGCAAGTGCCAAGGTTGTCAGCGGGTCGACCCGCGGGTTGACGCATTTTGACCTTGACCCGGTGAGAAAAACGGGCCGCATGCACCCGTCGGGTTGACCGCCACAAGGTACCGGGTTGGAGGTCAAATTGTGTCATTTTTTTATTTGTTTTACGAAATGCGCCTATTTTCCGATTTTTTTCCGCCTAATTCAATCTTTGGAATCCTAAGCTGAACATTTGAATATTAATGTTATATAAGTGCGTGTGAATTTTCACTATATGTTGAATCTAAGTACGAAATGTTATTTTGGTGTAATATTATATGTTATAACTCATATGTTAGATGAGATTTGATATAATTTATCAAGATAAGTACAATATAATGACGCTTTCCATATTTCCGGGCTAAACCGAGCTAAAACGGGGGACCCATTAACCCTTGACCCACTAACTCAACCGGGTCCGGGTCAACCCACGGGTTGACAACCAAGTGCCCCATCCCAAACACAGAAGGCAAGGGATAAAATCTTCTGCAACTACTAATTGAGGCATTTTATTATTATTTATGATGATTCACATTGTTCTTCTTTGCTTGATTTTTCGGATCAAATCTTTCATGCGTATACGTCTGCACTAATTGGACGCCATTGGATGCTTAATTGTTAATGGAGTAGTTTAGCTATCTGAGGAGGACTTTTTGTTTTGGGCTTTGTTAAGTAAGTAGTCATACTCATATTGTAGAAACGTTTAAAACTTCAGATGTTATTAGCGGTAATCATTTCAACATAATAACAACATGGGAGAAGATAGGCGGCTAAATTTATAAGAATTAGTACCAATGCTAACTAGCATCTAATTTAATTGCTCATATTTTAGATAAAATGGTTACAATTATAGAAACACAAGATATGCTCATTTGCTTGCGCTTCGTGGCGAGTGGAGGATAGCACTGTAATTGAATCGTATGAAACAATTGATAAAATATAACTCATACGATATAATTCAAAAAAATGGCAAGAAAAATCAATAAAATGTTGTGGGAGAGAATTTGTAGTAATATGCTCGCTGGCTAACAAAGTTATAATTAAAGGGTGATATTTGAAACTTAACAACTGTTAGTTAGAGAATTTACAAAGTTTCTGCATTTGAAATGAAAAAATAAGAAAGAGGGAAAAAGGAATAATTTAACATTTGGTTTTGTTAGTTCCAACAACAAAACACGTTTAAAGAATGGGAACTCATGTTAGAAGATTTCTCCATGCTTTTGCTATTTGAGCTCGAGCAAGAAAGATGACTGAAGATGTAAAATTAAATAGGCTAATACGAATAAATAGATCCATTTCATCACCATAACAAATAAAAAATAATATTAGGGGATAGAAAATAGGAATAAAAAAAAAAGATTTTAGGAATAAAGATAGAAAATTATGAATAGATGAAAAAAGTAGAAATAAATAATAAATAATTGAAAAAGGGAAAACGAAGATGAATCCACTCTAATATGCTATTGTCCTTGGAGTTTTGTGTTATTTTCAATTTTACCTCTTAATGAACAGTAAACCTAGAACTAAGACTTTTATATAACTAACTAACTAACTAATAAAAGGCAAAAAATAATACAAAATTAGTGTTGATACATAGGGAAAATGAACATGCAGACTTAGTGGGATTTTCGCTAAAGGTGGTTTCAATTTCGAAAATAAAATTACTACTAACCTGTCACTTTACCGCAACATCGTAAACACAATTACACTCAGGATTGCGAACTATTACACACAATAACCTACATTTGATTCAGCCAGAAAGCATCCAACAAAATTTGGCGGTTAAAAACTGAAAAACAACACCTTAGTTAGTACAAAACACTACTAATTGTAAAAACACTCATATTCAGTGAAAATTATGGGACATCAAGAATCAAAAATTCATTTATTGTATTACTACTTCATATAAAATATCTACGATCTGTAAAAATATTTCTATAGGAAAATGTTAAGATATATATCTAGCGAAACAACTTCTTAACGTAAAATATTACCAATTATGCAAAACGTTACCAACCTTGATTAGTACCATAATACTTGATTAGTACTAACGTAATAAATATATAACCCCATAACCCATTGATCATATCATATTATACTTTTTTTTCTATTATTTCATTTGTTCTTTTCTTTAGCTTCGTCAAAGTCTAGTGGGGTTGGTGGTCCGTACATAACGAAGATAAGATGGGTCTTTTTTTTATTATATTGGTTTTGTGTGGTAAATTGGCAATGGAGGGGAATCTTGGTACTTAACGAAGGAAGAATAAGAGAAGAAAAGAAAGCAGAGAGTTTTAAGAGAAGCAGAGAAATGGCGGGAGGAGGAAATTTTGTTTATGGGGATTTGCTGCCATTCTCAGCTATGGTGAGTATGGAGTGTATGAATGTTGGGTTGAACACACTCTTCAAAGCTGCAACAACGGCGGGCATGAGCTACTATGTCTATGTTGTCTATGCATACGCAATTGCTGCTCTTGTCCTTCTCCCTGCCCCCTTCTTCTCCCGCAGGTTGCTGCTGCTGCTCTCTCTCACGTACTCACTCGTTTGGCCAACTAAATTGAGAGGGTTGGCTAAATTTGCAGATCAAGAGCTCTTCCTCCACTGAGTTTCTCCATACTGTGGAAAATCGGTCTTCTCGGCGTCATTGTGTAAGTTTTTCTGTCTTCCCAGGCTGGAACTTGGATCCTGTAGCAAGGATTCAATGAGACGTTTGGTTTTGGGGAGCAGGGGCTCATCTTCGATTGTGGGATCCGCAGGCATCAGCTACAGCTCTCCAACGTTGGCTTCAGCCATTGCCAACCTCACTCCAGCCTTCACCTTCATATTGGCTGTCATGTTCAGGTGAATTGTTACCCTACTGCTCCTGCAAATTCTATGAAGGATTAGATTAGGTGTCGATGGGTTGGTAGGAATAGGATGGTTCGATCATTTTTCGTGTAAGAACTAAATCATTTCCAGGTAAATCTTTTCACAGAATGCCATGGATTGATTCTTTACCGATATCTAACCTCTGAACCAACATGAATCCATTTTAACCGAATCCACGAACGATCTACAAATTCAATTTGCTACCTCTTTACTGGCAATGTTGTAAGTAGTAAACCATGAAATGAAATATTATCTTCTCACCACTCCTAACCTCTTACTTCCGTTTGAAATGCAAGGATGGAAAAAGTAGTATTGAGGAGAAGATCCCATCAGGCCAAAGTGTTGGGCACTATAGTGTCAATTGCAGGTGCATTTGTTGTCACTCTCTACAAGGGTGCTCCGATGTTCATTGCTGCTTCTTCATCGTCCTTGTCGTTGGCTCAACTCTATCAGTCCCTTGAGAGCTCACCAGCCCAGTACTGGGTCCTTGGTGGGATTTTTCTCACCTGTGAGTACATTATGTTTTCCCTGGGATACATTTTTCTGGTAATGCTTCCTCCTCTCTTAACCTGCCACCTTCCTTCTCAACAAGTCCATACGGAAGTTGGACTGACAAAGCTTCTCCGCTACCCATCCGAAACAGAATCGAATCTTGATAGACTACCCTGCTGAACTCACGGTAGTGTTCTTCCGCAACATAGCCGTGACCATCACAGCCACGATTGTCGCTCTGTACACTGAAGGAACTTCTGCAAGTCCCTGGATATTGAGGCCTAATGTAGCATTGGCCTCGGTGTTGTGCACGGTAAGAGGTCGATCTGAGACTTGGTTTCCAAGAAATTCGAGGCTGAAGACACCGACATTAATTGTTTCTGATGTGTATGTTCTCTGTAGGGGCTACTTGGGTCGTGCTTGAAGTCTGTTGTTCGTGCGTGGGTAGTGAGGAAGAAGGGGCCAGTATTCGTAGTGATGTTCAAGCCTTTCTCTGTCGTGATTGCTGTTGCTATGGGCGCCATGTTCTTGGGTGACACGCTTTATGTAGGAAGGTAAGCAATTGGAAACTGAGTACAGCTTTGATTCTGAACCATATGTTATGAACAATTCTAAGGCTTCCAAAATGTACTGTTATTATTTTTTGGCAGTGTGATTGGGGCAGTGGTGCTCTCGATTGGATTCTACGCTGTGATGTGGGGGAAAGCTCATGAGGATGAGTGCTGCAGCCAGCAGCAGGACACTCAGTCCACAGAGAAGGCTCCTCTGTTGCAGACTAGCAGAAGGAATGCTCAAGTTTAAGCTGTTAACACCATTTGGTAAACACAGTAATGCAGGATTCATGAATGGACCTTGGCCAATGATCCATATGGAAACATTATTAGAACTCGAATTAGTTCTAGATCCCAAATTATGTTAATGCACTATGCCTAGGTTAAACCAAGTTTTTGACATGATCATTGAACAAGTAAAATATCACACTTCTTTGGTCCAACTGTCGTTTCCATATTCAGTGGTCCGATATTCTAGAGGATATAATCCTGGTAGACATTCTGTTTCATCGTACTCTCCACACCTAGACCCATGTACCCTCCCCCAATAGTTATGTCAAAATGGTGGCAATCGACCTTATTGCACTCACTGTGGGTTCTAGGGAATGGATATGATCAGTAACTTTATGGTCATTAACCATGAGTAACCCGTCTAAATCAGCATGATATCAATATCCCCCTCTTAATCTTTAACGGACGATTTCTCTCTCATTTTAAGTCGAAATTTAATTATTTTTTTTCCTTTTTAATCTTTAATGGACAATTTCTCTCTAGTTTTAAGTCGAAATTTAAATTTTTTTCACAGATAAATCATATTAAATGTGTTTTTTAAAATGATATCCACTTTGATTTATTTTTAGTAAAAAAATTGAATAATTTTTTACCAGTCATTATCATATGGTATGCTCCTATTTAATATCATATGGTAATAAAGCGTACCATGATGATGATAAGAAGGTTTTTTTTGAAAGAAATCGGCGCTCAGCTTTATTAGGTAGATGTCAAGCGTACATCATCCAGTTTTAACTGGTCAAGAATACTAACCGACTGTCTATCAAACCAGACCTCTGTCTCATCCCATCGGGTGTCCATATGCGCCATTATATGTGCTGCCTAGTTCGCATTTCTTCTGGTATGTTGGACTCTGCCCGCCTCTTCTCCCTTTAGCAACTTCCTGATATTCAACACAATAGTGACCAGCTCGGTGTAGTTCACACAAGCTTCCCTAATCGAGTTGACTACTGTCAAGCAGTCTGATTCCACCAACAGTGTTCCTTGCTGATGTCGTCGAACTAGCTGCAATCCGAGTTCCATAGCCAGCGCTTCACCCGTCGATTGGTCATGCTTCCCACGCACCTTCCTTGCCGCTGCCATTATAAACCTTCCATCATGATCTCTGATAACCACACACAGTCCAGTGCTCTCCTCACTAAAGCCAGCATTCTGTTTTTGTCTAGGGCTTCAGGTTCTTATCTTTGCCTTTGTGATGTTATCATTCTGTTTTTGTTATTGCCTTTCAACAAATAGCGTGACTAACTGTTTGAACGTAAGCAATCATAGATAAATGCAGCTATAAACTCTGGAAACTCTGGGGGGCCTGCATTCAACGACAAGGGAAAGTGTGTTGGCATTGCATTTCAGTCTTTGAAGTTTGAAACATGATGATGCTGAAAATATTGGCTATGTCATACCAACACTAGTTATCAAGCATTTTATTGGTGATTATGAGAAAAATGGGGTATATACAGGCAGAGGCGGACCCATGAATTTTTTTTCATAGAGGTGTTCTCTTTTAAAAAATAAATTTAGTAAAAATAAAAATAAAATAATTAATAAAAATAAAAATGTAAATTAGAAAATACCTTACTCGTACAGCTTAAAAAAGTCCATTATGTGTTCTCATATTCTGACATAATTGTAGAATACACTTGGTGTCTACAGTGTTAAAAAAATTGTCTCTATATACTCTATTAGACAATCATTCACGAACTTATCGCATATTCGATTTATAAACTTGTTCTTGATGTAACCCAAAGCTGAAAGAATCTTTCAACACTTGTCGTACAACCATAAAATCAATACAAATTAAGGGTACATTGAAATTAGTTTAATTGCTATGTTTTGAAAATAATTAGAAATAGGAAATGACATTTTACTATGATATAGTATTCAAAATCAAGCAACAAATGAGTTGTAGTTTAATGGAAATTAAGTTTGTTAATAATAATAGTGCTCTAGGTTTGAATTACCCAACCTATCACTTATATTCCCATACACAAATTTAAAAAATAACATTAGAATAATCATTTTTTTTTCCAAATTTCAGGGATGTCCCTTACTACCAATTATAAATTTTTTACCGATATGTAAATTATTACCATGAGTTGAATAATCGTTTCCCCAAAATTTAGGGGTGTCCCTCCGTGCGTCCGCTCCTGTATACAGGTACCTAGCCCTCTTTCTGGAACATTATTCTCAACCAACATGAGACTTATAGGGTGAAACGTGCTAGCATAGTGACAATATAGCTTGGACTATTTTCTGATGGTTTATGCTGATGTTTGTTTCAATTTCACCTCTATTTATGTTGACAGGTTTCCCTGTTCTTGGGATTGAGTGGCAGAAGATGGAAAATCCTGATTTGAGGGTAGCAATGGGGATGGCATCTGATCAGAAGGGTGTCCGTATTAGAAGAATTGAGCCAACTGCTTCAGAATCTTAAGTCTTAAAGTCATATCTGATATTCTCCTTAGCTTCGATGGGGTAAAGATAGCAAATGATGGAACAAGTACGAATTTTAGATTTTTGGACGCATGTCGGTATCATTTCTGAAATAGGGTATTGCGATCTTTACTTGCTAGCTTCTCAGGGTTGTAACAGTACTTCAGTTGAGCCAACTGTCATTTCTTGCATAGGGAATTGTGAAGAACCTGAAGAGCTTGACGAACATGGTGGAAAGCTGCAAGGATGAGTATTTGAAGTTTGAGTTAGAATACCAACAGGTGGTCGTTTGCCTCGCTCTTCTTTCTCTTGCTTTTAACAAAACCCTGATAACTTGTTATTGATTTGTTGACCTGCTTTGCCAGGCAATGGTTGTAAAAACAGAGACGGCGAAGGCAGCAACATTAGATATCCTTGCAATGAAAGAGAAAAGCTGTGAAATTTGGCTTTCGGGTTCCTCTCAAGTTTTGAACTTTGGTTGTACATCTCCAGAGAAAGTCATGGTAAACAATGATGTTGGTATGTACCATTCATCCCCTCCCTTTTCTTTTGCCTAGGAAGCTGGGATAGTTACTCTGGGGCCTAGGTGGTGTTAATTGTTTCTGTAGCCACTGTCTTTTTAGAATGCGGATGAGATACATGACTGATTGAGATAGTACCTTATGTTGTTCACATCTCTACAGAGGAAAAGAGAATTGGATTTGACGGTGAGTTATCATGTTTGATGAAAGATTTTTGTTCTTATGAACTCTTTGTTCTGGAAACCTGCTTCCAATTTCCTGTCCACTACTTGAGCTTTAGCTCCAAACTGGAATGAAATGTTGGAATTCACGCACACTTAAGTCCGCCATAAACTGCCTCTGTTTCCTACCTTATAGTAAAGGAACCTTTACTGCATTGCTGCTACTACTATGGTCATCGGCATTCTGCTCTGTTTTTGCGCCGCCATCATCGTTTTGGTCTTTCACCTTTCCCCACATGAACATGTAGAAGCCGATGGATATGGCTGTCCCTCCGATGAGACTGGCAAAGTAATAGAGGACAATCATCCAAATTGAAAAGTTGTATCCTTTTATAAAATTGATCAAAGGAAGATCTTACTTTGAATAGGGTAATATTAGGTTGGTAAGTTACCTTCCAAGATGCAGAGTATCACCTAGCATCGCTACACCCATGGCGACAGCGATCACCATTCCAAACGGAGTGAACATGTTAGCAAAAACGGGTCCTTTTATTGGCAGCACCCATGCTTCAGCGGCATTGTTCAAGCACGATCCCAACACTCCCTGTTGTTTTTAGTACAATTGTCAAGCCGTAATCGGCTGAAGGTCAGAATCTATAATCCTCCATTCGAGTACATACTCTGTTTTCCCTTCACATGGTTTGGCGTAAAAAATCAGTTTATTGAAAATTGGATCTAGTATCGTTTTCTCCTGGCACTTACGGTGCAAATGACTGAGGCTAGTGCCGTGTTTGAGCTCATTATCCAAGAACACGACGATGTTCCTTCGGCAATCAGAGCAACAACTGCACCTATGATGCTTACAAATGTGTTGTAGATGAAGATTACTGTAAGCTCCGAAGGGTAGTCTCTCATTATCTGTGTCTGCCAAACAATGAACAACAAAAAATTGTAAATCGATTGGTAACTGGGGCATCATAGGGATTGTCAGAGTTCATGAATATGAACATTCTATATTCATACCATGAGAAACGCCCACAAAGTAACCAGCGCATACTGAAGAGTGATTAAACTGCCACCAAGAACCCAGTTTTGTGCTGCTGTGGAATGAACAAGAGAATGATCGAGTCGAGATGATGATCCAGACGGGATGATACAAATTGGCGGACCTTGGTAAAGTGTTATGACAAATGCGCCTGCTATTGACACAGTTGTACCCAAGATTTTGGCCTGGCTGGACCTTGTTCCCATCACAACTTTCTCCATCCTTTTTCCCCCAGAAGGAAACAAGTTACAAAGGAGCCAGAGATGGGTTTTGAAGTTTTGATGAATGGGAGGGTTTGGAGAGTTTAGTTTTACCCAAACATGACAGCAAGTATGAATGTCAAAGCTGGACAGAGGTTGCCAATGGCCGACGACAGGGTTGGGGAACTGTAATACAGGCCTGTGAAGCCTGTCAACCGGGACGAACTTCTGCATGCGATAAACATCTCTGCACGTTATAATTTGAGTTACTGGGATGAATGATTGAAATGCGCGATGAAGTATCTAAATTTTCGCAGAAGAAATTTACCCTGTGAGTGCCAGAAGACCGATTCTGCACAAGATTGGTATGGTCAGGGGAGGAACGTCAACAGCTCTTGATGATGATCTGCAAATCAAAATGATCCATCCAAACAAACCGAATGGATTATATCTCTCAAGCTTTTCCGGGAATTAAAGAGTTTACTGAAGCGAAGAAGTTAGCAACAGAGGACCTGTGGGAAAATATAGCAGGAAGGAGAAGGAGAAGAGAGGCGATGCCATAGCTATAGGCAACAGAGACGTAAGGGCTCATGCCCTCCATTGTTGCCGCCTTGAATAGTGTGTTTATCCCAACTGTGGAGAATTGCGTACCCACCATCACTGAATATGTCAGCACTTCCCTCTGTAAGTGCTGGCTTCCTCTCATTTTAAGTTTTTACTTGCTACAACAAGAACTGCAAGTTTATGGTACTGCTGCAACTACTAAGTTATAGTACGCTGTTTTTATTAAGGCCTTTTTTCTATCATTTATGTCGATTCGCATTGATCTCTCTCCTTGATTTGTAAGGATCAGTTCTTTCATCCGTATACGTCTGCACCAATTGGACGCCATTCGATGCTTAATTACTAATGAAGTAGTTAGCTATATGAAGAGGACTTTTTTTGGCTTTGTTAGGTAGTCATACTCACAGGGTAGAAACGTTTAAAATGTCAGATGTTATTTGTGGTAATCATTTCAACATATTACAAACCTCATAGGAGTTAGTACTTAGTACCATATTATCTAACATCTAAACCGTCCACTCAAACGGCCCATGTACATGTTTGCATGGTTCTGCGATAACAGAGGAACCTTTTCTGTACCACTGCTGCTGTTGCTGTCATCGTTGGGATGCAGCTCTGCGTTTGCAACGACAACACTGTGATCTTCTTCTTTGGCCTTTCCCCACAGGCCACATCAACATGTAGAAGCCGATTGATATTGCCACCGCTCCAATGAGACTGCCAAATGTAGGAATGAACAAAATCAAGCAACGGCCTCTAAAAGTTTCACCAAGCAGCATACACACACAGGTCAACACAATATAGAACAGTTTACCTTCCTACATGAAGAGTTTCGCCAAGAAGCGTCACATCCATGGCAACGTTGAAGGCGACTCGCCGGCTCCTAGGTTGTAAATTGGACAGCTTTAGTACATGATATCATCGGCCGTACGATGCCCCGACATATAGAGCGGAGGAAAGTATAGCAACACAATGGGCTAGTTTCGCTTTTAAACAAACCGCTTCTCGTTTGAACTTCTAGAAAAACACATTATAAGAAAGACAAGTTGAATGTTTGACTTAAAAATTCTTAAAAATATTGTTTAATATAAGGGGTCATATAAAAAAGACTAAAAAATCTCTAATATGAAACATGACGAAAAATTTTAAAAATAAAATATAGTCAAAATGAATTACGTAGATTTCTTCTATAAAAAAATTAAAATATAGTAAGGATAATTTTGCATTCCCAAAATAATTTTTCGTAAAAACTCAAAATTAAATGTTATAGAAAACATTTTTTTCCAGCTTTTCAAAAGTTAGGATTTTTAGAAGTGTTTTCCCATTATTCAACTTTTAAAGCAGAAACGCTTTTAAAAATCGTGCCAACCATAGGCAACAATAAGAGATAAAGCATTTTGTTGCAGTTCTCATACAAATAGTTTCTTTTAGATTAATCTAATTGTAGATATATATCTCCTATTTTTTAGATAGTTAAAATAATCATTATTTTCTATCGGATAATATATTTCATTTAGATTTATTTTTCAAATATTTTTCACTAGAAAATTAAATTAATTAATTTCTCAAATATGATATTCCCTCTTTTTTTATAAACAAATATGATATTCACTCTGATAATACATTTGAGAGTAAAAAAAATGTCATCCAAACCGATATGCATCTTGTATTTGTTTTGTATGCATTTGTGCGATACTAGCACCACGCATATTTCTAATACCGGTATGAACGCAGACAAACAATAGTGATATACTGATATGCATTCATTTGCCAGAACTTTTTTGTTTATAGTAACCAAACTATTGGAACCAAAAACCGAAGTCATAAATAATAAAAGATAAAAGTATCGAAACATAGAGTTAGTAGATTATTTTATTTAGCAAAATGTTATTTTTTGCTACTTTTTGAATCGTGGATTGTAGTTTCAGCGATTTTAAATCTCTAAAATCTAGAGATATCAAATCTCTCATAATTAGAGAAATTCTACATCTTGATTTTGGATATTTTCTCCCTCCTGCTATATTTTTTTTTTCATTTACCCCACCAAATACCCTTATCAATAAATTCTCAATATTTTTCGAGCCAATCTAATTATTTTAGTCAAGGATAAACATTTCATGTAATACAACTAATAGAATTTATTTTTTCATTTGATGTTAACAGTCGTTACCAAACAATGGACATTTTCAAATCTTTTTTCAATAATTCAAAGAGTTAAAATCTTTGAATTGTCTAGAATCTATAGATTTAGACTCCAATACTCCAAACGAGCCCTTAGTACCATGGTTATCACTTATCACCAAATACCGACCGGTTGATCATTGTTTAATCGGTTTAGTCATGAAAAAAATGTGAATACCATCAGGATGATTGGTTTTCGGTCTATAAAAAAAACGATTTCGTTTTAGTGAATTTAATTCATAGAAAAAATAATTTGTGATTTATTTCATTAATTTAAATGTTAAATGTTGATGTTATTTGTTAGATTCAAATATAAAAGTTTGGGTGTTGACATTAAATGTTGTATTTATATATGAGTATTTGTTATTTTATTTTTGAATGTTGCATTTTCTTTAGACATGAATATAAAATGAATATAAAATTGAAAGTAAATTGACTCATATATGTTATATATATGCATATATTATTAAGCTAGCATTAATAATTGTTTTTCATATTTTTTTATATTTTATTAAGCTAGCATTAACCGGTTGTACAATCGACCAATCATACCATTCGCTAGAAGGACGCAACGGTATAAATCACTTTGAAAACATGGGTTAGTACCTTAATAAATTTATTAACCCCATTCATCATATCATATTATACTATCTTTTTTCCTATAATTTCTATTGTTACATTTGTTCTTTGTTCTTTAGCTTCAACATTGTCTAGTGGTGGGGTTTTCTTATGACTCATTTTTATTCATTTCATACATTTTCCGACATGAATAAGAATATGACAACATATGTCATGATTGGTTGCGAACTTAGTCTAGTGGAGGGAAGCCTTCCTCGTACTGATGGCTCAAAGTTTGCAGCCCCAGTGGTTCAGAACGAAGATAAGATGGGTCATTTTTGTTTGTGTGGTAAATTGGTATTGGATCTTAGTACTTAACGGAGGAAGGATAAGAGAAGGAAAGAAAGCAGAGAGTTTGAGAGGAGAGAAATGGCGGGAGGAGGAAGATTTGTTTATGGGGATTTTCTGCCATTCTCAGCGATGGTGAGCATGGAGTGTCTTTTAGTCGGGTTGAACACACTCTTCAAAGCTGCAACAATGGCGGGCTTGAGTTACTATGTCTATGTTGTCTATGCATACGCAGTTGCTGCTCTTGTCCTTCTCCCTGCCCCCTTCTTCTCCCACAGGTTGCTGCATTCTCTGTCTCTCTCACTCATTCGTTTGGCCAACTAAGTTGAGAAGGTTGGCTGAATTTGCTCTGTGGGTTGAATTTGCAGATCAAGAGCTCTTCCTCCACTGAGTTTCTCCATACTCTGGAAAATCGGTCTTCTCGGCGTCATTGCGTAAGTTTTTTTCTGTCTTCCCATCGATGTAAAGGCTGGAACTTCGATCTCGTATCAAGGATTCAAACTCGAGACGTTTGGTTTTGGGGAGCAGGGGCTCATCCCAGATTGTGGGATCCGCAGGTATCAATTACAGCTCTCCAACGTTAGCTTCAGCCATTGGCAACCTCACTCCAGCTTTTACCTTCACATTGGCTGTCATGTTCAGGTGAATTGTTACTCTTCTGCTCCTGCAAATTCAATATAGGATTGGGTTTGGATGAGTTGCTGGGATGGTTTGTTAAGTTTTCTGTGAGATTATGGTTTCGTAGCTAGAGATTTTTTTGTCTTACATTTGTCCATTCACCTCATGATGTAAAAACTAAATTGTTACCAGATTGTGCTTAATCTTAACAAATGATCGAAATACTTGCAAAGAGCATCATTGATTGAATCTTTCGACCAAGCTGCAAATGGATATCTAACCTCTGAATCGACATGAATCCATTTTACCCAAATCCAGGAACGATCTACAAATTCAGCCCTGTTTTGCTACCTCTTTAGTGGCAATGTTGCGAGAGTAAACCATGAAATATTATCGCCGCACCACTTCTAACCTCTTACTTTCGTTTGAAATGTAAGGATGGAAAAAGTAGTATTGAGGAGAAGATCCAATCAGGCCAAAGTATTCGGCACAATAGTGTCGATAGCAGGTGCATTTGTTGTCACTCTCTACAAGGGTGCTCCGGTGTTCGTTGCTGCTGCTTCTTCTTCTTCATCGTCGTTGTCCTTTGCTCAAACCTATCAGTCCCTTAAGAGCTCACCAAGCCATAACTGGGTCCTTGGTGGGATTTTTCTCACCTGTGAGTACATTCTGCTTTCCTTGGGATACATTTTGCTGGTAATGCAATGCCTCCTCCTCTCTTAACCTACCAACTTCCTTCCCAAGTCCATGTGGAACTGACAAAGCTTCTCTACCCATCCCGATCAAAACAGAATCAAATTCTGACAGTATACCCTGCTGATCTCACAGTAGTGTTCTTCCGCAACGTAGCCGTGAGCATCACCGCCACGATTGTCGCTCTGTACGCTGAAGGAACTTGTGCAAGTGCCTGGATATTGAGGCCTAACGTAGCATTGGCCTCGGTGTTATGCACGGTAAGAGGTTGTTGGTCCGAGACTTGGTTTTTCAAGAAATCTGAGGCTGAAGTGAAGACACCAACATTAATTGTTCCTGGTGTGTATGTCTTCTGTAGGGGCTTCTTGGGTCGTGCTTTAACGCTGTTGTTCGTGCATGGGTAGTGCGGAAGAAGGGGCCAGTATTCGTAGCGATGTTCAAGCCGCTTTCCATCGTGATTGCTGTTGCTATGGGTGCCATGTTCTTGGGTGACACGCTTTATGTAGGAAGGTAAGCAATTGGAAACTGAGTACAACTTTGATTCTGAACCATATGTTATGAACAATTCTAAGGCTTTCCAAAATGTACTGTTATTATTTTTTGGCAGTGTGATTGGGGCAGTGGTGCTCTCGATTGGATTCTACGCTGTGATGTGGGGGAAAGCTCACGAGGATGATTGCTGCAGCCAGCAGCAGGAATCTCAGTCCACGGAGAAGGCTCCTCTGTTGCAGAATTGCAGAAGGAATGCACAAGTTTAAGCTGCTGGCATCATTTAGCAAACACAAAAATGAAGGATTCATGAATTGAGCTTGGCCAGTGATCCATGTGGAAATGTTAATAGAACTCGAATTAGTTCTGGTGAGATGGGAATGGTAGGCCTAAAATCTTAGTCCATGGAAGGCATGCTGAAAGGAATCACTGTACTCCCAATTTCAACAGCATCTTTCATGACTGCCTTGGTTAGTGTAAATATAGGAGTCTTAGTAAATAGTAACTGCTTATTTGTACTATTAGATGGTGCATCTCATGATCCACGGCCATAGAATGAATCGTGACTAAGAAATTCATAATTCATGTTGGATGTACTTGTATGGTTTGGAGTTTCTTAGTGACCACTCCGTAATTTATACTTTTAAACCATATGTGTTGGAAATTTGGTTGAGTCGAACTAACCCGATCAAATCGGTTTTGGGTTGGGCCGACCAACTCGTTTGGGATCGAACTGACCGAATCGATATTCTAATTCCATGAAGTGACATATCCCTTTGGCCTAGTGGCGGTTGCATTTTTTATGAATAATGACGAAACTTATGGATAAAGACAACCTTTCGTATGGATAAAGATAACCATTCATATGGATAAGGACAATCTTTCGTATGAATAAAGACAACCTTTCATATGGACTAGCATAAGCTCGCTCGCTATCACTTCGCGTGTGAGTGAGAACGTGATTTTTTAAAGATAATAGTTTAAATTTGACCCAAAAGTAAATGGCTTATCATCTACAACTCCATGTAGTTGACGCAACGATGAACTTTAATAAGGGAGAAGCATTGTCAAGCAAATAACTTCTATGTTTATTCTTCTCTAATTACATTGTTGATTAGTTTGTATTATTTTTGCTTTGTTTCTTTTTAAGTTCATCTTAACTTCTATGTTTATTCTTCTCTAATTACATTGTTGATTAGTTTGTATTATTTTTGCTTTGTTTCTTTTTAAGTTCATCTTAATTCTCCTTTTTATGGATTTTTGAGACTGATTGCAGGTTTGAGAAAGTTCAACTCACTTTAGACGAATCGAATTAGGTTGAATATATATGAATTTGGGATCAATTTCATTCTCAATGAATTGGCTTATTCGAAAAAAGTCATGTTCTTAGTAAAAGACCAAAAAGAAAAAGAGAAATCACCGCGAAAACATAGGAAAAAAAACTAGTAATTAAATATGAATTCGTAAGGAGATGGTATACTTAACCTTCAGTATTAGTCCCTTCCAGCCTTGCCAATCATCTCTTACTGCGGAACCACGTAGCTCGAGAACGGTCAATTCCTCCATGCTGAAACTGGCCGGGATGGAACTGCAATGGCGCAGTCAAATTGACACTGCCACTTTTCATACGCATTGCACTGTCATGGCCTCAGGGTTGTTGTTTCTTCAAATACACATGAACAGGTATGTGAACAGGTTTGAGGGAGGTTCTTTGCACCACTTTGACACTAAAATGTAGTAGTAACCTACAAAAGCTAGTTAACACTAGCTTAGTTTTAGCTCTGGTGTAGCTTTTGTAGAAACAGCTTCTGGCTGGAGTTTTTATATAAGTACTTAAAAAAAAAACAGTTGAGTGTTTGGTTGTAAAACTATTAGAAGTGCTTTTTAATATGAGAGGTTGTGTAAAATGACTATAAATGACTTATAATAAAAAATATGAATAAAAATTCTGAACAGTAAAAAGTAGTCAAAATGGATCTTGTTAGATTTCTTTTATATTAAATAATATGATTTTATAATCTATTTTATTTTTAAAATGATATAAATGAGGGAAAATTATATTTTATGAAATAAAATTAAAATATGGTAAGGATAATCTTCTATTTTCAAAACAGTTTTTCGCAGAAGCTCCAAATCGGAGCTTCTGCTTATATATTATACAAAAGCGCTTTCGGCTTTTCAAAAGCCGAGCTTTTAGAGGTGTTTGGCCCTACTTCGACTTTTGAAGCCGAAAAGCACTTTTAAAAGCCGGGCCAAACATAGGGACTATAAACAAACCAAATATACATGCGAATTTATTTATGCTAGTTTTTTGGCTCGCGCTTCGCAGCGGTAAGAAACTAATTATATTTAAAATTTTATTCATTTATAAATATATTTAGTTGAAATCAAATAATTCTCAAAATCCGGATAAGTTATATTCATAAATTTTACGCAGTGTCTGGATCAGTGATAATGAATTACGTCATAACAGTGGCGGAGCTGTGCACACTTGAGGGGGGTGCATGCACCCCCCTTGGCTTTGGGACGTAAAAAAAAATCCAATATATGTTAGTAGGAAACAAGGATCGAACCACTAATTTAGTGGTTGACAATGAGAAATCTTTACCATCTCGACTAATAGTTTTTCATTTATAATACATACATGTTTAATTATATTAATGTTAATTATCTGTCCTAATATCAAAACGCAAAACTCTAATCCTCTATCCCAGCAATTCCCAGTTACAATTTCGTTCTTCCTCCACCCAGCGGTAGCAGAGGCGCTGCGAGTTGCAAGCCGAGCTCGCCCAACCTCCAAGCTATCCATCCTCCAGCCCCCATGCTCTCCATCTCCGGCTCCAAGCTCGTCGAACCTCCACCCACCACCCATATTTCCGTCTCCTACCCAACAAATCCAAACTATTTCTAGGCTCCAGACTTTCATTCTCCGTCCTTCACCTCCAAAAATCCTTCTCTTTTCAATCGTGAGCAGGGTAGGGGAGCAACAAGCCAGCAACACAAAATTACTTTGTTTGACATCATCAATCTTTAACAACAAAGTAAAATCTAAGTTTTAATTTCAATTACTTGAAAATTTTATTATTTGTGTTAATTTAGGGTTAGGTTTGTATGTTTGTTATACTCAATTTCATCTCCAAATTAACTACATAGACTAAATTAGTCATATAATGAAGTTGATTTTCATATTTTCGTTTAGAGTTGACTTTTCTATTATATAGTTGATTTTTTCATGACATGAAGAAGCACCCCCTTGACCAATTTTCTGGCTCCGCCACTGCGTCATAAGCTTGTTCAAATGATCATTAGAAATAACTATCCCTTAGTAAGTTCTATGTAATATATTTGTGATTTATGTAACTATTAAATAATGTTGTTGTGTAAATACTATGCAAAGTGTGGTCTAATAATGAAATCAAGTTAGTTTTAGGTAGAGTTTTACTCATTACAAAAGACTTATGTTGTATTTCTGTAATTGATAACTAAGAATAACTATCCCTTGATAAGGTTTATTTATATAATGTATTTGGAGTGTACGTATCTCTTATAGAACAATGTTATGAAATTCTTCCTTAACGTGTGGTCTAATAATTAATCAAATTAGGTTTACGTAGAGTTTTAATCATTATAAAAAGACTTATGTAATACTTTTTTGTAATTGATAACTAAGAAATAACTATCCCTCCATAAACTTTACATAATGTACATGTATTTGTAATGTACGTATCTCTTATAAGTAATTTTAACTATATCTTTCGTAATGTGTGATCTAACAATAAAATCAAGTTACACAAATTACTACATTTTATTAATTGATCTCTCGTAATGTGGTCAAACAACGAACTATATATCAAAAAGGGTTTATGGTGGAAATTGGATATATGGGATATGTGTGCGGTAACGTTAATAATTAAGGAATTTTCATCATACAAAAAAAAACAATGCTTAAGAAACCCTAGCGCGCCGGCCGAGAGGACCGGAAATATCGAGAAGACCGAAAATACTGAATACCAAACCCAAATTAGTAGGCCATTTTAGCAGTATAAAATGGTTGAACTATATATAAAAAGAGTTTATAGTGAAATTGGTTGTAGGGAATAAAAAATTCTTATGAACAGTACCGAGGTAAAATTGTAAGACCCTATTTTGTCGTGAGGAACAGTAACCTCGTGCGTCTTTAATATATTAATAATAATTAATAATTGATACTCCCAAAACTAAAGTTGACTGGTTTTTATTTATTTCTCATGTGGGCAACGAGTTTGTTTTTATTTAATCGGCGCAGTAATAAACTATATTAATATAACCCAACATGTAAGCGCTTGCTTATATATACATGCATAGTAACGTGATCTATTATGTATTAACACAGTAGAATACTATATGAGTGAGTATATGAGCACTTTCCAAAAAAGCAATTGCTTCAGTAAACTAACTGCCATGGCTGATGCATTCCTGAGCAGCCCTCCGGTCAACAAAAACAACCAATTTTCCGAGCGATGGATGATCACTTCAGCAATCATCGTAATAATACTGGTCGGAATTTTGCACTCTGTATCGAAATTGGTCAAAAGGTTGAAATCACAAGGCGCAACGGCTGCTTCTCTGCCTCCGGGGCCTCGCGGCTTGCCGATTGTTGGGTACATCCCATTTCTCATGTACAACGGGAGGAAAATTCCAATCCACCGACAGTTCAACGACCTCGCGGCCCAATACGGGCCCATCTTCAAGATCTGGGTCGGCGGCCAACTCCACGTCGTGATCAGCTCGCCGGCCCTGGCGAAACAAGTCCTTCGAGACGACGAATCGAACTTCTCGGGCCGCGACCTCCCGCTAGCCATCCGGGCTTGCACCTACGGCGGGCTGGACCTCGCCGGCCTGCCGATGGGCCGAGACTGGAACTTCATGAAGAAAGTGGTGCTTAGGGAAGTGCTCAGCAACCCGAGCTTGGACCGCTGTTACGAACTGAGACGTAGCGTGGTGGTGAAGGCACTCAGGGAAGTCAGGAGCGGCCAGCCGGTTGGCGTGTTGGAACTGGCGCATAAGATGGTTGCCAATGCGACGATGGCCATGACGTGGGGAGGAAGTGATCATGGTGACGTCGTTGACAAGGACAAGACTCGACGATTGGGTGACGAGATGATGACGCTAATGGAGCAGCCCAACGTCTCCGACGCGTTCCCACTTCTTGCGAGGTTTGATCTTCAAGGGATCGGGAGGAAAGCGGCGGAGGCGGCTGGACGTTTCGACCGGATCATTACCTCCGTGATTCAGAAACGTTTCGATGGGGAAGGGTCGTTAATAATTACGGAGGAGGGTAAAGAGAAGAAGGATCTGTTGCAGGTTTTGCTGGAGACTAGGGAAAGATCTGGCGCGGGATCGTCGTTGGCGTCCATGAACCAATTCAAAGCCCTCCTTCTGGTATTGTTCATTTGCATGTCGATCCACCTTAGTTCGTTCGTTAGTATAAATAACTCGAGTTGTTGATAACATTAATTGTACATGCATGTTGGACAGGACATTACACCGGGTGGGGCGGGGAACATAGCAACGGTAATCGAGTGGGCGATGACGGAGCTGGTGAAGTGCGACAAGGCAATGACAAACGTGAAGAGGGAGCTAGACGACGTCGTAGGGCTGGAAAGCCTAGTTGAAGACCACCATTTGAAGAAGCTGAACTACCTGGATGCCGTGGTGAAGGAGACGTTCCGGCTGTACCAGGTTATCATCCAACGGCAAGCGCTCCAGCCGTGTACCATCGGCGGGTACGATATTCCGAAAAAGGCGAAAGTGATGGTCAACGCTTGGGCCATCCACATGGATCCACGGCTGTGGGAGGTGCCTACGGAGTTCCGGCCGGAGAGGTTTCTGGAGAGTGGGAACGGGATGATGCCTTTTGATTTCCAGGGCAGCAACAGCCATTTCGTGTATATACCATTCGGGTCTGGGCGGCGGATATGTGCCGGAATTAATTTGGCTACGAGGATGCTCAAGTACGTGCTGGCTTCCCTGCTGCATTCGTTCGACTGGAAGCTCCCGGCCGGCGAAGGAGGGTCGACGGTGGATGTTTCGGATGAGTTCACGTTGATCATCAAGAAGAAGAAGCCACTGACTATTGTGCCCACGCCTCGGCTCTCTTGTCCGGATCTGCAGGCCTAATTCATCCGTACGTGTATCACTCAGTAATCTGAATGACGGGATGTTTGTTGTTTATCTTTATGTTGTAAGTTGTCACTTTGTCAATTCAATAAAATCCTACCATCGGAGCAATGCAGTAAAAAAATTAGCTTTAAAAGTTAAAAGTCTAAGCTTTTGTGTTTTAACGCCACTTATGTGGTACCGAGACGAGACGACATTGGTACTTGCATATTTTTAGTTGTCAGATATATTATAGTAAATCACGGTCTTTCGATTTTAACTCTTTTTTTATTTGATTTTTAGTTTTATGTAATTTATTTATTATTTAATCAAATTTTGGACCAGTAATTTAAACCAAACCGATCGGATTCATTGACGGCACTGGTGCCGTTGCGGTACCACCAAATTTCCCATGTTTTAAATTAAAAATGCGACACGAAGAAAGGCATTCTGCGCAAGAATCTGCTTCATATAGGAAACAACAAATGTGCCGATTGGGTCGCCAAGGAAACAAGGAGCGGCTCCCTCCCTCTTGAGTGGATTCATCTTCTTGATTTGATCTCTCCTCTCTTGTAATAGGCCAAGCTTGTACCACAATCGTTCAGGAATGAAATTTAACCAATTGTCAAAAAAAAAATAGTTCTTACGCCAAAAGTCTAGTTAAACCCGTAGAATATAGCTTTTAAACTGCTTTTTATACTTTTGGTATTTAGGTATTAAGAATATATTATAGGGAAGTGTATGGTCCGGTTCGAACAGGACCGAACCAACCCTAAGAGACAAAAAAAAAAAAAAACTAGTGTTTCTTATAATAGGAGACTTAATTTCTTCCTTTGTGAGTTTTTTTTTTGGGCAGTTCCTCACCCCTTGTGAGATTTGTTTGTTTTTTTGCTGGAACTTTGTGTTTTCTATCTTTGATTCAATTCAATTTTCACCATTATAAAAAAAAAAGTAGGAAAATAAAAGGGAGAGAGACTAAAACCTAGGATGAGAATGAAAGGGATTTGATTGCGGTATGTGTTTTTTCCATGGTTAATATAATATGATGAGATTAAAACTAAATTACGTTTCTTTGTTTTCAATACATTTTCAGTAGTTTTATAACTATTTTGGAGTCATTCTCACCGTTAAAGAGATCCAAGAGTTTCGAGAAAACATAATCCTGGAAAAAGAAAAATCCACACAACACGTAATGGGATGTTTATTGAAGGTTTTCATGACCTTTTATGTATTGGGAGAATATAGTTGACTGAATTCCTAGGCTTTTATATATTAATATATTAATATATTGGGAGAATATAGTTGGCTGAATTCCTAGTCGTAATTCGACCCTTCAGTCTTCACTATACATGATGCCATTAAATATATTATATTTTCTCATTAATATTAATTAATTAAATCTCGAATCTCATGATCAACCAATGTCCCGTACTTCAATCAAATGTTCTTTAATTAAATTCATACATGCAGCCTCCAATTCAAGACTCACTGCAAGTCTTAAGACTATATTGAAAAGATGAGTACAACGAGGAGCAATGGAAAGATTATGAAAGATTGTGACAGTTTCCCTTATATGATATTGATGAGATTTTACATTTAAAAATATAACACATGGGTTTGTCCTTGATAATCCCTAGCTAAAGTTGACTTCTTTCTATTTAGTTCTTGTATATTTTGGCAACTAGTTTGATTTTTCTATGGTAAAGAGACAATAAACAAACCAAATATACAGCCCAATTGACACTGCCACTTTCATACGCATTGCACTGTCATGGCCTCAGGGTTGTTGTTTCTTCAAATACACATGAACAGGTTTGAGGGAGGTTCTTTGCACCACTTTGACTCTAAAAAATGTAGTAGTAATAAATTTTTTGACGTAATTGTGGGATTGAAGACAAGATCTTTCTAGCTAATAGTGTAAATAGATTTATAAAAAAATATTATTTTTTTTATCTCTATTTAACTTCTTAGCAATATAACTGAGTTTAATATGAATGAAAACTCAAAATTTAGTGGTGACTATAATTGCCACCCGTTGTCATATCAAGTGTTGAAAGAGCACTTTTTTACGGTAAGAAAGAGTAATTAATGCAAAGAACAATGTGATACTTCATAATTATATGAGTGATGAAATCATAAATAATTTACCGGTGTACTTTAAAGATGATATTCCCACATGACTTGTATGATGAGCGTACTTTATATTATTATTTTCTTAATATGAAACCACATTTTTAAATTTCAGCGTAGTATCTAACTTAAATGAATTTTTAGTTATGCCACTGCATGTGTGAGGGCAAGCCTGGTTGGCACTTGGCAGGTTGTTATGCACATCGACAAATATATTATAACAAGGCAAATGCTCTTTTTTATGATTTCTGTGGAGATGACACTAATCAGTGGCGTAGCCAGCGTTCAAGTTTAGTGGGGTCCCATTTATGGAAAAAAAAATTATAATATTATATTCAATTATTAAGTAAATTCTCTTATAAATATTCAGTCAAGTAGACATTCATCAAATCATTAGTTATAAGATTTGTAACTTACATTTTGTGTAACTCATAATTGAAAAGTGACATTTCAATAACTAGCTAAAATAAATAGTCACCAAGCAAAACCTAATACACACAAACGTTTTATAAACACATTTGATGACAAAGAAATTGTATACTAATAGAAAAAATTTGTTGAACTAAGAGCTTTTTAGATATAGCTGGAGGTTTTTGTACACTTATTTAGTAGAATTAGAAATTTTTTCAATAAGGACTATAAATTTGGGGATTTTCAATAATATATAACCAATATAGTGTAATTTATTTTGTGTGTTTCATAATACTAGGACAATTAAATTTCATATGAATGGGGTCCTAAATTCTAAATCTACTCAAATTAAACAAGTACATACATACATTCAACCATTTTAATTTATCCAAGTGGGGTCCGAGGACCCCACTCCCTTCCACCTCCCTCCGCCACTGACACTAATCTTATTATGATCATGATAAAGGTGACGGCTGGTTTAATTTCAGTGATATGGTGGTAGCTATTACAAAATAGTAATGCTCTATGGAGGGACCAAATCGAAGATACTGGCTTTTTGCTCAGAGAAATCCGGAAGAACAATGAACCATGGTTGAAATCTAAAGATGTTTAGTAAAAATTAGTGTTGATAATGCTATAACACTCGAATTATTAAAAAATATTTACTTGTCTTTATTTTATCAAGGGATGGAGGATAGCAAGTCAATTTTTTCAATCATTTTCCTATCGTTGTGTATTATACAGTATTGATGTCACATTGATGGTTTGAACTTCGAAGGTGGTTTCACCTAGGGGTGAAAGCTTGTCCTGAAAGACCCACTGACCCGTCCCGACCCGTCCCTAAGGGTCGGGATGGGTCAGTTTCTCTACAGGGACATATTAGGGACGTGTCATTTGTTGATCCTGTAAGGGTCGGGACAACTTAGGGACGGGTCACGTTTTGACCCTGTGACCCTTAGCAACAACAAATATCTCATACTTCATTGGACCTTTTTGTAAAGTTTTAAAAGTTTAGGTACTAATTTGTAAAATAAAAAAATTTGGGTACCAAAACGTAATTGTGCCATCAAAATTTATGGACTTATTTGTAAAAAAATAAAATTTAGGTACTAAATTGTATGAAAAAATAATTTTGGGTACCAAAACATAATTTGTAAAAAATAGTGTGTTGATTAGGGTCGACCCACTGACCCGTCTCGTCCCGTCCCAACCCTTGAGGGTCAGACAGGGTCAAGAAGGAGACATGGACGGGACGGTTATACATCTTGACCCTTCAGGGACGGGTCAGATAGGAACAAGGACGGGACAGGGACGAGACAGGCAAATTTTCAGCCCTAGTTTCACCAATCCCTTAACTACAAATAAAGTGTGTGTGTGTGTATGTATTGTTTTCTGGTGAATGATGATACCACATTGGAAGTTTTGAAGAGGTTCTCAAATTTCTTTGTAATACAATAGGATGTCTACGGCCAGATTCAAGAGTCGAAGGCATGCGTACTTGCGTAGAGTTCGTGTCGGGAGAGAAAGGAAGGAATTGCTTAAGTAAGTCGATTTCAAGTCATCTCTTCAGAAACCCAGCAATGGGTGAATAACTAATATCATCATCCCCGTCGACCATGACAGCAGAAAATGACACACCCTCGTACGTCATTGTCGTTACAATTGAGTATTGAGAATATTGAATCGATTTCGATGTCGCAGAGATTTGAACAACCTCCCTGCATGTAGGTAGAACCACATGAGGGTTATTGAGCGCTAGCGGAAATGCAGTGAAATCTAGGATCGATAGGGAGAAACATATTTGATGTTTAATTCAATTGTGAAATACACATTCTAATCAAATTACAAAGCATTATTTTCAACGGAGGAGTTAGGTTGAAGTCAAGCATGAATCATGAGATGTTATAACCCTCTCAAATTTGCAACATAGGTAAAATTACATGTAAAATTGTTAACAAATAGTAGTCGGTAAAACATTACCCCCTCCTCCTCCGATTATAACGATTCAAATTAGCCCTCATTCATATTTCTGACTTCGACAATGATTATATTTGTTATTTTCTCTTCTCTCTGCTATATAGTGTATACGCAGACAATGTAGTCAAAATCACGTTTTAAATCTTAAAAAACTTACGCCTTTACACTTCTAGGTCACCAAAACGTTTCTAGGCAGAAATCACAGCCGATGAGCATAGGACGTTCTGTTTCTGTAAGTGTACATACAATTATTGTTATATCTTAACTTTTAGCTGAGGTTGTTGGTATAGTTGAGTTGATATTGTTTTATCTCGTTTTTAGTTAATGTGACATACAATCACACATACCAAACACTGAATTTTACAAAAACTCCTACGTAGCACCTAAGACAAATGCTAATTGACAAAGCACGGAAGAGATCCTTAGGTTGAAGTCATGAATTATGAGATGTTATAACCCTCTTAAATTTGAAATATAGGTAAAATTACACATTCTTATCAAATAGAGTAGTCGGTAAATATTTGATGTTTCACTCAGTTGTGAAATACACATTCTTATCAAATAACACAAGCATAATATTCATGAGTGGCGGAGCTAGATTGAAGTAATGAATCATGAGATGTTATAGGGGCTTGCTATTTGCCGCCAACCAAATTGCTATTTGCCGCCAACCAAAAAAAAAAAGTATATATATGCATCTTTGGTTAAGGAGTTTCACAATCTACAACATATCCAACTTTCAGAGAACGTATTTAATCAGAAAAATTCAACACTCGCCGAAAAAGTCGCCGGAAAATCATCGATGAAAAAAAATGTATATATATACATCTTTGGTTAAGGAGTTTCACAATCTACAACATATCCAACTTTCAGAGAACGTATTGAATTAGAAAAATTCAACGCTCGCCGGAAAAGTCGTCGGAAAATCATCGGGAAAGCCTATCCTCGACATATAATGCGTACACGCATCCATGAATCACTACAAGAAAACTGGTCTATAGCGACAAAAAATAGAGACAAATATTGTATCTGTCTTTCAAAGTGTCTTATGTACGACATTTGTATTATTTGTCTCTATAGTGGTGATTATGTGATGCTAAAGGTATATTATATATGACAGATACAAAAGGTGTCTCCGTAGATACCAGCTTCTACGATTAAAGATATTTTATATATTAAAAATATATAATTCTGTCGTAGTTTATATTAGTATTTGTCTCTAGCAAGCTTTTGATCAAGTTTTAATGTTGGTTTTCATTGTCTTACCACTTTTTATGGACGAAGGGAACCTCTAATCACACATTAATATGTTATCAATTGCTTATTTAATTTAACAAAGTTTACCTAATAAAAATTCCATAAAAGGTATCCAACTAAATTAACACGTTAGCTAATTGGGTTTGGGGGAAAAGGGATCCCAAGAGTCACTTTTGCCTCTAAATTTGATCCAAACAAGACAAAAAAAAAACATATACAGAGTCCATCCCTTTCCTCATCGACTTTGTAGTTTGTACCCAAAAGAATAAAGGTTCCCGGGCAGCATTCTTTTTCCTTTCCCTTCGAGAACAAGATCCCCAATTTTCTCCCCCATACCCAACGCCTAACTCCTGCTAAAGTCTTGCTCCGATTGTCAATTCCATCCTCGCACCTGTTGCCAGCTCCTTCAATTTCACGAGCTGATGCGGGGTTGAGCTATCACCCAAGTTGTTGTTCTCCTTTCTTCTATTCTACAAGTTGGGACAAGAGGAGAAGTATATAGTTGCGCTGATCCGATTCGCTCTCCTCAATAGGTACGCATTCTCAGTTTCTCGAGCTGCTGATTTATGCCTGTGATTGTATGATAGTCAAGGTTGAAGTGATTGCTGAACTTTCTTTAATTTTGGGGTCAAAGTTATAATCCATTCATTACTAAAATAGCAGATGATGTTTGCGTTGCCCAGGATAATTAGAATGGAGAAATTTTTTAATTAGTTTGGTTTTTCTAGATGGAATTGAATTATGCAGTTGGTGTACGACGTTGATGCTTTGTTTGAATTAGGTAGTTGATGGGTCTTTGCACTTGTATGTTAGATGCTGCTTAAAACATTGAAAAAGATTCAAGTATGAAATACTGAAATACTGTTATTATTGACTGCTACGGTTAGAACATGACTATTTTTTCATGTTTTGAATCGGGTAAAATGGAAAACGCTCTGGATCTGTTCTACACAACGAATTTGACTGGACTTTTCTGTTGATGTCAAGACTTTTAATGCCATTATTTGTGGGCAGAACAGAACTCATGCTTGATTTGATAAAATTTACTCTTTGCTATTGAATTACCACAAATTTTACCTAAGTTTGCAATCTGCACTTTTTTCCTCCTTTTGGAAGGTTTTCAAGATGGATAAAAGTTGGATGAATAAGCACAGGGCTAGTGATGAATATAGAACTGGTTTGAACAATTTTCTTGCATTTGCATTTGGTTCACCGTGTGCTCAAGATGGCAAAATTCTATGCCCATGCAAAAACTGTTGGAACCGTTCTTGGAAGTCTCATGGTGATGTATATGATCACTTGATATGCGTTGGATTTCTACCCAATTATACTCATTGGATTTTACATGGGGAGAGTTCATTTCATGCTTCGCCTCCACTGAGTACTACATACCAAGATCACATAGATACAAACACTGGTGTGCATGATTTATTGAATGATATAACCATGGGGTTCCAGTCAAATGAAGCAGAAGAACCGAATGATGATGCTCTTAAATTTTTTAAGTTGGTGGAAGCAAATGAAACTGAACTTTATCCTGGGTGCACAAGTCATTCCAAGCTTTCTTTTATCATCAAGTTATTTCACTTGAAATGTCTTGGAAATTGGTCCATTAAATCATTCAGCTTGTTGTTAGAGCTATTGAAAGAAGTATTGCCAAAGGGAGAAACTTTACCTGTATCTTACTATGAGGTGCAGAAGCTTATATCAGATTTAGGTCTGAGCTATGAAGTTATCGAGGCTTGTCGTAATGATTGCATGCTATTTTGGAAGATGCATGAAAAGGAGTCGAAGTGTCTTGTGTGTGGATGTGATAGATGGAAAAATAAGCCGAGTGATGATGTTGGATCTTCGAAGAAGAAAACCAAGAACATTCCTTATAAGAAACTTTGGTACTTTCCTATAGGAAAAAGACTACAAAGGTTGTTTATGTCCTCAGAAACAGCTTCTTTCATGCGTTGGCACAAAGAAAGTCGTACAAATGATGGAAATTTAAGGCATCCGGCGGATTCCCCTGCATGGAAAACTTTTGACTTTATACATAAGGAATTTGCTTCTGATCCTCGCAATGTCAGATTGGGTTTAGCTGCTGATGGTTTTAATCCCTTCAGGTCCATGAATAATTCACATAGTACATGGCCAGTTGTGTTAGTACCTTATAACTTGCCCCCTTGGTTATACATGAAACAACCATACATGTTTCTATCATTACTCATTCCTGGACCTTCATCTCCAGGAAATGACATTGATATATATCTTCAACCTTTGATAGAAGAACTACAAAGTTTGTGGAATGAGGGTATAGAGACTTATGATGCATCATTGAAGCAAAATTTTAGGATGAAGGCATCATTGTTGTGGACTATTAGTGATTTCCCCGGTTATGCAATGTTATCAGGTTGGAGCACTAAGGGTCATCTGGCGTGTCCTTGTCATAAGTCCACTCATTCACAATGGTTGAAGCATTGTCATAAGTTTTGCTACTTGGGTCATCGAAGATTTTTGCATGCTGGGCATGAGTTTCGAAGACATAAGAAAGCTTTTGACAATAATCAGGAGTTTAGGCCTTCCCCACGACCTATGTCTGGATCAGAGGTCTTACTCGAGCTACAGGGCAAGCAAGTTCAGTTTGGGAAGCTCAGCAATAATGATCCATTGCCTCATGGTTGGAAGAAACACAGTATATTCTTTAACTTGCCATATTGGAAGGACAACGTGCTGAGACATAACTTGGATGTAATGCATATTGAGAAGAATGTTTGTGACAACATTCTTTGGACAATATTGAATGTAAGCGGGAAGTCAAAGGATAGTGTCAAATCTCGCCTGGACATGCAAATGATGAAGATCAGGCAGGGATTACATCCAAAAAGACATGTTTCTGGTAAATTAAAGGTACCTATTGCCGCTTTCTCCCTCAACACTAAAGAAAAGAAGACTTTCTTTAAGGTTTTAAAGGGTGTTAAAGTTCCTGATGGTTACGCTGCTAACATATCTAGATGTGTGAACTTAAAAGAATAAAAACATCTCAGGTCTGAAGAGTCATGATAGTCATATTCTGATGCAACAACTTCTTCCTTTGGCGATAAGAAGACTACTGCCCAGAGCAATTAGCAAGCCAGTGATGCAATTATGCTCGTTCTTTAAGAAATTATGTACAAAGGTCGGTCGTTTGGAGAATTTGAATAATTTAGAATCTGAAATTGCTGTAACTCTGTGTCACTTGGAAAGGATCTTTCCTCCGTCATTTTTTGACATTATGGTCCACCTAACTGTTCATTTGGTATCTGAGGTAAAGATAGGTGGGCTAGTGCAAGCACGATGGATGTATCCAATTGAGAGGTATGTTTTATTTTTAGTGATTTTTTTTATTTTTTAAGTTATACCAAGTAATGTTATTCATGTTTATTCTGTTTTTTTTTTTATTAAATTCATGTAGGTTCTTATCTACACTAAAATCATATGTTGGTAATAAAGCTCATCCAGAAGGTTCTATTGCAAATGGCTATCTTGCTGTAGAGTGTTTAACATTTTGCTCAAGATACTTACATGGAGTCGAGACACGATTTAATCGCCCTTCAAGAAATTATGATAGATTTTTCTCCGAGAATGAAACACAAGAAGAAGTACCAACTATCTTTCCAAAGATAGGTCGCTCATTTGGACATGAGGAAGTTGTCTCTCTTGGCAATGATGTTTTGGACAAGGCACATCACTATGTGCTTACTAATTGCAGTGACGTAGATCCTTTTATTGAGTAAGACACCCCTATCATTTAGCTTATTCATCTGTACTTGAGGTAAACTTTGTATAATTGTTTTAATGTTGGACAGGCAACACCTGACTTTGTTAAAAAGTCAATATCCACGCAAGTCACCTCATGCTATTCAAGTACTTCACAATTCCACTTTCCAATCCTGGTTTGCTCATCAGGTATCTTTCTATAGTTATTTTTAAATATACCATTGGTCTTTTAATGCATAAAAGATTATATTGTAGTTTAACTCCTCTACTAACATACAGATATATGAAGGCAGCCTAAACATATCTCAGCAGAAGTTGAAGTTACTGAAACGTTTGGCTAGATTACCAAACAATGTGGCCAAAAAGTTTCATGGTTTTGTTATCAATGGTTTAAGGTTTCATACCAGCGAGTTGGAGCGAAAAAGGAAAACACAGAACAGTGGTGTGATGATAACAGCGAGCACGCAAAGTTATGCTAGTGCCCGGGACAGAAATCCAGTCTATAGCGAGATAAGTTATTATGGGGTTATTCAAGAGATGCTGGAATTGGATTATAATTACGGTAACAAAGTGGTATTGTTCAAATGTGATTGGGTATCAGATGGTAGAGGTTTGAAGCATGATGATTTGGGTTTCACGTTGGTTAATTTTTCACAGCGGTTGAGTGATAAAGAGCCGTTCATTATGGCTTCCCAAGCCCAGCAAGTGTTTTACGTAAGAGATCCAATTGATACAGATTGGCAAGTTGTCATCAAAACCATACCAAGAGATCTGTATGATATGGGTGAAGAAGAAGACGTTGATGTTGATACTTTTGTGCAAACTGATGGTGATATGCTTTCTAGCCACATTCCAAATGATGATGATGTTGATTGGACTAGGACCGATAGAAATGAGGACTTGGTTGATGCTCCAGCTGAAATATTTGTACCTGAATGGAGGGGTATTTCAGATACAGAACAAGAGGAAGACAATGACGAAGAGAACAGTGGTTAGATGGTTGTCATTGTGAATTTGTTTTGCAGTTAAAGAATGAATCATATTAGTGTGCATGTGGGTGGTTTATTGGATTTGTGCACCAATTTGCTGTGTAATTGAACCTTCTTTTTTGTGATAAAGTTTTCCCATTGTTACTAATAAAGTTTCACTTTATAGTCTTTCTATCTATGCCTCACGACGCACTTTCATTACTCCTTTGCCTTACAATAAAACCCTCACATAGATAATGCCAATGGGTTAGCTATAGGGATGACAACAAAACCCGAACTCACGGGTACCCACCCGACCCAACCCGGTCAACGTGGGTAAAACCCGTGTTGACGGGTTTTGGGTCGGGTTCGGGTTTAAACCCGCTATACTATTCACCGGGTTGGGTTGGGTTTGGGTTTAGGTAAAGATCCGACCGAGGTATTCACTACCACTTCGTACCGGAGGTATTCGAATCAACTCGTAATATATCTTTATTGAACACGTTTGTAGTCGCAAAGATCCGACCGATTTAATGACCGTGATGACAACTTTAACCCTACGGATACGAATTTTGATATTATAAATATTCACACCGAACCTAATCAAATAAGTATTATAACCATGTTCTACACTCACTCTATTCAAAACTTTTTCATTTAACTTATGTGTTATATAGCATCAACAAGCTCTTTTTCTAATCGAGATAGAAGAACACAAGTTATGCAAGTACAACTAGCATGTTGACAGTTGTAGGAGTGAACTAAATAAAATGAAAAGGGTTTTTTTATTTTATTTCCGAGAAATGGAAAGGATTTAAGTTTGATAACCCAACACTAGATTTGAATGCTAAAATATTTGAATCATGACGGGATAGTAAGGTTGGCAAGTGGAATGGTACGACCGGTGCTATAACCAGTTTGTGCCGGTTCATGCCGGTTTAAAAAAATATGAAAATAATTAATATTCAATGTATTTAATCATGTATTAAAAATATTTGTGGACAATTTAGTCACAATCCAACAAATATCATCAATTTTTAACTATTACATTCATAAAATGAATAATAAATTAGTTTTTTTATTAATTGAATTCATTAAAATGATGTCATTTTGCTTAGAATGTGTAAGTCGATCATACCGGTCATACCTGTGGTGTCATGCCGGTTTTATGACCGGCACAGGTTGAACCAGGTTCAACCGGGTGGCATGCCACCGGCATGACAACCATGCGGGATACATAAGAGGTTTAATATTTAAATTTTGTATAAATAAGACTTAATAGCTAAAAAGTGAGCGGCTACCATCCAAAAAACAAACCAAAAAGAAAGCGCCAAAAGTGAGCGCCAAAAGTTCTATTAAACCTAAATAATTACCGGCGCAGCCATCCATACTTCCTATTAAACGGGTTCCCGCTTTCCAATCAGGGGTTTCTCAAAGGAAGGCTTCACCAATAGTGATTTCGTAGCGGCGGCAAGAATAGGTATCATCATTTTAATCAAAATTGGCTGTTGGTTTTTGATTTTGATCATGTTATTAATAACAGGCGATGGCTCGTTCGAGATCTCAATCGGCTCAGAGTGTAGTTCCTCATTCAAATCAGAATCGTGAAAGTGTAGTTCCAGGTAAGCTTACTCTTGTGCTAATCGTTTGCCTCTTTATGTATATTGAGAACTATATCTATATATTAACTTCTCTATATTCTTCGGCTTCTTGTCCCATTAGGGATTTGCCATGGAATTCTAATTTTGTTCTGATTGTAGACTCCTGAACATGGAGGTTACACCTGGTCCATTCATGATTACATTGTTTCATGCAGGTTCAACACATATCAAACAAAAAAGAGGTCCTACAAAGTGCAAGGATACTTGGGCTTTGTCGAAGGGTGAAAAGTTGCATATCAGGGTCAATACTCAGGGACAACCAATAGGTAAAAATGTTAAAAAACTGACCAATTTTTTGGGTACTTTAGCAAGGAATGGAGCTTATGCTCCCCTCAGATATGAGGATTGGAGGAACATGCCAAACTATTACAAAACTGAAATGTGGGATTTGGTACAGGTATGCATATTGAGTCACTTATACAGCAAGTATCTTTAATTCATGAGTTTCTCCATCCTCATTTGCAGTTCAACTCATATGTAGGAAAAATTTGACATTGACCCATTCGTTGAACCTTGGATATTGAGTTCCTTGAGTAGCAAGTGGAGGAACTTTAAGTCTTCTGTAAAGAGAGATTGGTTTCGAGATAAAGAGCGTGATGAAAGGGTATCAAATGATGATTGGGCATGGCTATTACGATTCTGGAGCACTGACAAAGCTGTGGTATGGTTCATATAATCAACAAATAAGGTCATCTCTTTGTTTCTACTCAACCTAATTTTGTGCTAATAAGCTATTACACTTGTTTGCTGTTATAGAAAAGGGAAGTGGTGGGCAAGGAAAACAGGGATAAAGTGATATCAGCACACACCTTGGGATCCAAAAGCTATGCTTGCAAGAGAGACGAGATGGTAGTATGATAACTTTCTACTTTTAAATAATAATGCATTATCAATTGTTAATTTATTTAATTTGAACATTGTAGGCAGAATCTAGACTGGACAAGCGCGAGCCAACCAGAGCCGAGGTTTATGTTGCTGCTCATGTGCGTCCAAATGGGGCTCCGTTGAATGACAAAGTTGCAAAGGTTATTGTAAGTATTGCATAACTGAATTCATATGGTTACTAGAGATAATTCAAGCATTACAATTTTGTATAAAATCAATTTTAAACTGTATATTTTTTCAGGAAAAAATAAATGAGAAGAAAACTCAAATAGAGCCTACTCATCATGATAGTCCTGGACCACATGATATACTATCACAAGCACTCGGAGAAGACAAATATCATCACTCGAGAACATTTGGATTAGGGTCAGGTTGGGGAATGAAGAGTTCTCGGTTGTCAATATTAAAGAAAGCATTAGAGGGGAAAAGAAATGCTGAAGAGAATGCGGAAAAGATGAAAGGAGAACTGCATGAGGTGAGAGTAGGACAAGGAAAAATCATGACTTTGCTGCATAAACTTCATCCAAATGTGAGCATTGATGAATTGCTAGACTCAACAATGCAGGTACATCCTCTTCTTTAACTAGTAATTTGAAACATTATGAGTTACATTTCTTTCATTAACATGACTGTATTCATTTGAGCTATAGGACCATGTAGTGATTGAATCAGAAAGTAATGGGGATGAAATGAGTCCAACTGGATTTGGGAGAGAAGATGAAAACTTAGGGAGGAGTCCACTGCTTTCCATGTTGCAAGACACAACTCCACAAAGAACTAACAGTCAATCAAATGAGGTCAGTTTAAATTAAGTTTTCTAATGGACAATCTTTACTCTATAATTGATAACTGGTTATGAATATTTTATTGATTACGTCAGGTTTCACCAAATCATATTCTCCAAACTTACCTGCCTCATTACCATGGCTTATCATCTGAAGTGAACTCTTCTGATATACAAAACAAGACTTCCCAAATGGTAATTTGTTGTAGTCCTCTGTTACTTCATTAGTTTTGTGGATGTTTATGGAAGTTCTCTCCTTTTAACCTCTATGTTGGTTCCTCGCAACTATTTTTTCTTTTGTAATGAAATTTTGGTTCTGTTTGCCTTAAATTTTCTATTGGAGTTCCTTTCTTCATTATCAAAGCATTTATCTTCTCTAATATATTATGCAGCCACCAAACAAGACATTCTCGTTTTTGGATTCTATTTTGGATTCATCTCACAATGGTGGTTCCTCTACCCAATCACAGGTGCATTATAGTTCACACACACACACACACACACACATATATATATATATACAACACTTGTTAGCATGGTTTTGTTTGGAGTTAATTAATTAACATTTTGATTATCAGGGATTAGAATTTGTAATATTGAAGAGCTTGTTAAGTCCTGAAGTTAATGTGGCGTATGCTAATATCATAACTAAAGATCCAAAGGGTTGTGTGGCTGGCCAAGAATTGGGTCGTGGATTTTATGAAGTATTCATTCACGTCCCTTTTAAAAGTGATGAGCCTTTAGTACGACCATATGGAAGTTTTCAAACAATTGGGGATGTGATTGGAAGGAGTATCGCTTGGCCATCATCCTTGGTAATTAAGTTAAATGCAATTGGTTATATTTAGTTTGATTTTTTTTCTTGACAAATATATGATTCATTTAAAATTTTGTTTTTGTAACAGGTCACATTCGCTGATACCCAATTATTTTGAAGATGCTCAATCATATTGCAGATATCTGCTACTTCCTCAAGTTTGGAGAGTAGTTATAATAGAACCATTTAGTTTTTAGTGCTCGTTTTCTTTATTGAAATTGGATATTATTTTACTTTGTTGGAAGGATTTTAGTTTTTTTTTATAGATTGGAGGATTTTAGTGTTGGTACACGGTTTACAAATGTTACGGATTCACTGCTCTTTTATGGTTTATATAATTTTCATTTATATTTGTCTTTCTATTATTCTTTTATTAATTTGCGTATGTGGATTTCATGGGTGAAAAGCCAATTGAATACCATATTTCTTTCCATCTACATATATTAATTTGTGACGAATAATACTGTATTGAAAAAGGTCTTGAGTGACATATATAATTGTTGTACAATATCCATATCGCAAACAAAAATATTTGCTTTTGTAAACAGTATTAGAGACACGAACATGAGTCACCTAAGGGTTATTTACATACATATATATTGGTCTCAAAAACATAATTAGGAGGCAAAATTATATGTCTCGGAAAAGAACAGTAGAGACAAATAATAATGTCTTCAAATTTATATTTGAAGACAAGTATAACAGTCTCAATAAATAATTTCAGAAACCAATATATTTGTCTCTAAATATAATTTTGGAGACGGATATTTGTGACTTTAAAATTAGAAATGAATGCAAATAAAATAGTGACCAAAATATTTATTAGATGCTAAAATATTAGTTGCGGTATCTATAATTAGTAACAACTAATATTTGTCTCCATATTTGTCTCTATATGGCTATAGTGACAGCGCTACAGGAGACAAATTTGTAATTTGCATCTAAATTAATATAGAGACAAATAACTATCATATAGAGACACATTTTTTTTGTCTCTATAGTCAAGTTTTCCTGTAGTGAATCATCACTAACCATCAGACAATGTGGGCAAAGTGCTACATGAACCATGTGTTTCAAACCCTAAACCCTAAGTGAACCCTGAACCCTGAACCCTAAACCCTTTGTTGATGTGACTTGAATCGGACTATCAGCCGCTACGACTGGTAATTGGGGGTCTCGCTGCCCACCAAACCTGCTTCACAAACTCCAACCCAACTCGCCACATTAATATAGCCTACCATTGAATGGTGAATTATCAAAATGGCAGCCTACACAGTTGACAGATGAGGCAAGTGCCAACTAGTCTTGCCCTTAGGGTCAGCTGACACTAGTCTTGGATATGGTAATGGCTGGTTTCCAGTGACAGTGGCAGTAGTATTCATTATTGATTTATGGAGCGACCAAATCGAAGATACAGCTGCAGGCTTCTTGCTCAGAGAAACCCGAAAAATATTAAAGGAAGTATTATGCTGCATTGGTTTTGTCTTCATTTCCACTACTTAATTTTAATTCATAGCGAACATATTCGCTTTCACTTATTAATTATGTCATGACTGATAAAAAAAGTGAACAAAAATAAAGAATATAAAGATTTACGTTGTTCACTGATACGATGTGAGTTATCTATTGACTAATTTCGCTATGTTTGAGGAGACAATCCGACTCCAAGTCGTCGTAACAGTTGGTACAAATTAAACAAGTCTCAAAGTACAGGGTTATTATTCTTAGCATAAGAAACGAATCCAGATTCTTGTTCCAACATGGTCATTTCCTTTTCATGCAAGGTGAGCCAAACTTCCACCCCATATCCAGCTGGGGACTCCAGCAACGCCACCATGTTTGTGGTGGGATTGACGAACTGAGCCAGGGAGACCCAAGCAGGCCTCCCCCACCCAAAATCGACATCATACAGTCTCAGTCCAATCGTGGAAGATATTATGAACGGCACTACCGCACTCCCCTTCTTAAGAGCATCTGTCACGATTCCCGATTCCAGATTCCTCATGTACTCTTGTCTCCCATCTCCACCTTGTACCTTTTCCATAAACTCCTTGTCCAGTTTCGCAACCGATGCTCTCAATTTTTCGACCAGTTCTTGCAGCATTTTCGTTTCTTGTTGTTCATCATCCACAATATCTTGTTGTTGTTGATCGCTGCAGTATAATGACGGGACAGCCCAAATTATGTTGCCGACGGAGTACTGTGGCCATGGCTCATTCATTCGAGATCGGAGATTCACCATCATCGCTACGACCCAAGATATGCATAAAACCCAAAAATTAGAATTCAACCGATCGATCAAGTAACTCGAGCTTTCTGAATCATTTAATTAAACGTTAATTAATTAATATCGAGAAACAATTAATATTAGGATTACCTGCAACCGAGACAACTGATGTGGGCTTTGGCCCGGCAGGCGACGCAGCAGCTCTGGCGGCGGCTGCGCTCATGACGGATTGCCACAAAAACCCAGCAACTGCCTCCGTCCGGCTAGGGTTAGGTACCGTGCTGCTCTTGGCTTTGGCTTTCAGTGCATAAACCGCTTCTTCATCGAACACGAATCTCCTCGCCAGGATCTTATTCCCTTCTTGTTTGCCGTCCACAAAATCCTCCGCCGCCGCGGCAACGTCGTCGTGACGAACCGGCAGTAGCGACGTGGCGGCGCGGTTGTGAGCGTACGCGGTGTCGCCGACCGCCGCCGTCTTCTCCTCGCTCCTGGCGACGGCGGACCAGAGCTTCATGAAATCGGCCAGAGTTGCCGCGTCGACGATCTTGTGCAACAGGCAGACCCCGATGGCGAGGCCGCCGCAAGGGAAAGCGGTGGCCCTGAAGGCGATCTGCGGCGCCGACTCGAGCGCCCGAGTCGAGTAGACGAAGTCGGCGGGGAAAGGGAGGAATTGTTGGAGCGAGTCGAGCTGCAGTGGCTTCCCCAGAAACCGGGCCATGGACGACGAGTCGTCATGACCATCATCGACGGTTGCGGAAGAGAACGGCACTCCCTCGTCGTTGCAATGGACGACGGGAACTGATGAACCGTCGGCGGCGGAGGATCTGGACAGCCTGCCGGCGAGCGGGTAGAAGCGCGTGAGGGTCTGGGCGAGTGAGGACTTGAGGGTGTGGAATCTGTCTTGTTGTTTTGTGGGAGCGGATGGAGGATAGAAGAAGATGAAAGGTACGTAGAGGGGCGGGGCGTGGTTGTCCATGAGCGAGAGCTTGAAGGTGGCGAGCCGGGAGGGAGTTGGTGAACAAGGTTTGATGGTTTCCGTGGAGCTCAGGCTGATCTTAAGATGATCGTGATAATGGTGATGGCTGGTTTTGTGTGATGGTGGTAACAGTGATACCCTGAGTGACCAAATCGAAGATGCAGCTGCAAGCTTCTTCTTGCTTAGCGAAACCCGAAACATCAATGGAAACATGGTGGTGGTTGTTGCACCTTGATAATCAGGTAGTAGAATGATTATGAAGGGAATGACCCCCCAAAATGACTACTAAATTAAATATATAGATCAGAGTTCAGTAGTAGATGCCAAGGGTTTTGCCAGTTTTCTCTTTTCCAACTTGGGCATGTGAGAAGATTCACAATTAGTCTTGGGTTCCCGTGCAATATCATTGAGGTCAACTGTTTAATTTTAACTTGAAATCGTGCAAATGACGTTGTTAGGATTAGTTTAGAATAATTTAAAACTAGTAGCAAATGCTGTAAACTTTGGGGTGTTAGCACCGTAGTCACGTTTAGGGTTGTTAATGAGTTAAGTCTAGTTGATTTCGGGCGGCTTGACTCGTTAATAAATAAGCCGAGGTCAAGTTCAGCTTATCAATGAGTTGGGTCGAGTCGAATTCGGGCCGACTCATTTATTAAAATTTTGGCTCATCATTAAGATGAAGAGTTCGGATTATACTCAATTCTAAAATTATTAATAAATTAAATACTCTAATATTTATATGTCATATATGATACATGTGATTAACTGATCTCATGTCATATATGTGACATATTTGCTCATATAGCCAAAGTCTTTAACATCATATGAGGTGAGATATACAATTTAATAAAACTATGAATTATTAACAAGCCAACTCATAAGATACAGATCGTATTTTACTCATAAGCCAACAATCGAGTTGGCTTGCTAGTCACAATCTTGAGACATCTCATGATCCCAAAACGCGATAGTTCACGAGTTGAACTCAACAAGCCACCTAGTCGAGTTGGATCATAAGCCTCACGAGTTGAACAAATCTTAGCTCGAACTCGACTCATTTATTTTCCAAATCGAACGAGTTTTTCTCGAGAACCGCTGGTGGGCAACTTGACTCATTAGCAGCCGTAGTCACGTTGCACGCATGCCCAAGCCATAAAAGAGAAGACTAGTAAACGCCTTGGCATCTGCTAAATACAGGAAACAGGGGATCGAATCCATAACCAGGGGATGATAGATTCGAAATCCTCAAGTCATCACTCGGCCCAGACCCTCACGCGCTTCTACCCACTCGCCGGGAGGCTGTCGAGATCCGGCGGCGACAATGATGATTCCGTCACCACCATCGTCCGATGCCGAGTAGTATTATGGATTATTCGTGAGATTGAAAGGTTGCAAATAATTATATAGCAGACGAGCTTCCTGAGCTCATGACTTCATCTAATTATATAGGCAATTTGGATGTACGTACGTAGATTGGTGGGATATGGGCAGGTGCATCGTAATAGTTTACACACGCTTCCCTGTGCCCACCTGCAAAGTCGTCTACCGCGCTTACTTCAACCGCCTATTCGCCCCGACATACTTCTCCGCCGTCGCTGCCCTCTTCTACCACCACACCCTCCTCCGCCACCTCTCCTCCCCCCTCCGTCGCCATCATCCACACCTCCTCCTCATCCTCGCCGACGTCATCTTCGCTCTCATCTGGCTCACCAACCAGACCTTCCGCTACCGCCCCCTCATCAGCCGCGAGTTCATCGAGAACGTGGAGAAGGTGGCCCGGCCGGACGATTTCCCGGCGATGGACGTGTTCATAGGCTTCAATTCCGGGGCCGATTGATGTTGACGGTAGCAGATAGCGATTACAAGAGGGGTTTCTAACCGCAATTTTCTTTTCAGATACGCGCTCTCTCTCTTTCCTCCCTAATTTTATTATTTATTTATTTCCATAAATATAGTTTCAAACTCTTTTATGTTTCCTTTCCTTAACTGTTCGTATATATAACTTTTCATTAACTATACTGTAAAAATTAAAATAAAATTGTTTTTCTTTTGGCATTGTTAGCTTTAGATTTGGAGTATCCGACTAAGCCTCAATATGTTGTTTAAGTCCATTCGGTGGAACTTAGTTGTCCTACAGTATAAGCGCTTGTGTGTTTGTTTGTTTTTGTAGGGGTACGTAGTTTTCCCTCAACCATATAGCATCAATCTATTATGCTTCTCAACAGTGAAAGTTGGCACGGGCCCACCAAGGTGCTTAATTTGTGGTGCAGATCTGTGTTGCCAAACAATTGTTGGAGGTTCTGCATGCAAGCGGTAATCGGAATGGCTACTCTACTTTTGCTATTGGCAACGATGATCTATTCTCGGACTTCCCTGGCTTTGGCTTGTGTTATGTACACGGTTGTATCCTTTGTTACATTTCTTAGGATACTGATAGAGCTGTCCATTTAGTGGCTAAAAAGGCTCTTTTATCGGCGTATTGATTAGCTATTGACCGCCGCATTTGATTATTCATATTTATAACATACTGCATTGTACACCTACCTATGTCTTTGTACACCTATCTATGACAAAAAAAAAAAAAAAACAAAAACAAAACAAACTCATGAAACTGCAATGTGAAATTAATCAAGAGTCTTCCAAACAAATACGATTCATGTATCAACTTTGAGTGAAACGATTATGCATACATCTATGTAAAAATATAATATACTACAACCAAGACATGTAAAGAAAAAGACGAGAAAAATATCACAATATAACATTCATGGGATACAATCCAACAATAGGAAACAATCACAACTTATGTGATAAAGTTCTAATGATAGCTCAAAGAAATGGAAACTTAATACGTAGTCGGGCCAAATAAAGCTCAAAGTACAGCCATGTTATTCTTAGCATAAGTAGCAAACTCAAGTTTTTGTTCTAGTATGGCCATTTCTTTTTCATGCAAGGTGAGCCAAACTTCAACCCCATTTCCAACTGGGGACTGTAGCAAAACGGCCAAATTTGGGATGGGATTGGGGAATCTAGCCATGGTGACCCAAGCAGGCTTTCCCCATCCAAAATCAACATCGTAGAATCTCATTCCGATATTGGAAGTTATCCTAAATGGCACTACTATAGTCTCGTTTTCAGCATCAGCATCTACCGCAATCGCCGGCTTCCACAATGCTTCTAGATTCATCAGATACTCTTGTCTCCCATCTCTGCCTTGTAACTTTGTCATAAACTCTTTATCCAGTTTCGCAACTGACTCCCTCAATTTAAGGACCAGCTCTTGTACCGTCGTCTTTGTTGCATCATCCAAAGAATCATGTTGATGATTGTTGTGGTATAACGACACTGCCGTCCAAATTATATTACCAACAGAGTAATCTGGCCATGGCTCGTTCATTCGAGATCGGAGGTTAACCGCCATCGCTATGATCAACATGCATCAAATAAAAATTAACCAATGAGCGGTTGCGCAGTGAGTCTCGAGTTGAGGTGGGTAATGGAAATACCCATTGTGTTTTAACATTTGTGCATCATTTAAACATAGGGTTAATTGCAAGGATGGTCACTGGGTTTACTAAAACCGTTCATATTTGGTCACTGCAAATATTTAATTCCATTCATGGTCACTAAAATTAGTTCAATAGTTCAAGTTTGGTCACTCTCCGTTAATCTCCGTTAGTTTTTGCTGATGTGGCAGTCAACTATTATAGTTGACCGTTAAATGAGTGACGTGGCCATTAAAAAATAATAAAATTTAAATATTTACAATTTCCACCTCATTTTACAACTATTAAAAATAAAAATAAAACTTACCTCCCTACACACTCGCTCCTCCATCTCCGCCAGTGTCCGATCCCAACAAAATTCCCCGCCGCCATCCACCACCGTCCCAGTCCCAATCCTCGACTCTCGACTCGCAGATCCCGTCGAGCACCTCCTGAATTCCGACGATCCGCCTGCTCGCCTTCCCATTGAAGAAGGAAAAAATTTCTATCTCTTGCTTTTGCTTCCGAAGAAATGGCGACGGCGATTCTCTCCCCTCGCGATTGCTTGCAAGGTCGGTTCCGCCGGGAAGCTTTCGCGTTGCGATCTTCACCTCGCGTGGCGAGGGATGATGCGGTTGCTAACCCTAACCCTAACCCTAACCCTAACCCTAGGGGCACAGGCGGAAGAGGAGTCCCATGGGGCGCCAGGGGGATACGGCGGCGTCGCGATCGAAACAGTCACTGGTGGTGAAGCTCCCCGGAAATAATCTCGTGATGGGACAGGTGAAGATATTGAAGCGCGGGGAGTTGCTGGAGTGAGGATGAGAAGAAGGGGAAGAAGCTGGTGGTGGATCTTGGATTGGGATCGACAGATCGGTTTGGGCCGGAACCGGAGACGTTGCTGAAGGAGGTTAGGATTGAGGAGTTTAATAAAGCCGTGGATGTGATGTATGCAGGCTCGGCGTTTTTCACCTCGCCGCCACAAGTTCGCTTCCTGTGCCGGCGTTTTTGGGGAAAGGTGGGATTGGGGATGCTACTACTGATCTCCGGCGATTACTGGGGTTGAATCTGATTTAATTTGGTGATCAATGAGAAGGTGAAGGATCAAAGATGATGATTCTTGTTGTTGATGCTGCCGCTTAATAGTTTTCTGCTTTCGTTGCTGCTGCTGATGTCAATTGCTTGGTGACTAGAAGCTTGAGATCACTCCTTTATTTTTTCAAGAGGAAGGCTAATCAGAGCTCAAGCAATTTGGTGGGAACTGGGAATTGCTATGTTTCTTGGGGGTGGAAAGCTGAGATTCTCCTCCATGAATGGTTGAAACAGGGGAAATGGAATATTTTAAAATAATAAAAATTAATATTTTAATTTTAATAATTTATGATTTTATTTTTATCTTTTTAATTGTTAGAAATGAGGTGGAAATTATAAAATATTAATTTTTATTATTTTTTTAATTTTTTAATTGTCACATCACTCACTTAACGGTCAACTTTTAAAGTTGACCGCTACGTAAGCAAAAGTTAACGGAGTTGGACGGAGAGTGACCAAACGTGAATGATTTCAGTAAATTGAAGTATCACTAATGAATTTAAATATTTCAAGTGACCAAACTTGAACGTTTTTTGTAATCTCAACGACCAACCATGCAATTAACTCTTTAAACATATAAGAAATACAAAATATAATTTTGGCATTACTTGCAATTGAGACGACCGATCTGGGGTTTGACCCGTCGGTTGACGCTGCTCTGGCGGCTGCGCTCATCACGTGCTTCCACAAAAACCCACCAACTGCCTCGCTCCGGCTCGGGTTGGGTATCTGATCGCTCTTCGCTATGGCTTTCAGCGCGTGAATCGCTTCTTCGTCGAACGTGAGTCTCCTCGTCAGGATCTTCCCTTGTTCCCCCACAAAATCCCCTGGCGCCGCGGCGACGTCCTCGTGCCGCAGCGGCAGGAGTGACGTGGCAGCGAGATCGTGAGCACACGCGCTGTCGCCTACCACTGCCGCCGCCGTTTTCTCCTGGCTCCTGGCGACGGCGGACCAGAGTTTCAGGAAATCGGCCAAGGTGGGGCCATCTACGATCTTGTGAAAGAAGCAAACACCGATGGCGAGCCCGCCGCAGGGGAACGCGGTAGCCCTGAAGCCGATCTGTGGCACCGATTCGAGGTCCGAGATTATGAGATCGGCAGGGAAAGGGAGGAATCGCTCGAGCGAGTCGATCTCGACTCGTCTCCTGAGAAACTGGGCCATGGACGAGTCGCCCACCACCGTGGCGTAAGAAAACGGCACACCCTCGTCGTTGCAATGGACAAAGGGAACGGAACCGGCTCCTTCATTGACGTACCTGCCGGCGAGTGGGTAGAAGCGCGTGAGGGCCTGGGCGAGTGAAGACTTGAGGGTCTCGATTCTCTCCCCTGGTTTTGGTCCCGTGGAGCCGGGAGCGGGGAAAAAGAAGATGAAAGGTACATAAATTGGCGGGACATGGTTGTCGATGAGGGAGAGCTTGAATGTGGCGAGTTTGGCGGGAGTTGGGGAAGACGGTTTGATGGTTTCTGTGGAGCTTACGTTGACTTTATGATGAAAATAATAATGGTACTGATTGCTGCTGGTTTTCAGTGATGGTAATACTCTATGGAGGGAACAAATGGAAGATGCAGCTGCTGCAGGCTTCTTGCTGAGAGCAACACGAACCAGAAATGGAAACATGGTTGATGGGTGTAACGTAACAATTAAGGTCGTACAATGGTGATAAAGGGAAATAAATGACTTCCCAAAATGGCTACTACCAATTATATAGATCAGATTCAGAGCTTTGGGCATCAAGTACTCGAGGGTTTGGAATCAGAGAGACCAGCTGGCTAATTTTGGGTTGATTAGCGCAAAGAAAAAATATATTATCTTTCAAGATGTATATTGGAGTTATTCATAAATAGGGATCTCCGGACAATATATTGTGTTGTACGTGAGGACAATACTTGTTGGCAGGTTGTTATGCACGACGACAATTGTAGCAAGGCAGGCAGATGCTCTTTTCATGATTTTCCGTGGAGCCGACACAGATCTTATGATGATCATCACTAGCTGGCTCCGCCAGTACTGGCGGTGACTGGTGGAGGATAGGGCTGTAATTAAGGTGACGACACTCGTTGGCCGGAGCGGAGAAACACGTATCTCCTTTGGCAGCAAACAAACCTGCCTACATGCTGCGTATCATAATATAACCCAAGAGACGAGAACATCATTTGATCGATGTTTGTGTTTCATCTATGGTTTTAGGCACGTTAACAGGATATCCTCCAATTCAGGTGGATTACACAAAAGTCTAGAATTAAATTTTGATCGTCAAGTTATCTATTTTAATCTTTGGTATTTGTTTACGACGATGAATATATAATTTAAAATTATAACTAATCCATGCCATTTACTAATAAATATTTTCCTTATAATATGATTATTATTATTATGAGATGAATTTCTGAAAGTCTACTGAGTTAGTTTTAGAATTCCTTAAAATAAAAGTAAATTCATGTTTTTTTATTGTTCATTACTATACAATCAACCATTTTAGGACGAATCTGGTGATTAAAAACAAGAATCATGAAATAAGATGTATAAAATATGCATACACCCAAAATGGAGAGCGTAACTTGATTGGGGTTCGGTTTCTGTATTATCATGGCACTGTTATAACAAATATACGAACGTGAATTATTGATGAAATACGACGGGGACAACAAGATTTTATTAATTGTTGGAGAGTATTATTGGCAGCCATATTAATTTAATAATACTCGTTTCCTTGTGGGGGTGGTGGTGGGGGGGGGGGGGGGGTATTTCAAACTGTTCTATCGGTTTGAGATCCCTAGTCTTGACATGGATCTCAAATCTATAGATCTGTACGGTCTCTCTAGTTTCTCTTGGGAGAACTAACCAGCTGACAATGTGTAATCGTAAAGTCTCTTTGATAATTGCGTGCAAATAGGTTAGCTCATTGAGTCGATCTTCATCAACATTTCCCTTGCTTTGGAAGACTCGACTCACCTCTTCCTTCGCTTGTTGTAACCTCTGACACGGTCTATTTTATTGAGCTCGCCGCTCGTTAATGTCTCAACTCCACCAAGAAACATATTCTAGTATACAAACAAGTCATAATCCATATCGATAGTAACACAAAGTAAAAGATTATAAAATTGTACTCTAAAAAAATCAATTTTAACTTTTTATACAACTTTAGAAAACAGTTTCTCTAGAACAAAAATTGATAATTCATTATTGGTCAAATACCAGGAAGAAGTCAAAGTTGATAATTCATTGTTGCTTAAATTTCAAAGCAATAATTATGAATGAAATAATTTATTAATAATACTGACAAGAACGGCGGCTTTGATGTCGTCGGTTGCCAAAGGGATGTCGAGGTCCCAAGTCTCTTGAAGGTTGAGCAGAATGTTCTCCGCTTCATCACCTAGACGCCGTCGTTTCGTGATATCCCTTCTCCTCCGAACTCGATGTTGTTCGAGGATTCCTTCAAAATCCATTAAGCGCCCTTACGTTCTCGTCAACCACGGCCAAGAACCCTTCTCCGATCTCGTTCTCCAACTCCCCGAAAGCGGACCTCGACGTCACTCGACTCGCCGGCGGGACCAGGAACGTTCTCAATTCTCATGTTCACCGCTGCTTTCATACGTTTAATCACGCAAATAATCAACTTTTAATCACGGAACTAAGTTGTTATTGTGAATTCAGAATGATAGTTAATTGTTCTGCTCAGCCAGAGGTGGATGCGTGACTTGGCGGGCGATGAGAACAAAATAAGGGCAATAGTACTGCCGTAATTCTCAAACATTTATCTCCACGTATCACTATGAAAAAATAAATAACATCTATGAGTCTTAGTTTCAAACTATGATGTGAAATTAATCTCACTCTCAAACAAATACAATTCATATAATGTCAACTTTGAGGGAAACAATTACGTGTGTATTAATATGAAAATATATTAACTCATAATACAACCAACCCACATAGAGAAAAGTAGAAAAAGATCACGACATTATCACCTTCATCGGATACAATCCAACAATAAGAAACAATCACCACTTATTTGATGAAGTTATAAAGCAAAAAAGGAAACTTAATAGGTAGTCGGGGCTCAAAGTACACACATATTATTCTTAGAATAAGTAGTGAATTCAGGTTCTTGTTCCAGCATGGCCATTTCTTTTTCAGGCAAGGTGAGCCAAACTTCAACACCATATCCAACCGGAGACTGCAGCAAAAAGGCCACATTTGGAGTTGGGAATTGAGCCATGGTGACCCAAGCAGGTTTTCCCCATCCGAAATCAACATCGTACAATCTCAGTCCAATTGTGGAAGTTATTGTAAACGGCGCTACTATACTCGCGTTTTGAACAACAACATCTACCATGATCGTTGCTGGCTTCCAAAATGCTTCTAGGTTCCTTAGAAATTCTCGTCTCCCATCTCTGCCTTGTAACTTTCTCATAAACTCTTGATCAAGTTTCGCAACTGACCCCCTTAATTTACGAACCAACTCTTGTATTGTTTTATTTGTTCCATCATCTAAAGAATCTTGTTGTTGATCGCTGTGGTACAATGAAAGAGCAGGCCAAATTATGTTGCCAACAGAGTAATCTGGCCATGGCTCATTCATTCGAGATCGAAGATTAACCGCCATTGCTATGACCAATATATGTAAAAAATAAAAATGAATCAATCAATACTACAATAACTTTGAGTTACGTTGTAGAGAAGTATGTTTAATTTAACCTTTGTGCATCATTTAGACATTTGAAATGCAAATAAATGTTGGCAGGCATTACCTGCAACTGAGACAACGGATTTGGGCTTTGACCCGTCGGGTGATGCTGCCCTGGCAGCTGCACTCATCACCGATTTCCACAAAAATCCACCAACAGCCTCGGTCCGGGTCGGGTCGGGTATCTGATCGCTCTTCGCTTTGGCTTTCAGCGCGTGGATCGCTTCTTCATCGAACGCGAATCTCCTCATCGACACCTTCCCTTCTTCGCCCTCTGTGGCCGCGGGGACATCGTCGTGTCGTGGCGGCAGGAGTGACGTGGCGGCGAGATTGTGAGCGTACCCGCTGCCACCCGCCGCCGTTTTCTCCTCGCTGCTGGCGAATGCGGACCAGAGTTTCATGAAATCGGCCAAAGTGGGGCCATCTATGATCTTGTGCAACAAGCACACACCGATGGCGAGACCGCCGCAGGGGAACGCGGTAGCCCTGAAGCCGATCTGCGGCGCCGATTCGAGGCCCGAGATGATAAGATGGGAAGGGAAAGGGAGGAATTGCTGGAGCGAGTCGATTTCGAGTCGTCTCCTTAGAAACTGAGACACGGACGCATCGAACGTGGCGGAAGAAAACGGGACACCCTCGTCGTTGCAGTTGATGACTGGAATGGGACCGGCTTCGTTATCTTCGTCGGATCTGGACAGCCTGCCGGCGAGTGGGTAGAAGTGCGTGAGGGTCTGGGCGAGTGAAGACTTGAGGGTCTCGAATCTCTCCCCTGGTTTTGGTCCCGTGGAGGCGGGAGCAGGAAAAAAGAAGATGAAAGGTACGTAAATTGGAGGGACTAGGTTGTCCATGAAGGAGAGCTTGAATGTGGCGAGTTTGGAGGGAGTCGGGGAAGACGGTTTGATGGTTTCTGTGGAGTTTACGGTGACTTGATGACGATAATAATGGTGATTGCTGCTGGTTTTCAGTGATGGTGGTGGTAGTAGTAATACTCTATGGAGGGACCAAGTGGAAGATCCAGCTGCAGGCTTCTTGCTCAGAGCCACCGCCCGAAACATCAATGGGAACATCGTCTATGGGTACGTAGTGCAAACCCAACACACTGCTAAATATATAACACCCCTTAAAATGAAAATCACTAACACATGGACTTTATACAGGTTTCAGACACCATGTACTTATTAATAGGGTCATTGGAATTCAAGCAAAACACATCTTGGTCACAAAAAGTTTCGATACCAAAATCAAAATAAGTTTCAATAACTTGAATTATTGAATAAGTTTCGAATTTCGAGATAGGAAATTCCTACAATACCTTGAAGTTATGGTAACTTGATGTTTTTGACATGCTATAACAGGTTTCACAAGTCGTATTACGTAAAATACAATAGTCATTACGTAATGGTTACGTAATGTGTGTTTATCTTACGTAATAGTTGAAAAATGTCATTACGGAAACCTTACGTAATAGAGACTCATTTTACGTAATGAATATTAACCTTTCGTTACGTAATCTGTTGAATCATTACGAAAGGCTTACGTAACACTTCTCATTTAACTGTTACGTAAGAAATAACTATCGTTACGTAACCTTTACGTAATAGATGCATACTTTACGTAACAGTTGTAAAGTGGCATTACGGAAGCCTTACGTAATGGATGGTCCTTTTACGTAATGATATTAATCAAGTCACGTAATGTGGTAAGTCATTACGGAAGTCTTACGTAACACTTCTAATTTAACTGTTACGTAAGAAATAACCTTCGTTACGTAACCTTTACGTAATGAGCGTGTATTTTATGTAACAGTTGTAAAATGTCATCACGGAAGCCTTATGTAATAGACGATGCTTTTACATAATGAATATTAACCTAGCATTACGTAAAATGATAAATCGTTACGGAAACCTTCCGTAACGCTTCTCGTTTAACTGTTACGTAAGACTAACAAGCATTACGTAATTGTTACGTAATAAACATTAGTTTTACGTAACGCGACCTATAAAACCTGCTATAGTAGGTAAAAAACGTCAAGTTATAGTAACTTCAAGGCATGGTAGGAGGTCCCTTCGAGATATGTCATATACCACTTATTTGTCAAGAACCAGTTGATCCCAATAACTCGAGTTGTTGGGAGAGGTTCAATCGTGGATCATATACCACAACACTAACACACCCCCTCAAACGAAAGCCACTCACAAGGGCTGGAAGTTTGCACATGTCTGAAGACAAGAATACCATGTGCTTAACAAATGGGGTCATTGGGAATCGAACACAAGACCTCTCGGTCATAGAAGGCTCTGATACCATGTCAAGAACCAGTTGATCCCAATAACTCGAGTTGTTGGGAGAGGTTCAATCGTGTATCATATACCACAACACTAACATTATTAACATGAGACAGGGCCCAACAAATCAAGCCATTTATGATCAAAGGGAGACCTGCTCCAACATACCAAGCTATAACAGAAATGCTCATACCCTCCTTGGTTGCAGCTTTGAAGAGCGTAAACGTTGATGATGTTTAAGCTGACCATGGCCATCAACAGCAAAATTGTTGTGGAACAATCTATGGAAATAGTATCCCCACGTCATCTTCTTTCCCTTTCTGTTAACCTTCTCCTGTCATCTTGTGTCCTCTTCTTCACTGAAAGGCTGCTGGGAGTGTTTAGTCACAATGCACGCAGAGGTGTTAATAATGGATGGATGGCTTTGACTTGCCAGGATTTCCATTCTCTTGTATTATTGTGTTGTTGAGTGGCGGACTGGATAATTAATGGTGGTCTTTTCTCAGATGTCACTGCATCATAATTCGTTGAGTTATTATATTAGGTGTATTTAGTAAACGAGCATCAATCTTGGCCATGATGATTCCTCACCTATATGAACTTATTAGATTGGACAAATTATGGTTAAAGCAAATCATCATTTTAGTAGGATGAATTTAATTTGTTGACTCTTGAAATTTCAGATAATTTAGTTGTAAGAATAACACAAGTTGAAATATGGGATGATGGTTGAAATTCGTGACTCACTCGTATGTTTTCATGTAGGATGACGCCTACTTGGCATTTGTAAGTTTTATATAATGCATATTATTTTCCTTTTCTTTTTTGTTGGTGCTGCCGCCTATTCAATGGTGAGATGATTCATGGGTAATTGGACAAAATTATCATAAGACTCATATGGGTATTGTGTTGAACAAATGCACTCATATGCACACTAAATAATTTTGGGTACGGATTGGGTATTAATTTTCTTCAATTTGGATCAACCCATTTAGGTCGGAATCAACGGACTATCTATTTGGATCTATATAATGCACACGAAAAAACAATATCTACATTCCCACTATTCGCATTCAACCAATTCATAACTTCACTGGTGGCAACTTCATATTTATGTTTGTTTTAGAACAAAGAAAAAGACAAATCACATTAGAGTTGGTTATCCATTTTCTTTTGAGTATATAATGTAATGGGTTTAATTTAGATCAAACTAAAAAAATGGGTATGCATCAAAAAATATTATATTACCCAAACCTAATTTGACTCATAATAAATTAGATTTGTGCAATACCCAAATTACCGGTCCTTTCTACATCCCTAATTAATGGGTTTATGATTAACATAACAGGGAAGCTACGCGCATTATGTAACTAATCTTTTCAGTTGTCACATATATCAAGTGGTATGGTACATAGTGGTAACTACATAACCCAATGAAAAGTTAATGATAATGGACCATAGCCCATAGGTGATCATGCCTAACTAGCAGGCCATATAACTATGTCCAAAAGGGAACATATCAAAGCCCAAAAATGCAAACCACGATTTGCACTACCCGGCCCATTCAGCAGCCGGCAAGGCTCTAGTTCTGCCTCTAGCATTCCTTCTTTCTTCCAGTTCGAAACGAACTATTCCTCTCCGGCAACGGCAACGGCAACGGCAACTGCTTTCGCACTTACACCAGCGAGGTCAGTTCTTTCTCTCCCCCACCCTTCTGGAACAGAGCTAAGAGTTCCACTTGATGGCCTTCCAAATTTCAATTATTGCCTTTCTTCTTTACAAATTGCCTGTCATTGAACAAGTACCCAACCTCTAGATTTACAGATCATACTAGGCAAATAAATACCATCCTGCACTTACTCTTGGGTCCGGACCAAATCAGCAGCTTCTGCTGCTGTGTTCAACTACACCACCTTGATTGGTGATTCCCTACTGGTTCAGCTTTTGCAGTAAAGGTACCTTCTCGTTGGAGTGAGGTTCGAGGGTACTACTAACATGGTGACTGTTCTGTTGTGGGATGGTGTCATCATCTTCCTCTTTGGCCTTTCCCCACATCAGCATGTAGAACCCAATTGCAATGGTTATTGCTCCAATCAGGCTGCCAAATTGGAAGATTGGAAACAAAAGGGGATATCCTGTTAGGGTTAAAGACTTAAAGTTACTAGCTTTGTGGACTTTCTCTGTCTATCTGTGTTGAAACTGAAGTTAGTTTTACCTCCCTAGATGCAGAATGTCACCAAGAAGCGTTACTCCCATGGCAACAGCTACAATCATCGCGAAAGGTTTGAACGAGGACACAAATACTGGCCCCTTGAGCCGCAACACCCATGCGTCCACACCATTGCTCAAGCACGATCCAAGCACTCCCTAATAGAAAAGGAAAGGGTTTAAAAAGGCATGGTCTTGATACTGCCAATCTGATGATGAGTATTGTTAAGTCTCTTACCGAGCAGAAAACCGATGCTATTGCTGTGCTACTGCTGAATATCCAGGCACTTGATGATGTTCCTTCAGTGATCAGAGCAAAAATTGATGTTATGATGCAGACAATCACGTTGTAGAAGAAGATCACTGTGAATTCTGCAGGGTACTCCTTCATTATCTGTGTCTGTTCCACAAAACACCACAATATGAGGCTTTATGGTGAAATGACAGCAATCTAATGAATATGGGTTTGGAAGGAATCAGACAATGCATACCACTACAATGTACCACAAAGGGTCAAGGATATACTTCATGGCGAGACACATCCCACCGAGTACCCAGTGCTCTCGTGTTGTTGTTGTTGGTGGTGACTGAAGAAGGGATGGTTGATAATTCAGTTGAACTGGTGGTGGAGATTCTGACTGGAAAATCGGGGGACCCTTATAGAGGGTCACCACAAATGCACCTGCTATTGCCACTATAGTGCCTAGGATTTTGGCCTGGCTGGATGAACTTCTGATCACAACTCTTTCCATCCTTTTAGTGACAGGGTGGAAATTAGAGAGAGTTCAGTTCATGGACAAGTGGTGGAAGTTATGGATGCTGAAAAATACGGTAGCGGGAGCTAGGATTGAGAAAGAAATGGTACCTGCAAATGACGGCAAACAGGAAAGTAAAAGCTGGAGTGAGGTTGCCTATGGCGGACGCAAGAGTTGGAGAGCTGTAGTTGATTCCAGTGTACACCATGATCTGAGATGAACTCCTGTGAAGAGTCTAACCATCATTCAACAGAAACCCCAGGAAAGCTCAGATATTGAGATTATCAAAAGGTTGATTTCTGATGAGGTAAGTCAACCCACCCTATGAGCCCGAGGAGACCAATTTTGCACATAACTGAGGAGCTCAAAGGAGGAAGACCACTTGGCCTGCAGACAAATTACGATTATCATTGAATTTCCCAGAAAACCAACGTGGACTTTCCAATCAGGGAGCAATTGAGAAGGGTGAAAAGACGGAACCTTTTGGAGAGGAAAGGAGCAGGAAGAAGGACAAGAGAAGCGATGGCATAGTCATAGGCGACGAAGACATGGTTGCTCATCCCCTCCATTGTTGCAGCTTTGAAGAGCGTGTTGATCCCAACGTTGATGATGTTCAAGCTAACCATGGCCAGAAACGGCAGCACATCTCTGTGGAAATAATAACCCCCCGTCATCTTTCTTCTCCGGTGACCTGTCCTCTCTTCTTCAATGAAGGTTTACTCGCTGTGAGAAGGAGCTGCGTGGCCGGCACAAGCAAGCAGCAGTATTGATGAGAGAGATGACTTGGCTGAGTAAGCGCCTATTAGCATTGTCAAATTTCAACCCACTTTCTTGTGGACTGTTGGTTGAGTAAGCGCCTAATAGGCTCAGTTGTCTTCTTCTTTATATAATGTCACTTTTAATCGGGTTGTGCCTTCCATGTTAACATAATTTCTGTATGAATGCGAAGATCCTTTTTTCTTTTCCTTCTTCGCAATTAAAATTCTATACAAAGGATAACCATATTGTCCTAATGGACAAAACTCAAGTACTGCTGAAAGCTACACAACAACTACTTTTCTAGGCTCTATATTAAGGACATGAAAATAATACAACGCAATTTCCTTTGTATATTCCACTATTTCGAAAGAGTACACAAAAAGAATTCTTTCTGGCTGCTCACTCTGTAGTCTTTTAGATTTGCAGAATGAGGTTTCATGCTTCCTCTATGGTTCTTTTCTCAAGAGCTTCCTCGAACCAATCTGTACGCTATACAAGCCCAAATGAAGATTTCATGCATGTTACACTTGTTCAGTTCTGTAGCTTCGCAGCAAAGGTACAGGGACGTCATCTGCAGAATGAGAAGCCCGCAGCTGCAAGTTGCTGCTATTGCTATTGTGAATATGATCATCATTCTCTTCCGTCTTTCCCCCTATCATGTAGAACCCAGCTTATCTATTCGTTGCTCCAATTAGGAGGCCGAATTTGATCAGAGCATGTAGAAAAGTTGATCCCCTTATGGCACTTGATTGGAAAGGAAAGACTCTCAAATATAAACTTGATGAACATACCTTCCAACAAGCAATGGGTCCCACAGAAACAGCACACTAATCACAACAGCAATCACCATGAAGAATGGACTGAACATTGCCATAAATAGAGGCCCTTCACCTGGAGTGCCCAAGCACCGTTAGCATTGCTCATGCACGATCCAAACACTCCCCAAGTTACATTACATGCTTTCTTTATCATAGTTAGTAGGCTTCTTTCATTTCAGTCGACAGATCACAGCAAAACATAAACCTTTCTGCTGCTCTCACTATTTTACATTTGCAGAGTGAGGGATACAATTATACAAATGGGAGGCTGAATTTGAAGAGCCCAAGTTTCATGCTTCGTCTATGGTTCTTAAGAGATTTCTTGAACAGAACTGTACATAATACAAGTCCAAGATACAGATTTTATGCACATGAATTCATGTTACACTTGTTCAGTTTTGTAGCTTTGCAGCAAAGGGGCATGAACATCCTCTCCAGACTGGGGTGCCTGCAGGCTGCTGCTATTGTGACACATATTTTCTTCTAATTTGGTCTCACTATTATCGATCTCTTTCGCCTTTCCCCACATCAACATGTAGAACCCGGCGGATATGATCGTTGCTCCAATTAGGCTATGAAATAGTTGACAAAAGCAAAGTGGAAAATTTGTGACTTTCTGGCATTGATTGGAAATGGAAGAACACTCAGATGTAAACTTGATAAGACACTATACCTTCCAAGAAGCAGTGGATCCCCCAGAAACACCACACCCATGACAACAGCAATCACCATGGAAAATGGACTGAACATTGCCACAAATAGAGGCCCCTTAACCCTTAGCGCCCATGCATCGATAGCATTGCTCATGCATGATCCGAACACTCCCTAGTTTACAGTAAATTGCTTCCCATTAATACTCTGAATGAATGAATGAATATTCTATTCATTCAATCATTCATCTATAAAGACAGGTAACTAGTATTTTCCTCTCACCGAGCATAACACCGAGGCAAATGCAATCCTCGAGCTAAGCAACCAGGCGCTCGAAGATGTTCCTTCAGCAATCAAAGCAACAACTGCTGCAAAGATGCATACTACCAAGTCGTATAGAAAGGTTACCGTGAGTTCCGCAGGGTACTCCTCCATTATCTGAGTCTGTTACCAAACAAAATATGGCAAACCCATTAAGGATAATTGTTAAAAGGTTATAACTTCGAGGTGAATGAGGGAGGAGTAAAAGCATACCAGAACAACACACCAGAGTGGAATTAGTATGTATTGAATGGTCAGAAAAACGGAACCAAGAATCCAATTCGGGGTTGTCGATGACGAGACTTGAAAAGGTTGTTGATCAAGTTGAGAAAGAACTGATGATGGTGGTGTAGTGGTGGCAAAGGAAATTGGAGGACCTTTGTAGAAGGTTATAACAAATGCACCTGTGATTGCAGCTATGGTGCCCACAATTTTGGCCTGGCTTGATCTTCTCCTCATTGTAACCTTTTCCATTCTTTGTTTTTGGGTTCAATTACAGGTACCATCATCAACAAGAGGAGGGGAGAAGGGTTGAAGAAACCAAATTGGGGGAAAGCAAAATCACCTGAACATGACGGCAAATATGAATGTAAAAGCTGGAGTGAGGTTGCTTAAGGCTGAAGACAGTGTTGGTGAACTGAAATTGATCCCTGTGTAACCCATCATCTTAGATGCTCCCCTGTGTTCATCATTTCTTTCACGACTAAGTTTGCTCTTTACCATTGGATTCTCAGAAATTTGGTTCTCAAATTGAAACCCCTAACCCAATTCCCTTCCCAATCCCCAATTCCACAAGAACAGAGTAAAGTGAGATTACCCAATGAGCCCAAGAAGACAAATTTTCCATATCATGCGAGAAGTCAAAGGAGGAAGAGCACTTGTGGATCTGCAAAAAAGAAGCAGGGGCCAATAACCAGAGTAATCAAGCTATTTCCTTTACTAGTCACAAAAGTGAGAAAGAAGAAGAAAAGACGGAAGAACCTGCGAGAGACATAAACAGCTGGGAGGAGTACGAGAGCGGCGGTAGCGTAGTCGTAGACGACGAAGACATGGTAGCTCATGCCCTGCAACGTTGCAGCTTTGAACAGGGTGTTTAGCCCAACGCTGATGAGCTCGAGACCAACCATGACTGAAAATGGAAGCACTGATTCGAGGAAATAACTCATTGCCGTCATCTTTCTCTCCGATCTATCTCTCTGTTTACTCAGAGAATCGGACTGATGACTGAGCCAGCTGGAGAATGAAAGAAGAAAAGAACGGAAAAAGATTCAGAGGGTCAGGGAGTTGTCGTACACTAGTGGGCGTGTGGCTTGCTGAGGGAGATGACTAATCACATTTGTTAGGAAATTAATGGAATCCACCGTGGCTAATCGGTCAATAGCAGATTCAGTCACTGTAATATGTTGTTTGGATAAATAGGTCACTGTGCTAAGAACTTTAAACGAAGAAATACCACTACTATATCGATTATCCCATTTTTAGTTCTTTCCTTAGAAATTAATATAGGTCTTGATTGAGTCATAACTGACTTATGCATTGTAAAAATGAGAGGAGTTGTCAGATTTGAAAGTCGTATTAAGGGTAAAATGCAAATATACAGCATACTTAACATATTATGTTAGTATCAACTATCAAATACGTACTTATTAAGCATCGTTGATCCTAACCATAAACTAGCTGAATTTGGATTGATTTTGTAATTAAATGGGCTATAAACGGACAACTGACAAAATACAGGAACCTGTTTGTGGAGATGATTATTTACAGGTTTCTATGAGTTTCTCCTCCCAGTTGACATAAATAATCCTTCATTCTGCTAACACGCTACAGGTTGGCCATTGAAGCTGCATATCCATCCCCGGTTCAGCCGCTGTTGCTTGTTCTGCACGGTTGTTCTAGCTCTCGATACTGCTGATGATGAGCAAAGGCCTTTTCCTTCTTTAAGAACACCGGACACACACAAGGTTTTCAAGCAATTTGGCTTCTTCACTTTGTCGCAAATGCAATGGTGTCTGCTTCAACTTGTGCATTTCTTCTGTAACTCTGCAACAGAGGAGCCTTCTCTGCGGAATGAGTTTCCTGCTGCTGGCTGCAGCAACTAGCAGCAACGCAGGCCTCTGTGAAATCATCCTCTTGAGCTTTTCCCCACATCACAGTGTAAAATCCAATAGATATTACTACTGCCCCAATCACACTGCAAGGATGGACATTGAGCAGGTTGGACAGTATTATTAAAATGCGGTCCAAATCAAGACATTTCTGTGGATGGAAGTGAGCTAATTATAGCTACCTTCCCAGATAGTGTGTCGCCCAGAAACATCACGCCCATAGCAACAGCGATGGCGATGGACAACGGCTTAAACATTGCTACAAACACAGGTCCCTTGATCCGCAGTGCCCATGTATGAACACTGTTGTTCAAGCACGATCCAAATCCCTACAACACACACACCAGCAGCATTGGCAAAAGGTCAGAAAAGTCTCGTTATTTATCTTCAGCCTTAACGTCCAGCAAAGTCAAGTCTCGGCTCAGCCTCTCACCGAGCAAACCACGGATGCTAACGCTACATTAGGCTTCAATATCCAGGCAGTTGGAGAAGTCCCTTCTGTAACAAGAGCAACAAATGCTGCTATGATGCACACAACTATATTGTAGAAGAAGACTACCGTGACTTCAGCTGGGTACTCCTTCATAATTTGAGTCTGTGTTCGAGCAAACACCAACACCAGAAGGATTTATGTCAGCTCCTCATCATTCGCAACCACCAGAAGTGCCCGGGTCAGAGAGGAGCATATATACCTGAACAATGTACCATGAAGGAACTAGAAGGTACTCACAGGTGAGGAAAAACCCACCAAGGACCCAGTTTTGGGTTGGTGAGCTAGCAAGAGATTGATTGAGTTGAACAGTTGACGATGACAGAGAAGCCTTGATAATTGGAGCACCCTTGTAGAGAGTTACAACAAATGCACCTGCTATTGAGACTGCTGTGCAGTACTTTGGCCTGACTGGATCTTCTCCTCACAATGACTTTCTCCATTCTTGGATTTTAAACAGGGACAGAAAAAGGTTATGGAAATCTATGTCATTTATAAATGCACGTATCCAGGAAGAAGGACAGTGAAGATTACAGCTCTTTGGATCTTTGGCAATGCAGTAGAATGGCTAGAAATTGACGGGAGAGGTAAGAAATTGCAGGGTGGGGGAATTACCTGCAAATGACAGCAAGTAAAAAGGTAAAAGCTGGAGTGAGGTTGCCTATAGCAGAAGCAAGCGTAGGAGAGCTGTAATTGATGCCTGCGTATCCCATGATCTGGGATGAGCTTCTGCTCCCAAATCCACAACACCCAAGACCAAATCCATTCAAAACCAAAGAAACCCAGAAACAGGGGAATCAATTCATCAGTGCCCATTCATTTTCCTAATAAAAAAAGCTTACCCAATGACCCCAAGAAGGCCGATTTTCCATAGTACAGAGAAACTTAACCGAGGAAGAGCTCTTGATCTGCAAATTCAAGCCTTGCTTTCACCTTGATTAATTTCTCAGAATCCCCAACTTAATCGGCAAAATGAGAGAGAAAGGAAAGTCAACCTGCGGGAGAAGAAAGGAGCCGGGAGGAGAGCAAGAGTAGCAATTGCGTAGGAATAGACAACAAAGACATGGTAGCTCATGCCCGCCATAGTTGCAGCTTTGAAGAGTGTGTTCAGCCCAACATTCATACACTCTATACTCACCATCGCTGAAAACGCCACCACTTCCCCGTACACAAATCCTCCTCCTCCCGCCATTTCTCTCTTCTGATTTCTGTTCACTCCTTCCTTCCCTTGAAGCTGAAATGGAGACAATTTTTGGTCGTAACATCAGCTTGAAACTCGCGCAGAGCGATCTGGGTAGGTAGTCTCCCTCCACAGTCCACATTTCTACAATATCTCCACCATCCTCCAGGGCTGTGATCCAACAACTCCATCAGTGGCCTAAGGCCTCATTATCCCCTTGGTCTGGGATAAGAGGCCCAATAATCTTGTCTTGTTCATCGCCTTTAGTACAAGACTAATTAATGCTAGGTCACTCAGTAGAACATCGTATTAAAATTTGGCCGATAGAACATCCATTTAGATGACGAGAATTATCTCATGGTCCCTTTGAGCTATTGCAAGAGATTCAGAATGAGTTATGTATAACTTTCTTTACTAACTATGAAAACCGAAAGTCAGACAATAATCTCAAATTTTGTATAAATATTCAACCAATATATATGGATCATCGATATTCAACTTCAAGTATAAGATTCTAATATTTCAAAAACTGAACAATTTATATCAATAATGCAAGTTATTAAAAGAGAGTGAAGGATGAATCTTAAATTAGTGTTGCTAATTCATTTATCTTATTGCATGTTTTAGCAAAGAACACAGAAGATTCTTAGGTCAAGTACTAAGGATTCACAAAGTATACTCCATTAAAATCACACTGTCTATCATACTAGGAAAAGAATTCCTTAGTGGCCACTGGCCACCAATAAGACTATAAGCCTTAACTGCTTGCTTCCATGAGTTTGCCGGGAAATTATGAGGCCCTCTGATGTATATGCCTAATGTAAGATTAGGGATGTAACCAATACGTAAAAGTGGGTATAGTTTAAATTGTTATCTCTAGGATGGAGTATCCTCGAGGATACACATACATCCGAGGTAGCTCGCTTGTGGCATGACTTCTTCATTAGTTACATGATCTCAAACAAGCTCATCGAGTTAGGTGCGATAAATAGCATAAACACAAATGTCAGGGGAAGGATTTCATCGAATTTTGATAATCCATGAGGATTCTCTATGACAAATTTCTAAGGCATTACTATCTGTTGTGATCCATACGATGATGATATGATTGTAACCAGAAGTGATTGAGGTCTTTAAGCCAACATATGCGGGTGAAATAGAAGGAAATGCACTTTCTACATACTACAACCTACAGAAGTGATGGCGGGAGCTTACACCTGCTGATAGTGTGATGCCTGCCAAAACTAACTGCGGGAGATCCCAGTTTGGGAAGCTGGAGATGATCTTGATTGTAATTGACAGAGACAAGGCAGAGACCGTGAGGTGGGGCCGCCAGAGCATACTTGGCGAGCTCCCTGCGATCACGGCTCGCCAAGATCATTGGTACTATATCAGGAGGGATAGCTTGCTTTCCTATTTGCAGCAGCAAAGCAACCTGCAAGCAAAGAAAACAAAAAGGAGCAATTGGAACCGAGCATTTCATAAGCGTAGGGTTATGCTAAGAGCAGTAAGTGAAAGCTGAAACCAACCATGTTACGCACTTGTCTGTACAAGAAACCGGTGCCTTCAACATCCAGCTGGATCAATTTCCCCTGCAGCAGCACCATGTCAGCACATACTTATACAATAGACATACACAAACCGGAACTGAAAACAACAAAAGATTCTAACAGCTTGATCCATGCCATTTCAGAAACATCAAAGCGGAGAATTGTCTTGACAGGATTTGGCACTCGATCATTGCGAGATGCATTGGCAAAGGCCGAGAAATCATGACTCCCAACAAAATGGGTGGCAGCTTCCGCCATGACGGATGTATCGAGTTTGTAATGGCTGTGGTGGGCATAGTGGCGCAGGAGTGGGTCCATCACTGCATCATTATAGATCTTGTAACGATAGAGCTTGCTGGTGACCGAGAATCGAGCATGGAATTCAGGCAGAGCCGGCGCAATCTCTCGTACTCGAATGTCTTCGGGTAGTAGGCCGTTGAGAGCTGCATGAACGCGGTCCAAGGAGTCGTAGTTGAAAGGAGTGAGGAACTGTGCGACCTGGCCCAAAGCATGAACTCCAGCATCAGTCCTGCTCGCTCCGACAACTTGAAGATGTTTCCTCTCCAGCTTGGTCGCTCGAGTCAGGGCTTTTTCGAGTAACCCCTGTATAGTAGGAGGGGATTCCTGAAACTGCCAGCCAGCATACCGGGTCCCATCATAAGAAACAACCAAACGCCACTTCTTCCAGTCTTTAAAGCCAGTTGAAACTGTAGCATCTGCATCCACAACCCTGCCACAATCGATCTTCAATGGGAGGCCATTGATCTGTGATAGGAGAGAAAAGAAGGGTTATTTTGCATAATACGGAGGATACATCCAGGACATCTTTGAGTGAGTGAAAGTTACCAAGCTGTGGTCAGGTATAGCTGTAGCAGGTGTAGCAGCATGCAATCCTGGTTGCAAACTAGCCATGGTTTGAGCCATACTCTCTTATTAAGAGGTAAAATTTGAGGGTTGTGTTACTCGCCCCATTGCTTGAAACTTTTATTGTATCGTGCAGAGGCCTGCCATTTGCAATGCATAAGATGGAACTATTTCAACTGAACATTTATGCAAGTGCAGTGGAAGAAGTGAGAACCAAAAACCCACTTTCTACGCTTAGGATCCTTCGCATTCTACTATTCTAGTAGCTCTTACAAGTAAGAAGATGTGAGTACCAAAAACTCATTTCCTTTCTATTGTAAGGAGGACCCCCAGAGCTAAGGATGCAATTACAGTACAGAGCACTGCCACGACGAAGAAGATTTGTGAACTAAAAGGTCTTCCAAGAGCGCATTTATGACTCCTCAGGTTCTGTAGGAACTCTACAGAGCAAGATAGCAAGCCACCATGAATTTACCTGCGAGTCTTGAGTAGATTATGATGGAGGGAGCCGGGAGGAAGAGCAATGGAAACTTGGAGGGAATCGCCAGACGCCAAGGCCTCCTGCAGAAGAAGAACGAATGAAATGAAATTGAATATCCTAATTCCTAACAGAGATAAAGGTAGTAAGGTACTTGCACAAAAATTGCGAACATCCGGCTCGTTGGGGCCTTACCAAATAACTCGAGCCCAAGCCCAACCCTGACAGACGATTTCGCCAATTAGGCTTATAAAATGTAAAAGCCCATAACCCAGCCACGCATGGCACAAACTTGCCAAAAATTCGCCTTGGAAGTCTGAACGAATCAGAATTTTCAAAAATGGCGAAAAACAGAGCCGAACGAGAAACATCAAACATACCATACCAGACTGCACAGCAAAGTTCGACATTTACGGAATAATTATTACTTATATACTACTCTACTGCTACGACGTACACACCAGCAACCATACACTCAGCTTTTCAGCTCTTCCTTCGCTTTCTTTTCAAGAAAGGCATCGCCCTTAGACCTCCTGCTTCAGGAGCCAAGGTATCATCTACAATGCTTTCATGAATAGATGAGCTGCCGGACTGCAGATGAACATCAGTTTCTGAAGTTCTCAATGTCTCAGTGCGTGGATCCTTATCGGCTGCGCTTTCATTCACAGCATTCAGTGATGAAAAAGCAGCAAACTTGACCTCATTCATCAAACCACCATGACGAGGCTTCTCGGCGGAATCTTCCTCGAGGGGTGGAGACAGGCTGACGACATCAGCTTGATTGTTGTGTGCATCACTTTCATCCACACAAAACCCACCTCCGCTCTCTAAGTAATCTTTCAAAGCGTTGCTTTCAGAAGGATTAATGCTAATGCCACCCTCGGGGTTACCAGATTCACCTTCATCCATGCAGAAACCACCTCCTGTTTCGAGATCCTCCCTAGGTGTTGTATCCATCTGCACTAATAAATCGTCTTCCAGATTCTGCGGTTCTCTAACAGCAGGACTCGAGTCAGCATTTCCTGGATGGGCTTTAGCTTCTCCTGCTGCCTCTTCTTTACCATCTGGGTCTACTGAATTGATCACGTCATCCATTTCCAGGTCGGATGTATAACTAACAGGATGTCTCAACCGTTTCGACTGTATACATGGAGAAAAAAAACAATACCGGGAGGGTGTATCTTATTAGACATAAGAGAGAAACAAAGAGAAAATTCTGATTGTAGAACAACTTGAGCAAATAGGATATGTTGCTGCGACAAAGATGACAAATATCAAGCCAAGTCATTACCCGTCGCACTTCATTTGGCCTCTTTGAGTTCTGAATCTGATCCTCGTGTTCTTCACTGCTGCTCTCAGTGTCCCCAGAACTCTGTCCAGATGGTTCCAAACCTCGAGATCTCCTCCCCCTTCCCCTTCCCCTCCCACTTCCTATTCCTTTCCCTTTACCTTTCCTTCCACCACTACCCCTACCTCTCCCACACTTGTTTGAGCCTTCTGCAGTCTGCTGCCTGTTTCCTGACAACAACTCTTGCCCTGATTCCTCCTTTTCAGATGAGATATCCTTCGCAGTGGTACTTGCTTTCTTAGATCTCTTAGTCGTTGATTTTCCGGAAAGATTGTGGTCGCTACTAAGAATAGATCCTTCTGCTGACTTAAGTTCAGACTCAGCAGGAGTCGCTCTTCTTTTCTTAGTCAATTCATGAGCTTCTTCTGGGACATCATCCAATACGGTTGAACTTGATTTTCCAGTAATTCCTTTTACAGCTTTCTTGATTCTCTTGCTTCGAATCTTAGCAAATCTCTCGTTGAAAGTGTAAAATGCTTCCAACCGCAGTTGAGTCTATATAACCATTCCAGAACAGAGAGTCACCAAATAAGATAACTGACTGGTATACTATTACATAAAGAAAGAGATAGTAGACATATAAAGAGATAAAGATTGCCCAAGAAAAGCTACAACCTCGCGTTTGTTGTACTCTTTCAGGACAGGCAGAAGCAACTCCTGCGACTTTTGGACATTCCAGCCAAATCTTTCCCAGCATAATCTGAAGGCAAAACTCTCAATCATGAATAAGAAAGGTTTTAATACATTTTTTATGCCAAGAAAGTGGAATTATTTCAAGGAACTTCATACCACCAATGAACAAGTGAATAGAATCATAGAATAGATGCAAAGATACAGCAGCAAGGAACTTCATCGTTACTATGATTAAATGCAAATTCACATGCACACTTAAAGAGAAGTTACAATCCTAAGAGCTTTTAAGTATTATTTTTTTTCCCCCTATTCTCCCTTCTTCTTTCTCTGTTGTATTTTCTTCTTCCGGTTGGTCTTTCTTGGGTGTTCACCTCTAGTGAATTCCTTTTGTAAACTATTTTTTCTAATTAATTTATATGCATTATCACCATTATTTTAAAAAAAAATCCCTAAGAGCTTACCGTATCAGAAGGTGAAGATCTGGCTTTCCCCATGTGAAAGGTTCTGCTGATTTATCAACTTGGGGCGACCAATATGCAGAAATGACTGCTTCGCTTGGAAAAGAGGAAGGGATATACCAGTTCTTGCTAACATTTCTCTACAAAAATTAAATTAGTTTACCACGTATGAAGAGGAGGCATTGGCTGTTTGGCAGTTATATGACAAAAATTTGGATTACTTACATGCTTGTCCATAAAAATCTGCTTTATCTCGTCAATACCATCCATTGACGCAGTGTCCTTGTCAGATGGATCCAATTTACTGTCAGCAACTTTGGATCCTTGTTTCTTACCACTTGAGCGAGGCTTTCCACCCAGCTTCCCAAGGATGGTTGGATCTGGCGATTCTATCCACTCTCTAAATTTCTGCAGGCCATCATCCTCAGGGAAAGCATCAACAACCTCAATAGCATTAACAATACCAATCCCACTGCATAAAAAATATGGCCCAATAAGATGCAAAACCCATAAGCATGCAAATTAGTAAATGTAGTCAGCCCATATAATAAGTCTGAAGCAGTAATATAGGTAGCCCAAGCACATGGCCTGGACGAATACAAGTATACTTGAAGATGGCAGCACAATAACAGAATACTGATAGAGCAAATAACAGAAGTTGTATATTACCTAACTCCTTCAGTATAGTCGCTTCCGAGAAGCAATGCAATACGAATTAGTTTATCTCTAGTCAGGCCAAGTTCCTTCTCAATATCCTGACAAAACCACCATGAAAGTAAAAGTAGACCTGAGAGTAGGATTACACTCAAGAATGGTGACGAGAAGAGATAAGAAACCATATGCATGCCAGAAGTCTGGAAACTTGTATCCCTAAATAGCATTCAGGGAAGAATGAGAGTAAAGGATACGGTAGATTTTCTTACCTTCAAGAAGTAAGTCTCCACATATTTGTGGTCGTCAAATATATTCTTGTACACACTACACGCTCCAAATAGAAAAACGTCAGAGTCATCAGTTACAACACCATCAACAATGCCTGCGAGTTCCATGTATGCACATTGAGCTTCTGCCTCCATTGGTGCTATTATATATGGTATGCCAAACATTTGAAGAAGCTCCTGCATTACAATAGATGCACAAAACAGAATTATGCTCTCTAAGCAGCAAAGGAGAACTAGGATTTCATAACAACTAGCATTGTACAATCACTTCCAATTAGCATTATACAAGCCAACTATGGTGCTTAGTATTTATAACAAGCTGGGAACCATAGGACTGGCTCGGTAAGGGAACTCAAACCAGCCACATAAGCCTGAAAAGCAACCAATAAGCTGACTGGCATGTACCTGGCACTCCGCGAACATTTCACTGGTGACTGATTCAGCATTGCGTTCATGCTTTCTCTGTTCATCTTCCAGATTCATAAATTCTTGACCCAGTATATGTATCTCCTCCTCTACGGTAGCCTGTGAAAAAACTTTCTCATCATTTGTATCAGCAGCAGCATGATTCTCGCTGTTCTTTGATGCAAATTGTGTGTCGAGGATCTTCTCACCAACCATTTGTTCCTCAATGTCATCAGGAGCTGTTGAATCTCCTCTAAGAGACTCTATGTATGATCCAGAAGAATTTGCTATAGTTTCCTCAACTGAATGAAGTGATGCTTCAGTTTCAGGAGCAACTTTATCCTCCCTGACAAACATGGAAGCTTCTGTTTGAACATTGTCCATACCAACACTCATCATGCTATCACCAATGACTGGTTTAGAAATATGAGAATCCTCAGCCGGATAGAAACTAGTTGTTGCGGTAGATAACCCACCAGCCTCAGCAGTAGCATCTACAGATTGCTCTGGATTTGGCCATTGTACTTCTCCATTTGCCTTGAGCTCTTTGCTTGTATCCCATCGACATTCTTCAAACTTAGAACCTGTGTGCTCTAGACATGTCTTACTGATATCATCAAGACCATGCATTCCAGACAATGTGCTTCGAGAGACCTTGTGGGGCTCATTAGCTGTACTTGGACCACATGGTTCATTTGCTTCCATAGTGCCAATGTTTATATTACTTTCCTGAATATCCTTCCTAACCATATTCAACACTTGCCTGCTGTCGCTTCGATTAATAACTACAAGTTCGTCACCATTTTCTGCAAATCCTTTACCACTTCCTGGATCCTTGAGACTTCTCCTTATGGCTTCCTGCAAATCAGCATCTTCTTGCAACTCACCTCTTGAAACAGGTTTCCCAGATTGAACCTGGCACGAAAGCTTATTTTTTACCTCAGATGGTTCTTCTTCCCATTCCACTTCACTGCCATCGCTATTGTTGCTTGCCTTTAGGAATGACTTATTTACTAACTCTGGGTCAGTGGAAGAACCATCCCATTTTGTCGTAATGCTCCCTTCCTCCCAATCACTATCAGAAGCTGAATCAAGAGCCTGTTTCCGGGTTGTATCATTGTCAACAGAAGAGATGTCAATTGGTTGTCCAGCAACTAAACAAGAGAACATGTCATCATCACTTTCATAAGACTTGCTCGCACCATCAATCTCAAATGAAATCTGCATACAACTATTGTTATCTATCAAATGGTGTCCATTTCTCTTGTTCAACTGTGTAGATCCAACACTATTATCATCTGAACCTCTGACTTCGGTTCTTGCACTAGGAATTCCTTCTCCAGAATTAGCTTGTCCCCCCATGGTCTTAGAGGGAACGCTTGCAACATCAATTTCAACCTGTTCCATCTCCTTCATTATATCTAAATTCCGCTGTAAATCTCGGGTCATCCGCATCCCCATGGCACGTCCTCTACTTAATCGAATACGACCCCTTTCATCTGTATAGGTTTCAACATCATCATCAAAAACATTTCCAGATTCTTCAAGGCCAATTCCTGCCATTGTAGCTGCGTTACTGCCAGAAGCACCATCTTTAACAGAATGTGATGGAAGCCCACTTGGTGGTGGTTGTTGCTTATCCCCACTGCTCAGCACTCCACCAGAAGTAAATAACCTCACATAATCAGAGTAAACAATCAACATAAAGTTCCCCACAAAGTTAAATAACAAATAATAGTTGTAGGCATAAAGAACACATTAATGGACCATCTAGTACATGGCCAAGTTTTTAATAAAAAAGTAGTACATGGCCAAGAGACTGCATCAGAAGCATCAAGTTGCATGCGAAAACAACAAACAATTGTCCACCTCTTATAGTATTTCGAGTACTCTAATTTGGTTAGATCATCTGGAACTTTGTGTTTTTCATTTTATTAGGTTATGTTTTCTTTTTCTAATGAAAACTGTAGAGTTTAATGCCTCCACTTTGATTTGCATAATTTATTTAAGCATCCTTTCCTAGAGATTTTTCAAGATATAAAGAAATCTGTAGAATGTTCTTCAATTGCTGAAGTGAGTCCATCTCTCTTTGCCCTCACTTATCTTCCAGATACAAACCTAGTTATATATATATAACAACTGGCCACACCATCATTTGGAAACAATAACTAAGGTTCATACAAAGTTGTACTTTGCACGTCAATGAACTCCTGACAGGATTCTTATTAAAGGAAAAGAACTTATGATAACATGAAAAAAATGACTAAATGAGACTCACTGCTTATCCCCAGTAAATGATGATGAAAAGATAAATTCTCTGTTGGCTTCAGAGGCTATCCTTGAAGTCTGAACACCACCTACATTTCCCCCTGCAGCAGCTTTCTGCACTTGATCTATTTCTCGACGGAATGCAACAGTTTTGAGATAAGCTTGTATTTGGAGCTCGGAGAACTTTTCAGGAGCCTGCCATGGAAAAAACAAAATATTATGTACTGGCGAGACTAAAGTTGGAAAGTCTGGTTTAAGGAGAAGGAAGCAAAAACAGCACTGAAATGATAACTTTTTTACTAGATATCACAGAAACATGCAGTCCCTGTCCTCACACATAGTGACCATTGCACTCAAGAACTAACCTTCTTGACTTTTTGATATCGTTGTCTGTTTTCAGCCATCAACCTCTCTCTCATCTACAGAAATAATATAGCAAATGAGCATTGTACAGAAAATTTGTGAAGCAGATGAGAATGACCATTTAAATGAAGACTGGTCAATACTTCATCAGTGCATCCACAACAAAAAAGAGCTACCTGCACAAGAAGATCCAGTTGCATTGATGGTGGCAGAGCTGCTAAGACAGCAGGATCAAATTTCCCTGGGACTGTTGGCTGAAAGTAGGTTATGAAACAAAAGTAATGATCAAGCCTGAGCAATAATGGAGACGTAAACATAGAGGACCGTTCCCATGGCTCGTATTTCTTAAAAACTCAAAATAACTCTTGGATAAGAATCCTAAGATCTACATCAAACCATGATTTAACTTGTTGAACCTTTAAAAACATCAAACAAAAATAAAGTAAATCAATCCATGACAAGTCCAGATTCAAAACCGTTAACATATATTTGCCAACTTACAAGAATCATCTCTTCATCATCATCATCATCTTCACCGCCCTCGAAGGGAGCAGAAGCAACAGATGTTGTATTATACTTACGACTCCCATCTTCTTCAGCTAAAAGAGATGCAGCCAACCTAAATTTTGCTTTAGACGTGTTAACTTCAAATTCAGGAACTTGGAATCATAGAGCAAACTAAATCTCCCTTAATAGCCTACATCTCATCTAGCTTTTCTTGGTTGAAACTTTCCATCCCTTTGTCAAGCCCTTCAAAATTGTTCTCCTCTACTTCGGCTGGGTCCGACAATACCTCCTTTCCCTTCTCATTTTTCTTGCTGTTTTCAATCTGGTTCAAATAGCAATGCCAGTGAAACATGAAGGAACAGAAATAAATTTCTGAAATTGTTACACAGGAAAGATACCTAAGCAAAATAAGCTATCAATCAGCACTTCAGAAAACAACTAAAAGCCTATGAGTTTTTCTCTTACATAAGTAACAAAAGCAGACTTTTTATAGCACATACAAGCAAGAATCAGTTTAACAATAATGCTACATTAGCCAGAATGCATGATGTACCTACATGGTGAACAGCTTGCAAGTGTCTGCCCATTTCTTACCATTATAAAAGAGGTAGTGTTTCATTATTTTCTCAAACAACAATGTTACTTGGCATAAAAATAACTCTTCCATAAGTTTTTAGAACCAAATGGCAGTATCGACAATTGATTATTGTGAGGCAGTTGATCTAATGAAGTTTACTACTTACAGTCTGATGTTGAAGTTAAAGACACAACCAAATAAATCTAAATAGATTCAAAAATGGATATATGTAAAAATTGTTTTGAGAATCCAAAAATCTAAAATCTAAAATCAATTTCAAATCTTCAAACAAAGAAAAATCAGGAATCAGTATAATGAATGACACGAAATTCATTGATAAATCTTACAAAATCTTTCTTTTCTATAAGACAACCAGGAGCTTGACATGTTTCTAGTCAAAGATCCAATTATGATTTCTTTGCTGCACTGCATTGCATTAACAGTTTCAGCAATTTTGAATTACCTTTGTTTCATCATGAAATTGTCTGTCTTCCACCATTGACCCTTTCTTCATCTGCACAGAAAAGCCAGAATTTACTTAATCAAACAACGGTAATCAACCTAAAATTAATCTTAATAGCAGCACTTACCAGAACTTTACGTCGAATTGATGACGGCAAAGCAGCCAATACATCCGGATCCAGGTCACCATCTATCTCAGGCTGCAAAGAATTCAATAACGGCCATCAACATATCAACACGGATCGAGATCCCTCGAGTCATACTGAAGTTGCACAATGTCGAGCTAAATTGACTTTCAGCAAAGTAGAACTAATCTGAGTTTACATTATTTTTTACCTGACCAGTATAAACCCTGTTTATCGCATTAGAATTTCAACCAAATAAAACCAGTAAAGATGGCTTCAACACAGTTGTAATAGAGCATGAAGGTTATAAGATATAGGAAGGATGGAAAACAAAGTACCAGTATCAGGTCCTCATCTTCATCATCCTGCCTTTCCGGACCAGCAAATGTTGATGCATTTTCTACACCCACATTTTCCTCCGCTGCTATAGACGCAGCCAACCTAAATAGAAAGAATCATTAATGAACTGCTGAAAACAAATGGAGCTGGGCGTCCGGACAGGAGCAACATGAAATTATCTCACATCTCATCCAATTTCTCTTGATTGACATGATCAAATGTTGCATCTCTATTCTCCAAACTGCTTGCTGCAGGCTCTGGTAAAACCTTCTTGCCCTTGGCGTTATTCTTCTGATTCTTCCTCTGGTTTTCAAGATCCTTTGCCAACTCTTTCAGCCTCGCTGTCTTCAGCTGCTCACAGCTCAAACACAAACAAATGAGTAACTCAAAAACATTCATGCATCATAAAACCACGCAGAGAACAGAACCACACTACATAAAAAGTCACAGTGATCAGTTCAAATTTTGGCAGAGAAGAATTAACTTGATTGAGGAGTAATTTCTCGGCGGTTTTCCGAATCTTAGCCTGCGCGTTCTCTCGCTGCCTCCGCCTTGCAATAACCGTGCGCCGCTTCAGAGCAGGCGTGCCTCCATCGAAGACGAACACAGGCTTGGTCCTGAGATACAACAGCTTGCAAATTCTACGAAAGAACCCTAGCAAATGTGCATTACGCACCATGTCCCCCTTCTCGTCCCTCATGGCCTTCATGAACTGGACCAGCCAAATGCTCGCGTCTGCCCTCACGAAAATGATCCAACAGCAATGTAATTAACCAACCAGGCCATCAAACGGCGGTCATTTACTCATTTGTGCAACCAGAGCATCAAGCTTATTAGGGTTTTCTACGGCGTACCAATTGCGAGCCTCTTCCCGGAAAGCGTCTCGACGGACACGCGACGGCCGACCGGAGCGAGTAAGTCCCACAGTCCCTGGACTCCCATCCTGCCGCGATCACCACTCCGCCTTTCTCCCGATTCGTATCTTCTTCTCCGTCAATGGAACTGCGATCAGCGACCGAGCGACGAATTTCAGTTAGTTAGAGACGATTGATGACTTGCCGCCAAAGAATGCATCAGAAAAAGAGGGAAACTTGAAACGACGTCGTCTCAGGTCTTCGTTTCAACGACACGGTGTGGTGTGTGTAATTTGGTTCTGGTGAGAATTGTAGAGGTGGCAACTGAAACCGCCGCACCCGCCACATTTTCATTCGCCATTAATCCACCTTGCAAGCAAAGCTTTGAGAAAATAAAGCAGAAGAAACCGGCACGTGCCAGGGACCAAACCCATTACCCACACGAGCGACGGTAGGAATCTTGATGAATCTTCTCCTCCTCCTCCATTGTTGCCTCGCTCTCTCCATCTCCGACTCTCTCCTCTTCACTCCAAATCTGCCTTCTTTCCTCTTGCTCCGCCGTTTCCTCTTGTTCCCGCTTCGCTAGAAACGGATTGTACTACTCGGCGTCCATACAAGATCAAAACTTTTTGCGCTCGCAACGATTACGGTTCTCGCATTCGGTTAGTCTCAGAATCGTCTTCTTTACGGCCCGTTGATTGATCTTTATAATTACGTTTCTCAATTGCTGGTTAGTTCATTGCTTTGTACAATTTGATTGGGTAGAGAAATTCAGCAGGAGTTGTTAGGATCGTAACCCGAACTGTGGAAATTTGGAAAGAACTGGAGGAGTCGAATTGGGATGGTTATTAGTTGTTGCAGGATCTGCATTGCATGTTGAAGTCGAGTGCATGTCTTTTTTGTGATCTGGATGGCTGGCGTTTCTCTTGTTCCTTGGTCTTGTTTGTGAGAATTACTCCCATGTATAGTTGTTTTGTTGGTGGCTCGGGTCATTTTCTAACCAACTGCTTGTCTGAGTTCTTCCCTTCCCTGCCCTTGCTTGCATTTGGGATCAAGCTTGTTCCCATTTGTCAGTTTCTCTATGAAGTGCAAAATTGCTTATCCTTCTTAAGTAGCCTAAAGCACTGGTCTTTTTCTTGCTCCTTGTCCTGCCTGAGCTGGAAGGATTTTATTGCTGTTATGGTTATGTCTAGTAACCTGAGTAGGGCAGAATCTGTCAATTGCATTTGTGAGATCAAACTGGTTCACAATGTGCTGCTATGTAGACCTAGTTCAGTACTCGCTCTACTCATGATATAGATGGTTGTTTTCTCTTGATCAAATGCGATTGCATGGTTTTAGTTGGCGGAAGGCTGGTTTTATGGGTTCTGCAGGTCTAGTGATGGTTGACCATTTAAAGTTCATCTCCAATTATTTCCAATTTCACATGGAACTGATCCGTATGAAAATTGAATGGCAAAATTGCACACACTTAGATAATGTGGGATGGTAGGAAAAGGAGCTCGGGAAACCTTTAACCGTTGGAGTCCATACACACATGACCATGAATCTGTCAAGCCCTGATTGTTATTCTTCCTCGTGCTAGGTTCCCAAGTGAAGAAGATTCATTGAAGGGGGAAAATGTCTTCTCCAAGCAAAAGAAGAGACATGGATGTCATGAAACTGTACGTGCTTAGTATTTGGAGTCTCATCATCATTTCTGCTCGTGCCTTTTAGTTGTTATCTACCTTCAAATGTCGAGATCGGTGATGAACGTTTTGATGCGAATATAGTTAGCAGTTAATACCAACAATGTAAAATAGATATGTTGTAATTTCCAAGTTTTTCGTTGTATATCCCAGTTTTTTTTTTTTTTAACTTTATGGTCTTTGTTTTCTCTTTTCTTTTTGGATTTCTGAGGTTTAAAGGATCTGTTATCTACTCAAGTGGTGCCTGACTGTTCTTTTTATTCCACCGTCCTAATGTTGGTTGTGCATTGTAGGATGATGAGTGACTACACAGTGGAAACAATCAATGATGGGATTAATGAATTCAACGTGGAGTTCCATGGCCCAAAAGAGAGTAATGTTTTCTTCAATATGCTAATGTTTATATGGACATTGCATCTTGGTGTTGCTTTTCAGAAACAAACCCACCACTTCCTCAGGCAAGCATGCTATAAGATCTAAACCACAAAATTTGATGTTCATTTATGCACCTAAGATTGAGACCTCTAATGCCACAATGACCCTGACATCTGATCTTATTTGTTCTTGGTTTCCTTTGCCCATGCCTGTCCTTATATGGATCATGCTTTAACCACTGTCATATTGTTTTTTCTCACTGCAGTCTGGCTTCATTTTTCAGGCCTTTATGAAGGTGGTGTTTGGAAAGTTCGAGTGGAGTTACCAGATGCATATCCATACAAATCTCCTTCTATCGGGTTCCTCAATAAAATATACCACCCCAATGTTGATGAGATGTAAGCCTTTCATCATAGTTCCTGCCAGATTTGATTTTAGCCTCCCAATGTTCATTAGATAGCTCATGTAGATAATTTTGTTAATTACTTGTTCAAAACCAATATTACAGTAGATGTGTAGCTACTCGCATTTGGCTGGTGGGTAATGAAATGACTTATTAGAATTCCGGTTTTGACCCTGTTATCCTTTTTCTTGTTAAAATTTAACTACTATTGTAGCCTATTAAAGAATTCCGAGTACTGATTTTAACATGCCTTAATTTCATAAACAAATATGGGGGAAAATTCATCAGGAAAGATTATGAGAGATAGACGCAAGTGCTTTGCATAGGTCTGTAGAAGATTATGCAGGAATCTTTTTTTTTTTTTTTTTGTTAATTTGCTTTATACCAAGTAACTTAAAGCCTGATCTAAGGTTGTTCTCCTGTATTTCACAGGTCAGGTTCTGTTTGCTTGGATGTCATCAACCAATCATGGAGCCCAATGTTTGGTAGTTGGACCTTTCCCTTGCACACTCATATAGAAGCACATTACTTGCCACATAGTTTGTGAAATCTCACAGTACTAGTATCCAAAAACTAAGTGACAAATCCATCTTGAACTTCCCTCCTTTTCTTATTAGCGCCATATATGTACTAGCATAAAGCTGGAAAAGAGTGTTGAATCTAACCTGGCCATCCTGTAAGAATATTTTCTTTAACTTGAGCTTTGTCTTCTCTGATAAGATTTAGGAGCTTCGTTTGACTGGTTTTGATTGAAACAATGTGCTGCAGCGACATTGACTCATGCAGGTTATCAATGTGTTTTTAGTTAATATCAGTTAAGTTCAGGACAGATTTTGACGTTATTCTTCAATTATTCGAAATACACTTTGATTCTCAAATAGGGAAAAAAGATAAGGAAAAGGGCTTTTATGTAATGTAACTCCTTGGCTTAGTATTCTTATGTCTTCTTTCATTGTCACAAAAGTTAACTAGAAGAACAAGCTAGGAACAATTAACTGTTGTTAACTTTGCCCTCTAGCTTCGAGATTGACCCTCTGTGGCTTCTTCTGGCTGCAGATCTTTTGAATGTGTTTGAGGTTTTTCTTCCACAGCTACTGCTCTACCCAAACCCTGGGGACCCACTAAATGCTGACGCAGCTGCACTTATGATGAATGATAAAAAGCAGTATGAAGAAAAGGTAAAAGGTGAGATCTGTTTGATAGTTTTCCTTACTTGCCTTTACTGGATGACATCCAATTTACCGTACTTCCGATCTATCTAGAGAATCCATGATCCTAAAAACTTAATGCTTGTTTGTTTACTGGGATGACAGAGTACTGTGAACGATACGCAAAGAAGTCGAACACCATTAAAGCTCCAAACGAGGAGAGTGACGATGAAGAGATAAGCGAGGATGAAGATAGTGACAGGCACAGCACATTCAGTGAAGACAATGTTGCTGGTGATGCTGATCCCTGAATCGATGTAGCAAATCTGTTGCATATTCTTCCCAGTGATCATATCACGTTAGTATCTTCTTTATACCCAAATACTCAATTATTCATTCGAAATTGCATGTAGATTGGTTGAAGGATTGAAGGAGAAGAGTGTAACATCAGGGTTACCATTGTGTTTCAAGGGAATCTGATTATTTACCAGGCACTGTGATGTACTGGGGATTAAGAAGGACAACAAAAATCACAATAAATGGGAAAAACTTGTGTTTCTCTACTGTGGTCTATAATCCAAAATCATGGGGAAAACTTGTATGCTTTGGTGCATTGATAATAACATGCCCTGGAGGCCTTCCCAGATAGGTTGTTATTTACTGCTCTGCAAAATTAAGCTTGAACCGATCTGTTTGGGGCTACAATCACTACATGACATGGAATAAAATGAAGGGAAAGTTAAAACCTTTCAGAATCATGATATCCATTTGGAGCTCTGGTACATCGCCATCACAGTAACTGTCCTACTGTTATCGTTGGGTAGACAGGACATGGTGCAGGCTCCATATGTTACTCATTCAACACAAGGTTATAGAGCCTTGGGGTAATACAACTGGAATGATGTTTGTAACTTGTCATATTAGTTAGGGATAGGTATAGTCTTGTTTGGTTTAGAAACCTAATCAATACTGAAGGGATGTTAGGACCAGAGATCAACCAAATCCAGTCAGTTCTCGATTCGGTGTATATGGCTCTGGCGAATAACTTCTTAAATCTGATGATTGAATCTGAACCATATAGAATTATGCATCGTGCAAGTTCTATTCTGTCCAAATATTAAACATGATAATCTCCTTATAGTAGAACTTGAGATGATCGGTTGGCTGGTTTTTAACCTCAGATGTATCCGGTCATTGGTAAATGGGTCGTGGAGAAGATGAATTGTCTGTCTATAACCTATCAACAGCCTAACTGAATTCTCTACGAATGATTTACGAAACAATCTACATTCATCAGCTATGCCCACCCAAATCATATTGATCAAGTTCTAATCGGGTAGATTGAGATGATTAGCCGGTTATACCGCACATTACCCATCCCATGATGCTGCCACAGGGAGCTGCCAGACACCCTGCGGATGCTTATTTTGTTTTTGTTCTTGCACCATTTCATTTCCACGCACTGTTTTCTGCCAACACAGAAAGCAACCGTTTGAATGATTACCCGGACAATTGGCAGCCTCTGTAAAATAATTGCTCCGACAATGGTGAAAGCTTAGTTATTCGGAATGTTGCTCTGCCACCCACATTTCAATATCACACAAAGATTAAAGAAACATAAACAAAGAAACCAAAGTTGTAGCTCTCTTGGCACAATAAAACTCGGCTGTTAGCCTGTTACAATCAAACTATGACGCATGTAAAACGACTTGGCCAGTCGCTAACTTTCGGCCGGCTCCTTGTTTCTTCCCTGTCCTTACCCGAATGTCTTGGTCTCTTCCACCGGCTCTCAGCACTCAGCAGCTGACATTGGAATTGCCCTCCCTCTGCCTTTCCCTTGAAACAGAGCATCCCCTTCAAATCTATATTGAGGAACTTTACCAGTTCTGGAAATCACAGAAAAAAAATCTCAGAACTATGAGTCAAGTACCCATCTGGTGGGCACTTGGCATTTCCCTCCTTCTCTCCGTCCTCCACCACCCGGCTGATTCCGCGGGTGTGGAGGATGGAGTCAAGAGCTCCCTCATCACCTTCCTCGCCCACCTGAACGGAACCACAGCCAGTTGGGTTCCTATAACCGATCCGTGCCTGAATTCCTGGCCGGGGATTTCCTGCGACACTTCGAACAGCTCTGTAACAAGAATCCAACTTTCAGGATTCAGCCTGTCAGGAGAATTCGATCCTGCTTCCGTTTGTACGAACCCATTACTGGCTTCGTCTCTCACCATCATCAACCTCCAAAGGAACCAAATCTCCGGCGAGCTCTCACCAGCGATCTCAAACTGCTCCAATCTCACTCACTTCCTAATAGGGAAGAACAAATTCTCCGGAAACATTCCGGAATCCATTACCGGCATCAAGAGTCTCAAGAAGCTCGACCTCTCCCACAATGATTTCTCGGGCGAGCTGCCGGACTTCACCGGCCTTCCTGAGCTCGTGATGTTCACCGCGCAGGGGAATCACTTCACGGGACCAGTCCCGAGATTCGACTTTCTCAAATTGCAGAAACTCGACCTCTCCCACAACAAATTCACCGGCGAGATTCCTGACCTCCATGGTAAATTCGACCAGGGCAGCTTTTCGGACAACCCTGATCTCTGCGGGCCGCCGTCACCAAACCCTTGCCCATCATCATCTTCTTCTTCAACCGTCATGAACGCCCAAAGCGAAACTTCGAACAACAACGGCAAGAAGTCGAAAACCCGAGCGAGGGATCAGATTCTGATGTACTCTGGCTACACAATCATCGGGCTAGGAGTCATCGGTTTCATCGTTTTCAAACTCTGCAGAAGAAAGAGCAACGCCGGAGGTAGTACTAAAAAGGGTGACTTGGAAGCCAGAGTGGCTTCAGTGGACGACGATAGCTTCATGAGCAAGGCGAGTTCTGTTAGCTACGCGAAAACAGGGGAGAGCTTCTCGGAAATTTCGGGGGTAACGGAAGAAAGTGCGATGACCTCTTCTTCGCTTGTACTGCTGACGAGTCCTTTATCTGGGGGGCACGGCGGCGGCGGGGGTTTGAATTTCGAGGAGTTGCTGAAGGCTCCGGCAGAGCTTCTGGGAAGGGGGAAGCACGGGAGCTTGTATAAGGTGAACTTGAGCGGCGGGATGACGGTGGTGGTGAAGAGGATTAAGGATTGGCCGATTCAGACGGCCGAGTTTAAGACTAGGATGCAGAGGATACACCAGGCCAGTCATCCGAATGTGCTCCCTGCTCTGGCGTTTTACAGCTCCAAACATGAGAAGCTGCTGGTTTATGGCTATCAGGAGAATGGCAGCCTCTTCAGATATCTCCATGGTAAGGCCTTCCTTCTTCTAATTAGTTCTAAATCCCGCCATTGTTAAGGCTGTGTTTCTTGCACCCCTCTAGAGTCAATGAGAGTGTCCATGGTTTGGTCAGGTCCAGTCCGGTCCATAATCGGATCAAATTAGCATAAGATCGTATTGAAATTAAAGAAAAATTATGACTTATCTTAAGAGTGTCCATGGTTTGATTCAATCAACTGTTTTTCCATCATCTTTATTAGAGTTTTAGTGATTGAAAAATAAATAGTGAAACTGAATTGATACACACTCATTTTTGTTCAATTCAGGTTAACTCTCACACTTTTAGACTTTAGTAGCTTTGAAATTTTAAAATAGTACATAGATAATGAACAGAAATTTTGATACTAAATAGTACATGGATAACAAGTAATTCTTTTAATTGCAAAAGATTATGAAATAACTATTACAAGCATCCTTTTAAAACATTCTTTCTCAAATCAATAAAGTAAAAAAAACAATTTTAATGAGATGACATCTATTTAGTACTTTGTATGACTCCCGATACCATAAAACTTCGTACAAACTACTAAAAAGAAGTGTTTCTGACATCGTATTATACTAATGTTCTGATTGAAAAAAGATTTTGTCAATGTGTATATTAGTAGACAATTTTTAGTGGAATGAAATGAAATGATAAAGCAAACCATAATACCAACACAAATACCCTAGTACTAAATTTTTCTATACAATCTCGAATACGATTTTACAATACTGCTGATGTTTTAACTTTAAATTTCACTCATTTTTAGTTATTTAGTTACTTTTTCAGCTCAAACAAAAACACCTATCTATGGTTTCAGGAACAAAGATGGGACAGTCATTCGACTGGCCAAGCCGGCTGAGCGTGGCATCCACCGTGGCACGAGCCCTAGCCTCCATGCACAAGAAGCTCCACGACGACGGCATCAGCCACGGCAACCTCAAATCCTCCAACATCCTCCTCAACCAAAGCCTCGAGGCCTGCGTCAGCGAGTACGGCCTGCTCCCAGTCCCCGCCGACACCGACCACGACGACAACCAAAACGACGTCGACGACTCTTCCTCCGAGGGCAACAGCTTCAGCTTCAGCGAGGTGAGGTCCAAGTCCAAGTCGAAGCCCAAGAAGAAGCCGTCCCACGCGGCGGACGCGTTCCGATCCGACGTGTACGGGTACGGCGTCGTCCTGCTGGAGATGCTGACAGGGAAGACGGTCCAGAACAACGGCGTCAGCCTGCCGACGTGGGTCCACTCGGTGGTTCGGGAGGAGTGGACCGTCGAGGTTTTCGACAAGCACCTGATATCGGAGGGCGCGAGCGAGGAGAGGATGGTCAACGTGCTGCAGGTGGCGATCAAGTGCGTCAACCCGTCGGCCTACGAGAGGCCGGCGATGAGTCAGGTGGCGGTCATGGTGGATGCGATCAGGGAAGACGACGAGAGATCGTCGTCGTCGCCGGGTTACTAAGATGGGTCGGGGTTAGGGAATAACCGGTTTTGGTGTAGGGGTTAGCTGGTTTGGTTGTTTGTTATTACTTATTAATGTGTGTGGGTGCAACCATTAGTTTGTTCATTTCTCGATTAGTTTATAGAGCAAGCAATGTCTCGGCCGACTAATTGTGTATTACTTGGATTAATAAAGGATCAAAGCATGTCGTGTATTCATGATAAATGCACAATTGAGGAGTGATATTATATATGGTTGAGGCTATAAATGTCTAGTGAATTATGCTAATTAAATCATTGAATTGATCGGTTTTGGAGAATTGATGTTGTATTATAATCTCTAATGAGTAAATCTTGTGTTCTAGTTCTTTGATCTAAATATAAAATTAATTTAATAAAAAAGAATAACTAATGATTTTAATCAATCAAAATAGATCCGATAAGTATGAAGACATACCTATATTCAGGTTAACCATAACCTAATAGGTCAAGAATGAGAATATATGCATCCCTTAGCTAGAGATCAATTAGCTAGAGATCAAGAGACACAAATGGGTTGGGAATTAAGTAAAATCGGAGCAACATAATTTTGTCTTTTAGGTTAACCTTGATTGAGTTTAGGGTATTTAAAAACCTTATTTGTTAGTTTTCTCTATGTGTTTAGCTAACAAACTGAATATCAATCTGCTCGAACTCAAACTTATGATTGCCTATACTCTTCTTGTTTATCATTTTGCTAGGATTACTGCCTTCTTTCCTTCATCGGTTTTTTTTTTCGTCTACAAATTGTTTGGGGGACACTCTTCATTAATTAAGCTTTTAACAATTGAATTTAGAGCATGGTCAAAAGTTATCATCTTCATATTCTCACTCATTTGTTGGAGAAAACGAAGATTAGTCTCCTTTCATTTTCTTTGAGCTTGGAAGGTTGTGATTCCCTTCTTCTTTGCTTCTTCTAGCATCAAATTTGCTCCTAAATAAAAGGATAGACTAGCAGAACGAAGTCACTAACTATCATTGGAGAGTTTCATATATTAGTCGTCTTATGACGACACTTATAAAGTGATTTTCGATCAAGTTGAAGAGGGTTGCAATACCCTTTTTCTATGTTTGGCGTATAAACTCGCTCTCAAATAAAATGACAAACTAACTCAATAAAATAATTGATTAGTCTTGCACTTACGACATTTAATACGACATTTAATAGCAATTCTAAGAAAATAATTCCATTTTCTATACCAATCATTTTCACTCGAGTTTAGTTTGAACTTAAGTTAAATATAAGCACGTCTGGACAACCCAAAACCAAAGCACTACATTTGTAGATTAGAAACAAGTTCCTAACTTCAATTTCCTATGAAAAAAATAAGAAACCCAAAACATGCATTTTTCAAATAGTGTTTTTCCTAAACTACCTTTCCCTCTCTAACTCCATGAAAGCAAACAAAAAATTCAAAAATTAAAATCACAATGAAATGAAATGCAATTTGATGAAACTCTTGGGATTGTATAAAATGAAATATCTTTGTTAACCACAAAGACTGAAACAACCATGTTGAAAGAATAACCCAGACTAAGTCTTAGGTGCTTACTACCACTTTAGCCCAAACCTTTTCCTCTCAAAGCCCCTCCCAAACCCAGCCCAAACCGCCTTCACGCTCCCAAGCCCACATGATCTCGGCCGAAACCCGTCAGCTGAAATTGAACGGATTCGCGTCGTTGTCGAAATCCATGGAGGACTTAGCCGACGGCGGGAGCGAGAACCTGTCGGAGAATCCACGGCCGAGGAGATCCTCGTCGTAATCAACGCCATTGGCCAGGGGTCCTTCGTCGAAATTAAGGGCGTAGCTTGTAGCGTCATAATTGAATTTCCCGTACCCTTGCCGCTTCCGTCCATTAAACCGCCGCACCAAATTCTTCCACCTCGGCCCCTCCGATAACCCACGAACCTTCTTCCAGCTCTTTGACCACCACGGCGTTGCCGGTGAAGACGAATCCAAAGGTTTGATTTGTCTCCAGAATGCTCCGGACGATCCCCCGCCACCACCTCCGCCGCCGCCGCCAAGAGTTGGCTCTTTTTTCAGAAAATTAGGGAAACAGAAACAGCATCGCCGCCTGGCGAAAGCGGCATCGTGAATGTCATCGTCTGAGCCGGCGGAAAATGCATCATAGGAAGAGCTTCGAGGAACGGGCATGGAGGATTGGGGGAGAAGACGGAGACAAAGAGATAGAGAGAGAAAGGCTATGTTTCCCTTCTCTCTCTGTCTCTCTCTCTCTGAGAGAAGGGAATTCATGTTATAAGAATCTAGATGAGGGGAAGGAATGTAGGAGTACCGGAAATCCCGCGGGGAAAATCGAATTGTTGTTACTTATGGGTTCTTTCTTTGTTGTCTATTAATGGCGGTTGCCGATGATTCCACCAGGCCGACGCACCTCAAATCGTTGGTGATTTGAAGCTTCTCCTCCTTTTAGAATGACTATTTGGTCGAAATTCAACGGTTGATTAGGAAAGCTGGCGTTAGGTTATATATAACCAATTGATTCTTCCCATCAACATTAACGAAAATTCTCGTAATTTCAACCACTTTGTCATTCTAAAAGTTCCCAATTTTGGTTTCAACAGAAGGAACGATAAGGACAAATGAGTAAAAAAAGAGGTAACCCCTTAACCTTTTAGTGAACCACACTATAGCCCCTCAACTTCCAACTCTTAACAAACGAGTTTCCTTAAAGGCTTAAACTAACCAGTAATTACTCAGCCCTGAAGGAACTGGTCATGGGGTGGGCTTTAATTGGGCCATGATTACGGGTGGGCTTCCCCAATCCAAATAAGATAAAAGCTTTAATTGGGCCATGATTACGGGTGGGCTTCCCCAGTCCAAATAAGATAAAAACGTAAAAATTCGCTAGAAGGAGGGCTTGAACCTCCGACCTTGTGGTTAACAGCCACACGCTCTAACCATCTGAGCTATTCCAGCCAGTTGTGTAAATAATCCTAACGCATAGATATAATCATATAGTCTGTAACATGTTACATGTTACATTTCAAAGCATCAGTTGCCTGCCCATGCGAAGCTGTAAATTCAACTATTTTCTAGCATTCTTTATGAATAGATACAAACAACTTATGCACCTGTAGGCTAAGAACGAACATATTTATAGCAATATATGAAAAAGGAAAATAAGCCTAAGAAATAAGAATACATCTGTTTTGGAGAGGGAAAAACGGTCTTTAGCTGATTGACTGTCTCTATTATCTCACTGCTGCTGTCTCATGACTGGTAATTAGCATGAGAGTAACCAACATAGTTGTACCTTGGTCGAATGTTATGGTGATTGTACCTAGGATCTGCATAGTCGACAGCTTTTATCACCACTGCTTCACGACGACCGTCCTGTTCCTGAACCGCTCCAAAAACTATCTCGTTCGTCTCGCAGCCTTTCTCGTAGTACGTTTTCGGGTTTGATTTGTGCTGCCTGTGATGCTGCTGCTGTTGTTGGTGCTGCTTCATTTGTTGCTGCTGTTGCTGTTGATGCTTCAATTGCTGCTGCTGTTGTTGATGCCGGTCATAATCTGTGTCATCCCATTCGCTGTTGTAATGCTGGTTCTTCTGAAGCAGCTCCTTGGTCGTGAATGGATATTGTCTCTTGGGTGCAAGGTAAGTGGATTCGAGAGGTGGTGGTGGGGAATCTTCGCCTGGAATCGCGTAGCTTTCCTGCATTGGCCACGAGTTCAACTGCTTGAGTTGTTGTTGTTGTAGTTGTTGATACTGCGGATGGAACTGATAATGATGAACCACGGGTTTCCTTCTGAAGCCTGGAATTAGTCCCCCAACGAGTCTTCCGAGTGAACTGAACGTGCCTTCGTCTTCTGGTTTATTGTTATCATGATGTTCGTCTTCGCTTGGGATTAGAGGAGGTCTCACGGATTGAGATGGCCTCCGATATGGTGGAGGTGGCATTGGTGTAGCTTTCTTCACGTAATAAGCTCTTGGGTCCTAGCATTAAAGAGCACTTGAAACTCTGGTCATGTTTACAGGAACACAAGCAAAAGGATAGTTGCACAATGTACTGTTGCATAACTTATAACACAATACTAAAGCAGTAAATTTGGAGACGTGTTGTTGCTTACATGACGAGGAGAGAAAAAAGCTTGGACCTTTCGCTGCAGAAGTGCCAACATATATCCAAAGAACCCAGCAATGACGAGCATTGCTACACCTGTAAACACAAGTGTAACAAACAAAACACTGAGTCGTTGAAAAGAAGGAGAAACATAATGAGTCGTGGAAATTACTATCATTACCCAAGCTGAATGTACTATCATTCTGATTACCCAAGTGGAAAGTACTATCATCTTGATAGTTGCTGCAATCCTCATCATGGAGTTGGATCTCTCTAATTGCCTGGTTACCTCTATCCACAACCAAGAGAGAGCAGCTACTTCCAACATAAAGCACATCAAAATCGTTAGAGAATTTGGCTTCTTCACTTGGCCCATCAATGTGGCCACCTGCTCGATTCTTTTTGCCTCCTGCAATAGTTGTAACACCTGCACAGATAAAACCAGGCATGGTTTTCTTTTTCTCCAATCTGTTGAAAACCAAAGGCTCAGACAGCAAGACGGGTTGTTTTAGACATTTTAGTACCTCCCTCACTAATCTTCCTGATAGCCATGTTCATGGTATCTGCAATATATATGTTTCCTTTGTCATCTGCAGCTAGACCTTTCGGATGGTTCATTTTTGCTTCCCTTAACTTCCCATCGACATGCCCTGTGTATCCTTCTGGAGATCCAGCAACCAGCTTTGGCCTGCTATCTGCATTGCCTCAAATTCACCCCCATATAAGAAAATGACAGATTCTACAACGAAAGGACTTGGCAAACATAATCACCGAAGCAAAAACTTCAACTCTCATTTTTTCGGAGAGGAAACATCTTATTTCAATAAGTTGGCTAAAGAAAGCATTTTAGACTTTAGCTTTGAAGTCCAAACCATATTTCAGGTTTCTTACTGAAAACCAGTGAAGTCAGCCTTCTGGTTTCTAAAAGAAACATAAACTGCTAATCTTGTAAGACACAAAAGCCTCCAAGAGCAAGGATCAAGCCTTGATTTCGAGACAAATTGGAAGTGCTAAAAATCTTAAGGAAAAAGCAAAGGATGGAATTAGGTGATGTAAACAGAACTGAAAATGTTGTCCCATGTACTTTTAAGAGTTTGAGGCTTGTAATTGACAAAAGGCATTAAGTATATGTTTGCTCACATTTCAAGCATGTGATCTAGTTATTCTTTCCTTCACTTCTCTTTTATCTTTCCTTTTGACTCAAAATAGAATCTTCCCCACAAATTGAAAAGATAAAAGGAGAAGGAATCCAAATCCAGATCTCATTTCCAACCCCTGAAGCTAAGCACCCAAAATGAATCCATTCTTTCGAACATGGAGTCACAAACACACAATCTGGGCAACTAATTCTTAGAAAATGGTTAACAAACTTACATTCAGATAGTGGAGTTTGCATCTTGTAAAGGTTACTGTTCTTTGAATCCAGGACCATGAGCTCGCCACTTGGAGAAACCTGGACTGAGAAAGGTTCAATCCCAAGCTTACTTCCATCAAACACAGTCTCTACTGTGTACCCATCTTCAAATTTCACCAGGGAACGCCCAGAAACAGCTGGAGGAGCTTCCCCACCCATCAAACCCTTCAGCCTTGAAACTGTCCCTATAATTACCCATTCACCCATGAAACAACAGCATAAGCAAGCAAATAGGCCTCTTCTCTTTGTGAATCCAATGAAGAGAAGCAACTAAGTTACCTGTTTTGGGGCTGGATTTGAGGGACCAGAGCCATTTCACAAGTGCTGAAACCACATTGGTGACGATTCCAGTCACAATTTCTGCATCATGTGTAATACCCAAAGATTTGAATCAGTAAACACTGAAGTATGAACTAAGCTTAGGTCGGGCGAACTTCAAAAACCTGCTTACTTGCTGGAGTGGCTGCTGAAACCGAAGAGAACCCATTGAGAAGAAGCAAGAAAATAAGAGTAAATGCAACCAGTTGCCTGCACATTTTGCTGATTAGCTTCCTGCTCCCTCAACTGAAATAATTATGGAGAAGGAGGAGGAGAAGGGAATGGTGGAAATCAGAAAATGCCAAAGATTTGAGCTTTTTGACGTTTTATACTAAGAGACACACAAACCAGCTGCTCTCATATCGAGACCCCACTGACTGAATCCAGTTTATATATTGTTGCTTATTGCCACCTTTTTAAACACCCCGTTGCTTTCCCTTTTAGTTTTTACACAATCTCATCATAATTAGTGAACAGACAAAGAAGAAGCCAAGCAAAGTAAAGGAAGTTAGCGCCCAACAGTAGGGATGGGGTCTTTATCTTCAGATCTGTCCCTCTAAACAAAAGTTTAAATATTGATTAAACCATCTCTATTCCATTTACAAATAGTTTATTGAATTGTGATTTCTGCCAAACCAATTTAAGAATGTTGATAATTTTTGCTAGTAAAACACAATTAGATTATACAAAGCATCTGGCTTTGTCAAGCAAGGAATGTTTCTGTACCTCTTTCTCTTTTTGTTTCCTTTTCTTTTTAGGAGTATCAAAGTCTGAAACTTTGGCCATCATTTCTCAATCTGTTGGGCCTTGTGAGTTTAAGCAACTTCTCACTCAAGCCACTTAATCCTAAATCATGTCAGATATCACAGACCGACAACATCTAATTATCTGACATGAACATATATTCTGCTCATGTTATGCACCAGGAAAAGAATGGATTTTGATATTGTAAATAAAAATCTAATATATATTCGGTTTATTATTTTTTGAGACTACTCAATATCAACACTGTCAATATTTTTATATGAGAATGTACCTATGTGATGGAAGCATAATCCACAATTGTTAAATACACAAAATAATACATATTAACAAATATGCACAAAATTAACACGCAGTAACGATATATCAAGTACTGTACAATCCATTGTACAAGCCTACAAGGACATTTGAGACCATAAGTACGCTAACCCAATTCATCCGAAGTGCGGATAACATCTAATTATCTGTACTCTGTTTTGCAGTCTCACACAGAAACATCCAAACGATGCATGCTCCCAGTCCCACCAAGCACCCACCCAACTTATCACGCTCAGATCTCATCGCAGCCTCCCTTTGCGAGGAATGTAAAGCAGCTCGTCAAAACCAAAAATGATGCCCAATGCTTTAAGCAAATGGGAAGAAACCAGTTTATCCTTTCGGCCATCTGAAATCGCCAGGAAAACTCGGGAAATGAAACCACACACGCCGACAAACCAATCCTTCCATCCGATATCTTGGACATCATGTAATAATAACAACAAGCAAGCTTTCCAGCAGAAACACATTGAATATGTCTGCAAGAAGGTCTCTGATCTGATGAAGAACTACAAGCCGACATTCAAAGATAGCAAACCAAAAGACTGCATTAAGAATATAACACCACCTCCAACTGACAGGATGACAGACAAACCTTCTCCTGCAGCTGCAACACAAACAAGAAAAGAGAGTACTCAAGAATCACACACCAATTCCAGCGATGCTCCATCCCGACAAAGCAGCTCGGCGAGCTTAGTGCATGGGGAAGAGTTCAGGATTGAATGGGATGATGCTCAGAGCACACAAAGAGCCGAAGCACTGGAATCATTGTTAGAGATCTGTGCAAGCCTGCTCAGACGTGAACGGTTCGAGGAACTAGAAGGTGTGCTGAAACCCTTTGGCGAAGAAGCTGTGTCGTCCAGAGAAACAGCAATTTGGTTAACAAAAAGTCTCATGAAAGTACATAAGAAAAGAAATGGGAAAACTTGATTTACACCCGGAGCAAAGTAGTGCACTTTTATTGACTTCAAAGTGATCCATTCACTGTCTTTCCTTCTATTTATCAAAATTCAATCACAACAGTTTTCCAATGAAATAATTATTCAATTTCTCCTCACAAAATTGAAGTATCAATGCTCAAATCAACTTGGAGTAACAATACAGCAGTTGAAGTAAACTATGGCTATATGGAGCTGCTCCATAAGAATCAATAAGTATCACCTAGTTCAAGTATATAAGCTACACCAGCAAAAATTCAACTCATGTGGCTTGAATAATGGAACTCTCCCATTGATGACAATCTATAGTCATTAGTCAATGAATCAGAATGTGGAAAGACAAACCTAATTCGTCACTTCTTCTCATCTGCTACTGCTGCTGCTGATGATCCTTCTTCTTTGTCTTCTTCCAGCTTCTTCTTGTTCTTCTCAATCGCAGCAGCAACTTCCCCAGGCATGTACTTCTCGTCGTGCTTGGCCAAAACCTCCGTCGCCGAGAAGTAAACATCTATACCCCTGGCCTTCTCTGAAACACTCTTGCCTCCCGTTTCCTTCTTCAACTCCTCCGTAATCGGCCTCACGAATCCTTCCACCACCACCGAATGCCCTTCCCTGAACAAATCCGGCAAAGCCCCTTTATACCTCACCAGAATATCCGTAATCAAATCAGTGACCACGAACTCCATCTCCGGCGACGACGCCGGCTGGACCACGCTGCCTTCCAGTACCAATCCTCCCAATCTGAACTTGGTCTTCTTCGGATTCGCCTTGTTCTGCTCCATCGCGTCGGTGGGAGTCACGTAGAACACCATCTGGTCCTGGAAATTGTTCAGTACGATGACGATGAACCCGGCCACGAAGCTGAACGCGAGCGCGTAGGTCCACAGCCGCCTGGTCTGCATCTGGCGAGCTCGGGCTCCGATGTCCACGGTCTTCGGCCGCGCCGGGTGACGGCGCGCCGTGGAGAAGAGCCGTAGACCTGAGATCGAGCCGTACGCCGCGCGGAGATCTGAAATTGGGGAGAGAATCAACCGCTCCGATCTGGCAGCGGAAGCGATCTGGCGAGTGGAGGAGAAGAAGATGCTGGTGCAGGAGGAAGAGGAAGAGGATCCGGAAGCGGCGGTAGTTTTCGTGGAGCGGAGGAGCTGCGATCTCAGTCGGAGGAGGACGGAGCGAGAGGCCATCTTGCGACGGCGATTTCGATTTGGTTGTGCGAAGAAAATCGTTTCTAAGGGCGGGGGGTTTTTGCGGGGTTTAGTGGCGAGTAGAGAAGACCAAAATCTACTAATAACAAATGTACTATTTGATCCTCAAATTTATTAGGCGTTTTATTTTATAACGAAAAAAATGCAAATTGAGGTGCGGTATGTGGCTTTGCCACTGCTGCAACATATTTGCCTGAGAATATTAACGCTGCCTTGCTGATGACTTTATTCCCTCCCGCGATGTAGCTTGCGCCATCATAACATCTTCTAAAGCTAGTTAATTAGCTAGATTGTCTGAGAATATTTGCCTGAGAATATTAACGCTGCCTAACCTAACTCATATATACTCACTCCCTCACGCCTACAAACACAAAGCTCTCCCCACAGGCCACAAGGGATGGACAGTTCACAAGAGGGCTCTTTATTTGCTCCAGATAACAACACAAACCAATTCCAAGTTGCATCAGCAATAAACAACAATCAACCGAGTAACTGGCCGAAACAGCAAAAAGAAAAAGGAAAAGATGAACAAATATGCAAGCACTTTCATGCCAATCAAAGTCATAATATCTTTTCCAGAGAAGCCATAGTAGCTCCAGAGCTCCGGAGGCTCAAGGCTTTCCCAGGTTATGGAAACAGGGCCATCAATAACGGTGGAAAATATCTTTCTATCCTCGCACACCACTTAATAAACACAAGACAAGGCAAAACAACGTTGAATTCTTAGGTGCCATAGAAGCTGCCCTCTACAAGTGTTTCAGAGAGGGTCTTATTTGGTCCACCAATGCATGAAATCCTTGCGCCTGTTGATCTTCTTCTGCAGCTGAAGTATTCCATAGAGTAGGGCCTCAGCAGTTGGAGGGCAACCTGGGACGTAGATATCCACAGGGACAATCCTGTCACAGCCACGTACGACAGAATACGAGTAGTGATAGTATCCACCACCATTGGCGCAGCTTCCCATGGAGATGACCCATCTGGGCTCTGGCATCTGGTCATACACCCTGTACACACATTTTATCAGCCCATATTAATTCATGGTCTAAAGAAAACAAATATCCTTCACATACGAGGAATGGCGAAACAAGAGTAACTAGTCAACCATCAACAAGCTGCCACCTTTGAATTATATCAGTTAATCAGAAACAGCAATGCAGCTTCTTAGGTTGCTAATTGGAGCAGTTGAGGAGAGCATCAACTGGGTTCTTGTACCAAAAAAATCAATGCACCAACTTCAGAGCCACTTAATTATATAAGCCACCATAATATATCACATAAGAATCTGTTCTTCCTACATGTGTATCTTAACTTTCTGTAAGCCAAGTACATCAAACAAGAGTATTCTACTAGCCACCCTAAACCTAAACCATTAAAAAAAACTCTTGAGAAAGACATTCTCAACACTCTGATAATAAGTATTGACGCTTTACATCAACCCTATTTAACACATCTTTAAGCAACAGCAGCCATTATGTGCTTCTTCACAACCAATCAAATTCATGACAACTTAATAACGACTGCTCAGACCAGATTTTTCCTCCATAATTGAACATAACCTAGCAACTGATGGTGGATATGATTTGATGAAGAGAAAGATCAACCTAAGTTAGAGGATCTAGTTAGGAATGGCATTGTAATTATCCCGTAGGACTGTGAAACTCAACTCTAGCTTGAGCAGAAATCCAAATTCGGCCAAGTGAGGCTATCCAAATTTGTAAGCTGCAAACCTAATGCTCAGGATTTCAATCAAGTTGAGTGCTTTACATTGAAAATGGTAAGAACATTACTTTCTCCAATAATCTAGGAATTCAATGTTCCTCCTGTTGCTCCGGAATAGACCAACAAACCAACCATCAGTACTAAGCTAACCCCCAACCTCGCCCGCGCAAACAACCCAATGATCCCCTCTATTCAAATTCCATGGCTCCCATCAGCATAATTCCTCTAGGGACGCAAAAAACTAGATCGCAAAATAGGAAAAGTAAATGCCTTTCTACACTAACCCTAAAAAGAAACTGACCCCAATCAGCTGAAAGATCGGAACCCTAAAATCAGAGATGGACTTACTTGCGAAGAGCAGGGGCCATTTTGTTCGTAAGGGTACCAGCGACAATCATACAATCGGACTGGCGAGGACTAGGCCTGAAAATAACCCCAAACCGATCCAGATCGTAGCGAGCGGCACCGGTGTGCATCATCTCCACAGCGCAGCAAGCGAGCCCGAAAGTCATGGGCCAGATGGAGCCTCGACGGACGTAGTTGATGACATCGTCGACCTTGGAGATCACAAACTCGGCCGTCTTTGAGAGCCCCACGGGGGAAGAGGTGGCCGGGGAAGGCGGCGGTGCATAAGAGGTCGGTTTGGTCGCGTTATCGGGGGAAAGCGAGGGGATGGTTGTATGAAGAGAAGCGGCGGCGGCAGCGCGGTGGTTGGCGAGTAGGAGCGGGAGGCGAGAAGCGGTGTTCCTGGTGATCAGCGCCATTATTTATGGAGGCAGGGAAGTGAGTCGGCGATCGCAGGCTTCTCCCTCTATAAATGATTTGGGTCAGAGGAAGAAACGAGGCTTGCCGATTGCCACCGGAGAGCTGTATGTGTCCACAGCATGAACCGCACGAGAGGAGGACGATATTGTCTTTTCGCGGATTTTAGGATAACTACGGATTTCACCTAAAGTTTGGTAAGGCCTACAATTTGGTCACACATTTTAGATTTTCGCTGATATATATTCTGGTCCTTAAATTTGTAGATTTACTAGTTACCAGTTGAAATGAACGATTATTCGATTAAGGCGCGACTAAAAAAATTCCGAACATGCATAAAAAGTATGTTTTCTGTTTTGGTTTCGGAGCTCCTAAAATCAAATCAATGTGCAATTAGGCTCTCTTCCTATATATATGGATAAGCAATACCGAGCAATGCATACACATTCAGACATTCTCCCATCTTCATCAAACAATCAATCAATCGCTCTCGCTTTCTGATCGCTTGCATGCCACAAAAAATATTTGAAGAAGTTAACCAAGATCCCCGATTGTCGTAACAGTGTCGACAAGTGCAGCGAGAAAAAGTTTATCACCCTGAAGAACAGCGACGACGAGCCGTTCCAAGTGGAGGAGGCGGTGGCAGTACAATCGCAAACAATCAAGCACATGATCAAGGATGACTGTCACGACGACTACACCCCGATCCCCAATGACCAACATCACCGGCGTGATTCTAGCCAAAGTCATCAAGTTCTGCAAGAAGCACAAGTGCACTCCTCAATATGTCGTCGACTTGAAGGAGTGAGACGCGAATTTTGTTTAAAAATGAGTGGTGATTTGAGCATCGTGGAATGCATTCAAAATCAATTGGGGGTTCGAAGAGCCCCTAAAGGCTAGAAGTGATAGACAATTCAATGGCCGAGCATAGGATCAGGTTCTATATATTCATTGTTTTTTCAATCCTATCTAGTATTTTAATTCGTTAATTTTCACTTTTTAATTCCTTTGAAGTACTTAAACTTTATAATGTTTCATTTGAGTCCTTCCACTTGCAACATTATGTTATTAATTATTTTGATAAACTTGTGTCAGTTCCTTAATTTTAATGATTTTGGAAGACGTAGAAAATCATATTTTGATAGTTATGTTTTATAAATATACTTTTGGATTTATGATTTGAAATCAATTTTTTTCAAAAAAATTAAGAATCCCAAATGTAGGAATGTTATTGACGAATTTGGACTTCCAGCCATTGAAAGCAACTAAAATACTACACATGTATGATTGATTTCTCTTTATAGTTCAAAATTTATATTGAAAAAGTGCTAAAATTTGTAGGTTTACTGCTATTATAAATTTTTTGGCTCCATAGAAGTTCAATTCCTGGCTTCGCCCTTGTATATAACAAAGTACAAATAATCAATAATAAAAATAAGTTTGTTAATAATTCACAATTAGTGGGTGAAATGAATCGTATGTGTTAGCTACATATCGCATCTTGTAGGAAGTAGTTAAGATTCATATATGGACCTCTCTCAACAACTCGAGTTATTGGGACCATTAGGTTTATGATATTATATTAGAGTTTGGTTTGGCCAAGTGGTCGTGCATTCGAATATTCACAATCCGCAATATTCATAGTATATTAAAGTACAAAGTATGATAAATTTGTGCAAACTTCAAATCTGCGAGTTGGCTTCGTTGGAGGAGGCATGTAAGAGAGTGATATTAGTATCCATAATTAACTTTCCGTCCACATCTCGACTAATGGAAAGGGATGTGTCTCTATTGTTTGCTTTAGGGTTAGCTGGAAATCTACTGAAACCATCTGTGATGAGTTCCTGGTGGGACTCTATATTATGGTCTCTGATGACGATCTCACTTGTCTTATGATCATAGAAAAGATGCTCAAAACTTGAAAGCATGAAGTGCAATATATGCAGTAGAGTGGAAGAAGCCCTCTCAATTCTGGAGGGAAGAAAAAAATGATATGATATCGTCATTAGGGATGTTCATATGTCAGACATGGACGAAGTCAAATTGTTGGAGCACATCGATGTTGACATGGATTTGCATGTTATGATAATGTTTGTGAATGATCAAAAGAGTGATGATGAAGGGAGTAACTCATGGTGCTTGTGATTACCTGATTACGTCTGTCTGTATTGAGGCTTTGAAGAGCATATTGCACCACGTGGTACGAAAGGCTAGGGATAAGTGAAAGGAAGTGGAGAAGCATTCTGGGAGTGCGGATGACAGGGAGCAGCCGAAGTAGTTCAATGATGATGATTACTCTTCTTCGGTCAACGAAGGTAATTAGAGAAAGTCAAAGAGAAGGAAAGATTACAATGAGAATGGAGATGATAGGGATTACACTTCCTACACACCTGAGGTGGAAATACCAGAGCACTGCGAATAACACAATAACAAAATTGTATGGACTTTGAAACTGTATATCACTTAGAATGAAGACAATAACTTTATATGTTTTATTTGAGAACAAGCTCAAATATGTAAATATAAATTTCACAGATGTAATTTAATTTACTCCAATATCTCAATTGCGTGTACGATATAAAACACAAAAACTCCCTTGATCTAACGCGTAGCTTTGTTGGGTGCAAATTATATGTGATACATACATATTTCTCGAGCAAATCTCTACAAAAAAAAATTAGTACCCAAGTTTAACAATATAACAATATTTCACACTCAACCACAACCTAACCTATGTGATAATATATTCATGTGTGTTTAGGGATGGGATTAGGTGCCAACCCTTATAGGGGTTAGCATCGTGATAACTAGCAAAAAACGCTACTAAAAATAATGAAATCACTACGGATTATTATAAAATCAATACAAAATCTAAGCTAAATCACTACTAATTCAAACTAGTAGTAGTTTTTCCCTTGGTTAGGACGGTACTAACTATTGTACAATTAGCACCGTAACCGTTCCCGTGTGTTTAAATATAGTTAGTGGAATTGCAAAACTCTTCGTTCAACAACATTTTTGTGCATGGCACAAGAGACTAAATGTGTGATGTTTTCTGTTCATAGACTTTATGTGAGGGTTTGTTTTCACAAGTAAACCTCTTTCAACGCTATACTAAGCTCTACTGAATTTGGGCTTCATAACAATTTTAGATTGTAGAGTGCTGTGACTGGTTTGGAATTGAGTGAAATCATAAAAAATTAATGAATGGTAAGCATAATTATTGGTTTCGTATAAGGGTGGGGAATGATAGGATGCCTAAAGCATTAGTAGAATCGCCTTTTTTATTTGGTTCTGTAAATTCTTTCAAAAGTAAAAACAAATAAAAAACCGTTCTGTAAATTCTTTCAAAAGTACAAACAAATAAAAAACCGATGATATCGAAACCAAAGTGAACTAAACTGAATCAAAATACACACTCGATCTGACCCTGATCCTGGTTTGTTTCATGCCTTTCGGGGAGACTTAAATGCAAAACAAAGAAGTACGAGGACTGAATGTATAATTTACTATCGAAAATGGTTATTACAAACAGTGGCGGATCCAGGGGGTGGCCACGGCCCAACCCTCCTCTGGATTCGAAGCTAGTATAGTCCATATAAATTTTTCGATTTTGGATATACGAACTAGTGTTATTTTATAATAAGATTGTGTGTAATTTGAAAAAATGGTTCACATGAACATATTCAAACCAAAACTTCAAATTTATCTTAGAATTTCTAGGCGCAATGATTTTCTTATAAAGAAACACAATGAAACCTGAAATTCTTAAAAGTCTAAAAACGTAAAAAGACAAATAGAAATATGAGGTTTGTTCTCTTTAAAAATTACTAGAGCAGCTGGTGAAAATATGATTGCACACACAATAAAAATTGATTAGTAAATTGATTTGTCTAGTGTTGACGTTGCTCATTTCAGCGGCTACTACAGAAAAAAAATTTTCAACAATAAAACATGTGAAAACTGATTTGCGCAATAAGATGAGCGATGAATTTCTCGATGATTGCTTAACTATTTTATTTGAAAGAGAGTATATTATTGGTATGGATGTAGACTCCATTATCGATGAATTCACTATATTAAAATACAGTCGTGTACAATAGATATTTAAAAAAATCAAGGTTATTTTTCTTTTACAGTATCTCATATTTTTAATGAAATTCGGCCTAGTGCTCTACTATGTTCTGGATCCGCCGCCGATTACAAAAAGCCAAACGGTCCGCAGACGAAAAATCCTAGGTGCTAGAACCGTTGAAATGTTGTGAAGAGATCAGAAGCCGAGGAAAAAGAATCCTAAAGTCGGCAGAAGTCAAGCCTTGCAATCCAAAATCCAGATGATGAACCGGAGACAAGAGGAAAAAAAATGTGGGAAAGTCGTTTAAAATAATTTCTTTTCCTATGCATAGATAGCCTTGCGCTTCTTGGAAGTAGTTAATGACTTTCAGAATTTATATGTGATTTTTCATAGATCAAAATATAATAATATAATAGTCAATTAGTAGGTAAGAGTCCCTCCTTATCATATCTTTGGTAAGTTTTGACTCATAATTCTTGATTCAGTAGTAATATCATTAGTTTTAAACGTAAAGATTTCAGGTTGGAATATGAGTATTACCTCAATAATTGCTTGTTAATTTGAGGCTCGACTCATAATTTGCTTGTTAATTTGAGTTATATAATGAGCAAAATAAGGGAAACGAAATACTTTCGTAGAACCGATTAGATTGAAAGGATTTAATTGTAATGAAATGAAGTATAAGGATCGATTGTGCACTGTACAACTAGCTAGAAGGACCAAATTGTTAATTTATTTAATGAAAGAGGTAGCAACTTGCAAAATCCCATCTAATTCCAAGTCATATTTCTCTCTCTTCTTCGTTCTCTCCCTCCATCTCTGTCACCGAAGCTATGGCTTTTCGACCTCTCGCTTCCAAAACGAGACCCTTCTTTTTCAGCTCTCACTTCCGCTTTCTCGCCTCTCTCGCCCCACAGACCTTCCAAACCCAGCCGTTGCCAGAGCTGGTAAGCGAGATTTCCCGCCTTCTCAGCGACCATAGGAATCCGCACCACGATTTGGAGCTCTCACTCCGCGCTTATCGGCCGCAAATCTCCGCGGAGGCCGTCGAGCAGGTGTTGAAGCGCTGCAGGAATCTAGGGTTTCCTGCTCACAGGTTCTTCCTTTGGGCCAAGAGTATTCCTGGGTTTCAACACAGTGCCCGCAGCTATCACATTCTGGTGGACATTTTAGGAGGTAGCAGGCAGTTCGCTATACTATGGGATTTCTTGATAGAAATGAGAGATTCTCGTGATTTTGAGGTCAATTCAGAGACTTTATGGCTTGTATTTAGAGCTTATAGCAGGGCTAACCTCCCGAATGATGCCATTCGAGCTTTCGGCAGAATGGCAGAGTTTGATTTGAAGCCTGGGATTAATGATCTCGACCAGCTTGTATATGCGCTTTGCAAACGCAGGCATGTGAAGCAGGCCCAGGATTTTGTTGATAGTGTTAAGCATGAGATCGAGCCGACGGTGAAAACGTATAGTATATTGGTGCGGGGATGGGGAAACATTGGGGACATGGAATCTGCTCGGAAGGTGTTTGATGAAATGCTTCAACGAGGGTGTGCAGTCGATGTACCTGCGTACAACAGCTTGTTGGAAGCTTTATGCAAGGGAGGGAACGTCGATGAAGCGTATAACATGTTCCGAGAAATGGGTTCTCGCGGAATCCAACCTGATGCTGGTAGCTATGCGATATTCGTTCGTGCATACTGTGAGGCAAATGATATTCATTCGGCTTTCCGGGTGCTTGATAGAATGAAAAGATACAATCTTCTGGCCAATGTGTTCACATATAATTTTGTCATAAAGAAGCTCTGTAAGACGGATAGAGTAGACGAGGCCTACCAGCTTCTTGATGAGATGCTGGAGAAGGGGGTTACTCCTGATGCATGGAGTTACAACGCGATACTAGCATATCATTGCGAGCATTCAGAGGTCAACAGAGCTACCAACCTGGTTTCCCGAATGGCAAAAGATGGCTGCTTGCCTGATCGGCATAGCTACAACATGGTGCTGAAATTGCTGGTAAGGGTTGGTAGATTCGACAGAGCAACCCAAGTATGGGAGAGCATGGAGGAGAACAAGTTTTTTTCATCTGTTTCGACCTATGCGGTTATGATTCACGGTCTGTGCAAGAAAAGGGGTAAGCTTGAAGAGGCATGCAAGTATTTTGAGATGATGCTTGATGAGGGCATTCCACCATATTCTTCCACTATTGAGATGCTGAGAAACCGACTTATCGGGTTGGGACTAATGGATACCATCGAGATACTTGGTGGTAAAATGGAAAGAAGCTCTTGTTGTTCAATACAGGAGCTGGCTGCTGAAATGAGAGGCCATAAGAGTCATGTGATGTCCAGAAGGGAAGTGACAGAGTCTGAAGGTGATTGAATACTGAAACATTCTCGTACATATGAAATGTGGATACTCTTTATTGCCCCAACTTCTTCACTATTGTTTCAATTTTTGGCGTTTTCTGTGTGGGGACTAAAAGAGCTGATGTGACGAGGACTTTCGGGATAACTGGTAGATGTGAAGGGGGCTGAAGTGTTGACGATGAAGGAGACATCTCAGAATGTTTTCTATGTCACAGATGTACTGGGGAAATTGGCGGATGGGAAGATAATGGAGTATGTTAGGGGAAAGATAGGGTTCAGTTGCTTGCAGGTAAAGGAACTGCCACCCTGGTGTACCACAAGGAAGGTGGGGAGAGGGATGGGCATGCGGTTGCTGCGGGGAAGTTGGGAGAACAATTATCCAATGTCTGTTAGCAACAAGGAAGGTCAAAAGAGCCATGGCAAATGATTGGTTGACCGACAATACCTCAGGCGCAGGCAAGTATGTGATTCTGTTTTCAATTTAACTAGATAATAAAGCCCGTGCTACGCGACGGGTTTCAATTTGTAATTTGTTTATCCTGATAAAAATATAGAATAAGATCACGTCAAACATATTGAAAGAGCTATCGGTGAGAATCTTAATCAACTACTTTGTGACGCTACAAATGGTCGTTCTATTCCGTCACTAACACATTTATAACTTATAAATGTTCCTTCCCCAAAAGATACAAAATCGAATCGAACTCATAAAGCCAAATTACAACAGTTAACCCACATCCAATTCTATCTCTTGTGGTTTTGGCATCAATAGTTTTGCACTATCAGTAATAGTAGAAAATTTGTTACCTCTGAATGAGTACGATAGAAGTCCATTCTTATGTAACTTATTTTGCTGAATTGTTCGTTGTCGATGTCCATATCCTCTGCAATGGAAGAGGGAGGGGGGAGAATTCCTCCCAATCAACTACATTTAAACTTTAAAGTAAAAGTAAACTTCTGTGGCAATTGATAACGTGAGCAAAACACAAATCATTCATCTCACTTTTAGCAAGAGAGAGTACAGAGAGCTTTCCAAAGCTTCTTATTATACCAGTATACTAAACTACTGTCATAACCCTTATTGAACCAAAGAAGAGTATCTCATAATGTAGACGCATAACATAAAGCTTAGAACCGGTTCTTATACAGATTGAAAGCAATTCATAATGTCAATCACCTTAGCTACTCCCTCTTCTTCTAAAATGACCATTTATAAAATATCTTTTTTTTTTTATATCCAGAAAAGACCCAACACCAAATTGAGAAGAATGACATCAGGTGATTGTACCTCCAGCAAACCATATTTTTAGGCTTCTTCCTTCCTGTCTATTCTAGTTTAAACTCTAGGGATCCAATTTCTTAAAATGGCTCGATTAATCTAAAAGGGTTAGGCTTCATCCAATAAAAGAAACTGGTTCAACCCCATCTTCTGTGGACTCCCCTTCTAATATGTCAAATCCGTTGAATGAAACTGGAACATATTCCAGTGACGCTAAAGAAAGTCGTCATGGAACTTGGACCTTATATGAACCTTAGAACTGGTTCTACTCTAAGCTGAAATAAACCCATCTTCTATCAATGCTCATACACATTCTGTTAATTTACTACAACCTAATATGGAAGAAGAAAAACTTACTGATGTCAAGATATGCTTGATTCCTTCATTAGACCTGTCCACCTAGAGCAAAGTATGAGAGCCTTGGGATTGCCATCTTCATCAAGTCAGATGGTCAATGTTCCCAGGAATCCAGAATATATGAAGCATCCGTATCACTCTAAGGTGTGACATTTGTCTTCAATGGCAGGACTGATACTCCTGAAGAAAACATAATCTATCATGTTAGACCTTGTTCTCTTTCGGACTTAATTCATTACATGATCAAATGAAAACTCAAATGTACAAAATTAGTGAACTGTTCTTCATGCTACTTCAGTAGACCTTAGCAACCTATTTGTTTTGCATCATCCTAAAAGCTATTTTAAGGTAGGGGATACGTTTTCTTTCTTTTTGTAAATGATAAAAAGGGGATATTTTGCAACCACATCCGACCAAGGAGTTCTATATATGATGAAGAAGAGGGGCTGGGTGGCATGGTATCAAATGGTTTTTTAGTTCATTGATTGAGTTTGTTCAATGAAGGTACCTGAAGGCTGAAACAGAGAACTGTTCTTTATGCTACTTCAGTAGACCTAGCAACCTATTTGTTTTGCAACATCCTAAAAGCTAACTACAGCAAAGCCTGAACTTAAACGCTCCCATGTGTTTTGCATAAAAGATAGTGACAGACTGGAATGGAGTAGTGATTCATTTTGTTGATATATTCTCTTGGGAGTAATGCCACCATGACTACTTTGTTTCCCCAATCGACCTCCAGCCCCGTCATTGTAATCCCAATCAAAGTACTCGGTATTGAGCCTGTAAACTGTGCTGCACAGTCGGCTAGAAATTGCCGCATAGTCAGCTAGAAATTGACAGATTGATGATTTGACAGCTTCGACTTCCCCTACTGAACCCTTGGAATCGAGAAAACAAAATTGAAGAAGGGGCGGTGAGGGCTCCCTGAACACGCTAGAAAGTAAAGAAACAAAATCGGTTGCAGTGGTGATGGCAAATTCACCGCTGAGAGAGATGGATTGCAAGAACCAAAATCAGGGCTAAGAATAACTAACCCTAGATTACCTCCTTTGATTCAATTGAAGCAGAAATAAAGAAGAAAGGGTATCATCTCCAATGTGCTGAATCGAGTTGTTGACTCACCAAAATCCAGCGATTTACTGTAGCCCTCACCAGAAGGGAACTCATTCACGTCGCCGGTCTTGCTGTCGCCGCTCATGCTTTGTCAACTTTGCAATTGTTCGGGCAAGTAGGAGCAGCTTCCTACTTTGTTACCACCGTCGCCGTCCGCTCATGCTTTGTCAACTTTGCAATTGTTCGGGCAAGTAGGAGCAGCTTCCTACTTTGTTACCACCGTCGCCGTCTGCTGGAGTGAGGTTCCCGGCGTCATCTGACGGAGCGTCGTTGAGTAGGTTTAAGAATTGGGATGTGAGGAGGTCCGCCGCCGTCGTTTGGGGGAACTCATGCTCGTCGCCGGTTCGCCATCGTTGCCTCATTCTTCATCGTTTGGTAGATAATTATAGCTTCATAACACAGCAACGATAGAAAGTAAATCACAGAGTCACACCGAGTCTATGAGTGGAGCAAGTAGAAAGGGGCTAGGGATTTTTATTCCTTCTTCATATTTTGATTTTGCAGGGAAGAGTGGAGAGAGAGGTAAGGAGAGAGGAAGAGGGAGGCGATTGATTTTACAGGGGAAGAGCGGAAGGAGAGATAATAAATAAATGAGAGGTGATTTGGTGCAGGCAATTCTAGGTGGACCCGTGCATCTTTCTTGCCCAGCCTAAATTGGGATACTCAGGCTTAGCTAAATCTGTGTGCACGGAATCTTAAAACCTTGCGGTGAACAGAAACCTCGAAAATTTCGTAATGAACAGTGACCCGAATTTTTGGGAACTTGCACTTTAATAATTCTAATAATAGAGAAATTGGTGGTTGCTTTGTAGTGTGGATGAACTACATGGATGAGAAGGTGTTGGGATTAGTCTTGTAGGGAGAAATGGAAAGGTTGAATGCATTTAAATTAACCATTTTACTAGAGAAATACATATATAGATGATGAACCATTTTACTCCACTAAATCCCTGTTCAGTTGATATGGTCAATCCAGCTTGTGTTCCATGTGATGGTACACATCAATCAAATAGACTATTTCTCGTTCAATGCTTACTAGTTACTAGAAATAGAGGTCGATTTCTTAGTTTGTTGCGATCGCTCGCTTGGCCTTGGTCGGAACTCTGCCATAGTTTTCCTTACTACCTAGCTAACAACTGCCATCTCATCTAGAGTCTCTAGCTAACATAGTACTGGTGGCCTTAGTCGATACTTGGTTGCTTGCTACAAATAAAACCACCAACATGCTGCAAAAATTGGCTACATACCAATACCGTTCCTCATCCTCCTTCTCTTGATCACGACGGGCAACCCACCTCTCATCCTGAGAAGCAGCGACAACACGTAAGGTGGGTTCATCATCCTCTCTGGACTCGCACCTCCGTCGACGGGCAACACTTGGAACTCCATCATCACCGCCGACACAATCGCCTTCATCTGCATATAAGCCATCTCCTTCCCCAAACACATTCGGGGGCCACAGTGGAACACAGGGTACCTGAACGGATCCACCGGCTTGCATCTTCCCTCGCCATCCAGCCATCTCTCCGGCTTAAACTCCAGCACATCCGCCCCCCACACTTTCTCCATCCTTCCAACCGCGTAAGCAGAGTAGTCGGCAAACCACCCTTTCCTCACCTGGGTTCCGTCCGGCCACACTGCATCCTCCACCGCTAATCTTGAATTCAGCGGCACCGGCGGGAACAGCCGCATTGACTCGGATAGAGCCGCGTGCAGGTAATCTAGCCCCTTCAACTCCTCGTACCCGAATCTTCTTCTGCTCTGTCCGAGCTCCAAAGACGACAGTTCGCGGTGGATCAAGTTTGCGACACGTGGGTTCCCGGCGACGAGCCAGAAGAACCAAGTGAGAGCAGTTGAAGTGCTGTCCTTCCCGGCCAGTACAAAGCTTATCACGATGTCTCTGAGAAACTTGCGCCTCTGTTTTTCGTCCTCGAACTCCATGGTCGAGCTCCAAACCATGAATCTCGCTAACAAGTCCTGATGGTTCCGGTTGTCGCTTTCTTCTTTCGATGCAATCACCCCCAGAGCGAAATCGTTGATCGTGTTGACAGACTCTCGGAATCGCTTCTCCGACCCTAGATTAAGAAATCTCTTGAGCTTCCAGAACAGAGGAGCAGGGGAGGTAATCCTCCTGAAGCAATTCTCCACGGCGTAGTCAAAGGCGCCCATGAAGTCGAGATTCCGGGTGAAAGATTCTGGATCCACACCGAACCCAACTCTGCAAATGCTCCTAAACCCGAATTTATTCAACGCTGATTGAAGATCGAATACCCTGTTTTCCTCCTCTGCTCGGGACAGGAAAGGGAGCAAGTTGTCGGAGATTTCAGAATCCACGACTTCCGAGACAAACAGCCTGAGAGAGTTGGTGGAGAACTCGTGACTGGCAATCTTGCGCTGGAGGGTCCAGATCTGGCCGTCGGCGTTGAAGATGCCGTCGCCGAGGAGCTCGTCGAGGATGTCGCTGAAGCGAGAGCCCTTGATGTAGTTGGAGAAGTTTGGGGAGGCGAGCATGTGCTGGATGTTGTCCGGGTTTGCAGTGCAGACGCCATTGGCGATGTTGAGGAAGGAGTTGACTTGAATGGACAAGGATGGTGTGTGGCGTATCATGTCTGTGATCCAGTCGTGGAACCGGTGGAGGTTCCGGAGTAAACTGAGGACGTTTCCGATTACAGGGTGGGATTCTGGACATGGGTTTTTGGTTGCTGGATGTGATTTGAAGAAGAAGAAGAAGATGAAGATGGAGATTAGGAGTGACGAGATGAAGGTGAGAGAGATGAATTCCAACATTGTGTTTACCGTGGGAGAATGTGATTTGGCAGAAATGGGAGCTCTCTCTCTCTCGAATTCCTGGCCTCGCAAATGTCTCATAGTTTAGTTTATCAGTTTAGGAGTTGGCAGTGATTTTAAACTCGTATACTGTAGTTTTGTGATGGTGGTAAACACAACCATTCTCCAGGCAAAGCTTAAATAGAGTGAAACCCCCCAATTAGACAAGTCAAAGGATCAATGCTTGGGAGTTGGGAGACATCTCCGAAGACAGACGTTGACCTGGGTTAAATTGGATTGGTAAAAAAAAAAAAAAAAATCCAGCTATCACAATTACAAGAGTCTTTATTAAGCAATAACTTTTGTGCTTAGAACAAGACACCAGTGCTCATAAGGCTTCTTGGTATGACTACCCTGACTGTACATAGGCAACTTCCTTCATGAGAAGTTTGTTTTTCATCACCACATCAGCTCAACTACAAAACTTAAAAGACTTGGGACATCTGTTCTTCTATAGAAATGCAGCAACAAAAATGTCTGGGTTGGCTGGTTACAGAGGCTATATATCTATCTTACCTATTATGTCACACATACTCAGATTTTTACTATACATGGTAGACCATTCCTACCTCTAATGTAGATGCATGAGGAATGCACAACGCATAGCTTGGTCCTCTGGAGTTCCTCCGCAAGAAATCATATCCATAGTTTATCACAATGTTCCTTATGAAACTCGACCCTCTCTTTGCCCTTACATATGAATGCCCTAGTATGAACGCCATCCCTGCTTCCCTAGCTTCCATTAGCTCCATTAGCTCCGTCTGTGCTTCTTCATCGATCTGACTACTCTCTGGCATGATAAACCTCACTCTCCTTCTCAATCTCTCCGGAGATTTTACCACGGTCTCTGATGTCCTCACCTCATCCGAACATCTCGCTTCTTCCTCTTCTTCTTCTTCTTCACACAACTTGATCCCTTCAAGGTTCGAGGATGTCGTCCCAATCACTACCATTCTCTCGTCATCGTCTTCAACTTCTTCCATGACATCTACACTGCTACCACGCTTCTCAGACCTGATCAACTCTGCAATGCTACAAACAAGGTCCCTCTCGAACTTCACGTCATCCTTGTGAATGTCACGGTAGCCATACCGTGCTATGCATCTGTAGATGTGGTACCCCTTTGGTCCGACTCTTCCCACGAGGAATCGTTCCTCAGGTCCCACATGAGGTACGGGCACAGATTTGATGCAGAGGAAGACCACGACTTGGTGGAAAGCAGGAAGGTTGGTGAGGAAATGTGAGAATATGGCTGGGATGCCAGACACGAGTTCCGTGTGTATGAGGCCTATGCCGCGTACTCGGACGATGCCTAGAGTTGGACCTAGGCTGAGAAGCCAGTCGATGGAGACCTTGTTTTGAACATCAGATTGATACTTCATCAGCGTTCCATAGTGCCACACGTACATTATAGCCAGGAAGATGAGCGAGAGGGCAATCGGAACCCAAGCTCCTTCGAGAAACTTGATGAGGGAGGCCGAGAAGTAGAGAGCTTCAAATGAACCGAAGAAGAAGATGAAGCAAAGTGCTAGAAGGGCATTCTTGTGCCAGCATAAGACGATGACCAGTGACATTAGGCACGTTGTTACAAGCATGACAGTTATAACTGCCAGACCTGTCCGCAAGAAAACATGATATTGTAATGCAGCTCAGAGAAAATATAGCATTGGCTGGGAAGAACAAGTTAATGACCACACAACCCTTGCATTACCTGCTGCATTGGCCATGTGCTTCGTATTCCTGAAACCGATCGTAACAGCCAGGCATAACAGCATCAGGGTCCAGTTGATCTCCGGGATGTAAATCTGTCCATGAACTCTTGACGAAGTGTGAACAACTTTGACCTTCGGAAAGCATCCCAAAGCCGAGCACTGTTTGATAATCGAGAAAGTCCCTGTGATGACAGCTTGACTTCCCACAACTGCTGCAAGTATGGCTATTGCCAATACAGGAACTCTTATCTGCTCTGCAGTATTAGATAAAACACCACATTACGAAATCATTATGGTGGGAGTTCATGGCTACTCTAGAAATAAAACAATAGTTGCATGCCTACCAGGAACAGATACATAGAAACCAATCCGGTAATCAGTTTCGAGAGAATGATGCTTGGAAAGGTAAGCAGCTTGTCCCATGTATGCAAGGATCAGTGATGGATAAACGACAAAAGTGAAAGCAATCTGCAGACAGAAGAACATAAATTGGATGTAGTGTAAGCAAGCTACTTCATACAAAAAAACATTTACTACTGTCTATGATCCGTCTCGAACAAGAACAGCATGTAAAAGATAAACAACATCTATTTAGGTGTCAATTAGATAAACAAGCTCCGAGTGCTACAGAAAGTAGTGTAATATGCAATGTGGAGTTGGTTTAATGTACCTGGATGGATAACTGAGAAAAGTGGCCCAAATCTGCAAACATAGCTTCTGAACCTGAATAGATTTCCAGAAATGAAGAATATAAAAGTAAGCCTTAAAACACAGACTAATGTCTGCAAAAGAAAATCCAAAATGATATTTCATGTATGTAGCAGCATTATACCAGTCATGCAGAGAAGAATCCCGCCTAATGACATCCAACCTCCCCTCCGCGTCTTCTTCAGAAACTTGTACATGTAGTATGGGGAGAGAGCCTGGTAAACAAGGGGATTCCACCGGAAAATGTTGTACACGCCGATGCTACTGATGCACAGCAGCCACGTGATGACAATCGGAGCAAAGATGAACCCAACCTTGTGAGTTCCAAAGTGTTGGAGGGCAAACAAAGATACAAGTATAGCACAAGTCACAGGCAGTTCAACATCTGCAGAAATTCACATAACAGAATGCTCATTAACCCCATCATTTAGTGTTCCTTTCTCAAAATCGCCATCGAACGTGCCCTTAAAGTTAAACCATGCTAGCTCACAGTCAAACTTGTGTGTGTATTTGCATGGATCAGTGTCTCAAGGTCACAGTCTCAATATCCATGTCTCCTAGAAGTAACCAAATGAGACAACATTGAGAACTAAATGTCGAGATGGAACATGAATGGAATGCTGACTATATCATTTAGCAGCACACTAAGCTGGAAAAGGAAGACAGCTGTCTATTTGTAGGAGCCATGGGAGACCTGCAACTGTTCCTCTCAACAAAAGTTTGAGCTGTGAAAACTGAAATGACACCAATTGCCACATCATGTGAGATTTGGTTTCTGTCTTTGTATTGGATTCACTGTTCCAGATGAACTAATCCTCTTTTCTTTTCTTGTCTTCCACGGTTCCACCATGGAAAGGGACAGCTTACTTCAAAAAGACCATAACTTTACACAAACCCTGGACTCGTCTCTTTCTGTAAACCCTCTACGTGTTGCCTTGTTTATGACTAATCATAGTTATCAGCTTGGCCCCCCATTTCCTAATGCACCATGATTAGTAAATAGGCAGGAATGGGAAGGTACTAGTTTGAAGTGATCTCACTAGGATTAAAGCGGGAAGGCTTTTCTTTTTCTCCCCTAATTAGATATTATCATGGACCACCACATATCCTCCCACTAGTAATAAACTAATACTGCCATGCTGCTAAATCCAAATTAGTAACACCCCTTTTGTGCTTTTCCCCCAACTTCATCTCCTCCCCCAACAAGGATTGCTAATGGTATGAAGAGAAAGCTTCCAACCTCTCCCGAGTGATCAAATTTTGATGAGAACTATTGGAAGCTAAGATAAACTTTCATACCTACTACTGATCTTTTGGTGGTGGGGAATTCTTCAATGTGATGAGCATAGCCTAAAAGCCAAATTTTGTTTACTCTATTCGATTTTCGGCAGATTCAAAACGTTTCTAAATTGGAACAGCTGGTGATCTACAGAACTTGCTTGAAATGAACCGACCTGAAATTGGACGTGATAGTAATTAGGCCGAGACAAAACTCAATTTATGGAGTTTTCGAAGGATACTTACACTGATGCTGCTCTTTCTCCATCGAAAGCTCCATTCCAGATACGGCCGAATATACTGGAGACAAGTAGATAAGACCACAAAGAAGATTCAAGGTGGGAAAGGAACAAAATTTCTCTGAGTCATCGATCGACATCCATAGCAAAAGAAGAAATATAATTAACTGTTACCAGAAATTGCAGGGGTAAGAACTCCATCGCCGATGACCATACAAGTTCCAATCAAAGCTAGGCCGAGCAGAGCTTTCTGCAGCAGCTTACTCTTCTCCAGAGCAGATTTCAAGCTGGACCCAATTCGATTCCGGGGATTTGCAGCCGATCCATCTTTCTTATACTCGGAGAGCTCCTCATCTGCGAGCTGGCAATTGGGGAGAGCACCGAGACGGGCATGGCGGCAGAGCAGAGAATACAGAGCAAACGTGCCGCCTTCGCCATTGTCATCAGCTCTAAGCACAATGAACACGTATTTGAGAAGTGGGATTATCGTGAGCGTCCAGAAGACAAAAGATAGAACTCCGAAGATTTCTTCATTGGTATCGGAGTGCTCGATGTCCTCTGCAAATGTGCTCTTGTAGACGTACAATGGGGAAGTGCTCAAATCTCCATAGACTACCCCTAAGCTCTGGTAGGCCAAGGTCAGGACTGCCTTCCATGAATTCCTCTGCCAAAATCAAAATGCAAGAAATTAGCAAATCTCAAATCATATAGTCACATACATTGAAGAAGAATCGACCCTTTTTTTTTACCTTGATTGGGTTATCAGCAATTGCTGGTGCGCCTTCTAGATCCATTTTTAGGCAGGGGAATGGATGGAACAGAACAGAGTAGTACAGAGAAAGCTGGCTGCTTACTGAAAATCCATTTCCCTCTTTTGGAAGGGACGGAGATAACACTGAAATGGTGGAAGGAGAAAGCTATACCCAGATGGGATTATCTAGCAAAGGAGACAGCTTTACGCATCCTCCTTCAAAAGCCTTCTGTTGAAGGAAAGCTTGTGTGGGCCTTTCCCTTTTCCAGTTCTCACTTATATTTGAGAGTGTTTCGAGTGGGCAGTAGCTCAATGAAGAAGCAAATGCAGACAAATTAAGGACAACAGGGGAAACACCAAAAATGAGAAATGCGAATACAATATGCGCACGAAGCTCCATCTTTCTTCTTTTAAAATTCCCATTTCTCGCTGGAGAAAATAGTTGAAGGCAAGCCAGCCCCGGCCCTTTACTTTTCTTCCTTTTGTTTGTCTTTTTTGGGTTTTCTCATTGGTGCAGTAGATAGAAGTCTGAAGGGTGTGTGGTTGAAAATTAGGTGATGTGTTGGATAAAAATCGGTACTTTTCCCCTTCCACTTCAAATTGCCACCACACCCCCTAAAAACCAAACTAAAGGAGGAAAACAGAGAAGGGAAAGTGACGGAAGATGGGAAAAGGCTGGGTGGGTTTCGCGTTTGGGTTCTGGGGATTTTTTTCTTTCTTTCTTTCCGAGAATCAGAGAGACAAAGGAACAAAATCGTTGGGACCTAAATGATGAGGATTATGTGTTTATTTATAAATGGGGGAATGATAATGGGGAAGGAGACATGCACAGGACGGAGACAGAGAGAGACAGGGGAAGCGGAAGGGAAGTGGGTTTCTTTCTTTTAACTGGAAAAAAAATGCACTAACTGAGAGCAGTCAGTCATCACCACTACTGCTACTGCTACCATCACCACACTGACACCAATTACATTTTTCGGGACCAAAAACGAAAAGGAAAACAAAGTAAACGAAAACCAGAATTTGTCAGCCGTCAGGGATGGCATATTCCAGGACGTTTCGTCCAAATCAAACGGTTTATCTTTCCTCTGTATTTCCCTTTGTTTCACCGGCCCTCTGTCGTCTCCGTTAACGTTTTGATTTTGCTGTAACTGCAACTGCAAGTTTCTCTCTGTAACTGCCCATCGTCGGCTAGGATTAGGGATGACAACTTTGCCCATACCCATGAGTTTCTTACTATCCAACTCAATTGGATTGGGTATGAAATCCAAATAGATGGATATGGGTAGAGTTTGATGAGTTTGTACCCATACCCATTTACTTTGGGTTGGGTTGAGTAGGGTTTATATCAAATGGATTTGGGTTTATACCCATCCTCAAATACAAATTACAGTTTGGTACCCAAACTTAATAGACATGCATATTTAGTACCTAAACTTAATTTTTTTTGCATATAAGTCCTCAAAATATCGATGGAAAATTACATTTTGGTACCTAAATTTTTTTGTCTTATATTTTGGTACCTAAACTTTTCAAGTTTTGCAAATAGGTCCAATTTTTGCATGTGTAGTTAAAACACCCTTAAGTAAATGGATATCCATATCCAACCCATACCCATTTAGATTATGGAAGCCCCAAACCCATCTATAAACCCCCAAATCCATATGCACTTCACCCATACCCAACCCATTATCAATGGATCTACTTGGGTTTGGGTATAATTACCCATGGGTGGGTAATTTGCCATCCCTAGCTAGGATAAGTAGTGCTTAGATTGGGTGATAGTCGTGTAAGGGAGTAGTTTTCAATTTCTTGGCAGTTTATATGCTCGTCGAGCAAGGGAAAAAGCAAGACAATTGTGTCGGTTGGATTCGTGACAATTGTGTCGGTTGGATTCGAATACACGACTATTCGATCATGCTATTGGTATGACTTGATTGTAAGTCTGTTTTATGGTTGATCTTGGTGTATTTAGTAATACATTTGGCCACATTTGGTTTCTTACATATATTAAAAATTCATCTAAAATTTGATAATAAAATCCGTTTGAAATTGAATATGAATAGGGAAAAAAGTTTGGAGGATGTAAGGCTAAGACTAAAGTTGAATACCCATGGACAAAGCTCAAAGAAGTTGATTAAGATGTTTGGACGTTATTATTTGGAATAAGGCAAGATATGCTATCACAAACATCCTTATCGTTAAGAATTGTCTATCAACAATATGACCAATTAATGACAAAAAATGACAATGGAAGTGCTTGAGTGGTGCATTTTTTCTTACAAAATTATAGCCCAAGTTGTGAACTCGTCTAGACTAAATTTTATACAAATTTGATTGCAAGATGGAACAAGTACTATTAATGATTTGATTCGTGACGAAGACAATCGACGGCAGGCTCAAACTCACTTGAACTGTACAAACGTATAGTGTTGAATATCAAACCTATATATGGTTGTTGTCACTCATGAGTGCATCCATAATTTAACTGGCATGGAGGTATATATTGATTATTCCTCATAGTGGAGAAGTTTGTCAAACATAAATTTCATTGCGGTAATCACATTATTTATATAACTATTGGCAAAAACTCTGTACATCTGACCTTGAACTGTCATTTTATATCGAAACAAAGTGAAAATTAAAAAAAAAAGGTCTTCTAAAGCAATACTATTCAATATGACTAAAGAAAAATATGAAAGAAATGAGGGTGTTAATTTAACTAGACTATTGTTTTCTTCCCCAAAAGTTTTAAAAACACAATATTTTTGGACGTAAACTATGATAAGTGAGGACAACTATAAGATGATAAGACTTAAGATATAAACAAAATGGTCACTTCTTTTAATCGGGCTATACAGATTTGCCACTTTTATTCAGGATTAGACATATGTTGCTTAACTATATGTGAGCATGCATTTTGTAGGGAAGCATATGAAAGTGACATACGAAAGAAGACATGCACAAACGTGGATGAGAAGTGCACGTCATTCTTTCTTGTGCTTTCCCTTTGTGATTTTGCCCACTTGCCCTAGCCTTAAGAGGCCTTTTTCAGTGGTCGCTCGCCACACTTCCCCATTAACACAAAGTTGACAACCCTACCACCAATGTAAGCATGCCGACGTTTGCCTAGCCCTTATCACCAACTTGGGCTTCGCATATGGAACAAAACCTGATTATGGGCGGGTGACGCACAAAGCTAGATGCTTCTAATATATTTGAAGTCTTTGTTTGAAGTATAATCGTTTTACTTTGAAGTTATGAATTTCCGTGAAGGTGTAGGATTGCTCGAGAGATCGATAACAATCACGTGTTGTGTAGTGTGCGTTGACGTTGTCTGAGTAGATCACAGTAAATTGATCGAGTCTTTTATTGAGTAGTTCATCAGAATACACACCTTGCGGAGGAGGGTTGTGTGAGATTGTCGGGTTACTATTCAGCACTCATGTCATTGGATTGAGAAGTTATTGGGTAAAATATTTTGGGTACCATTAAAGTATGAGAATTGCAGGAGCTATACCACTTAAGTTTGAATAAGGCGTCGGGTACCACTGAACTCTATTATATGTGCACCCGATACGACTTAAGTTTACTGTTAAGTGCATTTCGCTAAAGTTGACAGAACATTCTTAGAATATTCCATTTTCTAAATTTCAGAAATAGTCCTTCTACTTCTTCTTATTGTAAAAATCTTTAGAACTTATGAAAAACGTTATTTTTTTAGTTGCGATCTTCTTTTAAAAAATCTGGTACCGAACCAATATTTGAATATGAAATTTATAATCAATACCATTATAAGTATTTTCAATTATTATTATGTTCTAATAATTGAATTACTTCCCGAAACAAATATCCCGTGAATTTTATCTCAACATAAATAATCTGAGAATATTATATTTGATTCTCTTACATCATTTTGACGTTGTCTAATTGTCCATGTGAAATCTCCTTGTAATTCTCTAATATTATATTGTAGATGTTGCATATTAGTTAAAGTTACTTATTCGGTAATTCCAATTCTTTTCCTATAGTCATATTTTCTTTTCTAGATTTGTTATCAAATATTGTAGCTTTTATAGTTTACTTATTACTTGGTTACTTTCCCTTTCTAATTTTTTTTTCCATTAATGAAATATGTTTAATTTTCAAATTGTGTTTCATTTCTACTTCTTTGGTCTTGATGCATTGATGATCAATTAGATTTTATTTTAATTGTTTTTAGTGGTGCTTTTAATTGACTTAGGAATTTAAATAGATATTTTAATATTAATATTAATTAATTATTATTATCTTTTAGTACATTTATTATTTTTTCTTGATATTCGTTTATTATTTTGACTAATTTATCTGTTATATTGAAAACATTTCATTAGCCATGAGTTGGATGGAAAACTAGACGGATGCACTTTTTAGAGACTTTAATGGTACCCGACACCCTATTCAAACTTAAATGATATATTATATATGCTCCAATTCTCAAATTTAAAAGATACCTGAGATATTTTACCTAAAACTCATTATATGATTGTTCGGAGATTCAAAGAGCATTGGATGTGTCAAAGAAGGGTAGCAACTTAGACATTGGAATGTAATACTTTAAATCGACTCCATATCAATATTCACGCTCTCTACTTATCTCGACCAAATTGACATATCTGATGGTGCAGTTCCGTTTCATGTTACAACTTACAAGGAGTCTGAAAGGTGTGTACCAAATTTTCAGCAATGCAACTTCTTTATTAGTTTTCCTAAACGATAATTTTCTTTGGTAGACATAATTTTTTTTATGGAACCTAAACGATTATTTCTGATTCAAATATTAAATATTGGACTTTGCATGATAAGTAGTTTCAAATAGACAAATACTAAAGAGGAAAAACTCAGACTTGGGCCTAAAAGTTAGCCCACAGTGTCAATTATCCATTTTGGGCCACCTGCTACCATCTCGCATTGTCGGCTTCATAAGTTCAAGGAGCTACGTAGACCAAAGTAAACCAGTCAATTAGGTGGGATCCTTTTTGAACCTCCTCATCGCCTGGCAGAGATGCAGAGATGACTGCAGAGAGAGACGATGGATCTCCATGATCATCGGAATCCCATCATTGCTGACCAGGCACAGTATCCATCAGTCAACGTTCCCACTACTTATGACAAAAAGGGCCAACCAAAACAGCAGAAGCTTCATAGCAAGTTCGTTTTGGTTGACTTCGCTTGCATCTTGCATCTCGTTATTCTTATCTGTAGTCATATTCCTCCTTGTTAAAGCTTGCATCTTTCTATTCTGCAGAGATCAATGCAGTAAACCCAACACAGAATAAAATGATGGAGAGCACCGAGTTAATCACTAAAGACAAGCTAGAATTCCTTGGCATTATCAAGGAATCCTTGAAAATACCAGCTAAGAAACCCACATTCATTCTCCTTTCCTTTCTCACTTCAGTTCCTCCATTCTGCTTCTTCCTCTGGCAACACCTCGTCCTTCACCAGCTCATCTATGAAGCAGGAGCCAACTTCGTTGCGGTATACGATCCCATCTGCGGGACGCATTGGCCACTCTGCTCTTTCCCGCCGCGGTATTCACTAGACTCCACCTTGGAATTGATCCAGCGGCTCAGTCCAACACTAGCCCTCTCGGCCTTCTCATACCTCACTATCGGCCATTTCCTGAATGTCCTAAACACCATCGTTCTAGTTCACTCAGCATCGACAATTTATGCGGAGAAGGAAGCCGGAAGCTTGAAGGAAATGTTGTTCATCAAGCCATTTCAGGAAGTGGGTTCATTGAGGGGGCCATACATCACATCAATCTACAACTTAGCTATGGTTTGGCTGACATTGGCTGGAGTTGCATCGTTCGTCGTCCAAATGGTTTCTTTCCCAGTCAATGGATTGCTTTCTCAGGCGGTGTTCGGGTTGGTTGCTAGTGCCCTGGTGGTAAAGTATTTGGAGTGGAGCGCGATCTGGAACGTGGGTTTGGTGGTCTCTATCCTGGAAGAGAAGCATGGGTATATTGGGATTTGGGTCGCAGGGTATATCAGCAGGGGATGCAGAGGCAGGGGATTTCTGTTAATGGTTGTTTTCCTGGTTTGGAGGGTTTTCTTGAGGATGCTATTTGGGTACTATGGTTATCTGAACAAGGAATCTGGATCTATGGTGGTTTTGATTGCTGTAGGAGAAGGTGGATTGGTTTGGTTTGGGGAAGTGATGAATTGGGTAGTTTGCACTGTTTACTACTACGACTGTAAAAGGAGGTTTCTGGAGAAGAAAGTTGATTCGGAGAAGCAAGGGGGCACAAATCTTGTCTAAGACAAGAACATCATTCGAGAGAGACGAGAAGGAAATCAGCAAAATCAAATGCAGTCTTTTATTGCTTAATAATGTTGAACATGGCTACACCCTAATCAGTAGCTTAGCTTACACACAGCTTTACCCTCTCTATAATGTATACGTCATGATGCGTTGTTTAGTCTGGTGATTTGTTCTTCTTAAGCCCTTTCCAGTTTTTCCATCTTTCACCGGAGTTTTGAACCAATTGCCTTGTTCACGAATGATGGCAAGCAGAAAGCTGCAGAATGAATCTGGAAGAGATCGAAAAAGAAAATTAGGGATTTAAACTACAATTCTGAGAATGACCAGTACAGGAGTAGGAGAGTAAGGTTTGGGGTTTGCGAAAGCAAAGTAAACTCACCTCTGCATTGTAGAATCTCAATGGCCCTTTAACTTGGGGGTGACTCCCTTCACCTTCAACACGGGTCACCGGATTCTTGAAATCAACTGCTGGGCCCTCAGTGGAGCAAAGCATGAAGCCAATCATTCCACTGCAGAATACGCAGAGGAATGAGAAAACACACTTAGGGTGAGTTTAGTTGACATGTCCTTTGACTCTTGTATCTTTCAGAACACAATTAATGGTTAGAAAGACTGCAGCAAACAAAATGATCGGTGGAGTCCCCAATAGCCTGAATCTTGAAAGCTTTAACTCAACATGAACGAGGATGTAATGTCATGTTAGAAAACATGTATTCTCGAAACCAGCAGAACATGTATGGTTGCCAAAAACCCTTGAATCAGGAAACAAATGTCGTGCATTTGAGGCCCAATTAAGTCGATTTCGTTGTACCATGAATGAAAAATTCAGAGAAGTCTGTACCTCGGATATGTAGGGACGGTGGTCCAAGCATAGTTGACAGAGCCCTTGAAGATTTCACGACAGTTAGATACAATGTCTTGAATGAGATGCATGTGCAGCCACAAGCTCTCAGCTTGCGTACAAACAACACCACCAGGGCGAAGAGCCTTGGCAATCAACTCAAAGAAAGGCTTCTCAAACAGCTCTTTTGCAGGCCCTGATTAAAGTTAGTTAACCACATGAGATGAGACTTCATTCTCCAAGTTAAACGAATAATTGAATCTGTTTGAACTTTGTGGCAAAGGGAAACACATACCAATTGGATCCGAGGAATCGACTATAACAGCATCGTAAGTGCCATGTGGAACCGCCTTTAGGAAAGCAACGCCTGTAAAAGGGTTGATAGAGTTTCACAATGGATATGTTTGAATCAGAAAATGGGCTGATACAGAGAAGCAAGAGCAGGCATTACCATCGCCGATGTGGAGATTAACACGAGGATCTTGAAATCCAACTGCTACATCAGGGAAATACTTCTTAGAGACCTGAGATAGTGGAAAGCTAGAGCTTTATGATGTGCTCAGGAACTTCAAACATGTAACAGGAAAAACATAAACCAACTAGACAGGAATGATCAAGAGATTTGGCTGAACTCACATCAACCACCATGGCATCAATTTCACACATATCAATCTGCTCAACAGAAGCGTGGCGAGACACTTCACGAATGACACCTCCATCGCCTCCTCCAATAACCAATACCTGCAAAACATAACATCATCCCAAAGCTTTTAGTACCATGCTTTTGGCAGCTGAACAAAAGGTGAGCCCTCATATCATTAGCAAACTTCCAAAGTTTAGAGGTTGAAAAGGTGAACCTTTTTGGGGTTTAGGATGGAGCAAAGTGGGAGGTGGGTAATCATCTCTTGATATGCACACTCATCTCTTTCAGTTAGTTGAATCACCCCATCCAACACAAGAACCTTCCCATATGTTGCTGACTGCAAGTTAACAAGAGTGGCAGTTCTCTCAATCACCAATTCAACGATCCAAATGATAGAAGTACATCCATGGCTACCAGTAAACTGGGGAGACGGGAAGAAGTACCTGGAACACAACAACGTTCTGGTAGTCGGATTTGCCTTGAAACAAAATTTTCTCCACCTTCATAGAGTGAGCCTCCCCTGACACACCACCAACCCCAAAAAGAAAAAGAAAATCAATCAGCCAGCCCGAAATTCAACAAACCCAGTTCCAGAAACCGGCCACAGAATAAGAACAATCCACCGTTGACCAAAACCTAATTTCACAAAGCAGTCCCCTGACCATCAGAACTATAAAACAGGAGATCGGAAGCAAACCTGGCCACATTGGGCTGATCTCGGAGAACCACCCTGGAATCACGGCGGAAAGCCCAGGAACACCACCGTCCATCCCTACATCAACGGCAGCAGGACCGTTTCCCTCGGCGGCTCCGGCCATTAATGGGACCCTGGAGAAACGTGAAAGATCAAGCGGAGAACTGCCGAATTGGAGAGCCGAAGCGTTTCGGAGGGTGGCGAGTTTCTGGAGGAGGGTGGCTACCGACGAGGGTTTTTTATATAAGCAGGAATCGAGGAGTAGGAGAGCTGGAGAAGCGGCGGCTGAAGCAGATGCGATATAATAATGAGAGAGTTATTGATTTGGGTTTCTCTTTCCCCATTTTTCCTAATAATTGATTTGGGTTTTCCTCGATGGGAAGGAATCAATCCTTCAATAAAGTAACGTGGGATGACCGGAGGAGAGACGCCGGTCCCAGCGAAATGATTGAGGGGATTTACAAGTGGTACTAGACCTAGAGAGTGTGTGTGAGTGGGGCCCTATGGATAGACGACGGCCGGAGAAAGAAAGCACGATTTTTTATCACCGGCGGCGGCAGGCAGGTGCTGAGTCATCTGCGATTCTGATCACCTACCATAATGAAAACGTGGGCGCAATTACTAATCTGACTACGTAAACGGGGTTTCTTTTATTTAAAAAAGCACAACCACCATCGCGATCACCTGCGATTCCCTCGGATATGCTTTCCTTCCATTCGGTGATTTTTCGCGGGAGTTTCCATTGAAAAAGACACGAAGCTTTCGCAGGAGCCCATGGTATACGGTCAAATCCAACATTCCAATCCCCAAACCTTCAAAAAACTAAAAAAGGAACCAGGCTACGAGTTAGATTTCACAAGTTGTTATCGCATGTGTACTTAGTGGGTTAGATCCACATGGTAGCCAGTGGCGTAGCCAGGAATTATGCCAAGGTGGTGCAAAAAAAAAAAAAAAAACATAACTTATATTAATTTTTTACAATGAACCACGACGTGTTTTCATAGTCTGAAAAGTATCTAAAATACATTCATCATCCAAACTATCAAGGATGTCACTCTCAATGTAACCAACCAAAAAATCATTCATGACATCATCACTCATTCTATTGCGAAGTGTGTTCTTCACATAGTTCATTGCAGAAAATGCTCTTTCAACGCTTGCTGTGGCAACAGGAAGCAACAATGCCAATTTCAGAAGTCTATAGACTAATGGAAACACTCGATGTTTCTTTGATGCAACCATTTCTCTAGAAAGTTCAGCAATTCCCTTTAATCCTGCAAACCTCTGAACTGTCTTCATATCATATATATAAGCATCAAGTTGATGAAGACCAAGATGTAAAATATCATCTTTGGAGAACTCAGTAGGATAAAAAGTAGCAAGCTTCACCAACTTGTCCTTGTCATAGTCGACAAACAAATCGTCTGGATTTAAGCATGCCACACAACATAGCAAATCTGTGTTTATCTCATCAAAGCGACTATTTAGCTCTTGTAACTGCATATCCACGGCTGTATAAAATAACTCAACCTTGTAGTGATGGAGATTGGTTCATATAAAACCCTAACTCCCTCAATCAAATCCATTTGGCTCCCTCCGCTCCTTCAACAGACAAGCATCATTACACTAACCCAACAAAGAAACCAGAAAGAAAACAACTCTTTGACAGAAAATTCCCCCTTTCCTCTTTACACTAATCTCATGAACACTCACCAATAAGAGGAATTGGAGTCAGAATTGGAGTTGAAGATAGAGACTACGCAAGATACGGTGGTTGACAATGGTCACTCGAGCAACCAATGGAGGAACGAACGAGTTGAGGGAGGAGGTAGAGCCATTTTTGCTTCGTACAGGGGAGAGGGAAGAGGAAGCGGAAAGTGCAGTAGGAGAATTAGGGTTCGAATGGGGAAATAGACGAGGTCATTTAAATTTAAGTAAACTAACAAGTTACAGAAGGATAAAATAAGTTAAATGCTAAAATGATACGACAAGGAGCAAGTGGCGTGATGGCTGAAGGTGTTTGCGGATTAAGGGAGGTCACCTGTTCGAAACTTCATTCCAGCAGGAGTATAGCTGTATTTTTTAGCTGGGCCTTGCCAGCCCAAGTTGCAGAAGTATAAAATAAATTAAATGCTAAATTGCGGATTAAGGGAGGTCACCAGTTCGAAACTTCAATACAGCAGGAGAATAGCTATATTTTTTAGCTGGGCCTTGCCAGCCCAAGGGGGTGCAGCCGACCTCCCTTGGTGGCTGTGGCTCCGCCACTGATGGTAGCTGATCTAACAAGTAACACTTACAACTAGTACTAACGTGTAATCACATCAACATGCTAATTGAGTTGTAACTTGTAAGTTGTAACGGATAAATATTTTAGATGAGGGTGATGTATGTTACTTTTTTATTATTAGATACTACTGAAGGGAACCTGGGACCTCCAGGTTCATGGCCAGTGGTTAGTTTGACTCACAAAAGCTTCTGGTTAGTCTGACTGATGTAAAAGAATGATATAAGATTAATAATTGACCTCCAGGTTCATGGCTATATTATCCTCTAAAAGAATGATATAAGATTAATAATTGAACTTCTCCCAAAAGCTTCTGGTTAGTTTGACTGAGTAGTCGTGTATTTAAATCTCTACGGTCTCCGACATTAATGTTTGATTTAAAAATGAGGTAGGACGACTTTATGTAAATTTTAACGCTTGTAAGAGTTTGAAAGGTAATATGAGAACACAGGTTTGGTCTAGTGCTATTATCACTAGTGTTGAACCTATAAGTCTTAGATTTAAATTCTTCAAGTAGAATCTTATAATGAAAACAAAACTATATTACCTTATCTAAAAATAAAATTAATATATAATAGTATAATATTGATAATTGACCTTCTCTTAATAGCTCGAACTATTGAAAACCAAATGGTTCATGACAATTATTTCCTCTAAATCGCCTGTCATGTGAGATGGTATAATTCGTATTGGTCTAGAATCAATTTGAATCGAAAATCATTCGAGTAAAATATAAGGGATAAATATTAATAAAGTCGAACCAAAACACATTTGAAGTGATCAAATTTATTTCAATTTAGTCTCATTTTAAACAAAACATTCCGACTCCCAGCTACAACCTGTCGGCGATGCAATGGGCTGCTTTCCAAGTTTTGGTGGGCGGGACAGGATAAGGAAAACGGCATACGATGGCTGTCTTGGTCGGCTGCCTGTCAAAGTAAGTTCTCCAGGGGGCTTGGTTTTAGGGACTTTAACCGGTTCAATATTGCTCTTCTTGCTAAACAGGCCTGGAGAATACTGCTTAGTCCGGGAAGCTGCTTAAGTGCGATATACAAGGCGAGGTATCATCCCCATCATCATTTTTTAGATGCTGAAGCAGGCTACCGGGCCTCGTGGGCATGGCAAGGACTCCTGGAAGGTCGGGATCTCCTCAAGCGTGGTTTAAGATGGCAAATCGGCTCGGGACAGACGGTGCTGGTCTTGGAAGACATTTGGCTGCCTACTACTCCACCTTCTTCGCCCTTCTTGCTGCCGGGTGCTCGCAATTGCCCTTCTCGCGTATCGGAGCTGATTTGTAGTGAAACTCGGACTTGGAAGCGAGCTGTCCTCTCCTCCCTTTTCCCTGCCGACACTGTGCAGGCCATTGTGAGCATTCCGCTTCCCATCCACCCTACGGAGGACCGACTTATTTGGCACTATTCTGCGTCTGGAGAATACACAGTGAAAACCGGATATCATCTGTTAACCACTGAGTTGAATGCCCAACAGCCACCTGATGCTCTGCCATTTGACAGCAGATTTTGGAAGTTGTTGTGGAACCTCCCTCTTCCACCCAAGCTCAAGGTTTTCTTATGGAGGGTGGTTAGGGGGTTTCTTCCACTTCAAACAGTGCTTCTGCAGAAGACTCTAGTTCCATCTCCCCTCTGCCCTGTTTGTTCTGATGGTCCGGAGACCTTTAATCACTTTTTCTTCTTTTGCAGGGTGGCTCGACCATTATGGTCACTCGCTGGTCTAGCAGATTTGCGCGATAAATTGGAAGGTTTGCAAATGGATGATGCATGGAATAACTTGTTCTTCTTGTGCCATCTATCTAAAGTGCAGGTTGCAGAAGTTGTTTTCCTGTGCTGGAGGATCTGGAAAGGGCGTTGCTGGGCAGTCCACGGGGGCATCCAGTACCTTCCCCCAGCCCTTTTACGTCAGTTCCAGAATCAGGTGGCTGAATGGCAATCAGCCTCGGCGAACTTGGGTGCGTCGGCAGGGGGGCCGCTCCTCAGGCTCCGGGGGCTTCGCGACCACCGAGGCCAGCAGATTCAGGGGTGATGTTCTCCCGTGTGACGGATAGCCGGCTCGCTGCGTCCCAAGCATGGCTGGTTCAATTTGACGGGGCTATCAAAAGGGGACGGGGTGGCAGTGTGGGTTTTGTTGGCTTTGACTCCCTTGGCGCAAGTATCTTTGCACTCTGTAAGTTTTACGATGGAATCCAGGATCCCTTTCTAGCTGAACTTCTAGCCCTTCGTGATGCTATGGACTGGTGCCTAACCCATGGATTCCTTTCTGTCAAATTCATTGGGGATGCTCAACTGGTGATTCGGCGAGTGCTATCCGGAGACCGTCAACACGCATTGGGAGGAGCTCTATTGGAAGATGTTCACCGGCTGGCGCAGGCGTTTGAGTTCTGCTCGTGCTCTTATGGTAAGCGCAGCTTTAACAGGGCCGCCCATTTTGTGGCAAAACAAGCCCTTTAATCGGAAGTTCGATGACTGGTCGACTTCCGCACGGCGTTAAACTCTGTATTATGACTATGTGTTCTCTGTCCTTCTCATTGACTATGTTTAAAAAAAAAAAAAATAAACAAAACATAACAAAATTAAAATCAGATTATATGGAGTGGTTGGTTAAGTCTAATATGGACCGAATTTTCCCCCGCCAATTTGGATTTACATGTCACGTTAGTCGTCACAACATTTTCCCGCCACCTCCGAAATCCACTCCCTCTCTTCCGTTCCCTCACGAAAATACAGTTTTTCCCCTTCCTCACAAACCCCCTCCATCCTTCCCTTCTAACCGTTCTCTCTCGATTTCCCCTTCTCTCCCTCCATGGCGGAAACATGAGAGACCTCGTCTACTACACCCAAACCGCCAAATTCCGCCGGCGGTTCCGGCGACTCCAGCACCGCCTCCCCACCGCGTTCATCAACACCATCGCCGCCATCTCCTCCCCTCCCAACGGCGAGCCCCACCCGCTCCTCATCCTATGGCGGTACCAGATCCTCGACCCGGACAGCGACATCGTGACGTACTGGAACCACGTCTTCCTCCTGACCTCCATCCTCGCCTTGTTCATCGACCCGCTCTACTTCTTCCTCCCTTTGGTCGTCGCCAAGGACCTCTGCTTCTCCTTCGACCACCACCTCGCCGTCAAGATCACCTGTTACCGATCCATCGCTGATCTGTTCTTCATCCTCCACATTGTGCTCAAGTTCCGCACCGCCTTCGTCGCGCCCAATACGCGCGTTTTCGGCCGCGGCGAGCTCGTCATGGATTCCAATGAGATTGCTCATCGCTACCTCAGGTCCGATTTCGTCATCGACCTCGCCGCCGCTCTTCCCCTGCCTCAGGTTAGCTTCTAACTTCTTTATCCAAAATGCCAATGTAACTATTATTTTCCTCCAAATGCTGATTTAACTTCGACAATTGATAGGTGATTTAACCTGAAATGAATGTTTCTTGATCGGATGGAGATTGGCGGAAGGAACCTTATATTTGGAATTGCTATTGCTAATCAAGAAATGTGTTTCTTTCTACAGATCGTAATATGGCTAGTAATCCCAGTGGCGAGAAACCACACAGCAGATTACGCCAACAACACACTCTCGCTCATAGTTCTTATCCAATACATTCCCAGGATGTTCGTCATCTTCCCTCTCCACCAACGCATCGTCAAGACCACCGGCTTCATCGTCAAGACTGCCTGGGCTGGTGCCGCTTACAATCTCGTCCTCTTCATCCTCGCCAGTCATGTAAGTAAGCAGCGTCACCTCACTCCACCATTTCATTTTCCACTGCATTTCACCCTCAATGACATTGGAAATCGTGGGGGGTTTGCCGATTCAGGTACTAGGAGCTACATGGTACCTGCTGTCGTTTGGCCGGCAGTACTACTGCTGGAAAACGGCATGTGCGAGGGAGAATAATGAAGGGAACATAGGCTGTGTTAACCAATTCCTGGACTGCAAATCTATGGTGATGCCTGAGAGGCAGTACTGGCGGAATGTGACCCATGTTCTTGCGACCTGTGACCCTCTCAACAGTAACATTGGGTTTGCATTTGGGATCTTTGCTGAAGCTTTCACTAGCGAGGTTGCTTCCTCGCCTTTTGTGGAGAAGTACTTGTACTGTCTATGGTGGGGATTCAAGAATCTAAGGTAGGTAAAGAGAAACCAACAAAGAAAGGTCCTTGCTTTTCCTTCTTCAGCTGGCTCAATGCCAAAACCCTTTTGATGCTTTTCGCTCTGTCTTTCGGTAGTTCGTATGCACAGAATCTGGATACGAGCATTTTTCTGGGGGAGAATGTGTTCTGCATTGTCACTTGTATCGTTGGGTTGGTGCTTTCTGCACAACTCATTGGCAATATGCAGGTTAGAGTCAGTTCAAGCTTTGATGTTCTTTTAAGTTACCCTGTGATAAAGAGCTGACTGCTACTCTTTGTGTTGGGACAGACTAATCTGCAATCAATGTCTGTGAGATTGGAAGAGTGGAGGATTAAGAGAAGAGATACAGAGGAATGGATGAGGCATCGCCAGTTACCTCCAGCTCTCGCGGAGCGAATTCGCCGGTTCGTGCAGTACAAATGGCTCGCCACCAGAGGTGTCCACGAAGAGTCAATCCTCTGGTCATTGCCTCAGGACCTCCGTCGGGAAATCCAGCGCCACCTCTGCCTCTCCCTCGTCCGCCGTGTAATGCTTTCCCTCCACTTCCATTCTCAACATTTCTGTAACTCTGAAAACTTCATTCGTCTCAATAACTTCATTTCTTTCACACAGGTCCCGTTCTTCTCTCAGATGGACGACCAGCTCCTGGATGCAATCTGCGAGCGACTGTTCTCGTCGTTAAACACAGAAGGGACCTATATTGTTCGAGAAGGAGACCCGGTCAATGAGATGCTCTTCATAATCAGAGGCCAGTTAGAGAGCTCAACGACTAATGGAGGACGAACAGGGTTCTTCAACTCGATCACCCTCCGCCCGGGTGATTTCTGCGGCGAGGAGCTTCTGACGTGGGCGTTGATGCCCACATCGAGCCTCAACTTCCCATCCTCCACCAGAACCGTGAAGGCACTCACAGAAGTGGAGGCGTTTGCCCTCCAGGCAGAGGACCTGAAGTTTGTAGCCTTGCAGTTCAAGCGACTGCAGAGCAAGAGAATTCAGCATGCCTTCAGGTACTACTCCCATCAGTGGCGGACATGGGCAGCCTGCTTGATACAGGTAGTCTGGAGGAGGTTCAAGAAGAGGAAACTGACAAAGGAGCTGACAAGGAGGGAGAGCCCCTTAGGTTCAGGGTACTTGCCTGTTATGGATGCGGACTATTACTACTACAGCGAGGACGAGGACGAGGATGATGACTCTGAAGAAGACGAGTACGAGGATGAAAATGGGGATGGGGTTTCAGGTGCGAATCAAAGAGGGCTCGGAGCTACGATGTTGGCTTCCAGGTTTGCTGCCAATACAAGGAAGCAGAAGGGGCTGCATGGGGCTGAAACAGGGACCTCTTCCAGCTTGAAGATGCCTCAGTTATTTAAGCCTGATGAGCCCAATTTTTACACTGACCATGATGTTTAGCTAGTAGAGAGTGTACAGTTTGTCTATTGAGAATGGTAAAGTTGGATGAGCGTAAGAAAGTGTAGTAGTTTAGGAGCTTTGTGCAATGTGCTAACATTTTTGTGTGAATGTATACTAGTTTACTGATAGGAATACGATATTGCAAAACACGAACTTCACATTGCTATAGCTTGTGATATAAACATATTGTATTGACACGCGATGTTAAGTGATTGTTAGAAATTATGAGACATTTAACTCCGTTGGAGTTAAGTATTGAATTCAAAGGTAACTGAAATCTGAGATTGTTGTAGATGCTCTGCAGAATCCAGCACTGTTTTTTTTTGGGTAGAATCCCAGCATTGTTATTAAACCTTACCTCAATTTGAGTATCTTTTTTTTTTTTTACATTAGATGTTATGAACAAGAATCTCTATCTGCTCATTACAATGAAGAATACCTGCATTGGGAGCATTCACCTGACTGACCTGAGTTTGTTTTGTCATGTATCAAGATCTGACTGTTCGAATCTTTCTGATACCGAGATCTGATCTGGTGAGGTTGAAGGAATAGGATTCTGCTGCTTTGTTGATAAGGCAAGGGCCTGTTCTAATTTGATTAAAACTTTCTCCATGTTTGGTCTATCTTGCTTGATACCTGTGCACGACAATGCCAGCTCAAATACAAGCTTGAAAGCTTCAGAAGGGTAGTCTCCCGTCATCTTAGGGTCTGCAAACTCCAGCATGCTTTCTGCTTTGGTGAAAGCTTTTGCCTGAGACATTACGATCAAATGCCAATTCTCAGAACAGCTTAATCATAGTTATGCTATCATTGTATGCATTTAAAAGTTCTTGTCCGAATAGGATTAAAAATCCTGACTGAACTAGGAATTTTAAAAGGATTTATGGGTCCTGATAATCCTACCATTTTATGCAGGGGAAGTGGCTCTTTCATATTCATATTGATGACCTTCTTTCCCGAGATGATCTGCAACAGCACAACTCCAAAGCTGTAGACATCTCCAGACGAATCAACCTGACGGTTGTTCAGGTATTCAGGATCGACGTAACCAAACGTCCCTCTCACTTCAGAGCTTACTTGAATATCCCCATCTTCCATAACCTTCGACAGTCCAAAGTCCGAGAGCTTTGCTTCAAAATGAGGACCTAGAAGAATGTTCGTAGGCTGCCCATAAAACCAAAGATAACAAAGCATTTTGTTATAAGCTTTGAACGACTTTAGACACATCAAGTTTGATAACTGATCAATCAGCCGAGTTCGATACCTTGATGTCGCGATGAACAATACGCCCTTCAGAGTATGTGTGGAGGAACCAGAGACCTCGTGCACTATCGATTGCAATCTCGAGCCTTCTGGTCCAAGATAAGCACTTTTCCTTCCCTATCAAAGTTTGCCTACACAAACATCAGCAAATGACCGCAAAAAACCAGGAACATTGAGACGAATTGTCGAGTTCGAAAAGGAGTACCGAAGATCCACTGGTAGAGATTGCCGTTGGGGCAGAACTCATAGATGAGGAAACACTCATCGTCTCCAACACAGCATCCAAGAAGGGCCACCAGATTAGGATGTCTGACATGACACAAGCTGGTGACTTCCCTCACCACGGTTTCTGCATTTCCATCGTTGATGATGTGTTTGATTGCTACCTTCTGGCCAGTATTCGGTAGTATGCCTTTGTAAACTTTTCCTGCAGCTCCTTCTCCGGTGAGATTGGTTATGCTCAGGTCGCTGGTAGCGTTGTAGATCTCCTTGATTGTGAACTTCGGACACGGGTAATCATCTAGTTTCATCTCCTGAAAACCTGTAACTTATAAGGAATCAGGACTTCTATCTTTTTACGGATTTAGGCAAGCAGAAATTTGTGAAAAGAAAGTGAGCTGAAAGTTCTGTACCACTTTTTCTGGTGATCAAATTTGCGTTGGTTCCCCGTTTCCTTGACAGAATGAATCGTATTGTAAACATGCTTATCGCAATGATTAGGGAGGCCATAACTACGGTGACAACTCCAGTAAGGATCCAAAAATCTGATTCAAGCACCCCAAAAAGACAGCTCCTTGTTAGACTGATGAGATAGTTAACCACTGTTACTGCCATTTGGATTGTTAACTTAAAAAACTATAGCGTTCGTCGTAGTAACTCGAAGAAGCTCAAAAAATGAATTTGATACCATTTATGTACATGCTCATGACACAAAAGTGAGCACGTAATTTGCACAATTAGTTTAGAATTGACGGAACAAATTAGTTGAGAGAGACTCTACCTTTTCTACTTTTTCTCTTGCTCTCCCCTGCTCCTGAAGCTGACCCATCTGAAGGAAATGAGCAGGAAACAACTTTTAGTTATTGGGAAAAATCCTCAACTGTTGATATTGAAGGTTACCCAAATGCTGAATCACAATAACTTGAGTTACGAAAAAAAATCCTAAACACGATCCTGTAAAATCAACCGGATAAACTTACCATTTCCAGAGAAATCCTCATTCCGTTGCTGTTCCAGGCAACTATAAACCTTCTCCACACCAATTTCATCATCAATCCGGCGGCTAGTCATAGAAACAAGCACCGCAAAACGGCACACATCACTCCCACTCCCGCCGCCTATTCCCCGCCAAATCCTCACACAAGAACCACATGAAGAAGAACCACCTTCCCGTAACCAACAACCCTGTTCTAGATTCCTTAGCTCCGATCCCAGATTCGCCTCCACATCCGCCACCGAGTAGTCGGAGCACCCTCCACCGCCAGCTGTCAGCTTCTCGATCCCGCAGCTTAATGAATCCAACTCGTGACGCGACAATTCAGACAAGCAACTGGTCTGCTGGCTGGAGTTCAGGAATACGGAAGACCCATCTGTCCGGTTTGCGCGCTTCCCAAGGGCGTATAAGTACCCTGGAAACGCCGATCCGCAGCAGTTGTTGAGGAATCCGCCCCAGTTTCCATGACCGCAGGTCAGTTGAAAGTTCGGCGATGATGGAAATGGGAAATTCAGGATGCAGCTTCTTTCGTCAGGACTTTCTGAAAGAGCTGTCGTCACGATGAAGAGGAAACAGAGCATGATCATCGTTCTTCTGAAGCAGAACATGGTCTTTACCTTCGGTTTGCGCATCAGAAACTAGATAAGGTGACAAAAGATCTGAAAAAAAGACGATGGGTGACATTAGAAACAGAGAAAGCCCGCAACTTTTGAAGAACAGACAAGAAGCAGAACATTAAAGAGAGGAATGATTGGGTTTCGGACTCGGGTATGGTTGAGGCCAAAATCAATAGATTCTTCTTGGATTCTTATGAATCTGTGTATGGGGTATAAACAATATTCCGTGATTCGGCGTTTTGAGGGTTGAAAAGGAGAGGAACAGCATAGTGCATGATTGACAATGGGAAGATCGCTTCTTGCTGTTTGTAAATACGTGAAAAGGTTTGTCGTTAACAAGCCTGGAAACCTTGGTATCAACAATTCCCAAAGACCCACGAGCAGTACCGCATAGGCTGTCTTTCTGGCTCTTTCCTCATGACCTTTTTGTTTCTTTGCAGGGATCCTACAGGAAATAAAATTGAAGTTCAGCAATGGTGCCATCTAGTGTATGGAGCTTTAAAAGAAATTAATGATATTGCAAATGCTTATGTCTATGATTGATAAATGCTGAGCTCATGTTAAGCTATCATTTTGGTGCTTTGACCATTGGAAATTTAAGAATGATTCATGTATATGTATATGCCGATCGATTATTCCTCTGGACAACAAAAAGTCAACAATGGGCCATGGCCATCACACTCAGACAGATAATTAGGGAGAAACCAATGCAACCCAGCTCATTACAGTGAAGAAGCTACACAAGAATTATCAGTGTCCAGTACAATGTACCATTGACATTATTACTCAGGTTGCCAGATGAGAATATATGACCATAGCATGTATACGAGTAATAAGAATCTTCACCTCTATGTCTCTTTGCTGCATATTTCTTTGATGAGCAAGTCTAGTTTGCGCCAGGACGATCCTCTCTCTACCTCCATAGCTTCCCTTGCCTTCCTGCTAAAATCCTTGACCTTCATCTTCACTTCTTCCCCTCTTTCCCCTTCCATCAACTCCCTCACATTCTTCTCCAACCCTTCCCATTTCACAAACCCTCTCACCGACCCATTGCTTGACTCCACCCTTACTCCAATTTTCAGCTCTTCCACCACCATTCTCGCATTCAGATGCTGCTCGGCCATCATTGGCCATGCTAGAATGGGAACTCCTGCTGACACACTCTCCAGCACCGAATTCCACCCGCAGTGGCTTAGAAACCCTCCCACACTAGGATGGTTCAGTATCTCCATTTGATCCACCCACTCTCTCACCACAAACCCCCTACCACGATTCCTCTCTTCAAACCCATCTCCCAATTCTGATTCTTTCTCCTTTGTAACCCAAAGGAAGCTCACATTGGACTTCTCTAGCCCAACTGATATCTCCTTCAGCTGCTCAGCTGAAACCCTAGCTTGTGAACCAAATGCAACGAAAAGAACTGATCTTTTCTGCTCATACTTCTCATCCAGCCACTGAATCCAATTGGGTTTCTGACGAATTGCTTGCATAACCGGTGTTGGTGGCTTGGCTAGGCAGAGTGGACCAACACACCAAGCCTTAGGTCCATTGGTGATGACGTTGTTAAAGGAATCCACAAAGACCGGTTCAAGCTCATAGAAGCTGTTGATAACATACCCATAACTGGCTTTGGATGCCGTTATCGACTTGACTACAAGCTCCGAATCCCCAGCATCCCTTTGGAAGTCGTTTTTGGTCAACTTAATCCATGGAAACCGAGGAACAGTGATCAATTCATCATCCGATTCATTCCCCAAAAGAACCCTACTCTGGTTCACAGCTCTGAACACACATACGGCGTAGTTACACATACCACTGAACACTAACCTCGGGAATCCATACTTGTTCGCAGACTCCAAAGTCCACCATAGGAAGGAATCCGACACCATGAAGTCAACTGGCTGGGGGAGATTGTCAACCAGGCGCTCGAAGTCTGGCTGCATTAGCTTTGTGGCCAGGGCGAATTGGGGGAAGAGGGACATGGATGGGAGCTTATCAGTGCTCTCAATCCCAGCTGGGATTCCGTCCAATTGGGAAGGGAACGGGATTTGGAGGATCGATGCGGCGGTGTTAGGAAGAGATTGAGCGATGAAGGGGAGATTCGACGAAGTGGTGACGACGGTGACGGAGAGTTGACGGCGGAGGAGGAGGTGAGCTAGGTGAAGGATTGGGATGGTGTGGCCTTTCGACATGAATGGGAAAAGCAACACATGATGATGTCTCGTATCGGCCATGATTACCACTATGTTTGGGAAGGGGTGTAAATGGAAGGGGTGCAAGTTTAGAGGGGTAAACACAAGTTCCAAGGTGTTTACCCCCGTTTGGTTATTTTGTAACAGTAGGGGGGTGCAAAACGTGAGCGTAAATTCACTGTTTCGGCTTACCCCCCAAATTGGGGTGCAAGGGAAGGAAGGAAGGGAGGGGGAAGGGGGAGGAGGGGAATTATGAATTTTTAATTAGACTATAATTACATAATAATTAATATTATTAATTTTTCTTATATCTATATTAGTGTAGAAGTTGTTTGGGGTTGACCGTTTGACTCAGAGAGCAAGTTTGTCAATGTTCGCCTCGTCAAATCGATATCTCTTAGTTGACCCGAATTTGCATTGAAAATTAGAGATAAGAAGCATTTGTTGAAAAGATAGAGAGGAACAGTTTAGTTAACTCGATTTACTTTAATAAGTAGTTAAAACTTACAGATTCGAACGTGTTTGACTAAGTTTGACCATATTCAATTTAAAGTTAGGCACGAGAACCCCCTTAGGATGACCAGTTACGAGTTGGATTTCGAGTTTCGAGGTTGCTCGACCAATGATTATTATTGTTGTTATAAATAATTATATTTGAGCATTATTATATAATAATTATTTTTATTAAAATTATTTTTATTTATTATTTTTATTATTATATATTGAATTTTCATGTTTGTGATAATATTTTATAAATTGATAAATCTATTTTATAATAATATAATTACTTACTTTTTACTCTATTTGCACCCCCCTACTTTTTCATCCAAACAACAATTTACCCCTCCACTTACACCCTCCACCAAGTTGCACCCCCCAACAATTTACCCCTCAACTTGTACCCCCTCGAACTTGCACCCCCTTGTTGCCAAACATAGTGTACAGGTGGAGAAGAGTCTGAGTTTGAATTGGGGTGAGAGAAGGGAGAACAGAGTTCAGAAAGAAGAGTAGGAGTCGAAGTTAAAAAGCTCGGAATTGGAAACAAAGAGTAGAGTGTGCCAAAACTGCTGAAATCATCTCTCTTGGTACCATTGGTGTTGTCTAGCTATGATTAACCTTTTTAAGCTGGAATTTCTAGCGGTTCAAAACATTGCTACTTATGTGTAGTTGTGTACAAGTAATTCTATTTCTAGATGACAAAGAGCGTACATATGTACCGTTAAAAGGTTACAATACTTCAAACCTGTAAAATTTGCAGAGTTTGAATTGGTTTGATTGATGATAATTAAACAATAAAGTATTGTGTGCTCATATGACGAATTAAATGATGGTTAACAAATAATGGAGTGTTTTTAGTTGTAATTTGAACTTTTTGACGTGATTCGAATTTTCAGATGAATTGTTGCCCCATCACCATTTGTCATAATTGATGTCTTGTTCGTCCATCATGCAACTTCGTGGTTGCTTCAACCTTTCATGGTACATGTTTTGAAGATTCGGTTGGTGTTCCCTTACCTCAAGATTGCATTTGGTTGTTGTGTTCGTGTTCTTCTTGTTTAGTTTTTAGGCCGCTCTCACAAACTGTCAACCTGGCTGCCGGCTGGCCATAGAGTGGCAAAACAAGCCTTGCTGCTATCCTCTGTAGAGGTTCTGGATAGGGTGGCTTCATTAAGTGTTGCCTGGAAGGGTTTTGGTAGAGGTTTTTAACGGTTTTTCCCTTTGTTTTTACTTGGGGAAAAAACGTGGTCATCCAATTTGATGTTTCATTAACAATGAAACATAAAACGATTATCAATTATGTTAACATAATTATTAATGTTTTAACCACATTATCAATAAATGCTATTGATTTAAAACATTCATAATTGTGGTTTACAAATTTGGTATGAATAATTTATTGAAACATTATTAACGTTTAGGTAGGCATTGTTAACACTACTAGCTTTTTGGCCCGTGATTCAGAACAGTAAGAAACCAATCATATACTTTTTAATATTTAATAATCTTATTTGAAATCAATTAATTTACAAAAATCGGGTAAGATATATCCATAAACTTTACTTTGCTATAAGTTTGTTCAAGTGATGCATAAAAAATTACTGTCACTCCGTAAGTTATACATAATTTGTTTATTATTTACATAATTATTATAGAATGTTGTGATGTAAATCTTTTCTAATGTGTGGTCTACCAATAAAATAGAATCAAGTTATCAAAAGTATTACATTTGATCAAACGGTTATGCAAAAATTAATTAACACTGCAAAATCATTTTGTAATTTAAAAGTGATGACATGGTGAATGTTTTAGTCAATAGTTAAGAAACTATAACTAATAATAAAAAATTAAGTTATGAAAAGTGTAAGATTTGATTAAGCAGTTATGTAAAAAATAACTTACCTTACATAACTTTCGTGTAATGCAACATGGATAAAATGGTTAACAATCTAGTTGATAATAATATGAAAAACTTACGTTCAATTGATGCATAACAAATAATCCATTCATAAGTTTTCAGTGATGTTATAATAATCACGGCAAGAATTACGTAATACGTTGTCTTCAATTGATAATTAAGAAGAAATTATCTCATTATAAGGTTTATATAATGTATCTGTAATGTATGTTACTATTATGAAAAAATTGTTATGTAAATCTTTATGTATGGTCTAATAATAAAATCAAATGGAAAGTATCACATTCGATTAGAATTTTATGTAAAAAGCAGCTAACCTTAGAAAAGTTATTAAGCACGTTTGTCTTCGATTGATAATTAAAAAATAACTATCTCACTATATGGTTTACATAATATATTTGTAATGTACGTAACTCTTATAAAACATTGTTACGTAAATCCTTATGTATGGTATAGTAGTTCTAATACAACATAACAATGAGCTTATGGTAAAAATGAAAGTAGGGTGCAAATCTGTTCTATATGGCTGCATCCCTCCCCAGTAAATAGTGGATTTTCAAGGTGATTAAGGAGGCGAAAGAAGGGAGATTGAAAGATTCTGTTCTCTGTTATGGTTCTTCTGGAAAGAGAGAAACAACTGCTTGTTTAATAGCAAGATGCTACAGGAATGGGAAGTGTTTACAAAGGCTGATGATTTCATACAAGACTATATTGCAGTTCAGGGGAAAGAAAACAACAGAAGGGGAGGAGCTGAAAGAAGGAATTGCAGATAGGAGAAACCACCAGAGGGGACTTATAAACTCTATTCAGATGCAGGTTGCAGCGGCAAAGGAGAGGTGGGAATGGGGTTCATAATTAGAGACTGGAATGGTAACGTGATGTTGGCAGGATGCAGAACTCTCAAAGCAAGCTTGCCTCCTGATATTGCGGAAGGGATGGCGTTGCAGTATGGATTGGAGAAGGCTAAAGAGAAGGGGTTAAGAGCCATTCAGGTTGAGTCAGATTGCCAGAAGCTGATCAATATTCTGAAAGGGTGTTGATTCTTGTGAAGAGAAAAGTCTACTTTTATTATTAATGAACCGGTGAAAAAATACATTGTCTCATTTACATATATATACAGTCTGTGTAATATAAAATAACTGAACACTACTATAATAAACAAACATTACAATATAGTTCCTATATTTCTAATTTGTTACAATAGAGTCCTCCAACAAAGGGAGAGAGAGCAGCAGAACTGAGATTAATTGATAATGTCTGTAGAAGCATAGCTTCGATTGGCTTGGAGGTGGATGTCGTTGATTGGAATTTTATGTACAAGGAAGCGAATGGGGCTGCTCATCAGCTGGCACATTTCTTTCCTTTTAATGTTCTTAGAGACATAGTTTGGTAGGGTAGTGTTCCTGCCCAAATTGTTGATGTTATTGCCGCTGAGGCTGAGGCTGAAGTGTGATTTCAATGAAATCGATTTATTCCTTAAAAAAAGTAGGGGATAAAAACCCTACTTGAACAGTGTCGCTGGAGCAATTTTCTTATAAGTTATAAGGCCCGATTTTTTCCGTAAGCAACGGTGATTGTTGCTTGGGTTTTATTAATTAGATTGATAAATGGAACGTGAGTGCAGTAAACATATACAAACACAAAGGACAAGATTCCAACAGCAATCACAAAAGGTCGCAGTGTCAACTAGATAATGGGAGGTCGTGTCCACGTGCGTCGTCGACGGTGGCGAAACCAGTAGTCGTCAAAAGCAATTGTGTTGGAATGTCGAAACAACGGGAGGAGAAGGAAGGGATCGTCAGGACAGTGGTTCTTAGACGTAGGGAGGATCGATGTTGAATCGACGAAAGATGTGTTGGGAGTTGGGACAGTGTTAATCGGCCTGCACATGTTTAAGAAACTCATTAAACTGAGGTTTAAGAATAGGATCTGACCCTATTTATTTTGCATTTGCTTGAATTCAAATTTATCTCATCTACGGACAGTCTGAATACAGTATTAGTTATTTCAGTGAATCAATAATACAGTTAATCGGTGTGGGTAACTTATTTTGATAAACTTCACAATCAATTCCTCTTCATTTTCTTATTCATAAAGGGTGCCAACCATTACACGAGTTTTATTCAAATTACAATGCATCACACCATGTCCTGAGGCATCACACCATGCTTATTATGGACCGAAAAGGAAGAACATAAACACATAAAAAGTGTATATGGTAATTTTTATGCGCCCTCATGGTATTATATACTTTGAATTCTAACTAATGGCTAAATCATAGGCCGTACTTGTACATTCAACATACCAAGAGGACCAAAAACCATAAGAAATTTTTGAGGATCATAATACCACAAGTTCATGTTTAATTCATATTTTAGACAATAATCTCGCCAACTACAAAGTCGTACTCCTCAAACCTCATGTAACATCCCTTGGCCCATGCTTGACCTCCGATGCGGTGATAGCAATTTCGGTAGGCGATATAATTCTTGGCATCGTGAAGGCACCCGCCCGCCCCTTCATCTGCCCACCTGAAACCGTACAGAATCGTGTCGTCGGCGCAGTCCTCAGTATCGTACCACCCACCCTTCTTCACGGGGGTGTCCCCGATCAGCTTATTGAGTAGAGCGAATCCACAGTAGATCCATGCATCGCCGTCGGGGAACGACTCGCCGTTGCAAATCCCAACTGTGTCAGCTGACGTGGTAGGAACTCCGACCGCCGCCACCACCACCACCATCACGATCGTCACCTGGTGACTATATTTATTCCATGATGATGATGAACTCATCTTTAATTTGGTTGCTGGCCAGGTACGTAGCTCCATATGAAATGCTTAATTCCAATTTAAGCTTATATATATATATATAGTTGACGAATTCGATCGGCCAAATATTCCAATTCCAAACATATAATCGCTCCCACGTACAGCGGGTTCGCCTATGATCATCTGTACTATGTTTGTGCTTTGGCTGCTCTTCTTGATGATTATGATGAAGATTCTACACACTATAGAAAAAGGAAAGTTCGGATGTGTGACGACTCGGTATTTGCACATGTTTTCCCCTTTGTTTCTTGATTGTTTGAGCTTGAATTATCGTGTCTTTGGCCTATTTTACGCTAGGTTGTGTTCCTTTGTCACGTTTCAGGTCCTAGCACATAAAGTGAAGCATAGGCGCAAGTTTCAAGTCAATCAGAGATCAATTGACGATTCGGGAGAAGAAACTCGGGTATGACATGAAGAAGAATGGATTTCGACCTCACTTTATGGACAAATAATCATGCAAGCTTGTCATGAAAAGAAAGAGGACAAGACTACGAGCGTCTGGGATCAAACGGCGACTGATTCGGAGTCCGGACGAGGGAGAAACGAAGCATTAAACAGAGGCTGAGCAAGCCACACGGCCGTGTGGCCTGGCCGTGTGAGTCGGGAATTGCTATTTAAAACCCAATTTTCAGCAAAAGGAAAGGGGGAGAGCTGGGTTTTGGATCCCAAACACCCAAGGGACGAACCCTAGAGAGAGAGAGCGACTTGGGAACATTCTTGGAGCTATTTTGGAGGATTTCTTCGCCATTGGAGCTCGGGAATCAAGCTTGGAGATGGAGATTGAAGATCTAGATCAGATTTCTGCAGTCTCTCTCTTCTCTATGGAGTAACTTCCCTTCACTTAGGTTTTGAGGAACCTTAGTTCCATGAGTTAGGATCTTTCTTGTATGAAGTTTTGGATGCTATATTGTTTGATTATAATCGAATGATGCATGTTTATTGAGTCAATTGAAGTCTGATCAACTTTTCCTGATTCCTGCTGCAATCTGAGATAGATAGAATCTGATTGGGTTGCTAGAGTCTCATCATTCGGTAGTAGGAGACTGGCTATACGAGAGTTAGCCAGTTTACTGCTTTGTACTGGAATCCAATTCCAGTAGTGGAGTTCTGTGCTTATTGCTTCAGCTTTCTATCCCGGTGAAGACTAGTCGTCTGCCGGATAGTTAGACTGAGAGGGTTTGGTCAGCTTAAGAGATTCCAAGCTACTGTCGGATCTTCCGCAGTTTAATCAACAATAAATCAACCAAAATGAATTACAACTTGGACCTAACTGAGGAGCTAGGGGGAATCATACCTAAGTGAGTTCCCAAACTGTAATTAGTAGTTTTACTTATTTTAGTTAGTAGAGTAGTTTAGTTAATCAATCCTTAATCTAGTTTGCTAGATAATGAACTGAAGCTGAGTAATAGTAACTCTAGAGACCCGTGGATTCGATATTTATTACTTGTGCCACTATACTGCAGTCCCTTTCATTGGTTACACTTGGCCATTGTTAGGTGTTGTGTTTTAGAGCATCAATGTGCCAGCAGAGATGGCGATACTTCTATGTGACAGGTAGGCTCAAGATAGGGTGAGTAACCTTAGAGTGAGTAACAATGAGTAACCAAATCTGGACCATTCATTTAAGTGGCCGCAGATCTAAGGGTGGAGAATTAAACGAATTTATTTTCTCTAGTTTATTTAATTGGATCATATCTTCTTCATTCTAACTCAAATTTTAATTTTTTTTGCACACATGGAACAAGTTAGTTGTGCTCTACAAAATGATATCCATTTTCAATATTTTTTGAGAAAAAAAATTTCCATCCCTCTCGTCCAACTTCATACCATACTATACCACCCTGGTATGAGGTGGTATTTTTCATACCATATGGTATGCTGTTATTTAATACCAGTAACTGGCAAATTTTTTTTCCAAACAATATCAAAGTGGATATAATTATGAATCGTTACCAACTCCATACCATACTATAACACCCTGGTATGAGGTGGTATTTTTCATACCATATGGTATGCTGTTATTTAATACCAGTTAATACCATATGGTATTGACTGACAAATTTTTTTTGTTTCAAAAAATATCAAAGTGGGTATCATTTTGAAGAGCACAATTAATCTGATCTAACTATGTAAAAAAAATTAAATTCCGAGTTAAAACGAGTGAGAAATCGTCCGTTAAAGATTAAGGGAAAGAAAATTAATGACTTTTCCAGGAGAGAGAAGGAGGCGCTGATGTGGCAGATTCTTATTGGGTTATGCATGGAGTTACTCACCACATGGTTACTCACCGGATATGCTCCCGTGCTAGGTATAGTAATAAATAGAAATAAATTAGAAAAGAAAAGTCGTGACAGTGAGAGAGCTAAGTTTATTACTCATAAACTACACAAAACAATATCCTCAAAATACAAGTTTAAAGTTGAAAAACTTAACCAATATATATAGTTTTAAGTAGTGCTTTTTCCAGAAATAGCACCTTTAAAAAAATTACAAAAATAGCACCCAGCCGAAAATATTTACAAAAATAGCACTCTTTTTTTAAAACCGCACCTCCAAGGTGCGTTTTGTGCGGTTTATGATTCTGGGACAAACCGCATCTTGGCCATGTGGTTTGTGTGTCTGACCTAATTAAATCGCATGGCCTAGATGCGGTCTTGTGCTGATCTAGCAAAACCGCACTTTGGGGATGCGGTTTTGCTTCTCCAAAACAAATCGCACCCTCAAAGTGCGGTTTTGGCAACACAAACCACACCCCTCCAATGCGGTTTGCGTGTCAATTATTTTTCGGCACCAAACATATAGCCATGCAGATTGACAGACGTGGGGCTGCATGGCAGATGAAAACCACACCTCTAAGATGCGGTTTTCATTAGTGATTTTGCCTATAAAAGACAGCCCTAGAAACCTCTTCTCTTCTCACCTCTCCTTCTCCCTTTTGAATTTTCTGTTGTAGCTCTATATTTTTTTAGTGTTTTTGCGATTAACGTTAACTCGTAAGTTTATTTTGTATTACTTTTTATTGTGATTTGTGATTTGTGATTTTTATGATATTAACTGAACTACGGTTTTTTTTTTTTTGCAGATGGCATTCCAAAAGTTCATGCTTGGCTTACGGTGGAATGGTTACATGGAAGAGATCGGAAAGGGGGTCACCTACGTCGGTGGCAATTTTCAGAAAATAAAGGTCGCTACCAGACCGATGCTTGAAGACCTCCATCAAATGTGCACTAACGTTACTTGCATGGATGGCACGAGAAGAGTTGATCGTATGGTGTACCGATATCCAAACAGAGAAAGTGGGTCATTGTGGCACGAGGAATATCTCATAACCACTCAGGATTAGGGATGGCAATGGGTCGGGTTGGGTCGGGTTTTGCCAAACCCAAACCCATAGGTTTATCCGTAAAAAAAACCCGGGGGTAAAATCCACTGGGTTTGAAAAACTCAAACCCAACCCAACCCGCTGGGTATCCGCGGGTTCATGGGTACCCACGGGTTTTTGTCGTAAAAATTTTACAATAACATGTTCCTATCAAAATTAAAGTCAAATATCAATCTCTCAATACAAATTATCCATATTTAAAACACTATTCTAGAAAATTCAAGCAAATCACAAATTAACTATACAAATTGTTCAACGCAATCTAGAAAACTCAAGAAAATTGAAGTAAATCATAAATTATCCATAAATAACATATTAATTGAAGGCTTCTTCTTTTCAATTAAGTTTCTTCACTCTCCACTCGATAACACAAACTTCATTCTACACAATTAGAAAGAAAAAATTAGACATGTCTCCACAAACATAAATAAGATTAGTTGTTTAAAATATTAAATATACCGAGAAAATTAATTATATGTGTGGGCGGGTACCCACGGGTCGGGTTTACCTAAACCCAAATCCAACCCAACCCGGTGATTAGTGAACGGGTTTAAACCCAAACCCAACCCAAAACCCGTCAACACGGATTTTACCTGCGTTGACCGGGTTGGGTCGGGTGGGTACCCGTGGGTTCGGGTTTGGTTGCCATCCCTACTCAGGATGAAGTAGATTTCATGCTCGAATTCTTGAGGTCCAACAATCTTTCCAAAGCCGAGATGTTCGTTTACACCGAGGCGGCCGTTGGCGTTGGAGGTCATTCTGGACACGGTCAAACATCTGGTATCCATGGTGGAGGTGAATTATATGGCGATCATCCCTACCAAAGTTACCATGATTTTCATTCCTATTTTCAGTACCAAGAGCAAGGTGAAGGTCATCATCAATCTTTCCCGTCATATGAAGAAGAAGTTCAATCGGACCTCCCCAACCAACCTCAGTACAACTTCCAATCAGGCAGCGGTAGTTTTCACAACTACCATTATGGAGCTGATGAAGGTGCCTTCCATGAGATGGATCAGATGGAAGCTGCCCTGCCAGCACCAGTTAGTGACCCCTCCGATGAAGAAGGAGAGAACAACGTCAGTGCAGACAGCTCCGACCCTCTTGAAGGTGCTGATGATTCAGGACCAGAGTCAGAGTCAGATAATGATGATAAGGTGGCTCGTGACCGTGTACCAGTCCCCTACTACAATCACATTCCAGACAACAATTGGATGGTCGACAGCGACATGGAGCCGGCAGAGGTCCCAGTATGGGGTCCACTCACTGGGTTTAAGAAGGGCCAACAATTTGGCTCGAAGAAGGAGGTGCGGCACACCATTGATACTGAAGCAATGACTCGGCATTTTGAATGGCACACATTTCATTCCAACACTAAAAGGCTCATAGTCAGATGCCGTAATCATCACGAGGGGTGCAATGTTAGGATCCGGGCTATCAATAGCAAGAGACACGACCACTAGGAGGACGAACCTGACAATAATCTCTAATCGGCACGCCGACATTAGAGCTGCCATCTTAGGTTTGGATCCAGCCTGGAAGTGGTCCCAAAGGTTGATACACCCCTGGGGGGTGTATATTATCAAAGTCACGCAACTAACGACTCAATCGAAGAATCGATTGAGCTTGAATCAAGAACAAAGCGTTCTTAATACGAACTTGGATAAAACGGAACCAAAAGGACAAATCCACACCTGGGGATAGCTCGATTGGTATAAAAGGGTAGTTGCTCGACCATGATTGAAGTGACTATTCAATCGATACACAAGCTCAGCAAGTTTGGAATCCACCAAACCCTAAACAAGTTCGCAAACTTGCAAAACCAAACGGTTTCTTTTCTATTCAATCAACTCTCAGTTTTACAACGAAATACAAAGGTTAAATAGGCCTAGCTACAGTTACACACGTCCCATAAACTCCTAATTACAGTCTAATACGAAAAGGAATAAAAAACTACCAAAACAATGAAATCCTAACTAAACAAGAAAAAGAAATCTGCCTTTAGCTCCAAGTAACCAAACAGCTTTGATGCCATTTTTGAGCCTCTCGATCAAAGCCTTCCAGGTAAGCTTCCAATCATCCAATGCCATGTCTTTGTAGTAGAACATACCCACTTTCATGTGGTATAAACTTATGGACTCGAATCTCATCCATGCTTCTGGAATGGAGCTCCAAAGTAGGCTTCTTGAACACAGTTTCTGCCTTAACCAAATTCTGGCAGTTTTCCAGTTTTGAGATAGCAACTTTGAGGCCTTGGAAAACAACCTTAATGACATCATCTGGATCCACAAAGCATACCATTGGAAAGATGAAAAATTTATCGGCAAAACAAACCCTTGAACTTGAATTTCCACTAAACCAATTTAGAGAACTGTCTCCAAAGTATGTACCCTGAACACGGATTTTGACTTAGCCAAATTCTGCCCTTCTTCTTCCCAACTTTGATAGCTTCTTCGTCAAGTAATTTAAACGTGTATAGTTGACCATTTGGGATCATATCAAAGGTGGTGCATACGAAACTTCAAGAGCAACTGGAACCATCATTTCAAGCGGAGGAAGCTTGCTGATAATTTGTGGTGGATTGGTAAGCTCTCTATTGGCCGTTTAATTTTGTCAGCTAACAATATCTTGTAGACGCGGTAAATGGTGCACTTGTTAGACTCTTTCTAAAGAGATGCATGCCTCAGGAAATGGGGTTTTAAGCGATTATCATGATCCTCCCATTTTCTGGGAAAATCGGGTTTTAAGCGATCTTTGGATCCCCCCTTTTGCTGTCAAACAGGCTGTGTTTCTAAGGAGATTTATACCTCTCCTAAGATTCTAACGAGAGTACCTCCGGGTTGTTCGAATTGTACTAAACTGCCGAATTATGACTAACGTACTACTTTTCTGTGTGTTTCTCAGCTGTTGCCTACCAAGAGAAAATTATGATTTTTTACGTGGTCCATTATCAATTGCCACCATAAATTTTAACTTGGATTTAAAAAATTATGATTTTTTTTTTGTGAGACGGTTTAGTGATTTATTAGAATTTCTTGTCATGATATGAATTTGAAATTTTTTATGATTAATGATATTTTCATTCTTAAATTAATGTAATATGCAAGTCTTGTATGTTATATATCATGAACGGTTCTATCAACGGTTTTGTTACGGTTAACCAGTGAACTCTAAATCACTAAATTTTTCGGTACAACCTCTGGTCCAGTTCTGAAAACAAATGTTATTTTAGTAAATCAATATTGATACAATCAATCATAAACTTCAACATCAATTATTCCTCTTCATTTTCTTGTTCATAAGGGTGCCAACCATTACATGAGTTTTATTATCTTAGGAAGATAGTAAAGCAGACTAATATGTAAAAAAAAAAAAAAAAGCCCTTTACAATAACATCACATGACCGTGCTTATTATGGACTGAAAGGAAGAAAATAAAGGTATAAAAAGTATACATGGTAATTTTTATGCACCCTCATGGTATTACTCTTTAAATTCTAATAATGGCTAGCTAAATCATAGGCCGTACTTGTACAGCTGCTAGCCAACATAACATACCAAGAGGATCAAATCAAAGCATAAGAAATTTTGAGAATTAATTATAATAGCGTACGTACCACAAGTTGATGGCGGTTAATTCATGCATGGGTTAATTAATTAGACAATCCCACCAATTCTCCAATTATAAATCCGTGAGTCTCAAACCTCATGTAACATCCCGCGGACCATCCCTGAGCTCCCATGCGGTGGTAGCAATCCCGGTAGGCGATGTAATTCTTGACCTCGTGAAGGCACCCGCCCGACCCATCCCCTTCATCTGCAAACCTGAAACCGTAGAGAATGCTGCCATCGGAGCAGTCCTGGCTATTGTACCACCCACCCTTCTTCACGGGGGTGTCCCCAATCAACAAATCCAGCAGAGCGAAACTACAGGAGATCCGCGCATCGTCGTCGGGGAACGACTCGCCGTTGCAAATCCCAGTTACGGCAGCCGACGTGGTCGGAACTCCGGGCGACATCACTGACAAGACCGCCGCCACCACCACCACCATCACGATCGTCACCTGCTGGTGACTATATCTATTCCATGATGATGATGATGAACTCATCTTTCTGATGATAGTAATTTTTTTGGTTGCTAGCTAGGTACGTAGCTCCATACATATATGAATGCTTAATTCCAAGCTAAGCTTTTATATATATATATATAGTTGACGAATTCGATCGGCCAAATATTCCAATCCCAAACATATAATCGCTCCCCACCTACGGCGGGTTCGCCTATGATCAGCCCTACTATGTTTGTGCTTTGGTAAAGAAGATTCTACACTACAGAAATAGAAGCCCATCATTAATGGCGATACGTTTAATGTGCCAGCTGGTATTACCCTAAGTCTCCCGCTCACCGTTTCCCCCGTCTTTTCCCTTGGATTCTCGATTGGCGGCTGACTAAGTTGGCCTTTCCATTTGGCCTTTCCATTTCACTTATTTTATTGTTTAAAATAAGAGGCAGCTAAGTGCTTAATGACTTAATGTTAATCCGGAAAGGCAATGGAGTTAGATTTAGAAGTCGATTTTGGTTAAGAGCAACGTTTTCAACCCCCGGGTTTATTGACTTTGACCCTGGTCCGATGAGAAAAATGGGCCACCACCGTCACGACCATCATTATCATCACCTGATGATGATGATTATATCTGTTCTCTGATGATGAACTAACTCATTTTCCTGATGATAATTATAAGGTTCCTACGTACGTATATATCTCTAATATGATGAGTCATTGTAATGTTTAATTCCTAGCTATATATATACTCGACCGTTCGGCCAAATATCCCTTTTACTCTCCATGGTTGGAGTTAGTCTTAGATAGTAGGAAGTAACAGGAGGAGTATACGAGAGATATAATGGTTAATGTGTGGCGTTTAAATGCAAGTATAATTAATAAAAATGTTATGAAATCAGTTGTCTGTTTTTATAAATTTGTGATGTGTTTTTTTAGATTTGTAATACGTTTGTGATATGTATTAGGTATAATGTTTAATAAAAAAAATTAATTTTATAAGTTTAATAAAAAATTTAAGCATATAGTTTAACAAGAAATATTATTTAGAGGAGAGGAGTAGCGAAAGAAGATAATTACGATGGCGATTTTACAAGCTTACATAATTCCTAGAACTCAAACAAAACATTTTGAAATCACCGACAACAATATGAAATCGCAATAAGATGTGCTTTTTATCTAAAAAAAAATGTGATTGTTTAGGATGGAACACATGCATTCCATCTAATGTTTTAACGGATTAGATATGTGTACTTGTGTAGATACCATCCAAATAAAGTACCCAACACCTACATTCCCGGGAGTTGTATAATCATCAGAACTACGATTGGTACAGAGCACAAAGTTATGTTTATTTGAAATTTTAGAACCTAGGTAATGCATTCATCAAGAAAAAAAAACTTTATAGGCAAAGCGCAAGGGAGTGCGGCGGTTTTGCCCGGATCGCAGAGGTGGCGCACGATCAATCTGACCACAACGACCCCACGTGGTTTGTTGGCGACAGAACGGAAATCGCAGCACCTCTCTACAGTCCTCGTTTAAACCTCCATGAGGGGCTGCGGTCTTTGTGAAACGATGGCCATGGATGGAAATTTTTGGGGAAATGTGGTATTTCTGTAATTTTTTTAGCTTATGGGTGATATATTAGGAATAAAATTCACGTTGGACTAGCATAGTATTCAACGACTGCTCCGCCATCATCGGCCATGTAGCATCGACACTCCAACACAAACTCCCTCAATCACGGAGTTCCAACCACAATGACTCAAAAACCCTCCCACGCTGGCATGGCCTAGTTTTTTTTTTTTGGAATACCGTGCTAATTTTTTTTGGATAATATAATTCGAATATAGTATTAGTTATTGTGTGTGGATAATTCGAATTTAGTTTAAGTTTTTCTTTTTCCAGTGAATCCATGAGACAAATTAATCGGTCATGAGGCTCACTTGTCATTTGGATAAACTTATCTTATTTTCTTATTCATAAGGTTGCAGGCCATTACATAAGTTTTATTGTAGGACGATAATAAACAGACAAAAAATGTCCTTGACAACGCATAACACCATGCTTATTATGGACCAAAAAGGAAGGAAAGAAACCAGAAAAAGTATACATATGGTTTTTTTTTGGGCATCCATCCTTAGGGAATTTGGATATATATAATATAAGTGAGTAGTTTGCGCTTTTTAAACCTTGAACTAACCAAACTTTGAAGTATGATACTATACTTCAAATTCTAATAATAGATCATGGGTCATACTTGTACCATCGACGCCCAAAGCCCAATCAAGTCAGCGAGCAAAGTGGATACACAGAGGATCCGCTGATCGCCGTCGGGGAAGGACTGGACATCGCAAATTCCGCTTACGACAGCCGACGTCGTAGGAACTCCGGGCGACATGACCAACAAGACCGTCACCACCATCACGATCATCATCATAAGGTTGCTTGAGGAACTCATTCTTCTTCTGATGATGATGATAATAAGGTTGCTTAATTCCTAGCTAGCTAGCTAGCTTTATATATACTCGACCGTTCGGGCAAATAATATTCCTGTTCCAAGCATATAGCCGCTCGCCGTAGATGGTTCGCCTATATATGATCATCAGTACTATGTTTGTGCTTTCGCCGGCTAGACTTCTTGATTATGATGAAGAAAGATGGCTAACAAAAATGGCGATACGTTTAATGTGCAAGGTATAACTAAACAGTGGTTTGATAGAAAATAAATTCTTTTTTAGTGTCTCAACACACTACTATTCATATTGACCACGATGTGAAAGAAGGAAAATAAAAACAACTAGTGACTCAGTGAGCGACCAAGTAAGCCATCTTTATAATTTATTAAAATATAAAATGAAGGTTTTGTGATTTAAAAATCTAAAAATTTATTAAAGTTTTTAGAAATTATGGATTTAAGACAATTCTTTGTTTGTTGAGATGTTTTGATTATGAAGCTAATGGTTTGAGATTTAGAACTGAAAATCCAAAATTATCTTACTATACTTTTTATTTGTTTGTCATAGTTATTATATGTACACAAACAAGGACAAAACATACTAATAAGCATAATAATGCCACAATGATAATAACAATGAACATGTTAATTTCTCTGAACGTTTACTAAGCATATATCAGTTACCAATTTCTTGTCTCCATTTGAATAGTAAGATATATTAAAACCGAGAAAACAATGCATTCCACAGTTGCCTCGCATTGACTGCAGCTTCCCAATCGAAGGCCAATTTTAACCACGATTAGGTGTAGAATAGGATAAACAAGTAACAAAATTACTGAACCACGGGTCTGTAGATGTACCTTACTTCGGCTTAAGTTTCGTTATCTAACCAACCAAGAATAGTGATTAAGACTAAACTAACGACACTAACATAACCACTACCCTAATTAATTACAAGTTTGGGAGATGTCTTAGGTTTGAATCCCCCTAGCTTCTCATATGAATCAATGTTTATTACTTCCCTAGATCAATTGACTCAATACCTCTACTGTTAGGAGATAAACTCCCTCAGAGATTACCCCGGAACATTTTCTTGGTAATGATCTATTCAATCAAGAGAAATCATATACCGTCAAGAGATCGACCGAATCGACTTCCTCGGGGTTAACTCGGAACGACATATAATCAGAAGTGACCAGAATTGCAAAACAAAGGCTATATGCGAATTGCCAAAGAATAAATCGCTACAAAGTGTTGTTACAATTATATTGGATATTTAATGGAGTTAGGCAAACACAACAGAAAAGCCCATTCCTTTGGATCCTTAGTAGCCTATAGTTTATCATAGTACTACCGTGCGTCTTCCTTCTTGTTAGACAATTCGTCAATTAACAAGTTCAATGTTTTCCACGACGAGCCGTTCCCTTCCTCCATAGCCTTTCTAGCCTTCTTTGCATACTCCTTGGCGTTCCTTCTCACTTCCTTCCCCTTTTCACCTGCCATCAACTCCCTCACTGCATTCTCCAACGCTCCCCGTCGTACGAACCCCGTTCTCCCCGAACCTTCCACCCTGATCCCCACGTTCACCTCCTCCGCCACCATCCTCGCATTCAACGGTTGCTCCGCCATCATCGGCCACGCCAGCATCGGCACTCCAGCACAAACTCCCTCCATCACCGAGTTCCAACCGCAATGACTCAAAAACCCTCCCACGCTGACGTGACCCAGTATCCCCCTTTGGTCCACCCATTCTCCGACTATCATCCCTCTCCCCTTCATGCGCTCCTCCAACCCACCGCCTCCCTTTCTTATCACCCACAAGAAAGTCACTTCTGAATCTTCCAATCCACGCGCTATCTCCTCCAGTTGTTCCTCCGATATCTCTGCTTGGGACCCAAACGCCACGTACAATACCGACTTCCCCTCCCACAACTTCTCATCCAGCCACTGAATCCAAGCCGGCTTGGCGGCTAATACGACCTCTTTCTTGTCGTTGCAGACGTCGTCCACTTCAGCCAGGCAAAGAGGGCCCACGGAGTAGTACTTCTGTTTCCCTAGAGCGTTCAGATGATCCGCGAAAACCGGTTCGAACTCGTGGAAGCTATTCATCACGTAACCGTAGCTTCGCGAGGGAGCACCGAACGCTTTCATAACGAAATCGTAGAAGGGGCCTTCCGGGTCGGGCGTTCGGGCCGTCTCCTCGAAGTCGCTCTTGCAAACTCTGACCCCCGGGAACCGAGTCACGGCGATCAACTCGTCGTCGGACTCGGGGCCGAACAGGAGCCGGTCGCCGGCAACAGCTCTGGACACGCTGGCTGCGTGATTGGACATCCCGTGGAAGACCAGCCGCGGGATCCCGAATTTTTCGGCGGAGTCCTCGGTCCACCAGAGGAAGCCGTCGGAGACCATAAAGCTCGGCCACGGCCGGAGATTTTCGAGGGCGGATTCGAAGTCGGGACGGATGCGCTCCGTGGCGAGGGCGAAGTGGGGGAAGAGGGAGTCGACGGACGGGAGCTTGTCGGTGCTCTCGACGCCGGCGGGGATTTCCGGGATGTCGTGTGGGAAGGGGAGCTCGACGATGGAAGCGGCGGCGCTGGCGGGTAGAGAAGCGGTGATGAAGGGGCGGTTGGCGGGGGTGGTGAAGATGGTGAGGGAGATTTGGCGGCGGAGGAAGAGGCGGGCGAGGTGGAGCATGGGGATTGTGTGGCCTTTTGACATGAAGGGAAAAAGCACGGCGTGACAAACGGGGCCGCCGGTTGGAATTACTTCGGCGGCGGTTGCTGCCGCTGCAACAACCTCCGTACCCATAATTCTAAGTCTGTGGAGGATGTGAAAGGAGAAGAAGAGCGTTTTGGTTAGGGAAGTGGGTGGTGTATATATAGAGAGAGACAAGCGTTATGTAAATAGCTAAGCAACTACGAATGGCTAATTAAAAGTAAACCATGACGATCAAAGATCATGTAAACAAGGACCACTGACATAATAATAAAATTAAGTCAAGAATGAAATATCAAAGGCAATGCAAACATTGACCGCTGGAAGAAAATAAGCAAGTCAAGAATATAAATACAAACAACCAAGAACTGATTATGTATTAACCTCCGCGTAGAAGTGGTATGGTTGCTCCAATATAATTTTACTTAATCTTGTTGACGATTTCAACGCATGCAAATGGATTATCACCAATCCCTCCCTCCAAGTTCTCAATTCCAGGAAGCTTCAGCCAACTCTTGCTAATGCTTCAAACCAGATGGGCAATCGATGACCAACCAATCCATCATGCATGCTGATTGCTGAGTAACCTCAGTCAATAGTGTACGTGTAACCATCAATAACAGAAACTAGGGTGGGCATACGGTTCGGTAAAACCGAACCGGGTAAATATAATATAAACCAAACCGAAACCGAATTAATATTATTTGGTTCGGGAATCAGAAGGGAAAAATGCATATTTCGGAAATTAGGGTCCTTTTGACCGAACCAAATAACCGAAATACTATAATTACAAGCTCCAAATGGTTTATGTTTATACTTGTTTTGATACTTATATAAATTTTTGAATCATATTAGTGTTTTATGACTTATGTGTTGAAATGTTTGATTTTATCATTGAGATTTGGCGAATTTCGGGGACCAAGTACACATCATTTTGGTTCGGTTTCGGCCGAACCAAAAGAATGCCCGCCCCTAGTAGAAAAACCAATTCGGTATTTGTTTGTTAGTGAAAGGAGAAGAAAGGATCGTGAGAAGATAGTGATCTTTATTTTGTTAAATATTTATTAAAAATATGCAAATTTATTTTTTAGTATTAATAAATTAATTATTTTATATTAAGTGACGTGGAAAATATCCACGTTATTGGTCAAAACTTTGACTTTTGACTATTAAAGATCAAAGTTAATTGGGACTATAAATGACACATGACAAATATAGGACAAGTGATAAGAAGTCTAATACCAATTTTGATGACTGTTAAGTATTAACGGTCAAAATAACGTTGACTAACATCAAACCTTATAATTATATGTGCAATTAAGGGATTCAAACATAAAACGAGTCTGCAAAATTGTATTCAGGAGAAATTAGTTTGGATGGTGTGCGCATTTAGTAGTATACAAAAACAAATGATTAGCTTAACGCGACGAAGAATGTAAAATAAGACAACAGTAGTAGTAGCTTAATTCGTATAGTTAACCCACTGCCACTAATGAATAAGTCTTGCAATAGAAAGTAATGGAACCTCGTGTATCTATGATGTAGACTGCCACAAGGAAGGTCATTTATTCATTTTGGTTATAGTACTGATGCGGAGGTAATTACTATTATTATATAAACGTGTATTAAATGACATATTTATAATTATAGTGTGAATGACGATTCTTGATATTATTAAAAAACAAATCGCTAAGAGATGCGATTACAATTGGATACTGAGTGGTGTTGAGCCAATACAATGGAAATGGAGGGTCGTAAAAACCCATTCATTTTGGATCTTAAGTAGCCTATGGTTTATCAAAATATTACCGTGCGTCTTCCTTCTAGTTTTCTGTTTTTGCCTTGTTACACAATTCGTCAATTAATAAGTTCAAAGTTTTCCACGACGAGCCGCTCCCTTCCTCCATGGCTTGCATAGCCTTCTCTGCATACTCCTTCGCGTTCCTTCTCACTTCCTTCCCCTTTTCACCTGCCATCAACTCCCTCACCGCCTTCTCCAACGCTCCCCGCCGTACGAACCCCGTTCTCCCCGAACCTTCCACCCTGATCCCCACATTCACCTCCTCCGCCACCATCCTCGCATTCAATGGCTGCTCTGCCATCATCGGCCACGCCAACATCGCCACTCCAGCACAAACGCTCTCCATCACCGAGTTCCAACCGCAATGACTCAAAAATCCTCCCACGCTGGCATGGCCCAGTATCTCCCTCTGATCCACCCATTCTCCGACTATCATCCCTCTCCCCTTCACGCACTCCTCCAACCCGCCACCTCCCTTTCTTTTCACCCACAAGAAATCCACCTCCGAATCTTCCAACCCACTCGCTATCTCCTCCAATTGTTCTTCTGATATCTCAGCCTGGGACCCAAACGCCACGTACAACACCGACTTCCCTTCAACCAGCTTCTTGTCTAGCCACTGAATCCAAGCCGGCTTCGGCTTCGCAACTAATGCGGCTTCTTTCCCGCCGTTGATTTCGTCCACGTCAGCCAGGCAAAGGGGCCCCACAGAGTAATACCTTTGTTTACCGAGCCCGTTAAGATGGTCGGAGAAAACTGGTTCTAACTCGTAAAAGCTATTCATCACGTAACCGTAACTTCGTGAGGAAGCGGCCACCGATTTCAAAACGAAATCGAAGAGGGGCCCTTCTGGGTTGGGCTTTCGGGCCCACTCCGCGAAGTCGCTCTTGCAAACTTTGACCCCCGGGAACTGAGTCACGGAGATCAACTCGTCGTCGGACTCGGAGCCCAAAAGGAGACAGTCGACGGCGGCTGCTCTCGACACGCTGCCGGCGTGATTCGACATCCCGTAGAAGACCAGCCGCGGGATCCCGAATTTTTCGGAGGAGTCCTGGGTCCACCAGAGGAAGCCGTCGGAGACCATGAAGCTCGGCCGCGGCCGGAGATTTTCGAGCGCGGATTCGAAGTCGGGCCGGATGCGCTCCGTGGCGAGGGCGAAGTGAGGGAAGAGGGAGTCGACGGAAGGGAGCTTGTCGGTGCTCTCGACGCCGGCGGGGATTTCCGGGATGTCATGTGGGAAGGGGAGCTCGATGATGGAAGCGGCGGCGCCGGGGGGGAGTGAAGCGGCGATGAAGGGGCGGTTGGCGGGGGTGGTGAAGACGGTCAGGGAGATTTGTCGGCGGAGGAGGAGGCGGGCGAGGTGGAGGATGGGGATTGTGTGGCCTTTTGACATGAACGGGAAAAGCACGGCGTGGCAAACGGTGCCGCCGGCTGGAATGACGTCGGGAGGATTACCGGCGGCCGCCGCTGCAACTACCTCCGTACCCATGATTCTAGTATGTGGAGGATATGAAGGGAGAGCGGTTTGGTCTTAATTTGTTGTATCGACTGAAATTTATTAGAGCAATGAGTAGTGTATATATAGAAAGAGACAGAGCGTTATGTAAATAGCATTAACTTCCTATCAATTTGGCTTCTGTCACTTTAACAATTGGTCCACTTCAAAGAAGGTAAGCGACATCAAGTTCGTCCGTCCGTCCGTCCAAGAATTAATTCAAAACTGCATTTTTTTTTAATTAATATCTTGGAAAATCCCGTAGACGTGGTGGGTGGCTGTAGTAGTGTTGATTTAAAATCTTGGAAATATCGTTTGACTGAGAGTTTTGAGTGTAGTGAACATTGGATCCAATTAAAATCCAACACTAATCCAAAATCATTAAAAGTGCATTTGTGCTCATTAGTTTGGCACACACATGTTCTGTGTGTTCGAAACTTCGATCCACGCCATCAATCAATTGATGCATATAATATTTGAGTACGTAGCATCAATCGCCCTTATAAAAAAAACTATATATAACGATGAACTAAGAAAAATGAAAATGATCAGAACCACTTCCTCCTTTTTCCCTCTCTAGTTGTACCGTGCACATACTTCCTTTTCTTTCTTTCTTTATTTTTTTTTTGGTAGAAACTTTCTTTCTTTATTGGTAACAAGTTATATAAATATTTGCTTCCTACCCAGAATGGATTGCCTAATAGTTTGGTGTTTGGTGTAATCGTGATGTGCCAAATGAACCTAACCAATGAACCTACACAAGAACAATTATATCTCAATCTTACGTCTGGAAATGGCAAATGCCGGTTTTATTTCACACATAACAATAATGTAATAGAGTTTAGGTCGTACTGGACTTGCATGAGAAAGATGTAAGGTTAAGGTTTAGTACTCTTCTGTCAACATTTCCTTGATGGTAACAAAAGCTGCAAGAGGTCTAAACGAAAGACATTCGTTTCTAACTACTTCATGCTACGCCGTTGTTATTATTGAATTTATTCCTCATTGGTTTTTCGTCACATTAACAAGTAAAGAAGTTACATTTAAATACTCGATGAACTAGCTCAAGGACGCGGTTGATCGATGGCGACGATGATATATCTTTTATATGCATATATTTAATGTTCTCCTAACCGATTTTATCCAATGATCATAACTTACTCGAATTTTTACACAAAATTCTCACTTTAGATACCGTCATCAATATGTTCCATAATTATTGTATGCAGGTCGAGGTCCCCAGGAAAGTGGGACGAGATGATTGAAGTGTGAGTGACCAGCAGCCAGCTCCATATCTTTACTTCTCCATTATTTGGCACGCACAACGACAATAACGATCGACCATCATCTGCCAAACGTCGATCGACCACAAACAATGACGATCTTGTCGAGATCAAATTATAAGGCTCTATCCCCAGGTGATTATAAAAAAATAAAAAAAATAAAAAAATTATAAGGCTCTAAAACGAACTGCACAAACTGACAACGGCAGGCTGGCAAACCGCAATCAAACCTATGGGAAGAGAAAGAGAAGAATTTGTATTTTGCAAGGGTGCTTACCTTACCTGCGTCAATAATTGTATTGATCAATGTTCACAGTTAAAGTTTACTTCTTTCAAATTAATATTCTGTCTTTTACAGAGCAAAAGCAAAACAATAAACAAAACGCTCTCCTGGAATCAAAGCTTCTAGAGGACTTCAATTTTCTTCTAAATAAAGCCAATAAAGAAGAAGAAGAAGAAGCATATTCTAGATTGCTCGATGACGACAGGGTTTCAGCGGCCGCGTGTAATTGGCTGATGGCGCTTTTGCGATTTTGAACCAGCTGGCCACCATAGATATCATATAACCAAAATCACTGCGGCATGTGACCACATTATAAATTTATAATCATACGTACAAGACGATACCATTTAATTACCACTCTACTTAATTAACAAGCCAGGAATGATTCGTCGTGCAATCAACCCCCGATGAATGATATGTACACAAACAAAAAAGAAAATAATGAACATATTCTTTTCTACTAGCCTCTTACCCGGCCCGTTGGCCGGATTACTGTATGTTACCCACTTGTGGAATAGGAGAGAAAGCAAGTGAGAGTGAAGGGATTGGGATTCCACTTGATTAGGACCGACCCACTAATCTGATCCTTCCCGACCCGCCCCAACCTAAAGGGTTAGAAAGAGTCAATAAGAAAATACGAACGGAGAGGATTAGTCATATTCATATATCTTGACTCTTCAGAAGTAGGTCAAACAGGATCAAGGTTGGGTGAGGGAAATTTTTAGCGCTAAGCAGAGTTCTGGGTTGAATAACTTTACTTAGGCCTAGAAATTGGTGTTGATGCAGACCGCAGTTTTTATTATACCATCATCAATCATCATTGAATTAGTCCTGGGCATCCCTCCCCGTTGTCGGTCTAAATTCTAATGATGGCTTCGTTCCTTGCACCAGCCATATCAGCGAGTTGTCATCTCGAGCATGAGTTACCTATGTACAAATGATACAATTAGAGTATGAAACTGAATTCAAAGAAAAGGAAAAGAGAATTCTATCACATGCCAATAAATACACACATAATAGTTGAAGCTAAGTGAAAAGTCATTACTCGCACATCAATTCTCAAAAATTACAGACTAAACAATTGCTAGAATGGCACTGAAACTACCAAGAATCATGGACGAAACAACTTGTCAAATTAAATAATCCTTATACTGAAACTACCTTATAACTTGAAATAAGACATGATCACAGTTCATAGCTCTCTTCTCACTATGAATTGGTTGCAGCTCGTCCTTATCACTGCCTCCCAAGCTCAATTCAAACAGAATAGAGACCGTTATGTAAGATAACCATATCCTTACTGATCATAATTCCTTTCTTCACTCCATTTTTGTCAGAGAAAAGAGTTACCCCCCCTTTCCTGCATTTCCCTTTCCCCCTCTCTTCTCCCTCTTCTTCACAAACCGATCCCTAAACCAGCAACAACAACACAAAAATAGCCTTCGCCTCTGCCATCTCCATCTACTGAACGCGTTGGTGGCAAGACAGGACTGCAGAAGCAAAATTTTCTAAAATCAAACTAAATTTTTTGAAGGAGACTCAACCACGAAAAAATAGTAAAGCAACAATGCTAATAGTTCAGATGGTTGGTTTTGATGTTATACGTTGCTTTTGTTCTGGTCTCCAGTATATCAACTGCAATAGAGATGTTTCCTCCAATCATCTTTAGTGCACGATTTAGAAGCAAGTCCTCCTGTTTGTGTCAAACGGAAACATTCATGGGTTCTTAACTCCCCTGTTAGTGTAAAAGCAGCTGCAGCAGCAAAGAAGTTTGACAACACAGCAAGCACCCAGGCAAAATGATACAATGCAGTAGGTGATATGTGTCTCGAAGGTTTTGAGTTACTAAAGTTCATGTTAAAAATAAACATGAATTAAAATGGATTATTCTATTAAGCAAACATCCCATCTAATCATACAAAGATCAGATATCCAATTCACAAACAATTAAGCCATAAAAAATCATCACACATCCACCACCTTTGATTGCCTAAATTTGGTTTTTCGCAAAGTTATGGACTCTTAAGGGTAACGTTCATGGGTAGTCTGTTTCATAACTCTAGAGAGCACAATAAGCAGCCACCAGCCAGATACAGTGCGGTAGGCGAATATGATTCTCAATTCACAATTTCTCACCACCGGAAGTAAGAACAAACCATAATAAGCGTAGCGTTCATGGGTGGTTTGTTTCATAGCACTACTACACAATTTGTTAAAAAAGAAAGAACGGTATTTAGCACCACGGCAGAACAACTTTTACAGGCCAATAACGACAACATGCTGCAACCACTAGAACTGGTATCACAACTCATAGGGAAAATCAAAAGATTTACTCTCAAATTAAGCAGTTACAACATCGGGCAATTGTCAAGCACATACACCATCACAATAGTCACGGAACCTGATTCACAAAGCATTCAAACATTTGAGGACATTTCTGCAAAGGTACAACTTATATGTCTTTTTTCCAAGCCATTTCCATCAAAATGCTAATAAATTTGCAATGCATAAAACAAACGGGCCAAAACTTGAAATTCAGCCTGTTTGACGACCCATGCCAAATTCTAATTATTCTTTACTTTTAAACTTTCTATTTGAAAATAAAAAATAGTGAAAGAAAAGAGACGACTACAATTTGCCATTTGCACATCACTTATTCGGGAATAAAACCATAGAAATTCAAAAGGAACTGAAAATGTTTAGGATCGTTATAATGTTTAAAATAACCAAATAGATCTTTATGTTTAGTTTTTTACTAACAAATACCAAACGATTCCCTATAAAATACACTATAATTTGATCATTATGATATCAAATAATTATAAAATATATATTTGAAATGATAATAATTGCACTAATTGTGTTGGTCGAGGTTGAACCATTAAATAACTTTAAAATACATTATATTTTAGCCACTAAGATATAAAATAATAGCATAATATATATTATGCCAGAGAAATTAGCTTATTTTAGAATGACAAACCAATGATGTTCATTTATTTTACATGATGGCCAAATCCCATGTAGGTCAGACACATTCAACTCTTTTATTTTATCGTTAGCGGTTAGCCCATTAGATACCATGCATTAGTTTATTGTTAAATTTTTTATTTTTAACAATAAAAAGGAGTATTATTTTTACCATTTCATATATATTTTGTCACCACGGAGAAATAAAAGGGCTTAAAGAAAAAAATTTGACACTCCTGGACCCGTTTAAATTCACATGTGTGCGGTAAGTTGGCCCGTTCCACAGAGGAAAGAGAGAAAAAATTGAAACTCCCTATTCTACCCTTCCTAAAAACGCTCATGGAGCAGGGAATTTGAAATGGGGAAGGGTTTTTTCCTCCCTGCTATTATATGTTTTTAATTTAAAAAGATACAACAAATGTGCTTAGTGTGATTGGTTATTATCCTTGCTTTTCTTTAAAATGGTCATGGTTCGAATCCCAGTACGTGTCTTTTTAATGAATAAAAAAAAATTGTGAAGACCAAAATGTCCTTCCTACTTTCACTCTCGTTGCAGGAAATTTGAAATCGGACTCCTGATCCAGTTACAATTGGACGTCGTTGAATGGTATTGCCAACACAATGACGGCCCATAAAAGCTCATTTATTTATGAGAGTTGTTGATTGGACAGTGAAAACAATAAGCAAAATAGTTACTAGTATCCAGTTTTTCCCTTGCTACACAAGTCGTGAATTAACAAGTTCAATGTTTTCCACGACGAGCCGCTCCCTTCCTTCATAGCTTTCCTAGCCTTCTCTGCGTACGCCTTCGCGTTCCTTCTCACTTCCATACCCTCCACACCGTTCATCAACTCCCTCACCACCTTCTCTAAAGTTCCGCGCTGGACAAACCCCGTTCTCCCTGAACCTTCCACTCTGATCCCCACCTTCACCTCCTCCGCCACCATCCTCGCGTTCAACGGCTGCTCCGCCATCATCGGCCACGCCAACATCGGCACTCCAGCGCAGACACTCTCCATCACTGAATTCCAACCACAATGACTCAAAAACCCTTGCACGCTGGCGTGGCCCAGTATCCTCCTCTGGTCCACCCATTCTCTCACTACCATCCCTCTCCCCTTCACTCGCTCCTCCAACCCACCGCCTCCCTTTCTTATCACCCACAAGAAATTCACTTCGGACTCTTCCAACCCACACGCTATCTCCTCCAATTGTTCCTCTGATATCTCTGCTTGGGACCCAAACGCCACGTACAACACCGCCCTACCTTCAGCCAGCTTCTCGTCCAGCCATCGAATCCAAGCTGGCTTCGACTCAGCGGCTAATACGGCCTTTTTCCCGCAGTTATCGTCGTCCACGTCAGCCAGGCAAAGAGGGCCCACGGAGTAGTACTTCTGTGTCCCGAGACCGTTTAGATGATCCACGAAAACCGGTTCGAACTCGTAGAAGCTATTCATCACGGAACCGTAGCTTCGCGAGGAAGCGGCAACGGATTTCATAACGAAATCGAAGAGGGGACCCTTCGGGTCGGGCGATCGGGCCCAGTCGTCGAAGTCGCTCTTGCAAACTTTGACTCGCGGGAACTGAGTCACGGGGATCAACTCGTCGTCGGACTCGGGGCCGAACAGGAGCCGGTCGACGGCCACGGCTCTAGACACGCTGCCGGAGTGATTCGACATCCCGTAGAAGACCAGCCGCGGGATCCCGAACTTCTCGGCGGAGTCCTGGGTCCACCAGAGGAAGCCGTCGGAGACCATGAAGCTCGGCCGCGGCCGGAGATTTTCCAGCGCCAATTCGAAGTCGGGACGGATGCGCTCCGTGGCGAGGGCGAAGTGGGGGAAGTGGGAGTCGACGGATGGGAGCTTGTCGGTGCTCTCGACGCTGGCGGGGATTTCCGGGATGTCCTGTGGGAAGGGGAGCTCGACGATGGCGGCGGCGGCGCCGGCGGGGAGTGAAGCGGCGATGAAGGGGCGGTTGGCGGGGGTGGTGAAGACGGTGAGGGTGATTTGGCGGCGGAGGAGGAGGCGGGCGAGGTGGAGGATGGGGATTGTGTGTCCTTTTGACATGAAGGGGAAAAGCACGGCGTGACAAACGGTGCCGCCGGGTGGAATGACTTCGGCGGCGGCGACTGGCGCTGCAACGACCTCCGTACCCATGATTGTGGTTTGTGAAGGATGTGAAAGGAAAGCGGTTTGGTCTTTGCTGTAGTAATACCGACTGAAATTTGTTAGGGAAGTGAGTGGTGTATATATAGAGAGACAAGCGCTTCGTAAATATCGCTTCCTTCCTTCCTATCAAAATGGTTCTGTCACATTAGCAATTATTCCAACTCCAAAGAAGTTAAGCTCTATTATTATAATCAATTATATTCCGTCCGTCCAAGAATTAATTGGACCACCTGCCGCTTCAATTGGCCCGCACTGCACAAACACAATGACGACCATCTGGCAAACGTCGACCGCAAAGAGTGAGGATATTGTGGCGCGAGCAACTCTGATTTTTGACCACTTATTCAGCACTAGCGATTACCATACGTCCGTCTAAAATGCACGATATTGCTTTCTAGTCTGTGGAGGATGTGAAAGGAGGAGGAGACGGTTTGCTGTAGCTCATACCAATTGAAGTAACAGACCAGCGAGAGGTGTATACGTAGACAAGTGTGTTACTGTAGACATTCCATCACCTTCATTGATTAGTAAGACCCCAAAATTATAGACAATAGAGTCATAGAGAAGTGATGATAGAATGAGTAAGCAAGTTATAATTGATCAATGGTACATGATATAAGTTTGTAATTGAGAAATAATTATTGTTATTGTCTCTCTTTTTATTCGTTATATACTCTCACTTTTTTCATCTATATACAATATTATAACGAGCGAAAGATAAGTAACCGAGCTACTAGCATGATTGTTGGTTCGACATATAAATAATTATTTGTTCGATTCATCACATCAACTAGTTTGGTGTATAAAATCCTTTCCTTTCTTTATTAGTAACAAGTTATTATATAAATATATGCATGCTTTCCTACCAAAATGCGTTGCCTAATAGTTTGGTCTTTTCGTGTAATCGTGATGTTCCAAATGAACCTAAACAGGGACTTAATCTCAATCGTAGGTCTAGAAATGGAAAAGGCCGGTTTTATTGCACACCTAACGTAATACTAATAGAGTTAAGGTCATTGACATACTGGACTTGCTTGAAAAATATATAAGGTTAAGATTTAGTTAGTAATCTTCTGTGTAAATAAATATGTATTCTATTTATAGTCAGAAGATATAAGGTTAAGGTTTAGTAATCTTCTATCTAAAATTGCATTTACAAGTAATTTGATGAATTCCAAGAAAACATGTTACAAGCGAATAGGGATTTCGTTCAATGGTAATATAATTGATTTTGTATTCATGTTTGAATAATCCGAGTTCAAATTCTATAATCTATATCACTTATAAAAAAAAAAGGATAGACAACAATAAAATGAAAGTGACATCAATTTTCGTCTTTCCCAATATTTTTTTTATAATAATAATGGTGACATTGTTCATTAAGAGGTTAAAAATTAAAATCAACCAAAGAGTATAGTACCATATTAATTGACAAAGGTCCTCATAAATTTTTGTTTCAAGGTGGCCTCATAATAAGGCTAATAGCCTAATACCCATAACATGAGAGCATAACACTTCATTTTTTTGGTACGAGATAAATGAATGCGTGTCCAACGCGTATATATTATGTACACTTTAATCATTCTCTTTCAAACTTTAGTTGTCGATATTATTTGTTTAATGTGATTGATATAGTATAGAATTATAAACTATAGCTACTTTATGCATTATGACTCATAAATTTGTCCTTACAATAATCAACGTAATCAATTTCAGAAATTATATGGAACAAGCTTAATTTTGATTTTCTTAAGAACAAAAAAATCATAAATAATGTTGTTACAAATTCACAAGTTGCCTTGTTCATTTTTGTACAAGTAAAATTGAAAATCATTTCGAGATTTAACCGTATTTTGAATAGTTTAAAATAATGATTATAAAACTGGGTGCATAAACAACATACACAAATAATTAAAGGAATATACATTATAGAAACATCCTATATTTATTTGATATTGTATTAATTAATTCACTTTGAATACGACATCAACATGATAACACTCCAAAACACATAAAAAAATCTTTGCATGATCTCTGCCATCACAGAAACCACATGTATCATGACCATATCCTAGGATTTGGACTCAAACCTCAATACCCCTATTGTTAATTATTTAAGTAAAGTTGCCATCAACATCGTTTCATTATATGATGACTACCACGCAAGGAGTAAAAGTTGGGAGGGTTGGATTTGATGAGAGAGTGGGAAATAAAATTTAAACTCCCAGATTAATTAACAGTATACATCCTTGCCCGATACTAAAATGAAAGAGAGATGTTATGTAGAATATATACTAATCTTCAATGTTAATGAGTGTTAGATTTTATTAGCATGAGCAAAGTTAATGGGGCACACAGTTTATATGTTAGTTTGTCAATATCAAAATTGATTCCGTTGGACAAATTAAGTCAAGGAGTTATCTATATATAATTCTATAATAACAAATTATTTTATATAACCATATCGATCAATCGGCCGATCCTGCATTCAATGCCCCTCCGTTAAGAATTAAAACTCTATTTATTGGAGGTATTCGTCCGTTTCGGACGGACTTAAGCTTCATTATGAGCTTTTAAATCATCATTTATTTGATGTTATTAGGGGAATTCCCTATTCATGTGGGTTAGCTCAATTATTTTCTTTGTTGACCTTTTGATTGGAAGATACCGGCATCTAATCTATATCTATACTATATATTATGGCAATTCAAAAGTAACTTCTTGCCACATAAGCACTTGGAGAATTCACAAGTTGCCAAGGTGGACAACTTTTTTTGCAAACAAAAAATTCATTATTGATCTATTTATGGAGCTATCTCTCTCTTCTTTTAATATTTCTACTCATTTTTACTAAAAGTTAATAATAAATTACATTTTTATGAGAATGTAAACAAACACACAAAAGTATAATATTTTTGTCAATTAAAAAAATATAAAGATGGAAATAGAGAGTGACTATATCGAATTCGTTTAAATAAAAAAAAATATGATTAAATTTTATCAAGTAAATTTTCTACTCATTTTCACAAAAACTTAATAATAAGTTACATTTTGACAAAAATTTAAAAAAGTACACATATATAATAATATTTGTATCAATTAAACAAAATATTACAATAGAAATATTGAAAACAAATTATTAAAAAGGTACACACATATAATAATATTTTTATCAATCGACTTTGAAAATGAAATATATGAATTTATATTTTTTGTATTAACAACTCCCTTATTTCTAATGTATTTGTTTTGGTCAAATTATTTCTAATATATATTTCTATCAAATAAAACAAGTCTTATATAGTAAAAGGCCTGAATATAAGTTTGACTAAGCAATAATAGTTCTTTCTGTAAAAAACTTATTATTCATCATGATTAAGTGAAAAAATATATTCAAGTTCTATCTTCTGTTTCTCAAATTAAGAGGAATCAGGTGTGCAATACTTTATAATTTGTCCTAGGGTTCATATAAAAATATTCACTCTAGATCATATTAATTGAACAATCTCTATTGAAGTCATAAGTCGAATGCTAAGTAATTTCTTTTCAGATTTGGAGTTATTGTTGAACATTGTTACATCAAAGTTTTCAAAATGACTTAAGTATGATTTTTGACGAGTTTTGAGTTCATACCTAAGATGAGACACAACATCACTTAAAAAACAACACGTGTGAAGGTTAAGAAAATCTTCTTTGAGGATATACGATAAACATCATGTTTCATCAACCACTAACCTTAGCATTGATCAAATAAGGGTTGAAAAAATTTATTTTATAGTTGATGTCTTGGTAGACAAATCTAAATTTGAGGATAGAGGCAATAAATAAACATAAGTGTGTTAGTTGAGATATCTAAACAAAAAACTTTTGTAGCTACAAGAATCTGAATTGAGGTATTGTGTTAAAATAAAGAACCTTTAATAAGGATGAGTTTAGTAAGACAATTGTAAGAAAACATTGGGATAGTTTGCTTCGTGGATTTGAAAACTGAAGGTTTTAATAAAACTTGGATTTTGTAAAAGCATGGATATATGAAGGTTTTTGGTTCATTATGTATTTGAAAATACCATATTTCGTTTCATAGATTTCATGATGCATTTGGTTAATTAAATTTGTATGTTGGAAGTGAAAATGACATATATTACTCTCATTGGTACGAGAAGGGAAATGAAATAAGAGGGGTAGGTTGGTCATAAATAATAAACTGCAAATTCCATGATGAATTTCCATCTAAAGAGGTGAAATTTTCAAGTCTGTGGGGCCCACAAATTTGGAACCTTAAAATACATGAGACACACATATTTGTTGCCTCTAAATACATGAAGCAAACAATGGTTGCACAAAGTTCACGATAGCTCCAAATTCATCAAGCAAACAACCCCACCTATATGGTTATAAGTCTGTGACTCCATACCAAATTTTGGCAATAACAAAAAAAATTTCAATATCGAAGTCTCAAAATGGAAATTTTTTGGTTAGTAACAGTAAAGCTTTTGTATTTAGATCGAGTTATCCTAGACACAAAATTTCGTTTTCATATTTCAGTCGATGAGCCGAGTTCATAGCCATTAATTAGGGTTAAAAATTAAAATAAAATCATTATACATATTCTTAGATATTAATAGATATGTCTACAATACTTTCAAGAATTCAAATGCATGTAAAATGTCACAATGTTTCTACGAGTTATTACATTTTATAAAAAAAATAAAAAGTAAATTAAGTTAATAAAAATGAATGCAACATTTTTGTTTGTTCCTATTCCTTTTCCCATACAACATTGAAAATAAAACACAACATTGATAATAAAGAAACTAGATCAAGCCCCATAAAAACAAATAAAGCTCTCTTCTTATTTGCTTAAATTTTGAGTTTCTAGAATTTGTCTTCTCTACTTTTTTTGTATATAGATATAGGAAAGGAAATGGTAAGGCATATTGATTTTTTTTCCCCTCTTTGTAGGAGAATAGGAGGCGGGAGTTACATGATGCAGTGATTTGTTGGGAAAGAATTGAACAACGCTAACATATTTTTGCCTATTGACGAAGAAAAGTCCAACCTATCATTTCTCCCTCTTCCCTTTTGATTTGATCCTCAGTGGGCTATTGATATTTCTTTCTCGGAGATATCTGACTGCTAGCGGTTGACTGGCCGAGTTATAGTATTCTTCCCATTCTTTTCTTAATATCTTCCAGATTATGGCGGCTGGATAGTAAATTTCCCTTTTCGATTCAATGGTTGTATTTCTTCTTCGTTATTCAGGTAGTTGTTTTATGGTTCTCTGTTATCCTGTATACTTTGATGTAAACATGTAACATATAATTCAAAGGGTTCGTTGCTTGGACTTGGAGCATCTCTTCCCTTTTGATCTGATCCGCAGTGGGCAATTGATATTTCTTCCTCGGAGATATCTGACTGATAGCGGTTGACTGGCCGAGTTATAGTCTTCTTCCCATTCTTTTCTTAATATCTTCCAGATTACGGCGGCTGGATAGTAAATTTCCCGTTTCGATTCAATGGTTGTATTTCTTCTTCGTTATTCAGGTAGTTGTTTTATGGTTCTCTGTTATCCTGTATACTTTGATGTAAACATGTAACATATAATTCAAAGGGTTCGTTGCTTGGACTTGGAGCATCTCTCCTTTGGTTGAATAATTGATCGTTTTCCTTGGAGGCCTATTGCAACTGGATCCCTTGGATGTAAAGATGGAAACCATAGTTGTGAGGGTTGTTCATTATGTTTATTATGTTCATGAGTGACATGCTACTAGCTAGCTATATGACGATGATCTGATCAAGTAAATAGTATGTAACAGGGGGTTATAAGTAGGAGAGAACATATTTGGGATTTTATAAAGGGCGCGAAGAAGAAATAAAGTGGTAGCAAATGTCGATGTTTTCCCCCATTTCTAGACGTTTGTAATGACATTGGTTTGTTTCCTTAGCGTGAATTTTGCCTAATTAAATTCCTAACTAAAGCTTGATTTTGGCCTGATTGTTTCTAATAACTACTATTTGGATTGATGCATCAATTCGATTCACAATGGGGACTCTGCAAGATATAATGACTTGAGTTATATTGAAGTATACAACTTTTACTATTCATTTATGTTATTATTAGGTAGAAAAACATGATCCTTTTGGCAGGGGTATGTAGCTCTCTACAAAATATAAATTTTGATTATATGCAGTTTAGTTTACTGAAAACATAGTTTTAATAAATTAGTGACAAACAATAGTTTTATTTGTGGTTGGTTTTGCTAGAATATTTTCAAGGTAAATTAAACGAATAAGTGGAAGATTGATAATGTGGATGCCAATGTGGTTTCTCATTCTTCCAAAATTACACGAGTAACTGATACTACACGATAATTGTGGGATCTAGATCACGATATTCTCTATTATCATATACCAACGTACGAGAAGGGTGAGAAAATGAAAGCTCTTCACTTTTTTTTATTAATTGAAATATATTTGCAAGTTTTAACTTTTTCTTTTGTGTCCTTCAAAATTTTAACTTCTTTGTCACTTTGTGTGCTAAAAATTTAATAATCTCTTAGTTTATATCTTAAATGGTGGATTCGATACATAATTATAAATCAATAAAGAAAATACTACAGAGAGCTCATTTAATAAAATTAAAATTTCATAAATAAATGAAAGATATAAAAATGTGAAACAATATATGAAATTTGGTAAGTGAGATTAACAATTCAATGTATAATAGTTTAACATAATGAATCATAAATAAAATTATAATGAATCATAAACAGTGAGATTAACAATTCAATGTATAATAGTTTAACATAATGAATCATAAATAAAATTATAATACTAGGACGAAAAATATAATAACCAATCAAAATTTGCCGCCCAACGGGCGGGTATAAAGCTAGTTTATTTGATGGTATTAGGTACCCTACAACGGCTCTAATGGGGATAGAGCTTTGCTCGACAATGGCATGTTCTGTTAATGGTAATTATAGGCCTTCAATGTGTGCTTTATTGGCAGTTAATGGGTTTGACAAACCAATGGGACACACACAAGTTTGATCTTTTACATATAAATGGGCTTTTGAAGTGGGGTGGATTTTTGGTCTTCCAAATTGGTTTAATGGAGATTATCTTAATTACATGCTTCTAACCTAAGTTTTGAAGAGGACGTATCAAAATGGATCACCTATGGTATCTTAATTCATAGATAACTGGGTTCCAGGGAATAAACCCTTAATTCCGAGTACCCGACCCCATATTCAAAATGGATCACCTATGGTATCTTATTTCATAAAAAAAGGCCAAGGGGAATGGGACGTATCAAAACTCCAAAATTGCTTTAAACCTCAATCGGTTGATCTCATCAGGAGAATTCATCTTCCTCGCTACCCACAGCAAGACATTAGAGTGTGGCACTATCCCAAGGATGGGAAATACACAATCAAATCGGGCTATCACTTAGCTCTGGAAATAACATTGGCATTAAGCCGAAAATCGATAGTGCATATCATTGACCATCCTATTTGGAAAAAAAACTTGGAATATCCAAGTCCCGCCGCCTAAGCTCAAAATTTTCATATGGCAATGCCTCAAAGTCATATTTCCCACAGTAGTGGCCCTTCAATCTCGTGGAGTCAACTGTCTCAACCGATGCCCTGCCTGCTGGAGACATCGAGAAAGCATTAGACATTTATTCTTCAGATGCCCCTAGCCACCAGATTGTGGACTTTAGTGGGATTGAGCAACTTTATTGAGACCGCCCAGACTGTTAACTTTAGTCTACGGTGGCGACATGTCATGGTCTCCGAGACCTCCCCATTCCACATTCTCCAATGCGTCTGTTTACTTTGGAGAATCTGGAAGTCTAGAAATAAAGTGACCTTTGAATTTATCCAACCCCATGTCCGTTCCCTAGCCAGACAGTTCTACATCCAGGTCCTCGATTTCTCCAATCTTCTTCCTCCTCCTCCGCCCCGCAACTATCTAATCCCAAATCATCCTGCCACCACTTGGGTCCCTCTAATAGAAGACTTTTTGAAGATCAACGTCGACGCTGCTGTTTGTGCCACTGGTTGTTCGTCTGGGCTTGTTATCCGTGGGTCAGACGGGCATGTGGTGTTGGCGCTCGGGGTGCAGCATCAAGGAATAGTCAATCCTTATCTGGCAGAGCTTCTAGCTTTTAGAGACGTCATCTCCATCGTAGCCTCAAGATCCTTGACCCACGTGATAATCGAAGTTGATTCAGTAGTGGTGGTCAACCAAGTCCGTCAAGGCGTCATTGAAGACTCGATTGGTGGTCCGGTGTTACGAGAGTGTCTTCAAATCCTTAGATCTTTGTCTGTTTGTATATAGTTTAGGGCGGTACCTAGATCCGCCAACAGTGCTGCCCATAGAGTGGCGCGTAAAGCACTGCTTTTGTCTCGTGTAGAGCTAGAATCTTTTGATTTCTTGGGGTGGCTTCTTTAAAATCTGTTAGGTGTCCTGGGTAGAATTGTAAGTTTAACTATTTTCTTCCATTGATATCACTCAGAAATAAAATAAAATAAAAAGTTAACTACAACGGATCACATTAGTGCATACAAACAAATTGTTGCAATGTTACATGCATGCTCTATATTATTTTCAAATGTTAAATACAAACAATAAACCCAAATTTTACAGTATATCATAATTGACAGATAATCCATATTTATGCCTCCTTCCTCTCGCAAATTTCATCAATCAATAAATCCAAATTCCTCCACGAAGAACCGGCTCCTTCTTCCATGGCCTTTCTAGTAATTTTCCCATACTCCTTAGTCCTCTTCCTCGCCTCTTTACCTCTCTCTCCTTCCATCAACTCCTTGACCATCTTACTCAGCCCGACTCGAGTAACGAACCCTTTGACCGACCCATCACATGTCTCGACTCGAAGTCCCACCTTTATCTCCTCAGCCACCATTCGAGCATTCAACGGCTGCTCGGCCATCATAGGCCACGCCAGAATCGGAACCCCAGCAGAGATCGCCTCCATTGTGGAGTTCAGCCCGCAGTGGCTCAAGAACCCTTGGACGCTCGGGTGGGTTAGTATCTCCCGCTGATCAACCCACTCTCGAACCACCACCCCTCGATCTTCGAACCGATCCTCCACGAGTTCCAAATCACGATTCTTTATCACCCACAAGAAGCTCACCCTGGAGTCTTCCAACCCCCGAGCGATCTCCTTGACTTGGTCAGAGGATATCTCGGCTTGGGACCCGAATGCCACGTAGAGGATCGGGACTCCTTGCTCGAGCTTTTGGTCCAACCACTTCATCCACCACGCTGGTGCTTTGTTGTTGGGTTGGACCACTGTTGGACCATTGGTGGCGTTGCTATTTGATCTGTTATCAGGCTCGGCTAGGCAAAAGGGCCCTACGCACCATGCCTTAGGCAGCGCGTGGCGATTCCAATGGTCAACGAAAAGCGGTTCCACCTCATAGCAGCCATTGATGATCAAACCGAAGCTGTTGGCGGACGAAACAAAGCACGAGATGTGGAAGTCGAAGTATGGGCCTTTGGGCTCCGGGTCGCTAAATGGCGGCTCAATGTCGTTCCTGGTTACCTGGAATCATGACATAAGCGGTCGAAACACGAGTCAATTAAAGAAGAAAGAAGAACCATTAGTATTAGTTAATTTGTACGGTAATTAGTTACGTGTTAGGGGTTTTTTTTTTCATGAACAATCTAATCATCTACTATTACAAATTAGAATGAGTATCTGAAGTTCGAAAGAGTATTGAATAGTAGGGGTGGCTATTTGGACCGGGACCGGATTAAAAACCGGAAACCGGACCGTATAACCCGGACCGAGACTAGACCGGACCAGATAGTAAACAATCCAATCCAATCTTTGGGCTTAGATTTGAGGTAAAAAACCGGATAAAGACCGGATAGGAGAGCTCAACACCCAAAACTTAAGGGTAATTTGCATAAACGGTCACAAACCTTTGCACTTAGTACAAAACTTAACCAACTCCTCAACCTTTAAGGCCTTAGGCCACTCAAATCCCACAATCTCAATGTAAAATCAAGACCGACTTGGGACCGGACCGGATCAAAACCGGACCGGATCAAGACCGGACTGTATCCAATCCAATCTTCGGTCCTTATATTTTCAAAAAGACCGGACTGGACCGGATCAATTTGGGCCAATTTAACTGGACCGGACCGTATAGCCACCCCTATTATAGTGTACTTGTTTGAGGCGGAATTGTGGTAGTAAAATATGGCAGGAATACATTATGCTTTTAATATTATGGATTAACACACGTTTAAAAGTTTGATATTTATCATAATATATTAGAAATTTATAACTTAAAAATGAATACATTTAATACAAAATTATTCAATTATCAATTCAATTTCAAAAAATACATATATCAACTGTTTTATAAACCTTTAGTATATGAAATATCAAACAAATGGGAAAGAATGAGAAGGCATAAACGTACAAACTACAGCAAGAACAATAATTTTAAATAGTAACTAAAAAAGCGTGATTATAACCAATCAAGTAACTATCAGTAACTTTTTGGACCCATGCAAGTTGATTGCTAATATGAATTATTATTAACAGTGTTAATATCTTACTCTACCTGAATCCAAGGAAACTCCGGCAAAGTGACCGGGTCATCATCGGCGAGATCAGCTCCGGCGAGGAGGTTGCCATCTCCGACGGCCTTACAAATGCACGAAGCGTAGCAGCTCATCCCGTAGAACACCAGCCTAGGAATCCCAAACTTGTTGGCGGACTCCAACGTCCACCCGAGGAAGCCGTCGGATACCAAGAAGTCAACGGGTCGGGTACCGTGTAGGGTTCCGAGGGCGCGCTCGAAGTCCGGCTGCATGAGCTTGGTGGACATGGCGAATCGAGGGAAGAGGGACATGGAAGGGAGCTTGTCGGAGCTCTCGACGCCGGGAGGGAGGATTCCCAGCTGCGGGAAAGGGATGGTGACGACGTCGGAAGAAGGGTGGCCAGCGAGGTGGTCGGCGACGAAGGAGCGGGTGGCTGGGGTGGTGAGGACGGTGACGTGGATGCGGCGGCGGAGGAGGAGGTGGGCGAAGTGGAGGAGTGGGATGATGTGGCCTTTTGCCATGAATGGGAACAGAACGGCGTGGTGCTGTTTGGTCTCCATGTGGTGGCGGCCGGCCGGCGGCGACTGCGAGTGCTTCTTTTTGGTGGATTTAGCACTGAAATGTGTTGTTGTTAAGTGGAAATGTAGGGGATGTTAAGGCGCATTTATATATTTACGGAAGGAAGTACAATAGACATTAGACACGTGATAGTTGTGTTATCGGTCATAACGTGATCTCCTACTTAGTTCTCACTGTCCCCTATGAACGTGTTTCAGAACATTGGCAATAAATAATGGAATATCAACTTTTGGGTCTACCATAGATTCTTTTTAGATCTTTCATTTTCTTGATTTGTTTATCTTCCTAATATTTACTCCGACTTCAATTTTTGTTGGCTCTATAAAAATCGGTTGATTCCAATGACTCAAGTTTTTTGGAGATGTTTAATTATGAATAGCTTCCTCGATTTGTTCTTTTTCTGCAGCTCCTCTGCAGAATTTCAGTTTCTATATCTTTCCTTTTGCATTTTCCTTTCTGTAGTCTTGTTAATTAATTGAATGTCAACCTTATAAAAAAAAAGTATGAATTCTATATCATTTACTAGCACGTCACATCAAATGAAACTCAATTCTTTGAATTTAAAATTTTCACATGTTCGAATATCATGTGTTTAACAAATGAAGGTCGTCAGAAATCAAACGCAAGACTCTTGATTTTTTTTTTTGAAATAGCAAGACCTCTTGATTATTATTGAAGAATGAAGACTCTGATAGCATAACAAGAACTAATTAGTTTCAATAAGTTGAATTTTTTAGAAATGTTTAATTATTAATTTTATATCATTTACTAATAGTGTCTACCTAATCTGTTAGTTCTATTTAGTCGTATTGTTCTGTTAGGTAGGAAACCTTTTCAAAAATAAACCGAGGTGGATGAGTTTGGGGATACCTGGCCAGTCATCTTCTTATCTATGGAGGGTGGCAACCCAACTCGTACTCACCGGTATTCTACTCAATTTTCCTATTTCTCCTCTATTTCATGTCACCCTAAATGTTAATTTTGAAACACCCCCCCCCCCCCCCCAAATGATATTGTTTCACTTTTAAACGGTCTTATAACAATGTAGTGCATTGTAGGAGTAATTTTGATAATTTGGAAATATCATAATTTGAAAATTGGGTATTCATCACTATCAACGCAAGAATATCTCTTGACTGCGTATGATTTGCACTCTTCCAATGTCCAACACGTATATTTGATCGAGTAATTTGGATGGTGTGCTGGATGGATGAGTTACATGTTTGTGGATAGCTGCTGCAATTCGACTCATTTGCATCCCTATTTGCTAGTACATATGACACCAAAGAATGATTAACAGCAGCTCCAAAGAGTTTTGTATCATCTACTTCACGAAATATATATATCATAATCTAATCGCAAAGTGATTTCATGAGAAATTGCTCTTAGTCCCTTTTGAAAGAAAAAAAATAGAGTTTCTTTTTGGACAGACAAAGACACCTGTCCACTATAAGAGTAACTAATTTATGAAGATGGGAAAGGAAACCCAAAGAAGGTAGATATATAGCTTTTTCTTCCTTCCCACCCAAATCCAAAAACTGAAACAATAATTAGTGACGAAACCCCACTATATATAATTGTACGCAAACCTAACACAATTTCACGGTGAAAATTCGGACCACGTAACTCAGCCCTCATCAACTTCAAATTTGAGCCTTTGACGCTATCCCATTTAATTTATAGTAAAGATGATAGCTAGCCTAACTTCATTTATTTGTTACGAAATATTAATTAGAATGTGACTTGAACCGGAAGACACATAATTACTCAACAATCCCTATATGAGTCATGTCGTCACTTCAAATCACATCTTAGGCATAATATTTGGTGGTTTCCAATATATAATTCCCAATCATCATGAAGTTTCTTTATGTCAAGAGGATATCCTTCATCGAAATTAACGCAAATTTGTATACCATGGGGTTGATACACATCCTGTTGTAAGGGATGATATAAGATAATATCTCGAGTCCCTTCAAAGTTCAAACACTTCGATTTATTGCGATGAGCTATTAATTTTCCAGTGAGTTGTTAATTTTCCGATGAGGTGGTAGAGCCGTATACCGATATGTCTCGTGTATCTGAATCTTGACGACCCTTAAAACTAATAATTGTGTTGAGCATATGATATGCAAATAGATTCATACGTTGCTTGTCATTTTGTAAGCAAATGATATACGATCTTATCTTGACCTACCTCTTCTGTCAACTCGAAACTATTAGAGGGTTGGTTGATACATGTCATATAATCTCGTCACTCACTAATAGGGACTGGATAGCATAACTCGGACCGGGACCGGACCGTGTAACCCGGACCGGGATCGGACTGGGACTGGATAGCAAACAATCCAATCTCATATTCGGGCTTAGATTTGAGATAAAAAAAATCCGGATAAACACCGGATAAGAGACCCCCAACACCTAAATCCAAGATCAAATTGGGACCGGACCGGATCAAGATCGAACTGTATCCAATCCAATCTTTGATCCTTATATTCCCGAAAAGACCGGACTGAGACCAGATCAATTTGGTCCAATTTAACCGGACCGGACTGTATAACCACCCCTACTCACTAATATCACCCTCAATTCATACACATACATATCTTTGAACTTCATATCAAAGATTGAAAATGAATTATAACCTCTTTTAAACTACACCTAACTTTGTAATATGAGTGAGATATCCAAAAATTAAGGAAGTTACCAAACATGATTTGGTATCCATGTTTTTATATGGTCTGTCATCAGTCGCCTTCATGTTACATCGACCGGCGATACGACTTTTGATATTTTATTCACTTTCTAGAAGACACATGCACTAGCTAGTATATATATTGTATTTTTCTCCCTTTTGTCTGGAATAGTAAACTGTGTTGTAATATTTAAACGTAAGTCCTTTTTGGCATACGATTTATGTTTACTATCTAGTCAAAAAGCCTATTCCTGGGTAAGGTTCGTGTCTTCTTGCTGTATTGTATTTTCGCCTTCCCTCACTTTCTGATGGCTAGTCATCGATTTCTTACTCTGTAAAAGGCTCCAGCTAGCTGGCTAGCTTCTGTAAGTAAACGGCGCCATGTCTATATAGACACAAAACCAAGTCCAAAAACGTACGTAGGAGAACCGAGACCAAGAAAATTAGCGGGTCTTTTTTGGGGTTGATAATCATTTTTTAAAGTAACGGTCTTTTTGGGTTAGTTATAATTTTCATGATTATAGTCCAAAGTTTTTATTAATCTAAAACTAACCCACTAATTGTGGAGTGGTCGGCCGACGAGGTTACATGAGTGTTTGAATTCATTTTCAGGCTTTTTGTGTATCATTATTGTACCTGATGATCTCTTTTATGTATATCATTGTATTGATGTTTTTTAAGCCAATAATATTATAACAGCATGGCAACCTCAATTAAAGTGCAACAAGAGAGTATGACTTATGTGGGGGATCTTACATATCTGGATGGAAGCTTCCTATGGCAATTATGGGGCTTGTTGTGTTCATAATTCTCCCCGCAACATTAGCTACATATTTTTAGTCCTCACCGATTGACCTCTCCATGGTGCGATTGACTAATTTGGCTATGAACATCAAATTATATCGTTTATACTCCAGTTTTATAGACCTTTTTATCATCATGTCCACCACATAATTGTTGTTAATACATGTATAAGACTGCGTAATGGCTCGATTCTCTATTTCACTTCCAAATGCGTCTTGTCAGTTAAGGCCGGTCTCTTACATATGAATCATGGATCTTTCCCGTACTTTGTCGATGTGGGATTTGCCTAAAGTGTGACAATAAGCGTGGTGGGATGGGTTGTTGTGAGTGATTTTTTTTTTCTTAACTCAAAAACTGCTGAAATGGTCAGCGACCTTGTGAATCTACAAGATACATGACAGCCGGATGATAAATCTTTTGTTCCATTTCGAATTTTCTTATACAAGAAGGAAAGTTTTTTTTTTGTCTTAACAATTATTTCTTTCTTATTTGTAAAAAAATAATCAATTTTTGGATTTGAGCAAAAATATTTTTAAACAAAAAACTAGAATCTTAATTAATTACACTAAATAATTTTAATAATTAATTTATATATTTGTATATCTTAATTCTTTGAATCACAATAGTTACGTTAGTTGTAGAACATGAATGACTAGTAAAAAACTCACACTTATATTAGAAAGTGTGTCAAGAACAATAAATGAGAAAAGAATGGTAGAATATTTTCCCCTCATAACTCATCCTTGACCACTTCATCGGCCGTTCCACCAAGTGCATTCCATTAGTATATTATAAATCAACCAACAATAAAATGTTTTGTTACACCTTTTAATGCATGTCTATAGTCCTAACAATCTCCCCATACCAAAACACTAAATATAATATACTCTATAAATATAAGTGGTTTAAGAGCACGATACATGCTTAAACAATCCCTTACTCCGGTATCCCGACAACTATATCAAATTGCCTGGCCTAGAAATGCATTATTGGACCTATCTCAATCCATGGCCAATCAAGGTTGCCTTCTCGGCGATGCCCACGGCTCATGATTGTATGATCCTTGTGGTCTATGGCGACCGCTATTTCAGCACTCTTCGTCGTCGTGATAAGTGGTTCTGGAACACGTATAATTTCTCTCTAGGCGGAGAGAGGGAACAAATTTGCATCGGTCTTGGCTACAGAGATGATGAATTTTTCTGCTTGTTTGAAAGCGGGGACATGTTGATTTTCAGCATTCACAAACATCATACAAGGGTGATGTTGGCGACAGATGCACCCCTATCGCCCGAACAACTCCACTGCCTAGATAGTTTGGTTGTTGTGGCAAAATGTCCAGGCGAAGCACAAATAGCTACGGTGGTGAGCTGGGAGCGAGATTGCGAGACAAGAGAGGAGAACAACTTCAAACTGTCGACCGTAGAGAGAGAAACTATGGCAACAACGAGATTGTTACTAGATAGTTATGGCAATGGTCATGAAACGGGAGTGTCATCTCAAGAGAGATCAAGGGCTATCATCTTGGTGACGGAACAGGTACCCTTGAAGACAAAGAATTTTGAAGGCCTTCGCGATGCTATTTTTGTCGGTAGTGGACTAATAACTTTTTTAATCTGTCTTATGTTCATGATGATGGCCTCTCATCAAGAAAGATGAGAAAGGGAACCGTAGTTTTTAGCTAGATGAGTTTTATTAGATCAAAATAACATAAAAATTTACTGACGCTTAGAGATTTCTATTTTTAGGAATATGCAAGGGATCAAAGATAAGACCAATGAGTAATTTTGAGATATAATCTCTTTCATTAAACTATAAATAACAATTCCTTTGAAGATATATTTTTGTCCACTTTAATCTCCATCTTCCGGTTCAACAACCACCTACGCTCTATTATTTAGACAATTAAGCCATATACCTCAGCGCGAATCCCATGCTACATTATCGCATGAAACAATCTAAATCTATCTAATCTAAAGAATATATTATACATTTTCTTATTTTAAGCCTTAGCAATTCAAATTCGCTCGTCGCGGTGAAGTTCTTCGCTGCCGATGTGCTTGTGCTCTAAAGTATCTCCAGGCACTGGGGATCGTCTACAGGGACCTGAAGGCGGAGAACATTTTGTTGAGGGAGGACGGCCACGTCATGCTCTCGGATTTCGGTCATGAGGTGGAAATTTTGTTGAGCAATAAATTTTTTTGTTGCCTATCAAGTATGAACCCCAACCACTTAGAGCATCTCTATTGGTGCAATGTCATTTGCAATTGCATTTGTTTTTTTATTGTTACTTCATTTTTTTGCAACGTGTGAATAACAAGGATTAGCAAAAGGGCCCAGTTAAAAGAAGCCTGCAATGTATGAATAACAAGGCCTATAATAAATCCAATCTGTGGTCCGTCCGTGGATGCCAATCTGACATTGACCATTTTTCTCCCCTTAGATAATGTTTGGGGATCCAAGTCCATCAGGCCGAGCCTGATCTAACCTTGTTTTGGTTCATTAAACATGTAGCCATGCAAGTCCCTAGCAGGGTGTAAGAGCTATTTCCATCCGTGATGACATCAGATCGAGTAATGTACCCGACATAACAAATTCAAATTGGCATCCCTAATATCCATGGACAACTTCTTTACAAAATTACATCAAATCAAAGATCAAACACATCACAAAATGGACCTGCAAATACCATGGACAATAAGTGAGTAGATATTTCAGTTCTACCAACTCGTAAAATATTTTATTATCCCTTACTGTAATGTTATTTTTTCTACCTATAAAGATCAAATGCGATATATCGCTTCCGTATTTACTCCATCTTATTTACACCAACCATGGTCTCATGAATCAACTTATCCAAGCTAACCCAAGAAGACCCACTCCCTTCCTCCATGGCTCCCCTCGCCGCCTCTCCCAACTCCGCCGCCTTCCGCCCTCTCTCACCTTCCATCAGCTCCTTGACCGCCTTCGTCACCCCATCTCTCTTCACAAACCCCCTCACCGACCCATCACACGTCTCCACCCTCACCCCGACCTTCATCTCCTCCACCACCATCCTCGCGTTCATCGGCTGCTCCGCCGCCATCGGCCAAGCCGCCACCGGAACTCCGGCGCACACGCTCTCCATCACCGAGTTCCACCCGCAGTGGCTCATAAACCCTTTCACGCTCTTGTGACCTAGTATCTCCCTCTGCTTCGCCCATCCCTTCACCACCTTCCCTCTCTCCTCAACCTGGTAGAAAAATAAGGATACCATCATGGTTATATAGCATTTTTCACAACAACTCAAATTAGTGAATAGTGATAGCATTGAATTTTTGACAAGGTATCAAAACTTTATGTGATCAAAATTAAAGTCTTATGTTTGAATCCAATGACCCTCATTTCTTCTGCTAAACAGAGCAAACTTTAAGCCCAGGAGTGGGTCTCGGGACCTACCCTGACTCGGAAGAATAAAGTTTGATAAATTAGGTGTAATAGTGAATTGATCATGAAAATTAGGGTGCATTCAATTGAGAATGATTGATTGATAGGTCTGTGTTCTAATATCGATGGCCTTATTTGTTAAACACATGATATTTAGATTTGTACAAACTTCAAGCACATATAAGTTCGCTTTCTTTTGATGGAGATTGCTAGTAAATGATATACAATCCATTATTTTACCTCTTCTAACAACTCTAGTTATTGATTTTAAATGATTGCTAACAAAGAACACCATTTGAATGTGAACGACTAACTAAATCGTCGAGTCATTGATACTAAAAGATTATTGAGAAAGAACATTATTGGAAAGCGAACGACTAACTAAATCATGACTCATAATTTGATATAAGTTGCATCATTGAGTCTCTCAACAACTCAAATTATTGATACTATACGGTTCTTGACAAAGAAAGTCATTCAAAAGCGAACGACTACCTAAATCATGAATAATTGTTTGGTACATAAAATGATATTTTTAATAGTTTTGACTACTAAAGTTTTTTATTTTTAAAATATAAAATTTAATAATTAAAATTTAAATAATTAATAAAATGGACCCAATTTAAACGAAATCCTGGCTACACCTCTGTTTAAGCCTATATACAGACGAATTTCGTTTGAGAGATATTTTAGTAAATATTATATGATCTATAATTCAACATGTCCCAACAATTCCAGTTTTTGTGAGCAACGGATTATTGACAATATACAAATCAAATGCTAATCAAGAATGAGAGTTTATGAGTACAATACCCTCTCTTCAAATCCTGTTACTTCTTCTTTACCAAGTAATCCAGCCTCTTTATCTCGTAGAACCCACAAGAAGTTGGCTCCTGAATCTTCCAACCCTGCGGCTATTTCCTTTAGCTGCTCTAACGAGATATCAGCCTGAGATCCAAAAGCTACGAACAAAACCGACTCTCCTTCCACGTACTTCTGGTCGAGCCAATCCATGTATGTGGGCCTTGGGCCCGAAACTTCTCCGTCCATGGGCTCGGCCAAGCACAGAGGCCCGACGCACCAGGAAGTCGGTCCCTCGGAAGAGTTGACGTAGTCAACGAAAGCCTTTTCCAGCTCGTAGAAGGTGTTCAACACGAACCCGTGGCTCTGAGCGGCAACACCAAAGGCCAACATGACAAAGTCAAAGTCAACTCCCTGCTGCGCTTCGCGATCGTAAAAGAAAGGTTCGAAGTCAGATTTGGAGACCTTCATCCACGGGAACTGAGGCAGGGCGATGAGCTCTTCGTGGGATTCTGGTCCCCACAGAATCCCCGTCTCGCCCACCGCCCTGCCGAGAGACATGGCGTGGGCGGACATCCCGAAGGACACGAGCCTCGGGATGCGGATCCTGTTGGCGGACTCCAGGGTCCACCACAGGAACCCGTCGGAGACCATGAAGGTGGCGGGAGGGGTGAGGGTTTCGATCGCCGCGTCGAAGGCCGGCTGCATGACGACGGTGGAGGAGGCGAAATGGTAAAATAGGGACATGGAAGGGAGGGCGTCGCTGCTCTCGGTGCCGGCGGGGATTTCGGGGATATTGTGGGAGAAAGGGATGGTGAGGATATTGGCGGCGGAGGCGGTAGAGGAGAGGGATTGGGAGATGAAAGGGCGGTTGGCGGGAGTGGTGACGACGGTGACGGTGATGTGGCGGCGGAGGAGGAGGCGGGCGAGGTGGAGGAGCGGGATGGTGTGGCCTTTTGACATGAAAGGGAAGAGAAGTGCGTGGTGGTGGTGGTTGCCGGCCGGTGAGGAGTCCACTTGTTCCATTTCTTTCTCTCTCCCTATTCTTCTTTTTAGCCTATGAAGAAAGACAATATGCGGCCATTCATTGTGCATGCTAACGTATGCTATTTATTGGAAGCTAGGTAATAGCGACAGGCAATTATTTTTGCCGCCATTCCATTATCATTTGCTGTCTCTGATTGTTCGATTATCAAAATAAAGTCTGATTTTTTTATATGGTTAATAGTAAATATTAGAGATTCGCCGGCAATACCACTAATCTTGAATTTGGAGGTCTCAAATTCGAATATCTTAAATATCACTTAAGTATGGAAAAACAATATTGTTCCAAACACATTAATAAACATTATAAATTTGAGATACAAACTGAAGGCTGAGACAGAGATAAAACAGAACAATAATAGTCAAGTAAAACTTAACATCGCCTAGATAAGTTTCATACTCACTTTGAAATTGTAAAAGCCTTCAAAATATATGACATTCAAAAAGCTTAATCAACAATAGATAAGATGATCCCTACCACACAATAATACTGGTGATGAAGTCAAATAGGGAATAATACACATCAATAAGTAAATAATAATGTCGTCCCTACCTAATTAATGCACTGATGTGATAATAGAGTATACGATATTTCGAGTACTTATGAAGAATCAAAATCGTCGATTGTTATTTTGTTATAGAGTATGCAATATTATTTATGTATACCATAAATTAAATAGAGTTTGTGATATGAAATTATACCATAATCTCTAACTGATAGATCCTATGTCCCAATTTTCAAAACTCAAACTAAAAGATCAATTTATTTTAAGAAAATAACAATTGACGATTTTGATTCACTAAAGTACAACAAAATACATCTAACGATCAGATCATTTGGAGTATCGAATTAATATTCCAGGCGTATACAAGTTGATTACCATATATTTTGTTTAGTTGGGGAATTTAGCAATCTAATCTCATATGTCACCATTACCCTTTGTCATCGTGAACCGGGACTCGACCATGCATGCTCCAGGTAACTCAAGGCACGTATGTCCACGATCCATAATCGAGAGATGTAGTAAATCGACTTTAAGCATGGAGAAGTCATCACTAATCAACTATTTAAGTTATTATTAAGTGTCCGTCGATGCTAAACCATCGGGGCTTTCCGCGTCGCTGGGGATAAATGTTGATATGACTTGAATCGGATTATCAGCCGCTACGACTGGTAATCGGGGGTCTCGCTGATATAGTGAAACTGGCTCTCTCTCGCCCGCGGAAGTAGCTAACACACATCGTGTTAGTGAACCACGTAAATCGTGTGTCGTGTTTTCGATTCTCGCTTTCGTATTCTTGCTTTGTCGATTCCTGCGATTTCCCGATCCGTAGCAACGCGTTTATAACAACAAAAGAAGCCATAAGGAAGCAATGACGGCGATGTTGGAACCAGACTAGCTAGCTAGCTAACTGGCGCTTAGTTTGGAGATCGTTTCGTTGCGATGATTATTTGTCGTCAATTTCTACGAAAGATATCAATTAATTAAGCGACCAGCTAGCGTCTCGTTTATATTCGTGCCGTACATGATATGTTTTTTTGTCGGGGCGTCCTTTGTATTTATCGGTTCCAATCGCGAACGGCCGGCAAAAATGAGATCCGATGCCATAGTCGCCGGCAATAGTGTTGTTATTGCTAAATAGGTAGTCTCCTCTCCTCTGGTTCTCTTGTAATGTAATGTGTCTTAGTTTGTTGTCTACTTCGAGGACGCTGACTTTGAGAAATCAGCATTGTCATCTACACCTATATAATAGTATTCAATAAGGGGTTTGATGGTGTGTTACCCGTGCCTTTGATTCGTATACCTGCATTATTTTAATTCTCGACACGATGTGTAACATCAAAACAATATTAACATGGTGTTGTGCATTCACAATGCTCTGGATAGCAGATGGTGATGTTCCATGGACTTGGCATGGTGTGCTTTTGTGCGTATTCAATCGCTCACGACTTATAATTTTTTTTTGTTGATGCAATGATCAACAACATAGCAATAAATAATTGTGTCAGCCTCTGAATTTCTTCTTCTCGAGTTTTTCGAGCTGATCGAATAGTATTTGAACGTGTTATTTTATTGATCATCCTACCGAAAGGAGGTAGGTGTGAAAGTACCAAAGTTGCTCATGCCTCTTCATTCCTTCAATATGTTTAATTGGACGATCGTGGTAAGAGTGAAAATGACGATCAATGGTGTGCTTTTGTCCTATATAAATATCTATTCAATTATTGACCCAACAGTTAGAAAAATTAAAGTGCGAGTATGTGCGTGATTAACCGGTTACTAATGTGGTGGAATTGACCGACCAAAGGGTTTTTTTTTTAATATTATGATTAATATATAGGTCGCCATGCCATATGTTTACTAATAATCTATTATCTATCCCCATGACGTTGCTACGTTCATGCTGTCGCGCCATGCTTGCATATTAGCGTTGGATTGAGGTAGACCCAATTCATAAAGACAAGAGCGAAGAAATAAAAGAAAGAAACCCCTTCTACTAATACGTTGTCTATGAGCTATATTAGGAGGTTTACTTTATGGCTGCCGGTGACCATTTCCGGTGCAGATGAACGTGAGGATTAGATCATAAGAAAATCTGAAGTTTCTGGCATGGGCCGTGAAAGATAACAAAAAAAATAAATGTTTCGAGTGGGGTAAAGTCCATACGAGTTTGGGCCCAACAACGCTAACGTGGACCAAGACTCTATCCCAGCGAACAAGGGCCCATCCCACATTCATTCTATGGATGAGTTGATTCTCCTTCTCTTTTGGACTAATGTCACTATTAGGTGTATGCGTCATTTGTGTTACGCGAATTTTCGTTGACCGTTAAAATTAATTGTTGACCTAGAGGTAGTCAACTTTTGTCTGATCACTGATGAAGTGGCGTTTAGATGTCGTCCACGTGCGACGTAGGATATTATTATTTAAATAATTTAAATAAACTTTTTATTTAATAAATAATTATTTATATCAAACAATTTAGACAATGGTATTCGAGATTAACCCACTTTCAGCCTAGAAAATTTTAGGGAGCGGAGATCCTGAATGGCTGAGGCCATGGTAGTAGAATTTGGAATTCAAATGGAAAAACAACTCCAATTTGAGCAGCTAGAGGTTGAATCAGATTGGTCCAAAAGATTGTGCACAGCGTGCCAATTATGACTGAGCTCGGCGTTTTATGCAAGTATCCGACAGGGGGTTGATTTGCGGAAGTGTGAATTATGTCCAGTACATTCGAAGAACAACTAACAAAGTTGCACATCTTAATTCTTATGGCAACTTTTGAAACTAGATGGAATAGTTCTATTGTGTGGGTTAATAGACCCCCTATGATTTAGGTTTGATAAGTTTCGGCCGGGTGATTAATAATATTACCACAAGTTATTATAAAAAAGGATTAATCCACTTTCTTGCTCCTCGTTCAACAAGACTTTCGAGAATAAATTATGACAATTTAAAAGGACCTGCTTATTAAATTTAAACTTTCATCGAATCATAGCGTTGAGAATTCTAGAAGCAAGAGTTGGTTATGATGCTAATTTTCTTAAATGAGATGAGTTGTTGCGTTAGTGTTCTAAAAAGCGCGCCTAAGCGCTCGCCTAGGTGCTACGCAAAAGAAAAATGGTTCACATTGACTATAAGTGACAGACAATATGCCTCGAGTGCACCAGTAGCATCCAACAACACCTACGCAACATTGAGGCATGCTGGGATGCAAGTAGAGAAAGTTCCGAGCGAGTTGGGGATGTAGTTTGAGAAATTCGACAAGATGCTCAAAATGACATTGTGGTGCCTCTCTTCTCCTGGCGATCACTTTGCTGCTAGGTCAAACAGTAATCAAGACTCTTCTCTCTTTTCCTTCTCCCACTCCCGAACATTACTATCCACTAGGTTAGAGACGACCATCTCTAGAGAAGTTTCTTCTTTCTCGTGTTGTGTTTCTTCTCACTCAATTTGTTATGTCGTTTTGTTTGTTGATGTGTTTAGAAATGATGGGTCTAGGTAATGGTTTGGTATATGATATGAAGTTGTGATTATAGACAATTATGAGATATTTTTACTATTTTTGTTTCAAATGGTTAGGCGCACCAAGACAAGTTAGATTTTGGCAGGACTCTAGTGTCCGTCTTACGCCTAGTGCATTTTTAAGGTTAGATTGTGGAATAAATATTGGCCAGAATGCAATTACTATAGCTATTTACGGGTAGGTGGATCTAGTTTCTTGATGGCTTACTTATGAGTTCTGATTATGACATAATAACTTTTTGGAAGGGTTTGATCATCATCATTCATCATGCTGATGCTAGTCAGAATCGGATCAAGGCAGAATGAACAACTCTGGTTACCCAAGAACCGTATCTTCTAATAAAATCACCAATTTCTCTGTTCTGTTCTTACAACAAATAGACATTCCCTATGTAGTAATAAACATATACAAATATTAACCACAACAAACCAAAGTCCCCCTCCAGATCTTTCACTATGGCAAGGAATCCACAGAAGAACGTGGAGGCCCAGAAAGGGACCGATCAATTACATCCACATGATCGCCATAACTCTCCACCATCTCAATTATAACATCACCATTCTCAACACTCCTTAACCTGCCACCGCCAACCACAGTAACAAAACTGGCGTCACTAAACCGGCTGCTGCTGGTGCTCTCAGTTGTAGTAATGCTACCACCAAACAAGCTCATCTCGCCACTGGATTGGCTGCTGTTTCTCTTGCTCCCGCCGCTCTCTTCCCTCTCAATCCTCCTCGAAGAAAGCGCGACGTTGTCCCTGCAGATTGGACAGACGGGGATCTTCAGCAGCCACCCGTCGACGCACTTGGCGTGGAAGCTGTGCTTGCAGAGTGGCAGCACCCTGCATTTCTCCCCTGGCTTGAAGGTGTCGAGGCACACTGCGCAATCCCCGAATTGATCGACCATGTCACTCCCTTTGCCCCCAACGATGGTGGTGTTCTTGGATTCGTTGTCGTCGTTGTAGTTGAAGGAGGGGAGCTTGTCGAGTTCGGCTTGCGACATCCTGGGTCGGCTGTAACCGCGGTGGGTTTGGGCGGGGAGAGGATCTGTGGTGGCGGTGGTGTTGTTGGCATCCTCGACTAACGCTCTCCTGACTGATCTAGCTGTGATGAAGACGTGGATGATTACTACTCCGACGACTACGATGAAGAAGAGGAGCATGGAGACTAGTATGGACATGATCACTATGTCTGAAGAGAGTACCATTGTGTTGTGGGAATTGTGGTAACTGAAAATTGTGGCCGATTAATAACCAATTTGATTGATTTGGGATAAACAAATGTTGGATAAGCTTATTAATGTCATGGCCATGGGTTTGCCTTGGTGAAGAGGCCAAAAGAGGGGTTCTTTTGTAGATAATATCAGGATCCATTTACAATGACATTAAGATTTTGGCAATTGTTGAATGCTTAAATGGATTGATTATATAATTGTGGGTGAAGGGACAAAAACAGGGAATTCATATTCATATTTTAAAAGGCTTTTGATGTTGTAGGACTCATTTCCTCATTTCCTGTTTTTTTACTCTTGTTAGTGTTGGTTTCCTTCTTGAATAAGAGTCTATGTTGTTTTGTGTGGCTTAATAACAATATTATATGCATGAGTGAACAATTTAGTCTCTTGAATGGTACATTATGGTTAGTTAGATCCCCATTGTTTCAGATTGGGTGAATTAAGTCTTTAAACGTACCAATTTGGATGAAACAATAACAATTATCGTGAAAGTGTAAATTTCATATTGTAAGTATGAGTAGATGGAGAAATTTTATATTGGTTGATAATGTCTAGAAAAAAATTTCTTGAAAAGTCTTGTCTAGATGGGGTTTGGCTAGTTTGTAGAGGGGCTTCATACAGTGCCTCTAGCTCTCCGATAAGAGAACATGCTTTTTCGACTATTCGATGATTGAATATCTCCAAAATTTTCATGAACTTTGAAAATTTTCTTTTGGAGAAAATGAATTGTGTACAGATGTTTAGAGGCTTACCCATTAGATGGTTAGGTTGCACTTCTTTGTGGCTCGTGTGATGGAATCCTCATCACCCCAGCCAAAGTCATGTAGGACAACAGAATGTTTTGCACTATAATTCTTGTTTGTCTCAAGATGTACAGCTTGAGGAACTTGATTGACCTAACTTTGAAGTTTAAGGGCTGGAATAGACCAGCACGTGAAACTAAAGGAACTAAATATGCATCTTTAAGACTTCGGCCACGAAGATCATTAATCAATGATCAAATTGACCTATCATGTAATTAGTCTCGGTCATCCTGATTCCAACTTGGATGGCAGCTTGTGATTGTAGTGTTTGGCCTCAAGTGTGAAATGATGATAGTGAAACATGATTGTCTTAACGCTGTGATGGGTTTTATTTTGTCTTTAATTTCGTTAGATTTCGTTTCAGTCATGCCAATATTATTATATACCCCCAATTGGGTATTGACAGACAAATTAGAAGCTCAGCAGCGGCATATCCTTGACCTTGGTACTGGTTAGTTGTATCTTGTATGTGTCTCTCTGAAGTCGCTGTCACAAATTAATTTCTAAGCAATCCCCAAATGATGATGATGGCTCTTTGTAATATGTTTGCTGAAACTTATAGCACAATCATAGTACAAAATCGCGCTCACACAAATGCGATTCTGCTGGTTCAGCAGTCATTCGACGCGGTAATGTCACCTCTAGCTTCTGCAAATGGAGAAGACAATACCAATTCTCGATCTAAATCCCCCAAGCAAACCAGGGGAATACAAGAAAACAATTACCAAATGAGTTGCAGCAACAGCAAAACATATCCGCGAAAGAATATTCCAACTCTACTTCTACGTACATGCAGAAAACACAGTGCGAGAGATCTAGAAAGCGCCCGTGATATTTACAAGGTCAGAAAATAGGTAGAAGAAGCAAAAATATACTCTGCTCAACAAATGATCATCATATATGTGAGGAGTTTTTACTAAGAACTCATATACGAAATACGCCTCTTTTTGCAGTGGATATAGGCTCACTGCTAAGAACCCAGAATGGGACCTTCTCGGCCAACACCTGTGACACGGAGTACCGCTTGTGCAGTCGAGGGAGGGAATTTCGAAGAACAAAACTGCTCCCAGGAAAAGGGCTCGGATTCATTAGGAACTGCTGACTCTTCGTACGCAGTTTGAAGCTGCGAGAGTAGGGTTCGAGCAGCTTCCCTTGATTCTGGAAGTTTGTCACTGAGTTGGCGTACAGCAACAAGAATCAGTTTGTCGATTCCATATGCTTTGATACCTTCAGCACCCTGTTGATGGAATTTAACTTTGTTCATTTATAGATAAAGATGCAATGCAAGATAAAGACCGACAAAATACGATGATGTGAAACTCGATTACAATCAAATAACAAGAGGTCACGATACTAACTACAAAGGGTTCAAGCAGTCAATGTTATTTGTGTTCGCTTTCAACACTGAAGAATGTTAAAGGCTGAGTGAGAAGCCTGTTTCTTACCAATCTAGGAACACTACGGCAGAAGCACATGGATGCCTTGGCACGAATTCGAGGATTCTTGCCCAGAAGATGAGGCTGCAACTTTGGCAGTAGCAGTGTTGGAGAGACGGAAGTGGTCAATGCAACAAGTGCCTTTTCAGCTGCCTCGCACAAAAATCTTTTGTCTTGTGAAGATTTAAGGAGAAGCTGCACCAGCTGCAGCCACACAAGTTTATGAGGGAAGTAGTAAATTGTTAGTCAAATTAGTTAGATAGAGAAAAGAAGATCAAATTCAGCAAAGAATGTACCAGTGGATCCACAGAATCAATGATGTGATCCTTATATGTGATGAATAAGTCTCCAGAAGCCATGATCGCAGTTTTGCAAACAGCACTCCTTGGATTCTTTAATGACTTCACAATGAGAGGTATCACATCACCCCTGTTAATAACATGGGGAAATGACAAAGCAGATTCAGAAAACGGAGGAACACACAGATTTATGCTATTTTGAAACTACAATCCGGCAGCTATTGAATATTGACTTACAACATATCTAGCATTTTCTCCTCATGAAATTTTGACAACCGGCGTGCATTGTTCAGTGATTCACAAAGCAGGACCCAATCTTTTGAGTCAAGACCAGCTACAAGCTCCTGATAAACGGGAAAAGACTTACTGGTTAATGCCAAAAGGAATGCACCATAGGAGATAACACTAGAACTGCAGGTACAATGCTTTAAAGGCACTAACCTTTATGCAAGTATCAACATCTTCCACATCGGACAGATTTTCAGATTCAACGTATTCCACCTCTGCAACCTCCACATTTCCGTTTTCTAATCCAGACTCGACACTCACAACTCCATTACCAGCTGAAACCATTGAGGAAGTGGTTGTAACTGGATGTTCCTCAACATTAGCAACTCCATTCCCATTGCAAGGCTTGTCAAATCCCCCTATAGTGGAGCTTCCGTTACTACCGGTTTCAGGCAAGGTCTTAATATCCATGCAGCCAACCTCTGACATATTCGCTTAGATTGAGACCACACAATCTAATAAACAAAGTAAAGATGGTATCAATGACCCGGAATAAAAAACCAGTTCAGCCCTATGAACAAAAAATAGAACGGACTAAACCCGATCCAATAACATGAATGCGCTAAACTTTCTAAACAAAAACATGCACTCAACCATATCAACTGATGTAAAAATCCACTGCTTCCAATGCAATTACTTACTTCCAAACAGATCACAAGATTGAAAAAACTACAAACGATTCATTCACACAGTACAGTAGCAGTTGATCATTGATGAGAATTTGACAATTCTAATTATTAAACCTGAGGACTTCAACTGAGTAGGACTAGAGATATTGACGACATTGACACTTGTACAGCATTGCAGTAATTGTTCTTGTACTAATTATTATTATTTAATCCACAAATTAACTCCATTGAAATCGGAAGCTCAGAGGACCAAGTTTCTTATCATTACAACTAGAATGGAATGATTTCTCCAGTGATACGCATCTCTGATGCAACAGTTATAGCTTCGCCACATTAGGATCTGAATCCCCAAAACTAGACGAAACAACGCAGTGAGTCCGAAAAATGGACGAAGTAAAGCCAAAATTGCACAACCAAATGAATCTGGCAAGCAATTCTGAATCCGCAACACGCTGAACCAAAACGAAGATCCAAATCTACGTCAATCAACTGAAGGAAACAAGAAGAACGAAAACGAGCATAATGACAAGCAAACAGCAGGATCTCGCGGCGCTGATCACACTTCACTCAAATTCGAAATCGGCATTTCCAGCAATCCACAAGCACAAAGCAAATCTTGCAACTGAATTAGAGAACAAGTTCGGGGAGAATACCGGAAGAGCGACAGAACGGCGTTAGTGATAGGTCAAAGGCGGAGCAGCAAAATGGCTTCGGTACAACTGAGTCGACTCCGTCAGTCTCTCCGGCGAACTGGTGGAGTAACTCGGGAGGGATAAGTTTTACGGGAGCGGAGAGAGGGAGTTGTTGTATGGGTGGACGGAGTAACGGGAAACGGTGGCGGAGGGGAGTTCAGTACGGGGTCAGAGGAGACGACGACGTCGTCAAGGGAGAGAGAAAGAGCGGTGGGAAGAAAGAGAGTTGGCGAGACAAAAAAATGGCAGAAGGCCGGCGAGAGCACGAGATATCAGTATCACACATGATTTGACCGCCTGGCAAATATTTAGGGACATTTATTTCCTTTTTCTTTCCATTTCTCCAATTATTTTGCAAAGATGGTCACCAAACAATGCCTGGATCCGTGGTTAATACCGAGATTGCCACTATCACCGTTGAGTTTGAATGAACGCTCCAATTCTACCAACGAACGAGAACATATGTTTTTAGGGTTAAATGAGAAAACAATTTGGATTATCAAGTAGGACAAATTCAGCGAATTTGCAGTTCAATGGTATTAAAGCACTGTAGTGAAATTAAGGTGATACGTTTGACGGTTTGAGTTTACATAATGAGTTTATTGACAAATTAGAAAAAATAAACTAAGGGTCATTTGGAAGTTGTGATTGTTAGAGTTTTGTTTGTTGAATATATGTATTGTGACAATACAATGTTTGGAAGTATCAAAATTCAAAATGTAAAACAATGCATGCATTGTTTTAGATAGGTCCCACTAACAATCACAAAAAATTATACATTATACAATCTCAACTTGTGACCGTTGGTTTTAGATTTGTGTCAACTTTTTCTTTTCATTTATATCCCTAATAATTTTTGTCTTATTCTAAAAGTTGAGGGTAAATGTGACATTTCCCCATAAAATATCTTTATGTAAATCAATGCATAAAGTAGAATCTCAACAACCAAACAATGTATTGTTAAAATGCATCCAGTGTATCAATACATGCAACGATTTAACATTCGCAACTTCCAAACGACCCCTAAATATTGAAGCTGATCTAGCATATTATTTTTATCAAATCATTGTAATAATTCTCGTCGACGACATATAACAAATGTCGACGACATATAACAAATGCTACATGAAAAGTGTTATAGAATATATGACATAATGCACTTACTAGACAATATTGTCATCAACTACTACAATTAAGAGCCCCGTCAAAAAACAGACAAACAAATTATAACCAAACAATTATGATTAGTACAAAAATGCCCCATTATTACTAAACCGTATTAGGTGGACTTACCTATGTAAAACAAATTATAGAGGAGTTCATTTGTCATTTTTCCTGAAAATTTAGGGGATACTTTCGCCTGGTCAACCACTTCAGAACGGTAAAAAGAAAAACGAACCTTGATGAGGTAAGATAAAGGAATTGCCCAGAGAAGAAGGATCTGAAACCCTAGAAACCCAGAAAGAGCTCAGTGAGTCGTACACCGACAGCTCGATCCAATCCAACCCCAAGCAGTTTCCCCCTGAGCTCGGTCCACTAGATACGCTCTCAGAAGCCCGACCCGTAACCCTAAATAACAAAATAACCAAAAGACCCAAAATCCGAATCCGAACGCCCATAGCTTCCCCAACCCAACCTCTGACTCCCGATCTATCTATTTTCTCTCTCTTCGCGAATCGATCGAAAGAAAGCCCCCCGACGAACGAACAATGTTACACCAACTCGGCTGAATGGAGCTCAACGATTCAACCGCGATTGCCGCCACCGCCACAACTCTGCGCTCTCCCCTCCCGATCGATCTCAATGAGATCCCTACTTCGTCCTCCTCTTCTCCGCCGCTGCCGCTCGGTCTCGAGGCGGAGCAATCCGAGCCCTACGACGACCTCGTCGCGCCAGTCGACCTCGTTCGCTCTTTCCACGACCATCCCGATCCAGCCCCGGGCCTCGCGGCCGGTCTGCCGCGGGAAGGGGCGTGCGGCACCTGCGGCGGCCCCGAGGCGCAGGGTCACGTCGTCGTCTGCGACGGCTGCGAGCGGGGCTTCCACCTGGCATGCGTCGAAATGCGCGGCGGCTGCGGCTTGGACGCAGCTGGCTCGTCCGAGTGGCTGTGCGCTGAGTGCCTCGGCGGCGGGGTGAAGAGCAAGGGGTGGCCGTTGGGGTTTAAGAATAATAAGAGGATGATTTTGGACATCAATGCTTCCCCTCCTAGGGATGCGGACGGGGATGGGGAGCCTGCTGAGGACGAAAGGCTTCTCCATTTGAGGTAAACGAGACTCTTTTTTCCATTTTCTGAACCTTCACCGGAGTTGCATTCTTTCTCTTAGGTCGTTGAAGCTCTCTCGCTCTCTCTCTCTCTCTCTCTCTCTCTGTGTGTGTGTGTGTGTGTGTGTGTGTTCCTTTCATGGAGAACTTGCATGGGGAAAGTTTCTGTAGGATATGATTAGTAGTGAAATTTTGGATTGAATTCAGAATAAATGTTATTTTAGAGCCAATGCATGTTTGTAGGATTGCCGCGAGATGGTTGATGGTATACCTTAGCGTGATTCTCGAGCTTTTTGAATCCATTAATATAAGTAGGCTAGTGCCATGAGAAGTTGTTAAACTGATACCTATGGAGTGAGCCTCTAAGACCTCTTTGATTCCATCATGCAAGTCTTAGCAATTTTCTATGTATCTTTAAACTTCCGTTTCAATGCCTTGCCTTCATTCTGTTTATGGTCCATTGGTCTAACAAATTGAACGTGCAATCATCGCATTAAAGTTACTGATTATATTCACGCGTGCTAGGAAGTGCACTCCTGGTGATAATTCTTCTGATGGAAATGCATTTGGTGCCCCAGTGACATATTCAAATCTTATATATGCGGGGAATGGATTTGGGCTGAGAAAAGGTTCAGGAAGGATGATGCATGCATTCAGAATGGGGTTCAGGGATATATTGCATCACGATGCAGATAGAGGTTTAGAGGAAGTAAACTGGGGATTTCCTATAGGAAAGTGTAGGAGTGGTGATAACACAAGTATCAGATTGCCATCTAGGAATCCAAATGAGCTTTTTCTTCAGGGTCTTAGAGAATTTGTTTCTGAAAGGCATGGTGTGCTGGCGGAAGGTTGGCGTGCAGAATTGAAACATTCTACAAGTAGTTATGAACTGTATGTGGTTTATTGTTCTCCAGATGGGGAAACTTTTGGTACAATGTCAGAGGTTGCTCTACATCTTGGATTGAATCCTGTTAGTCATGCAATGGATATTGATAGAAGTGATGGTTCTTGCTCTCAGCTGCCAGAAAAGCCACATGCATATAAGAGGAGAAAATACAAGAAAAGTAAGGAAGTTTTGGAAAACGGCTATCATAAGCATTTCCTGTCAAATATTGTAAGTGGAGGGATTGCTGATGGAAAGTTGGGGAAAGACAGGGAAGTTAAAACTGATGATAACGGTACCGGGGGTGCTGAGCCATCTAGTGTAAGTGTGAATTTTTTTCTTCGATCAGTGACAATGATGATTAGATAACTATCCCTTTGCATTATTACTGGAATACTGCCATTTCGCTTGTTCCTTATACAGAATGTATGTTTTTCACGTTTCACTTTCTTTATGTTGCAGGATGGATTCCCAGTTCGGTTTGAAGATCTCTTTGTTATTTCTTTGGGAAAAATTGATGCCAGACCATCGTATCATAATGTAGGACACATTTGGCCAGTAGGTTATAGATCATGTTGGCATGATAAGGTTACTGGATCAATGTTTGTACAGGAAGTGGAAGATGGTGGTGATTTAGGACCTGTCTTCAGAATAAAAAGGTTTTCATGCTCTTTTTATCGCATTCCTGAGGTTTCAACTGTTTTGGTTATTGACGAGTTTGCCGTGCAAAACAATGAAGAGAGTTGTAGTGAGATATGTGATGGAGATCCCGAAAACGGTGAAAGTGTTGATATGCTTCTTATGGAGCATTCTCCCCCTAGTGAAGATGACATTGTGAATTGTCTCAAATGTGTATCAAATGAACGTATTACAAAGACATCGGAGAGCTTGCGAAATAGTGCAGTCTCTGGCTTGTGTGGGGTGCTTGCATCGGATAAGCTGGACAGAGATTTTATTGGTGAGATCTTGGTGGAAGAGCAGTCACCATCGTTGGCTTGGAGAAAGTTAGCACAGAAATTAGTTGATGCTTATTCTGAAATTTTTAAGCGTGAAGGCAAAGTTAGGCTCTCCTGCTGCCATGCTGATATTGTTGCTGGAGAACCAATCTGGACTCGGAGGGATGGGAAGTTAGAAACTAATTGTGCTATGCTGACCAAATTCTGCAGTTCCCCTAATTATCTTGGCATTCCTTTGGTATACGAGGGCAAGGTGGGCTTATTGGCAGCTTCACTGTCAAAATGGCTCGATGAGGATAGATTTGGATTGGATGTAGATTTTGTCCAAGAGATGTTAGAAGAGCTTCCTGGTGTTGAAATTTGTTTAAGATATGAGTCTCTGATTCATAGAAGGAAACATACTAGAACCTTAACACTAGAAAATGGACTCGTAACAGCTAAAAGGAAATCTGGTGTTCAATTGGATGACTTATTTCGAAGATCTAAGAAAGCAAGGCTGATTGAAGACAGTGTTATGGATTATCCTCCAGGAAGGCTGTTGTGCCCCAAGCTTCCTTCTTCCGTCCTTGTTGGTGATCTTTATCAGGTAAAGCACTTGCATGGTCTGTGACCATCACATTAGTTTTTTTCCGATTCGTTAGCCTCATCACAGTAGTTTTTTTAGATTTGTATGTATTGTGTAACAGAAAATTTTCAATTACCTCGAGCTTGAGTACTTGTGTTAATCCTTATGTAGGTGTGGGAGTTGCTGTGTCGTTTCCATGATATTTTGGACTTAAAAGATCCCCTTACGTTGGGGGAACTTGAAGAGGAAATTATCAACCCATGGTCTGGTTGCTCAATTGATGGGTGTACCCTTACCAAGAATGTTAGTGGAAGTCATGTCCCCGATATTTTAGGACTTGATAAAATGGATAGCCTACTCCAGTCTTCAAGAGGGGAAAATACGGCAGTCCATGAAGATGATCCGCATGCTTTTATACCAGTGGAGGCGGAAATTGCTACTGATGCTGCCCAAACTGAACTTGCCTCTGTTAATCCCTTTGGATGCATGGGAGCATCTTTGACTAGGGCTCATAGTGCACTCTTAGCTGTTCTGATATGTGAGTTACAGTCCAGAGTTGCTGCACTTGTAGATCCAACTTTAGATTCTGGGGACGTAAAATCAAAAAGGGGCAAACGGAGAGACTCAGATAATGCAATTTCTGCCAGAAGAAGTAAGCTTAGTATGCTTCCTATCAATGAATTGACATGGCCAGAATTATCCCGGAGATTTGTCTTGGCAGTCTTGTCCATGGACGGTAACCTTGAATCTGCTGAGATTACTGCTCGTGAAAGTGGCAAAGTATTTCGCTGCTTGCAAGGGGATGGCGGGGTGCTGTGTGGTGCACTTACTGGGGTTGCAGGCATGGAATCAGATGCACATGTAAGATTCTTTCTTGCTCATTCGTTCTTTATTGTAATTTCATGCGAAGTTGTTTCAGGAGCTTTTTGTTTGAAATGTCAGGAATATGTTTTAGTGTGGACAACTTTTTTTTTTCTTCATGGCATGGTGGGAGTCATTTGTGTTTTCACACTTATTGTGCGCATGCAATTTACCCTCATTTCACAGATATTGTTCCAAGTTTTAAGGATTCTTGAAACTGAGACTAATGCTTTAAAGTTGATCTCCAGTTACTTGCAGAGGCTAGGAAGAAAATTTACGGATC